CGACATCTTTTTCAGCAGGATTCCGGCGTTGATCGCATCGCCGAGGAAGAAATCCACTCGGTCAGGTGTAAAGTCCGCATGCATGTCCACAATGAACTGTTTAATCGAGGACATATCCACATAGTACCCCGTAATTTCAGCCTCCAGAATGCAGGCGTGGGCTGCGGTATGCATCGCCAGTTGTCGACGGCTTTGGATGGTTTCGTTTGGATGCAAAGGCCATGGCAAACTGGATCGATTCTCGAGTTCGTCCCTTCCAGTACTCTGCGTGGGCAATAGCATCTGTTTCAGGCGAAGGAGATGGCTCTCCAGCTGGCCCCACAGACTGTGCGGACATGGTGCTCGGATGATTAGAAATGATTAAGATAAAATTCAGGGAAAAGAAATAAAAGCTAGTAATTAAATGAAACAGAAAACCCGTCACCGTAAAAGGATAAATATTGTTGGGTTCTTCACTTTTTATGAATGAACAGCTGATATATGAACAGCAGACAAGTGACAGAATGCGATGCGGCATTCTGTCACTTGTCAGCCGCCCTGATATGGCAATACTATAGGAAACTGTGCAGTTTCCGGTCTGTGTTCTGAATATCTCCCAGCCGCGTGTTTTGGCTCTGGCTTTCCTTTTTCGAGTCCTTTTAATCACCATGATTTGTATTTGGTATTAAAATTTGGTTTTTGTGGTTGAAATTTACAAATCCTCGGCGAAACAAGCGGTATTCTGTGTGATTTAATGCAAACAATTAAAGTGGGTTCAAATTCGCGAAAATCCACTGGTCGCCTGTCAACCGCCTGGTGGTATACTCCGTGAATTGTGCGTCTTCGGTGTCGGTGCCAGTTGAGATCTGTTGTTGTGCTTTTTCTCTGCATGCCAGCTTTTCCATTTTCTGCATCAGCTGGCATTCGCTTATTTTGTTCTTCCCTTTCTTTTTACGATTTGTCATTTTCACGTTTGAGAATGTCGCCTCCTACGAAGAAGCAAACAGCTCGCAAGACTGCATCGCGTACTCCGCGCCCGAGTCGTGCTACAGCGGGGCTGAAGTTTGGTTATTCTCCAGACAGCGATGAAGCCCGTTCTTCATCGCGTGTCACCCGATCTCGAGTTTCTCGCCGTACTTCCGCTCAGCCAGTGTTTGCTGCGCAACCCTCGGGACCATTTGGACGTGTGAGCGCGGCAGTGGCTCAGCAGCCTTCAACGAGTCGGGCAGATGCGGTCGTGGATGCCTTACAGCGCCGATACGACAAAGCTCGGCGACGCACAATTCTTCGACGCAATGCTGCTGTGGTTCGCCGCCGTGACCGTCGGGGATCATTTCCTACCAACCCTGACGTTGAGATCCGTCAGCCATCCCCGAAGAAACTGCAGACACAGGCGAAGAGACAGTTGGGCACTCCAGATCTCTCTGAAGAGGAGCCATCATTGTCCGAGACTCCGTCTGTGCGAGCAAAGCGAGGTATTGTGTAGCCTGTATTCTGCCTAGCCTTTATTGGTTTGGTATTTGCTAGTGATTAACGGATATTTAGCCACTTCCAATCGCATTGCACATCTGTATAGCGTTACCTACAATTTAGTCACAGCTAATCGTTTAGCCTGTATTTATGATAATTGCTGGCTTTTGTTTAATGACAGATGAAGACCATTTGCGTAAAGGTGGCATCCTCTATGTCCCGTATAACCCGGATGCACCGCGGCCGGTTTTCAAGACCAAGCAGACGGCTCGCAAACGAGCGCATTCCGGAGTATTTCCAAGAATGGCTGTTGCGGATAAGCGCGGTGAGATGGTCTTCAGCTTATTTTCCTGGCCTAAATCGCTTCCATCGTTATTATCTACGGCTTTATTTGTCTCGTTTTCTGTTTTGTAATGGCCAATTGATTAATCGTTACGTTTGTCTACAACCACTATGAAATTACCAACTGAGCTTGCGTTTGAATTACGACGCCAATTCCTTTATCTTCACCCTACTTTTATTCGTTTGTTTGAAGAATTGGGGAAGCGCCAGCGAATGGATGCGGTTGCGCGTCAAGCGGTTGCTGATGCTGGTGGTGCCGTGGAAAATGCTGAACCGCAGGCTTCAACTTCAGCTGCCGGCCCGTATTATTTTCGCACCCGTGGTCAAAAGCGCAAGTATATGGAGGTTTCACCGTCCTCCTCGTCCTCCGCGCCAAGCGAAGTCTCGGTCTCCGATGATGGTGGCGACCATGAGGATCCTTCGGCAGTGTTATCCGCTGATGAGAATGAAGAGGTTGAAGCCGACGAGAATGTTGATATGGAAGTTGATTGTGATGGTGGCGATGGATCCGATTTGGAAAAGATGGACGTAGATCCGCTGCCGTCTCTGCAGCCGGCTGTTCCAGCTGTGCCACCTGTTCATGTTGCTCGCGAGGATTCACCTGAGATTGCGGAACCGGCAGCTTTTGCTCAGCATCAGCCGCATTCGGAAGAACTGTAATGTATCTGTCGCTCGCTACTGTGCTATTTTTTGTTGTCCTCATTTGGCAACGTTGGTCTCTTCAGTTGATATCATGATAGTTCCTTTTTATTTTGTATTCGCAGTAGTGTCTTGTAGTGTGGTATTGGACCGTAGAGCACAAGGAGAATTCTCTGTCTTATTTGCATTTTTATTTTTCAATTTTGTGCGCTTGGGTCAATGAACTGGTCATTGCTGTACTGTGTCTGTACTGTAGCTGTCAGTGTTAGCTTCTTTAATTGTACCTGGACAGATCTGATTTTCTGATTACGTTGAATTAAAGGGATATAGCGCGACGCGCTGATTGGTTGTTTCTCATACCTGTGTGGAATCTGCCGCATTTCAAATTTCTGCATCGACAGATCGGTATATAAGCATTTGCGTGTAGCGTGCAGAAATCGGCATTGTGGATTTTTCGTTTCGGCTTTTTGGCGTGTTGGATTTTCGGTTTGTATAGACTGCGATTTTGACGCTTTTCTCTTTGCACTTTTAGCGTTAAAGGTCACTAGTTTTCTTTGGTGTGGGCATGCCGCCTATTGATCCTAACCGAGCTTTCGATAAGCTGGTTGATGCCATTTTTCATTCATCCTCAAACCAGCAGCAATATAATGCCGGTTATAATCACCGAGGAAGGGGTGGAGCCCGTGGTGCTTTCCGTGGCAACTTTCGTCCGTACGGCCGAGGAAATCATAGGAATTTTCGAGACAATTATCTCCGTCGCGGAAACGATCACTGGCGTCGTAATGGGAGACATCAGGGCGCACCGGAGGTTATTGAAGTACCTGATGGAGCTCCTAACGCAGCTGCACCAGTGGAAGCTGCCGCCGCAAACATGGAGGTTGATGACCCGGGAAACCAAGCGGCGAATGCACCGAATCAGGGCCAAGTCGGCGGAGCTGTGGTTCCAGGTGAGCCCAATGCTGTCAACCCTGCTGTCAATCTACATGGCCCGCCAGCCTTGAATGCTGCTGTCGTTCCTCCGGCTGTAATTCCACCTGTGCAGCAGCAGGCCCAGCAGAACCCTGAATTTCCCGGCTTGCCACCGAATGTGTTGCCCCTTGCTGAAGTGCCGATTGTCCGCGATGCCCGCGACCGTTCTCCAGCTGATCGCCCACGCGCGCCGTCTGCGCCCTCCGGTCCCGTTGGTTCAGCTGAACATAATTTTGTGCCTGGTTATTTGGCTCAGCAACAGCAGCGTGAATTGGATGCCGATCGCCGACGACAGATGGCTGCTGATGTTTCTCGCCGTTTGGATGCCGCTGCAGCGTCTGGCTCGGGTATTACTGGGTTGTTTTCATTGGCTCCCAGTGCTGGCAAGTAACCTTGAATAACCTTTGTCCTTGATCTTTTGCTTTCTTTGATCTCACCCTCTTACTGGCCTTGTGCTGTCTAATGATTTTGCCTTACCAAAGCCGTGTTGATCTTTCTGTCATTCCTTTTGCTGGTTTAAATTGGTCTCATCTACCAGTGATTTACACTCATGATTTTTATGCGGATACTTTTTGCTTGTTTGTTGTTGTTGACAGTTGTTACTGGATGATGTAGTACTCGAGAATTCGTAAGAATACTACTGGTGCTACTTTATTTGCAATATGTATGGAGACGAGCATCGCTCACAGAAATACATTCAAATGAAAAATTTGTCCCAGTTGGCACGAGAAGGGACCGTACATAACACACTCACGGCATTTCCACGCATTATTTCCAAACTTAAACGCTGAAACAAAAAACAAGTAGAGCGGCTCTCGCCCGTCCTTAAAAACAACTTCTTCCCAATCTCCTTTAACGTAACAATGCCGGTCTCGCACCAAGTGCCAAAAGTCTCACATGCAAAGGGGACAAAATTGCAGCGATCAGTAAGCGACTTGTATTTTCCAATCTTCTCCCGGCAAGCCAGTTCGGCGGCGGCGCCAGCACACTTTGAAGTTGCATCACTACTGGTTGTTGGTTGTCGCGGTCTCGTCCGTTTAATACATAGTTCTACAGAATTGCACATTATTACATTTTAAGATTTTACGTTTACAATTAATAAAGCCTCTTGCCGTATTCTGTACATACAAAACACCATTTAAACTCGAAACGGCACAGTATCGGTAATTCATAGTTTGCCTTCCTGGATCCTTGGACCTCCGCCCTGCCAAACCCGTGGACTTCCGGATGCCTCTTCGCCAAGGATTCCACACACTAACTCTCTGGGAATCACGGCGTACAGTCACATTGGGCATCGGATGGACGCGTGGATTTGTGCGGTGGATCGGGATCAGGATGGATGGAAGTGCACAATCGCACTGGGATGTTGCGGGATGGATTGTTTACGTTGGCACGGCCAAGCATCGTTCGTGGGGGTGACGTGTGGGAGTAGGATCACACGCCGGATGTACGTACGGATGCTGACTGTCCGCCTTCCACCTGCAACACAACGGATAATCTAGTCAATCAATGCTGTGATTTGCTGTTCTCTTTTACTAGCGATGTATATGATGTCATAACGCGAAGTCTATATAAGTTCTTGTTACTTCTAATATCGGAAATCAGTAGTCTGAGATTTACTTCTGAGACTGCTTCTAATTACGATTTCCTAGCGTTGTGAACTGTGATGTGAATTGGATAAAAAGACAGCAATACTTGTTCCTTCTGATGTACATGATCGCTCCCGATTATTGCATAGAATACAGGTTTGCTCGTGACACAATCGTCCTAGCTCTTGCCGATCCTCACAGGACTTACGACCGGAGATTGTAGTTGGACTATCGTTTAGGGATTCCTGACTCGCATTCCTGATTCGTTCGTCTTATTTCCACCATAGTTCTTCTGTTACAGTTTGAGAGTACGAGTGCCTACCGATTGAGCATTACAGGCGTGGAAGAGTAAAGATTGTTCATGGAGCCTTAAACGGCGTGAACGCTTATACACGACAGTATAGTATATGGTGTGTATAATGTACTGTAAAGTTGACTGGTTTTATGGTTTGAATCTGGGTATATTATGGAGTAAATATAGTTATGAATAAATGATTATGTGTGTGGGAAAAAGATATTTTGAAGAAACAGGTGGGTGTAACGATCCGTATGATGTAAAGTCTGTTGTATTTAGGGATTTTTATTTTACTAAAGCTGGTAAATATTTTGAAGAAACAGGTGGGTGTAACGTTCCGTATCATTCAGTATTTTAGGGTATTTTGATTCGTTTTGAGATTGGCAAGTGAAGTTGGAGACAGGTGGTTCCGTTTAGAGGTTCACAAATGTTTTTTATTGCAGATTAAATGCGTAAAAAGTTGGAGAACATGATTTTCATTCCGATTTTTGTTCCGGTTGTTTGGTTGTATGTTGGAGTTGTTTTTGTATACATGCCATTTTAGGTGTATGGTTATTATTGGTAAGTGTTTTAATTTAATCTGATTGTGCAAAAATTTTTATTTGCTGGTTTTTTAAGGTAATGAAAGGAAAGTAGGGGACAAGAATTTGGGTAAGTTATACAAAGATGGAAAAAAGAGGTGTTAAGCGAAAGTGTGAAAAGAGTAAAAAATGTACAAAACAGATAAAAGAACAAATATTTGGCAGTTCATATCTTAATAAAATTATGGTTAATTATTATCCTTGTGAATGTTGAGGAATATTGGTATGGGATGGAAATATTAAAAAAAATATCTTTTTACATCATGATGAATTGGAGATGCTACAAAGTGGAGATGCTATTTTATGTATTGATTGTTTTATTTTTAAAAAAAAGAAGGTTCCTTTTGTGCTTTTGATATGTAAGAGAATAATTTATTTTGTGGTAAAGTGGAAAAATCTAGACGGTGCGACTTTCTATCCACCATCAATTACACCAGGATTAGGCATGACTCTTGAAGAAATTACGGATGGAGGTAAATTAACATGATACTATAATTATATTAAAATATTAACTATTTATACTTTTTAAATTAAATAAAATTCTTTGAAGGACAAACCGAGAACGCGATTAACATCATGCAACTATTAAACAATCGAGTAGGATTTCGAAATCCCGTTCACTACCATTTGTTAAAAGTTTCCATTCAAGAATTTGATGCAGCTGCCATTGAAATTGAGAAGCAATGCATTAAATGCAGTAAAGCTGTAATTGTCGACCCACAGGACGGTAAAGATTTCTGCGGAAGCTGTCTGACTGAGCCGAAACCATCGGAAGGTACATTTGTCTAAAAGCCAATAACTGTAATTACGATAGTCATGAAGCATTAGGTCATAATTTATATTATAACTTCTTTTGTTATTATAGTTGCAAATTGTTGACGATGTGGTGTTGTGGATGTTGTGGGATATAATCAAATTCAACAGCAATTATTTGGACATTCAGCTGCTGCGCATCAAAGCGGATTGTTTGGGACTCACGATTTCTCAGCTATGAATAAGCAATATCGCGTCATACTGAAACAGGCTTATACTAATATTGAAGTTAGTAATAAAAACTTTTCATAAACATTACAAGATAATAACAGAAGTTATAAATTTTAATTTTTATAAAATATTTATATAGGGTCGGAGCAAAGAAACAATCAGCATACCATATATGGAAGAAAAAAAGCCAGGTATAACCTTTTTTTCACGAAAATAAATTGATTATTAATATTCAAAATTAATAATGAATTTTTATTTTGATAGACGAAATTCCAGGAAGTGCTATGGATATTGTTGTCACTGACGACAATACAACCGTATTGCAGCCTGAATCCAGCAAACGATCTGTTGGTAAGAAATTAAATATAATTATTTATTTTAAATTTATTTTTTCTAAATTTATTAATTTACCATTTATTTATTATACAGGAACTTCGAAGAAACGAAATAAATGAATGGAATTGCATGAACCGTTGGTTTTACTTTGAGATGGACCAATCGTTTTCATTTTTGTTGTTGTTATTTGAGTGATTCATCAATTTATTACCGCCATTGTACCATTTTTTCTAAGTGCATTATAGTTATCTGTGGTATTATTATCTGATAGTGGTGGTGCAGTATTATTATCTATGTAATGTAATTATGTTGAATTACTCGTTTAATGCTTGTAAAGTGTGTATCTTAGTATTTTTCTTATAGTGAAATACACTATTATTTTGTTATTTTGTATTGGTTTTGTAGTAATTAACTTTTAAAGTTACCAATAAATAAAGGACGAAATAAATAAGGCAATTTCTTTGTTTTCAAGTTGGAGTAGATCATAATATTTTATAAATATGCGACCTACTGAGTTCAAGTAACAACTTACTGGTAGCTGAGAACCTTAATAATTATCATGGTACCAGTACAAAATATGCATTAGAACAAAACGGTCTTAACGAAAAGAACAGTTGTATTATGCTATCCTGATCGGGAATCATACCGATTACAGAAACTGAAAGTCAGCTGATGTGTGGTAACAGTAAGTGAAAGTAAAATTAAAAATTAAGTTGTGTAAATTTTAAAATATGCGCCCGACTGCGCCCAACCAACAGTTACTGCCAGCTCGTAGGAGGGTGCAGTTAGAGTCAGGTGTGTGTTATAAGTATGCACCCAACTGCGCCCAACCAACACTTACTGCCAGCTCGTACGAGGGTGCAGTTAGAGTGAGGTGTGTGTTATAAGTATGCGCCCAACTGCGCCCAACCAACACTTACTGTCAGCTCGTAGGAGGTACGAGTAGCATTTAGAGTCAGGTGTGTGTTATAAGTATGCGCCCAACTGCGCCCAACCAACACTTACTGCCAGCTCGTAGGAGGTGGGATTTAGAGTCAGGTGTGTGTTATAAGTATGCGCCCAACTGCGCCCAACCAACACTTACTGCCAGCTCGTAGGAGGTGGGATTTAGAGTCAGGTGTATGTTATAAATATGCGCCCAACTGCGCCCAACCAACACTTACTGCCAGCTCGTAGGAGGGTGCAGTTAGAGTGAGGTGTGTGTTATAAGTATGCGCCCAACTGCGCCCAACCAACACTTACTGTCAGCTCGTAGGAGGTACGAGTAGCATTTAGAGTCAGGTGTGTGTTATAAGTATGCGCCCAACTGCGCCCAACCAACACTTACTGCCAGCTCGTAGGAGGTGGGATTTAGAGTCAGGTGTATGTTATAAATATGCGCCCAACTGCGCCCAACCGACATTTACAGCCTGCTCGTAGGCGGTAGTATTTAGAATAAAGTGTACGTTATAAATATGCGCACTTCCTTTATCTTCTATTGTTAGGATAGGAGATTTACTGTTGAAGCGCACTTCGTTTCCGGAAGTACGATTACGGACGGAAGAATACTAGCATGGTGCTGCTCAGCGTGGCTCTTCCAATTTGTTAGAACATGAAAGGTCATAACGTTTACTAATTGTTTACTAATTTGTGACTAATTTTTGGAAATCGAACCGTCAGGATTTCTGGAATACGACAGGTTGGCTTTTTACAGTTTAAACTTTAAATAAGTCTCTTTCTCATACTGTAAGAAAAATCTTAAAAGTAAGTATCTTTCGACCGGACAGGACTACGTCCGCGCTTTTGTACGACGTCCTTACTCATTATTGGCAGGAATGACTTAATAACAGCGGTTTGAACAGAAATTGTTAAGCGATCCGAAATTGTCAGTTCCCCAACCAAGTTCTAATGTAAAACCCACTGTACAATAATGGCCACTGGCCCACTTGTAACTTATCACTTGCGTTTACGAAATACCAACAAATAAGGAAAAAAATTTAAGTAGCGGAATAAAAACAACTTTTGTTGTCAAATGTCAATGTTAACAGATATGAGTACGCAGGGACTACACTCGGGCTGTGCAGTGTGCAAGTAAATTTACGCAACGAGTGCGCCACAAGCGGACCCATTTCCGCCCCGGCGGTGCTTGTGACCAGGTTTATTTCTTTTCACATATCATTTTCTTTTACGGCGTTATTCCTGTTGTATCGCCTGCCACTTGGCCGCCTCCCCCGAGGTGGCCGCCCGTTAGGTGTTATTCAAAACATCTTCTGCTCCGGGGATTTCCAAATTTTTGCTTCCTAAATGTCCGATCGTTTAAACAGCTGAAAAGCCAACCGAAAAAATACGAGGTACGTATTACTTGAATTTTATCAGAACCATGTTTTCTCAGCTTGACCACAACACCGAACACGCAAAAGCCGGAAGTAGCAGTAACGAGCATCTTTAACCGTAGAAAATACAACCCACCATATCCATCCACAAAACGATTTTCTAATATTTAACAAAACAATCTTCATTATTATTCAACAATCAACGTTTATGCCATTTTCAGTTTTTTCTTTTGAACGGTTTTTTCACTGTCCGAGCCACCCGATTCCGATTCTTCGCCTTCCATTTCCCTTTCCCTCAGGCGATCAACGGTGTACTGTGCATCGCCCAGTGCACTATGCGTGCCGTCCCTTTCTTTAGCAGGATCACGAGCAGCACCATATTCATGGAGCGGCAAATGTTGCAACCACGACAGCATACTGCAAATTCGCGAGAGAATGCAAATTAACTAACTTGGTTGTGCGAGAAATTTTCACAGGAAAGGAGAACACTATGTAATTGTTGCAGACTTGCAGCTAATCGTAGGATAATGGCTAACGGCAGGGATCGCTACCACGTGCAAAATGTCAGCTCTCTCGCATCCAGAGCTTTACGCGGTGAAATAAAGGCTCAAATGCAGGGGTGTAAAAAAATAAATTTTTGGGAAGTATGATTATCGGCTACGGCTCGTTATTTAATGACTAACAACAAACACTTAATTATAATAATACAATGTACGATCGATCAGTCAGCTAATTATGTAAAATGAAAAAAAAATTGTAGAATTATTAATGCGTATCTCAAGGTAACACAGTGATTACTATTAATGCTTCGCATTCTACAATTCCAGTTGTCCCCGTATAACTCCCACCTTTTCTCGTCCTTTTCGCCCCGAATGATAGTAGGAAAAATGTGTTCCTCTTTGAACTGCGCTATGGTCTCTTTGCATTCTGGCCATAATAAAGCCTCATGGCATCCGTCTTTGCCAACTTTTCTATTGTACATATCAAAATGGCACTGGTCCAGCATCAATCCCAGCCCAGGAGCTCGTGGAATATTCGCCTATTAATGCATAGACGCAAATGTAAATGCTCAGTTTTATGTGTACGGCAAGTGGAAACAGCGACACGAGTACCAAAACCGTAAGTAATACTATTTAAACTTTAAACTTACCATTAATGCTACTAAATTTTAAGCTAAACACTCGCAACGAAATATTGTGGAACTTCGAACTGCTGGTACATATCCAGTTAAGTGCAAACAATGAAATGCAGTGTAAAATACCTTGACTGGTCCGTATACAGTATCAAAAATCTTTTCCTCTACATGGCCTCTCATCACAGCGATAACCAGACCAATCATCTTCCGAATCTGGTGCATCATAAAACTCTGCCCGTTAACACTGATTGTGGCAAATTCGATATCCTCCCGGACAAAAGGGTCGGAACACTGAACAATAGCGTGCACAATTTAGGTATTAGCAAAGGCAACCACAAAAAGTAAACGCAATCAACGCAAAGATCTATCGCAGAACTGTAATTGTAAAGTAAGATCATAATATAACCAAACAAAAGAATGTAATAATATTATGGTAAAACTTTGAGTGTTATAATTTCTTATTAGACAATTACAACGCGACAATGGAAGATCCTAAATACGTACTTCTTTATAAGTCTTTAACAATGCGAGCGACTTACGCTGATTTCTCGTACAAAACGTTTTGCAGAATCCTGCCAAGCTTTTCTAAAATAAAATAAGCAAATGGTACCACCTTCATTGCGACCAAAAAATATTATCCAGGGGGAAAAGAAGACTGTCACTTACACTCCAGTGGTAAAATTATGAAAATTATTGCTTCCGAGATAGCGTTTAAGGAGCCGATTGACGGTCTGGATTTTTTCCGGTTCGATGCGGTAGTCATATGAGACGACGGTTTCAATGGGGGCAAACGCCATTGTCGGCACTCGGCAGCAAATACGTGTACGTGCGCGATGAGCACCAGTTCTTACAGTTGGAACTTCTAGTTGCGCGCTTCAGTCCTGCACGAAAAAAAGCTATTCTTCAGTACCAATACTTGTACCACATAAACATTTTGAAAACACGGAACTGTATAATGTTGTACAACAATTAAGAAGCGAATGCAGTACAGTTAGGAGGACAATCTCAACATTAGTAAGTAGCTGCAAAACGCAGTCCTTACCGAACAATCTAATAACGGGTGGGAGCTCAGCATTGACTTGGTCGACAACGGCTTGAGAGGGATCAGCTGAAAAACAATTCGAAATTTCGCTCCAGACTTCAAAATGCACATGCAACACTACGCGTAAAAATTAATTAAATCTTTCCACTCACCCAAAGGTATGGAGATCACTTGTCCGGCAGCGCTCACACCTTTATCGGTGCGCGCGGTGCGCTGGAAACCCAGCACCTGCATGTCGTCCCGCCAATTCTCCGGTATAAGCTTCAGCTTGGCCATGGCGCTCAGTAAAGCGTTCTCTATCGTTTCTACTTCGGGGTTGCTAAAAACAGATTTCAGAATGAGTAAACAGAACAAGGAAGCCATTAATTACAGCACAATATTAAAAGCAGTAGCCTGATTCCGGCGCAGCATCCGATAACAAACAAACCAATTATCCGTATTTGTTTTACATAAAATAGCTGTAAACAAAATTCGAAGTTCATATGTAACATTAAAAAACGCAGAAAAAGAATATCTGTGATGCTCCAAACTGCCAATGGCAAAAGCTCTCAACAGGCTAGCTCAAAGATAAAAGATATATTTCTACTCATCAAGTAGGAATTTATGATTCAATTATGATCCGCCTGTTCCATCATACTACGATATCTCTTTGCGGACAGTTAACAATCGTAAGCTGGTGCAGCTATTTTTTATGCAGTTCGACTAAACCACTATTTTACTTTTTTTTGTGAGTTATTTTATAATTTCCGCCGAAATGAGATATTACGGTAGCTCGAATTCTTACCACTGCATTCCACTAAATCCATGTCCCGAGTATCCCAACAATATCGCGCACTTTTTCAACTTCACTCTCACGTCTTTCCTCTGAAAAATTCCATTGCAAGTTGAATGCAACCCTGAGTGGTAAAGCAGAAAGAGTAGCGGAAGCCCACCTCGCGATGCACAAATCCAGTATCTTCTGGCGCGACTTTGGGCAGTGCATCTAGACCGTCAGAATCACTGGCCAGGATAGCTGGTTCCTTACTGAGGTTCTCACTGGGTTCTGGTCCCTCCACATCAGTCGCCACTGCTTCCGGAACAACAACCGCCATAGGAACGGAGAACTTGGACACTGCAGAGTGGAATACGCGTAATCCGAGTGCTGCAGGTCGGGGGAACTGCGTGCGCTTGGGTTCCGTGCAGATCGTGTTTAGCACAAGGGAAAGAAGACGGTGCCGACCAGATAACATGAAGAGGCGAGCGACATGCGCTGACTAACTGATGTGGGTTTCAAGTTTTAGCAACCGAATAAAATCAGCTCAACCAAGTACAAAGATCAGTACACGAAATAAAAACAATTTCCACGCCAGGCAAACTTTTAACAATCGTATTCCTGTTTTGGATCATCCAGCAAGCAGAAAACGAAAATATTCACTCACTAAAATCTAAAAAGGAACCTGCAGGCTGCAGGCCTTCAGCTACCGAACAACAACTGATTTTGAATTTCTAAATAAATGCTGGGAGTTGTCCAACTGCCGACCGCGGAAGTGAAGCTATAAAGTTTTCATACTGTAGTAACTGTAATGTAGTTTATAATTTATTGCTGCATTTTAGCCATTTATAGCGTAAATTTAGAATATGGAATACTCTTACCGAGCTTTCTAAAACAGCTTTAAAAGGTTAAATAAAACTTACATTCAGACCGAAGATCGACTTTAGCCTATTCCATAATTCCCTAATATATTGAACGGAACATAAACTACATAGGTACTATCAAGTATTATTCGTGACTATCAATTTTGAGCAAAACCGAAGAATATACCGTACAAAAATCATCCCCGGGTTAATTCAGAAGGAAAAGGAGTAAATCTCCATTCAGGAATGCTATTTTTAGGCGGTGTTACTTACTGGAGCCACCATTTCTCGAAGCGCCTCCACAACTGCTACATGTATTTTGTATTATGCCGTTTTCACTAGGGTAGGCCATAATTGTATAAGTGAGAACTGTTGACTAGTGCAGCGAGCTTTTGTTTCTTCTGTATGTACACGTGTCCTTCGTTTAGTTTTTTATTGTTTAAAAAGAATACACATATTTCCTGTCATACACCTATTTAATATTTCCCATGCCGGAATTGTTGTAGGATAAGCAGCAAAGTAAAGGTGAGATTGCCCATTGTATTAAGTCTTGCAGACTTGCGGTATAAAAGTTACAACTTCTTAAGCACACTGTTTTCACGGACGGTTTAAAGACTTGACACAATCTGTGAATCCCGGTCGCGATTGGTACGGGAAACTTAACGAACGGCGCAGACATTTCATCCGTTCATTGTACTCAATGTATACCGGATCATTTAGGGACTCGGGCCAAAAAAATTGATCAGTTGACTTTTTATCGTAATGCATCATGACTACATTCAGGTGTTTCTTTGTATCCAGGCAGACTCGGTGGTAGCAACCCGATGGAATGACATAAACATCGCCTGCAAATATTCACTGTCTTGAAAAAATCAAAACCCATCATAAAAAAGCAAATAACAACCAATTAATATATTATAATTAAGAAATATGCTAATCAGATCGTAAAAATATGCCACATTAGGGCGATTTATCAAGGAAAAAGCCTTTCAGTTGTAGTGCACTAGCCTTTCTCTTTAATGCGTTGAAAAAGTTTTCAGAACATTAATTAAACGAACTTAATTAATTAAAACGAACGTTATTCAGTAACCGATTTGCGATTTTGCAGTTCTAGCTACATGTGACTAGGTACGCGGTAGGTTGTTGACTGCTGTTAAATAGTTCAGTATCAAATTAAAGTAGTGGCTCCGTATCTTTCAAAAATCGTTGTAATAACTTTAAAAAAAATGCCGTATGATTTTGCTCTTTCTGTCAAAACTTGGAAAACGAATAAGCTTTTATGGAAAAATGCATGACCTTTGCTTATGGGGCGACGAATCCAACGTCCGTTCAAATCCATAACATCATAGTAGCCACTTCCTTCTGTCACGACTCGCATTACTTCTCCCACGTGGAAATGATGATTAAAGAATTTATCAGCCTGTATGGAAAAAACCAGATACATTTACCGTGAGTTTTTGGTATTGCAACTTAACAAGCAGCACTATGTACTATTATGTAATCTATGTATCGTAGAATAACAGGAAATTAAAGTGAGGAAACTGACTATATTTTAAGTATGTGTGATATACATATATACAAATGCATCATATGTAACTAATGTAAGTATTAGTATAATGGATAGATGCCTGATTACCGGCTACTCTAAACTTAAAAATAATAACACCTCCATTACTATGCTGCATTTGTAGACATCTGGGCATTAACAACCTTTCTCGATCCTGGAAGTGTACAATACAGTTATGTACAATATATCAGTACGATAGCGAGTCATTAAAGTTAAAAAATATAATACTGTTAAGTTGAATAAGAAATCGTTGGTGCTTCCAATAAAAAAGATAATCCTTGATCGAAGTTGTTAAATTCTTTGTGTATTGTACATGGTAAATCATGTATATGAATTACAAAGGTAAGTATGTACGGTACGTAGCGTTCCAAGGTGAAATTTATCTTTTCTCGAAAAAAGGATAGAAGTTATAATAAAATGTATTGCATTGCAAACCTTTTCGTGGACCGCTTGTTCATCCTTTTCTTTACTGATGTCGCATTCCACATGTTTAGAAAGCGGCATATTGCGAACGGCTCTGGCTCGTTTTTCCCATTCCACCGGGTCATCTTTACTGCCTAGGTCAATCTATATAAAATGTATGTTATTAGATAATTGTAGCTAATGAATATTCAAATATTTTACACTTGGGCAAAAGATTTCTAATCTACAAATCTTTTCAAACCAAATGTCACAGCAGTAAAACTATGCTCGGGCACAAAAAATTATTACGAAAATTATGCGATAGCGTAACGGGCAATACCAGCAGACGTAGTGCTACTCTAGTTTCTCAAGCAAATATCGATTAATACCGATAGTTCAAAACAACCGAAATAAATATTTTACCCACGACAAGATGTTTTCCGTTTCCAAATAAATTTGCTCATCGGTTAAATATTCCGGAGGATCGGTTTTGTTCTCTTCATATCGATTCAGAATGGTATCCCGTAAATACCAGCCAGTTTTCGCATGCGGTTTATTTCCGTTACTCTGTTGGCACTTTGCGGGAAGTTTTTCGTTGGTAAGTTGCTGTGACATATTTGACCGTGCAAGCGCAAATACGTATACTTCGAAGTACTGCATGAAAGTACTTACGTTAATCAGAGCATTATTTTACAATGTTAACTGTAAGTCATGGACTAAATTTTACATTACTGAAATTGCACTATAAGAAGAGCTAAAAAGTTGCTATAACTTGTTACAAATTTTTGCAGTCGAAGTTAACTAAATAGCCTGAAGGCGCTTTTCCAGTCACTAAATTATGGGGTCACTAGTATATGTGTTGCAATATGACACTAAATGGTATGAAACAATACAATTTTTGTATCGAAGTGCTTTTGTGATTACAACTGTGTTTGTTACTCAAAGTCGCATGCCTGGGCTGTAAACTGACCGCTGCAGGCAATGCATTTCAAAAATTTTAAACTCGTCATGACAAAGCATGCGCGCGTACAGCAATATAACTGTAAGTAGTATGGCTGCTGTAAGTACATTACTTAGTAATTTTTAAATTGTAGCAATCGGCTATCCGCAAAAAAATTATTGTTAATTATTGTACAAAAATAACATCGATTAATAAAGACCGTAGGGGCATTTATGCCTATAATTAGTCGTACAAAGATTATATTACAAAATTTTACATTAATTTTACCACTTTTCAAAAGATCGAAATATGGTAATCATATATTTACGTAACTCCTGTGCAGCAACTTTGAAGGTTTCGAAACTTTGAAGGTATATTTGGCCACGAGCTCTCACTAGTTAAATTCTGATTTTCGATTTATACTACTACATTGTGAAAACATAAAAAATAAGTGCTACGTACAGTTTCCTGTGTATTTGGATACTGTGCGTGAATTACCGCACACAATAATAATGTTAGCTAGTTCTAACTGTTTAATATTATTTTGGGTCTTATTGAAGCAATGTACTTATATGCCAAACTGCCAATTTATTAACATACTCTGTAGTTTAATTTGTAAGAAGAACTGAATAACACGATGGGAGAATACGAGCTTTTGCACTCAATAATATTTTCAATTGCGGGTGAAAAATGCTGCTTAGACAGTAGTATAATGTGTTGTACTGTGTAAAAATGGATCGTGAATTGTGGACTGTTTACGTGTACTTGTACTAGTATATTTATACTATACTATATAGATATCAGTTTTAAATCGTCCTGGAAGCGTTTTTTGGCCGTTTGCTACACGGTCAGCTTATTGGGCATAAGTTAATTACAGAAAGACAAAATTTAATGTTTAGTTGTCGTTCAGGACGCTCGTGTTAAAGCATAAGCACAGAATTTATGGTAGACATAATACTGTGATATTTCAAAATAAATAAAATTTACAATATGCACCTACATACTTATGTATTAACACTGCAGTTTGCACTACCCTCATATTAGCTTAAAACCATATTAAACGCTTAGCGTTGCAGCGATTGCTGTCATATCTCATACGTAAGTAATGTAATTTTATTTTTTACTTTCTACGAGTAGTACTACAATCAGTACAATGTATACAGTAATGTAAAAGCCGTTGCGCGAATGCGGGAGACATACTTTGTATTAATTATAAATTACTGCAAATCACTGATTGATAAAAATCATATAAATATGGTTACAAAATTGATCACTGTTGACAAACTGAATTACAATAAAAACCCGTGATTACACTGACAAATCATTATAGCATTTCGGTTATAGCGAAACTTTTTAGATCTATATACTCGTGTTATTAGCAGCTGTTATTTTTTTTCGTAATTCCAATGCTGTTTGTTAAGTTTCGAATCAGACGAGCCTGCATTCCAATGTGCTGCTTGACTTCCGCCATCCTTGTACGTCTTGGGGAGGTCGTCACGAAAGCTGATCTTCTCATTTTCACGGTAGTAAAATCATATTGCCGCAGTGGCTTTCCGGTGTCCTTGTCTTTCACGGTACTTTGCCGATCTGGGGATTCACAACGCGGAATACCGTTAAATTCCTTGGCCTTCCTAAAAGCTTCACGCCGCGTCGGACTGTACGTATCGTGGCGTCCACGGGAATCTTTTTCCGCATCGGAATTTGCCGATCTGGATTGGCGCTGCATTCTGTCGCTTTTATTACATACGAACGGGAAGAAGTGGTGAACATAAAAAGGAATCACTAAATAACCGCGTTAAAAAGTAGCGATATTTCGGTCTTAAAGTAGTATTCTGGCATCGCATCCGTTTGGCCTGGATACAAAGTATGATGTAGGCATTCTGTTGGTACTTTGGTAGCGCATCATAAATGTTGACGATGTATCTGTACTGACTGTACATAGCAAATTATGCTGTCTTATACGACAGTAATGTAAGTTTTTGATACATCCGAGTGCAGTTGTTATGCGTTATACTCGTATCTATATTCTTTGTGAATCTTGCAATTGGGCGGTAAGCGCGCAAGCTTAACCATCATGCATTTACAAAATAATGTGAGCACTCCCAGCGGCAACGGAAATAACCCTTTAACCAGTGTTACTGCTGCGGGATTTTGCAGCGAAAATACAGCAACAGCTATACCTTTGGTATTACCTGCCGCATTGAAACGCTCTTTTATTTTGTGTTCTGTCTTGTTGCGAATACGAAATATGCATATACTGTAAATGTAAGCTAAAGCGTTGTCCTAAGGAAATTATGTTTATTAACTGGCCCGCGCGTTGCATACTGCATGTGCCTGGTTTTTACATGTAAGTACTGTACAGTGTACTCTACACTCAGTCTACAGTATATCGTGATCGGAGGACACTAACATCATATCATGGGTATTATCGGAACAGCTGCCGTAGTATTCCTGACCATTATTGTTTTGGCGCTTTCTATTATTCTCATCGCCCCGGATGGCGTGTATGATCTCGTTAATCCCTTGCCGCCGGTAGAGAAATCATTTCCTTTTAAGCCAGCATTCTGGAGGATTGCTGGTCGCGATGAAGAACCAGATAACGAAATTTATCCTTTCAAAATTAATATTCCGGAGGAAGACCTTACGGATCTGCAGCTTCGGCTAAATCGCAGCAGATTTGTTGCGCCGATCGTAGGAGTGAAATTCACGTACGGATTCAATCCCACTGTACTGCGCAAAGTAAGCAATTTACAATAATTATGTACCTTTATACAGTATATATATATATGGATCGCATACATTTTTTTAGTATATATATGAACCGCTTAATTAGCCAAAATGAGGAATACCCGGCTTTTTGCCATAATTCGAATAACAATTATGAAGTACTCATTTGTAGTGCGTTTAAGGTTTATAATAAAATTATACCGATACAGATAGTCGATTACTGGAAAAGCGAATACAACTGGAAAAAGCACGAAGCGTCACTGAATGAATTTCCGCATTACAAGACAAAAATCGAAGGTCTGAATATCCATTATGTCCACGCCAAACCAAGAATACTGGAAAAAAATACGAAAATTTATCCTGTCATAATGCTGCACGGCTGGCCCGGTTCGTTTTTCGAATTCTGGAAAGTGTTTCCGGAACTGCTGAAGCCACGAAAACTGCCCAGTGGCCGATCAGTGGCATGCGAAGTTATTGTGCCTTCTTTACCCGGTTTCGGATTCTCGGACGCGTCTGAAATTCCAGGTACAATTTCTTTTAAACGATTAGATGCTTTTACTTTTAAAACTGGAAAAACATTGTGAAAAAAAATTTTGTAACTTTCTAAAGACGTTAATACCGTGATACGTAAAACTAATTTGTCCAAATCTAGCGCCGCGCCTCCATTAGCCGTTATACTACACTTCGTCTACGAACGATTACATATGAAGTGCATGTACAGTATGCCAAATTTTAAACGTCGATGGAAATGTTCGCAGATCAGAAAAAAAACGAAATCATAAACTCTTCGATCAGCCGTCGCACCATTTTTTATGCATATTGATCAATAAAGCAGAATCGTAATAGTAGCACAATTTTTGAAAAAAATCTAACATGTTCATTTCTATTCATCAAATGGTTTTTGTTTTGTATTAGGAATGACGATGGCAGATATGTCACGAATATTTGCAAAACTGATGGAGAGACTCGGTTTTAAGAAATATTTTGTTCACGGTCTTGACTGGGGGGTCGCCATTGGCCGATTCCAGTCAATTATGTATCCCAAGAAGTAAGTAAAATCTGTAGATCGACACACCGTTTATTGAAATTGTCACATTGAGCGTTTTGTTTCTTAGTGTTCTTGGACTGTCAGTGACCATCTATTTACTTCTGCCCAATGCGCCTTTTTTTCTGAAAAGTGCTTTGGGAATGCTGGCTCCTTCGCTGGTCGTCAGTCCCGGCGAAGAACGGAAACTTATCTTCAAACACATCATGTGGCAGTTAGGCGATTCCGGTTTTGCTTATATACATGGCACCAAGCCGGATTCCGTTAGTACGGCTGAGAATTCAGAATACTATAAAAATTTATTATTTTTCGCAAAATATTTAATAAACTGCGTAAATTTTGTACATAGTAATTATTTTGCGCTGTTGGAGAATCTTAAAGGCTTGGTCACCAATCACCGTAAAATGTTGTGATCATGTATACATAAATACATATCAAAGAATCGGTTATTTTATGATTAGCGGCTGCTATGTCGGATTCACCGGCCGGTCTGGCTGCCTGGATCATGGACAAACAAGTATCCCAAACTCGACATTATGAAAACATCTACAAAGACGATGGAGGTCTGCATGAGTACTTCGATCTCAATGATCTTTTGACCAATGTCATGTTGTACTGGTGGACTAATACCATTGGTACTTCCGCAAGAATATACAAGGAAAACTGTGGATATTTTGGATGCGAGCCGGCCGATCAGATACGCTATCGGTAAGTTCGCGTGAACGTAAGGTTATGGCTGTGCACAAAGTTCCATCTGCCTGAATACAGAATATGTCAAAAATCAATGTGCTTTAAATTTAGGTATATTGTTCCAGTACCAGCTGTTTTAACGGATTTTCGCGACGAAGCTCCCGGTATGTACCGAAGACTGACAACACCTTTGCCAGCTATACTCATAGTATAAATTTAACTCGCGTTATAAGTTATTACCCGAAATAAGCCTTATTATGCGAAATATACGACTCGCAATGAATAATAAATTTACAAAATAAATATGCAATGGTGCAGTTTTCAGGGCAAAGTCCCGGCAAAATTGCGAATTTAATGATCTGTCAAATTGGACCATCTCAACAGAAAGATAAGAAAAGTTTTCGTAAAACTACGTATAAATAAGTATCGAAAATCAAGTAGGCCAACGCTAGCTTTCAAATTAAATAATTCTTTGCTTTATATAGTGGCCAAATTACAAAAAGTAAATACTGCATGGTACTTTCGCAGGCATCCAACCGCCGGACGATTTCGCAAAACGAATCTTTCCTAAAGCAGTTTCGTTTGCTAAACATTCTGGCGGGCATTTTATGGGCCTGGAAAACCCAAAGGAGCTTTCCGAAGATATCTGGCTGCTCGTCACACACGTAGCCTCTGCTCTTCTAAAACAATGATGAAGATGAAATGAACATCTACAATTGACCTTTCAGGGCGAACCAATTGAAAGCCCGCACTAATTTCCGTAATTTGCCCGGCGTTGATCTGGATCACCGGGAAGAGAGTTTTGACAGTGATTGTGATGCAGTTTATGTGAGGAATCGCAAATTAAATGTATCTCAAAACTATTATAGTGCGATTGCGAACCGCGTTTGGGCTGCCTCAAATTTCCGTTCTTGTACGTGATATCTGGTTGATAATAAATCTCCAACTGCAATGAAAGATTGCGATAAGAAGTTTGTTGCTTCCAAATGCACCCGAATTTATCGTCTTATTTTGCATGACACGTTCAAAACCAGCGTTGCATGAGTAAATGTACGCGAAGAAGGCAGTTATAATTAAGACTTACTTTTATTTCTAAATGTACCGGCTTAATTCATATGCGGATCAAACTTAAGAACATTCAATTCGATTCTAACATACGAGTAGTTGAGCGCATATGCTGCGTACATTTAACACAATTAGCAAGCGAAATTGGTAAAATCATCTGGAAGAAGAAAGGAAAAAAATGTTATAATGTATCATAATGCTGTCCATGTTTAGCGAAACAACAGAACTGCAACGTTATATTTTATGGCCGGTTCAGTGTTTTATCACAGTCAACGGATCCCGGGCGCGATTTATATTGGAAGTTGAGGGAACGGCGTAGACACTTCATCCGTTCAATGTACTGCACATGCATTGGATCAGTTTCGGACTCCGGCCAGAACTTCTGCTCGAGACCTTTCTTATCATAGTGCAGCATAACGGCTTTCATCTTCTTCTTCGTATCCAAACAGACACGATGGTAGCATCCTGATGAAATGATGTAGATATCTCCTATACGCATAAATTACAAATTAGCCTCAATAATGAATTGATAACATATGTAGCCCGTGGGAAGTGGAAGTGACCTTTGCTTAAGGGGCGACGAATCCAGCGATTATTCAGGTCTTTGACGTCAAAGTAGCCGCTTCCTTCCGTCACAACACGCATTACTTCGCCAGGATGAAAATGATGAGCAAAGAATTTGTCGGCCTAGTGCGAAAGAAAATACATCTTACGGCTGATTTCGATGCCCGATAGACGTATAGGTGATGCCCGATAGACGAAAAGGTATAGGTGATCATACCTTTTCGTCCAATGCTTTCTCATCCTTTTCTTTATCGATATCGCATTCCACTTCAACGGAAACTGGCATATTCCGAACCGCTCGGATGCGCTTCTCGATTTCGGTTTTGTCATCACTGTTGCCCAAATCAACCTGAATGTAAATGAAGAGTTAGTTTTTATTTTTCATGAAGTTACAACATACCTAAACCGTTCGAAGGCATTTGCACTGCCACAAAAACCGGCAAATAAATCTAGACAAAAATTTATTACAAAACGGCAGTGATCTTGGTTTTGTATGCGAGACGTAATTATCATCACGGATTTAATATTAAATAATTTCTGTTTAAACGTTTAACGAATATGATGCCACGAAAACAATTACCATTTCCTGAAATATTATTTCGAAATGGCTCGAATTTATAATTTACATCAAGTCAGCAGCGAATTATGTAAAGAGATATACGAACCCAGCGTACAACGTACCCACGAAATGATGGCTTCCGTTTCCAAATAGATCTGCTCATCGGTGAGATATTCCGGAGGCTCGGTTTTATTCTCTTCGTAGCGGTTCACAATGGTATCACGCAGATACCATCCGTTTTTTGGATTCGGCTTACCGAAATGGTTGCACTTATCATCGCACTGTTTTTTCGTACATTCGGATGTTTTATCCGCCATGTTGACTGATATCCCGTTGTACACAAAATGTCTCACACAAAAGCAACAAATGTATCAAAATTTCATAAATAAAACGTCTGTACGCATGCTCCGCTCTTTATAATTTCTTGTGCGGGAAAAACAGCTGCAGAACGAAAACAAGCTAATGCCTTAAGCTGATGTTCATCATTTGATAATTACGCTTTCAAAAGGTATACGATGTACTCGTACGTACATACATCAAATCTGAATCTACTACTTTACATTACCGCTGGCGCTATCGTAGTAAAAACTGCAGTATGCGGACAGTTATGCCTTAAGCTGTCGGTCTTAAAAACTTTTGCTCTATAAAATAATGTGCATTCACCGAAGCTGGCTTTTCCATCGGAAACGCGGAAGATCACAGCAGGCACCGGCGAATAGCGATAACGCTAGCGAGTTTTGGATTGTGTGCCTTCGAATGGTAAAAGCAGTACTTGCATTCAATCTATGCAAGTACCGCACGTGCTTGTACAGTGTACAAACGAGAAGGAAAATCCCCAATTATAAGTTCAGTCAACTTCCGGTCCCCGCGCTGCTGTTTGCTAAATTACACGTTACTGTTAAATAGTAACGTAGGTCGTAGTCTAGTAACTTTACTATACTAGAACATTAACCAGCTGGCAAATGGTATTTTACTATTATTCTCCGCGATACTATGTATTCGTTTGTTTATATTTCCGCTGGCTTACCAGTAATTACTAAACAAACTAATCAACGCAAGATTGCAAGAGTAATCTAATAAATTAGTGAATTAAACATAAATCGGCTGATTTCGCGACAGAGCTATTTCTGCACTTACAAGGTGTTCCAATCAAAATTTAAATTAACTTCAAGTTATCTTTAATGTTACAAAAATTACACTGGTATAATTAATACAGTACTTATACTTGTACATGATATAGATATATGCGATATACGTAGTAAAGTTATGTTGTTATACTTTTTGACTACCCATGCCAGTAGACGTTTTCGACTTGAGCTGACAAGCATATATATATTTGCACTTCGGTAGCGACGTAATTTGACAAACACAACCTTCAGTGGCTGACACGTTTTTATCATAGTCGCACATTTAAATAAATGATTGCATTCAATAATGCCCTTCTGCCCCATTGTAAAGTCGTACAGTAAATGGTACCTCACAACAGAATATGATATGGGCAATGTCACACATTTCCGGTGATACCTTCCTGTGGACAGGAATTGTATTTTAATGTAGTATGAGCATGGCACTTTCTTTTTCAAAAATAACCATGCCAATCCCAAAAGGGTATTTGCTGTGTATCATCGCTGCACTCTATATACACAGTACAACTACAGATAAAACAAAAATACAGATACTACAAAAATTTTGATTAGTGACGTGCCATTTTCGAAAGTGATGATAATGATGTAACCACTTCCTTACGTCGCTTATGTTTGCCAACAGGCCTAGGATGATAGTTTTACCACCCGGATTTCACTTTTTTTTGCTGTATAATTCTGTACACCATTGGTTCGATCATTGCGGGGTCAACATTTCGGCGTGCCCGGTGCCCGTAAGACGCCGACAGGATGGGTGTTGTTTTGTCCTTTGCTTTGTATGTATTGCATATCTCTGTTGACTATGTCTTCCTCGAGACACGCATACTGACGTCTTAAATGCGCTTGGATAGAAAATAAATTTAAGGTTTTATTTGGATAGTTTTAATTTGTACGATCTGCTCTGAGTTGCGTCAAACTTAAGCAACACCCGCCCTGCCAGATTTTTGTGGGCATGCTAGAGATGTCGAAACCATATGAAAACAGTTTTTTTCGGAATAGAACCGGGAATGCGTTATTGACTCTGCTTATCGTTTATAGATACACAGTGAAACAGTGTGCCGTGTATGCATCGCACATAATTTTTTTTCCCGGATGTTATTTATTATCGTAAGTATATTTTAAAACCATATACAGTAATTAGATTTCGCTGTTATTGCATTAGTCGATACATGTATATTGATTAGTGTAGAAAACGGCCGGCTACTGCTTTTCATATAATGACGCAGTTGTTCTTGAATGCATTGACGTTCAGCTTGATGCCTATCCAGAAATCCGTACAAGAGACAGGCAGTGAACCACTTATTCATGTTAAATTCCTTTGACATTTATGACTTCTTTTTTTTGTAATTTCATGTAATATCTGGGTTCAATATTAATACACACCAGCCTGGGATCGGGCACGGCATGTGAACGTTTGAATGGATAATGGATTTGATTCCCAATCGTTCTCGGGAGTAATGGGGGTATGGGACACAGAAAAGCATACCGGTACACTGCTGGGATGTGAGCGATGGTAAGAGAAACGAGTGGGCGTGAAATACCGGTGAAAAAAATGCTAAATTAGGATAATCGAATATTGGTGTAAAAGGGCTATGATGACTTTATATGTAATTCTTATTATCAATCGGTCTATATTTGGTGATGATCTTGCTAACATTTATATGATTTATTGGATGTGCGGAGATTCTGCATATAGCGCATCACTGCATTATCATGTCCTTAAGTTTTCTGTAAATGCTTGCCGTTTTGTAATACAATTGTATTTTATTTTTAAACAGCAAATAGTTACATGCTTGGATGTCAGTAAAAGTTTTCTTCTTATTTTTCCGACCGACAGCGGCGATGCTCGTATATGTTCTGTTTGTCAGACGGTCGAAAAATACCGGAAGTGATTTTATTAAATGCGTCCAAGAATTCGGAAATATTCTGTCAATCAGTGCTTGTTACACTGGTTTTATTAATTCGGATTTACATTCACTTGGATAACCTGCCTGGGATAATCGGATAATTATAATTATGTCTTCCGGTTGTTCCACAAATTGAATCACCCTCGATAAAAACATGTGCCACGACAAATGTCGGGAGAAAATTTGCTCATTTTGACCCGGTGATAAAATATTCTCCAATACTGCGTTATAAAATTAAAGCAGTTACAGTTCAACAATTTAATTGTGCTGCCATCTTCACGCGCTTATGCAAACAGAAATGCGTGTGCAGAAAACGATGGCTCCGTTTCTATCGGAATGGTTCCGTATTTGTTCCGTTGTTTTCAGTTGATCAGTACATTATGTGGTCGATAATAATTACTCCCTAACCAGATTTACTCCCTAACCAGCGTGTAATCTGTTTACCGTACTTTTGCATTTAGAACCTCTTCCAAAGTTTTCCTGGTTCGATGCCTTCTGTGCATTTGTGCATCGAGGAAGCAATAACTGTGTTATAACCTGCTAATTTAATTCTGCTGGTATAATTCACATTCCGCTTCGGCACAATGCGCCTGCTTCGGAATCCGTCCGATCATTTGTTCGGTATCACCGCACAAGATTCGCCTATATTTGTGAAGCTGCAGTGGATGTTCAGGAGATTATCCGCATTTTGTTTATGTTTATTCAGTGCATTTTACGTTGTTCATCATATATGTGAACGGCCGCATATACGCAGCAATGGAGCTGTTGGTCAGCCGGTATAAGGTCATCGGGTTCGTCCTTCTCGGTGCAGTAATGTATCACGTTTGTCAGGGTCACTTAAGGGTCATTTCCTTAAGTGCTAATGGTGCACGGGACGTCGGCACAAAACCGGTGGTGTCGACCATTCGAGCGGCATTGGAAGACCTAAGCCAGAAATACCCTTTGTTGTACAAGGACTTCACCTATCACATGGTCGACCTGAACACAAGCGTTATTTGTGAGTCACAAAATAAGGAAAACGATGAGACTCTGCCAAAACTTGCTGAACTTTATGGAAACGGAACTTTGGATGAAAAGCGAAAAGAACCTACCATAGTTCTGTCCACGGGTAAGGCAAAAATCTTTAATTGTAACTGTCCGCGCAGCCACCCGCTGAAATGATCACGTTCACGTGATGGTCCTTCGGCGAAGCAGAGAACGAAATAAGCATCGATCTAACGAACTATATGCCGGTTTAGCAGAATAAATCATAATGTCTTCTATTTTCCAGCGTGTCCCGAAACAATGTACAAATTGATTGCACCATTTCTTAACGGTAATGCTGTAGCACGTCATACTTGAATGTGTATTAGCCATTTCGGCCCTTTTTTATTAGTGAAACATGGTTTTATATTATTTTTAAATGCAGCATCATTTGCAACATCAACATACTTTTTTTTGACCCAGGTCATATTGCTGTTTTCAGAAGTACACGTCCTTATCACTCCATTGTAAGTACACACAAGCGAAACTTCTGCTTCCTTTTCCCTTGATTGTTTTTGATATAACGGCAGATAATTAGGTACGTTTTATGAACTAGCATTGACGCCGACCAAAAATTTTATGAGGACAAGAACAGGTACCCGACGCTGGTGTCATTCTCCATGGCAGATATTGGCGCGTTTGGTCAGGCGCTAAGCGGTTTTCTGCTCCGATGGAAGTGGCTACACATTGCAATCATTAATGACCAACTATCAGATTTGCATGGTGTGGGTTATGGGCAACGAAATTATCAGCAATGCCTTGGAGCCAAAAAGACTATTGAATATGTGGCCCAGCATCCGCTTCCAGACGGTAAAATTTATAATATTCAGTACAAGGAGTTTATGGCCGACTCTAACAGTGGGAAACATTGGGCGGTACAGCCATTACTGGACGCTTCTAACTACAGCCGCGGTAAGACAACGTATGACAGATAGAGATACTTCTATAAATACGGCAGACACCTATCGTTATTATGATTAATACTCGTACATGTAGTTGTCACTGCCATTTTTTACAGTTATTATTCTACAAACAATCAATAATTATTATAATTATAAGTTATTGCATTTAGTATTATTAATTTCATTAATGCTTCGGGTAGTTTGATAAGCTGACTACCGGTATCTGTATGCTACTATAAAAATTTAGCCCATTCATGTGACCACACACCTTAATCTGCTTCAGTTATGATCGTTTGCACTCTTGGACGCCAGCAGAAGCAATTCGCGGTTAGTGAACTATTTTGTAAATATGGAAAAAATCATGTATCTGTAGAAAAACACCGTACCAAATTTAAGCAGATAAATAAGAATCAGTAGGAGATAATAAGAGATACCTAAATTAACCCTTTTCGTAGGCAACCGCATACGATTTAGGGATGACCAGTGGTGATTACGTAAGTAACAACAAAGTCAGATACTAAGAATGACGAAGAATAACGACTGAGATTGTTATTACTAACTACGAATACAGGTTTTTATCCATCAGTATTTGATCGAGGTTCCTGTAGAAGTTCCTCTGGAATACAATGCAAGCGAACCGAACCACGAGGTAAACGTCAAAATAAAGTTATTATGTACATTAGCAGTGGCGCAGACTCACAGTCGCGTATCGCTGACCATAAGGGCGACGGAAGGCTGTTAGACCACTGCCCTTGTGTTGGGGGCACTTTTCCCGGAAAACTGGGAAAAAAATAGCTGAAGCGTTTTTAATACTGTATACTCTGTAGTCTGTACTCTGCTTTATGTAATCATTATTTTTGAGTTACTGTAATTGTACGCGTATGTAAAAAATTGTGCTGTACCGTACAATGGTGACTATAAAACAGTACTAGAGTGATGTAGTGCATCTTCCGTATAGCATGTCAATAGCTAGGACAGTTCTAAAAAAAACTGCTTAGTGTTGTAGCAGGCAACTTGAGGCTTTGACCTTGTAATATCGTCATCGCCTCTCCGCACCAATTAGACTGAAATGCGTTCAGTACTGGAGATTGGCGGTGGTTATCTATAGTACGAGTAGTAATAATGAACGTATCGTATACCTGCACTGTTTGACGTTATTACAGAAAATTTTAGCGGCATTTCCTAATTACTTTCAACTTATTCCTGAAGCTCTAAACTGGACTAATCTTGAGAGCGTCATTGAGGAAGCGATAAAAATTTGGGAAAAAGAGTTTGGCCCACGTAATGAAGACGATGTCAAGGACTTTGGAAAGGTAAAATTTTCACCGTTAACATTTTGTGGTTTCCTTTTACAACCGGGAAAGAGGCACCCAAACAAAGCCGTTAAAGTATCGTAAGTCGTACTGTAATCTCAAGGGGCCCTGCGGCTCATAAATGCACAATGCATAATACATGATAGTTGTATGTCAACAAAAGATCACAGACTCGGTCGCAATACTCACAACAAAAATAATGTCGTTAGCGTCCCTGTTTCAGATAGGCCAACCCAGTGTACAGTGTGTTGTATGAATTGACAACCGATTTTTATGCAGGGTGCGGAACTGATGATATCGGCCTACGAAGCACTTGAAGCAACTTCCATGGTAAGCAGATCACATACTATGAGGTGCTTGGTTTTCGTGAAGTCGAATTGTTTGTGCAAACGAACGCCAGCAAACGACTGTAAGCCGATCAGTCTGCCGAATGCCGATGCAAATCCAGCAACAAGATGTTACACGATTACCCAGAATTGTCTTACCATCGAGACTTTTGATTCAGGTGCTCAACGAAACGATGGGACTGTCCAATGATTCGGCCCCATTCGACGTTAAACGGTTGGCGCGTAATATGTTTCACCGTAGTTTCGAGCTCGCAGGTCAAACCGTGGCTATGAATCCTTTTGGCATGCGGGTTATCAACATGGAAATACAGCAGTTCGATCTGGCGTCGCTTAAATTTCAGGTAGTTTTACCTAGGTGCCTCAAGTGTGACCCGTAATCAACCTTGAATTCTGTGCATCGTAGTCTTAAATTTCTATGCTCGTATTAGCCCTCGCAATCATTTTCAAAATAATGACCTGTTGCAGACCGTAATGCGGCTTAGTACAAACAACCACAAGGGCTGGGTGGAAGATCCTACTCGTCCGGTGCGCTGGCGCACACCAGATGGACAGCATCCGCCCGATATACCGGCTTGCGGACTGCGTGGCGAAAACTGCAACCTTATGACAGCCATTGCCGTTGGTCTGGGTGTGCCGCTCTTCTTTCTTCTTTTCGCATTGATTGCTGCTGTTGCCGTTATGTAAGACGGCTTACAAGAACATTTCCATATCTTCGAATTTCATAAACCTTAATTCATATTTGAGTTAAAACAAAATTCTGTGGACAGCGTTCAGCGACGTTCTCATGATATTGAGAAGTGGATAATTGACCCGGCAGTTCTAACCAACTCCGAAGCCAAATCCATAGCCGTTCGTGAAGAAGATTCTGACAAATCCGTAACAAGCAAAACCAGGCAGAAAGTGATCGTCCATGTTGTCGGTTTTGTGGGTATCGGAAGTTCACCGCGTCTGCCCGTAGGGGTCACCGCCACCCGGGTTAATTTTGCCCGGGTTATGCAGAGCCGTGCTTTTGCACGCATAGTTCGGCAGGTTCGTTCATGCTTTTCGATAAAACTGCCTTTGACGTTCAGCCATGAGAATATATTTGCAGATCACGCACATACATCATCCGAACGTCAACAGACTTTTAGGCATTGTCTTAGCCAGTGTGCCGCCGGTCATTCTGCAGGAGTTCTGTGAACGGGGATCGCTAGCTGATTTGATGGAACAAGGAAATATTGACTGGGGATTAAAGACGTCATTGCTGTCCGATTTGGCTGAGGTAAATAACTGTGCAAGCTAAACGTATCACTTAATTTTGCAAAGGTCAAACGCGCTGCTGCCGTGCGGCATCTTATTTTATTTCAGTCAATGCAAATAATTTTCAGGGGCTGTATGTTATTCATGCATCAGCTTTAAAGTATCACGGCAACCTTAAACCGTCCAAATGTGTGCTGGACAAGCGCTTTTGCTTGAAAATTGACGACCTAGCGCACGAGCGTATAATGGGCATGATGTACGGTATCAACTTGCGGCCTTTTTCCACTCAGTGGTCCGCTCCGGAAGTTCTCCGCGGAGGCCAACCAAGTCCGCAGTCTGACATCTACTCTTTTTCCTTGATTGCATATCAGTTGGTCACTGACTATGAACCCTTCAGTGCCACTACGAATCTTGACGGAGAAATGATCGGTAAAACTTCACGAAGTCTTGAAATCGATGTATACCAAAATCGGCTACGTAATAATCGCATTAAGACGCAAACTTTTGAAGATGACCCTAAGGAGATGGTGAAAAACGGCCAGACGCGGCCAATTTTCTATGCTGATCAAGAGCAGAAGGGATTTATGAAGCTAAAGGAGCTGATTATTAACGCCTGGAGTGAGGATCCCCGGGCGCGGCCCAATAGTACCGCACTGCGGTCCACCTTGCGCAAGGTCACCGGAGGGAGCGGAAATCTGCTGGATAACTTACTTAAACGCTTGGAAGCGCACGCTGAGAATTTGGAACACTTGGTTGGGCTGCGCACTCAGGAGCTGATTGCCGAACAAGCACGCTGCGATGAGCTACTGAACGAAATGCTTCCACGGTTGGTCAAGACTCACTCAAGAGTGAATTGTGTAAATTAATCGAATTTGCGTATAATTCTGGCTCTGTTAATACTGTATCGACGGCAGGACGACGGCTAAAACTGTTATAGATGGCATTCACGAATTTTATCGTAGCACCAAGTAGTCTTCGAAAAACGTCCGCTGAAGTTTACAGTTAAATTTTCGGTCAGTAGTATGTTGATTACAGCAAAGTACCTATGCTGATTACAGCAAATGATACAAGGTTTCGGAAGACGTAGATAAGACTATTGCTATTGCTTTCCAGGTTTCGGAAGAAGTAGATAAGACTATTGCTATTGCTTTCCAGGAGTATCGTTAAGCTACTTCGACTTCGTGAAGAAGTGCTACCGGAAACATTCGACTGTGTGACCATCTTTGTCAGCTACACCGACGGATTCGGTGATTTTGTCGCCATCGCCACACCCTTTCAAGTCGTTAACTTCCTTGATGAGCTGTACAGAAGCTTCGACAAGGTTGTGGAGCGCTTCGATGTGTACAAATTGGAAACAATTGGTGATAGCTACTTGGTAAACAAGGCTTGGAACGTTTAGCAAGATGCATTCGTAATAATGATATAATAATTTGCTTTCACCGTTTTTGTTCAGCTGGCCAGTGGGCTTCCCATTCGCAATGGTACTAAACACATCCAGCAAGTGTGCCAAACAGCTTTGAGCCTACAAAGCGATTTCGCCTCCAAAGGCCTGGAGATGATGGGTTTGCAGTGCGGCATCCACTGCGGTCCGATTGTAGCGGCGGTGGTTGGACTGAAGAGACCTCGCTACTGCTTGTAAGAGGCGAGAGTGACCTTTACTGGTGCTCTTAAGTCTTGACTCATGAAACTGTCAATTATCACAATGGCTTAAAGCGACTGTGAAATGAGTAAACAAGTATTCGAAAATGTTAGATTTGGAGATACGATTAATACTTCATCGCGTATGGCAAGCCACGGAGCTCCGACGAAAATCCATCTTAGCGGTGAAGCAGCTGGCCTGGCGCGGGAGTACAACTTCAATCTGCAGAGTCGCGGTGTGATCAAGATTAAGGTGAGCACTTTTAACACATTTCGGGAGACTGCTTACAAAGGTGCCAAAATTATAACAAGCTAATAGTTGCATTTGCTGTGCAAGTAAATTTATCAATTTGCTTATAATGTAGGGGAAAGGCGAGAAGGAAACCTTCTGGTTACTTCCTGGTACACCATCTTAACCATGTATCATGTGCAAGTTGGGCAACAGAAGTTGAGCTATGCACCTTGTCACCGTCTATGGCTAAATCTACGAGTACTGTATACAGAAATAGAATTAAAATTTTATGAATCGTGTTACCATTACATTTCCATACCTTGATCAGGCAGGCTTATGGTTTTTGTACATTCTTACATTATTCGACCATTGTAAAACTGGTTGCTGTCAATGCTTATCGTTTTAATTACTAAAAAGCAGACAGAACACCTAATTACACTGAAGAACAACCAGCTCTGAGTTTACAGGAAAGAACAACCAGTTTTGAGTTTACAGGAACTGGAAAGTGAAAACTCAATTTTACAAGCATTTGCTGCGGGAGACGCTTTTGTGTAACCCAGAGTGACAGTTACAAATGCGCGGTATTATGCGAGTAAAACCAAATTAATAATACATTACTCGTAGTGCGTTTTACAGATCTTCATTGGTATAATACCACTACATATTTTTAAAGCCCATATTGGTGCGGCATACAGCGTTGACGAAATAAACTGAAGCGTAAAATTTAATGGCCTGGATAGATCGATAATTCTTGGTCACTATCATTTCAACGACTACGCGCGATAACGCTTACAATTGTTTTGCTGTAGTTTGGGTTTGGCATTGTCCCATTTTAGGGAACAAAACTGGAACTTTCATTTACGATTAGTGTACGTATCAGTACGTTCCGTGCGCTACACATCATTGTGAATGCAGGACAAAATTATATGCAATCGTATCCTCCTATTATTATTTCATTATTATTATCATTCCATTATTACGTAATGTAACTGTACTCTGTAAGTAGAAATATCAATGTGCTGTATTCCATTATAAGGACGCAACACGTTTCATTTTTTTCTGGTCTGCATCACATGTATTGACAGTTCTAGCATGAGGTTTTCTATGGTCTGCAGGCTGCAACACACTGAATACAGTTCAAAGTACTTACAAGTTATAACGTACAGCTGCATTTTGATATTAAATCTGGACCGAAAATGTTGTGGGCACAGAACCATCCAGCATGAACCTAAGTATGCGAAACGATTACACCGACGCTCTTGCGCCACACTTGGGGGGCTCAGCCTGTTGGCCTAGGTATGTTCCTGACTTGAGGTTTCGCTTTGGTTTGATTGATTGTGCCCGTCGAGTTGTCCTTTCCGGCAACGGGGATCGCGGTGCCAGTGGCGTTCTTCGGAGAAACCACAGGAGCGGTTTCGCTCTGTTTTGAATTTCCGGCTGCCACATGATTAAAAAGTGCCAGGGTCATCGTTAACACCAACAGAAAAGACAATAACAAACGAGAATGTCCCATTTTCTGGTTAGCTAGTGAGATTAGTGCTGAAGAATGCACAGCCCTGTAAATAATTAACCGTAAGACTACTGGCTATAGCGACGCAAAAATTGCTGCAATGAAATCAGTACGAGTATGTGGCCGGAGAAAACGATACTTCTATCGATTTTCGAATTGCTTTGTAGGCTGCAGCTGTATTCAGGTTGTTAAAGAACTTCTAAAACACGAAGACATGATAACATTATTTTATATCTTGCAGACATAAAAGTAAGTAGCGGTCGCAAGAAACCAGTTCGAAACTTACGTCATGCACGCCACATGGTGTACAATACACGGTAACTGGTTGGTTACTTAACGTAGCATCTCAACATAAATTATTAAAGTATCCATTGCGCTAGCGGGCAAACAGTTGCATCACAGTATTTGAGGTCTTGAAGAATGTACATGATCGAGTCTTCTCCCAATTTCCGGACTTCATGAAATGCTGTAAATATTTTATACAACTTGTTTTTGCTTTGAGCAAAATTTTATCACTTTTGATAACCACACAATTAAGCTGTTTCACTTACAAACCAGTTGTTCTTTTAGAAAGGTTTCGGCAATCTTTTGCAGTTGGGATGTTTTTGTGTGAGCAGCGTACTACACTACAATAATAATAATGTTATTAGCAATGGTACAGTACTACAAACGTACAATTGTGCAGTACAGGCTTACTATCAATTTTGGCGTGTAGTTGTACCAGGGGGCAGCCGTAACGCATGCATGGAACAAATGCATGGAACGCGAAATAGGATGGCGTGGTACCTCCGTAGACCATGCAGCTGTATTTATCCGTGATAAATCGTTAAACGGACTTCTTGTTATATTGTATTGCTGTATTGTATTGATTTCTATGTACTGTACTCGTACTCCGTGTAGTGTAAGTACTGTTTGGTATGAACAGTGCATCGATTTACCGGATGCTGTATGTGACTTCTTGTTGTATATCTTTTTATATAAATATATTAATTTAATACATTATAGTACATAATTAGAACATCACATTCAGTAATTCAAAGACAGAACATTTAGGCACAAGCGATTAGCGATATATATCTGCCATTCTGAAAACCATACCAGCAAAATATGGTTGTTATATCAATTGACGAATGAATTTATTAAGCTCTGAGGGTGTTGTTGATTGACTGTCCATTGCATACTGCGCATGTGTTGCTGCTCGCTTGTAGAACCATAATTACGGAATACCCAATGAAAGACAGCAACATCTGGAATTAATACATCTATTTATGGCTAAACAGGCATGACGACAATACTTCCAAGCTCATAATTAAAATTTTTAATTGTGTTGATATGCTATAATACGAGGTACATGCAAATACCACATACCATTAAGCAATATCTGTAGATTATCGTAAATCTTTTAACCAGTTATATGATGCTTAAAATATTATAGTGTGCGAGTGTGCGTGCAACAGTACGTGCAAAATAATAAAATTCTATAGATATTCGTTAGCACGGGCACACGTAATTGGCATATAAGTTGAGTTAACATTTCAACAAGCTGCTTGCACTGACCTGAATGACATGGGATGTTGTTATTTGTGAACCGTACGCTGTTATGCAGTAATCGTCAAACTTAAATTCTTTAATAAAACTTTTGCATTTCTTGCGTATGGTTTTTCGGCACATCACTTTGTTATAACGTATCTTTCTTATGGCCTTCAAGACATTTTCGACCTGTAATGATACCGTGATGCAAAATGATTTGGTTAGTAGTATTTAGTAACATGTGGCAAATTACCGCTGAATTTAGTGATGGTAAAATTTCACAAAAAAATCAAACACGTACGGTGCAAAAGCCAAATTAATCTCTTTCATTGCATTAATTTTACCTGGTTATTTATACCCACAATCAGGCCAGCCAACACTGCGGACAAAGGCATCAGTACATATATAAAGGTCAGGTCGGCGTTTTTGAGTTTCTTTACTTCAAAGCTATACGCAATTCCGCTTATGGCCAGTCCCGCAACCATGGACTGGTATACGTTGATTGCTATCAACAGTCCAAAACCTTTGCTTATCATCTCCAGCGAGTTCAGCAGGAGCCGGCATATGTGCAAACAATGATCTAAACTGGTTTCGTTAATAAAATCCATTGGATTTTCCAATTTAATTAAAACTGCTTTTAGTTCCCGCTTAATGAGTATCATCCACGCTGTCACTTGTACATACGGGTAACTTAAGTACCCGTACTGGAGCACGGTGAAAGTCAGAAAAATGGGGACATTCAAATAATCCGTTGTATTTAAAGAAGATTCCGTGGAGAATCCGAACATAGGGCGTGGGATATTCCACTCCGTTCCATTTTGGTGGAAGATTTCACTGTATCCTCGCTGACCGAAAGTTTCTCCGATCAGTCCCACGGCTGTCAAAAACACGACCAAAAAAGAGATATTATCCACGCGTTCCTGACTGATGGCTGGGGTAGAATCGGTTTCAAGTAGAGATATACCAGCTTTTCCGCGGCGGCAAGGTCGGAGCAACTGGCATAAGCCGCCATCTGCATTAAAATGCCGTGGGAGGTGGCATAATACCTTGCAAAGACTTTCAAAATGACGAATATATTTAGTTTTCCAATTCCGTCATAGTTTTCTTTGATCTCGCTGGTCAAAGTGTTACCAATAAGAACCCACAACTGAAATATAACCACGATCGCAGACCAACACATTTTTAAAGTGGTAACAAACGGCGTATCCTGTGGTATATGGCGTATACCAAAAAGATTGAGGATAAATGCGACGAAACACGGTGTTTTCAGTGTTAATCGAAACTTCCTCTTTATTTTTCGACTCATTCTCAAGCGTAGTTTACTCTTCGTTTTCGGATTCATGGTTAACCAAATCTAAAGGGACGTGTTTAGTAATCTATGAGCGCAGATCAGAGTCCAGTACCGTGAATTTTTTGCGCACGTAAAATATGACCTCTCCAGGACTACAGCAGTCAGTATTCACGTCAATAAAAGTGTGGACGACACAACACGCGTACAAATGTTTCGTGGGCTTCGGGAACAACATTGGATACACAAGAAAACTCAAGGTGGACTTAATGCAGGTTGCAAGGGAATATTTCTATTGTTTAAATACGATTGCTACGGTAATCGATTCCGGCTGCAGCCGTCATCGATATCGCTTAACATCGGAGCAGGTGACGAAACCAATATCACGATGTTTTTGAAGGTATGACAGATGCTTGTCTGGAATTGTTAAATATCTGCACGCAGATATTCGTTGTAATAATTTTCTAAATTTTAATTTAAACAAAATTTATCAAATTGCAAAACTCACACGCGCGTATAACTGTTCAACGAAATCTAACCTAAAGTCAACAAAATGTCGGCATCAAATGGTAAAATATAAAGGAAACTTCTCTAAGAGCGTTGCAGAAGAAAATACATAGCACATATTCTTAGCAGTAACACGATAATAATTTAAGAACATTGCCTTAAAAAGGAATGCATGCTTTACAGAGATCATTGATTTAATTGCATCGGTGTGTTTAAGTTTTGTTTTTCACAAGAACGAAAATGCAACTAAAACATTTGCAGCTTTGTAAACAGCACCATCGCGTCAGCGCATCATGCGGCGTTGACAAATAGGCTCTGTTGCAATATACTATTACGTACGTACATAGATCATCCAAAAAATCAAATTACCGGAAATGCTAAAGGAATTATTTGCGGAAGAAGCGTGTTGGATTTCGTTCATGAAACAGAACCGCGGCACTGCTGTTATTCGTGGTAATGCAGTTGCAATTTTGGGGCACTTTGCCACCCGTTAAACCGTTTGGTAACGCTAAAGACAAAATGCTAACACGTTTTGATTCAAAAGCGGAGAATACTTTTGGTGCCGTACTGTCCGGTTGAAGCTTTGATAATTATGAAATGAAATGCAGTGTGTTATTTGCGGCACATCAAGGAACAAGATCTATATTACAACAACCCCGTAAACTCTGGATCAGAAAAACTAGAGAGAATTAGAAAAAACTGAAAACGCCATTCGATTCAGCACGGCTAGAACCATGCCACAGGCATTTTGATTTTAAAAAAATCGGCTCCCCCCACTCACACATGCCGGTACCGGTGCCGATAGAACGATAAATCTTCAAGTGACCTTGAAAAAAAATTTTCATTTTCAAAGTGGTTGAATAGAGCGGAAAATCAATAACTTACCCGGTTCTATTCGAGAAAAAAGCGCCCATGTCTTCTTCATCCAAAAGATGTCCTTTGGATGGTTGTTTTTTGAGTTTCAAAAAGCCATAATATAGTTTCGTAGACCATGTATATTAGACGTGTAAATGTACATAAAAAGGGGCTCCATAAGTATACTGAAACATGCCGCTCTAAAGACGGCGTGTTGTGCTCCGACGATGTCTAAAGCACGTCAAAAATTGCTTGCCGTAGAACCGGGTTAGTATGTTCTAACTAGAAAATATTAACCTGGATAAAAAAATTAAAATCTTCTCGATCATAATCATCGTCCAAACGGCTAACCTTTCATTGCAATCCTTTTAAAGTCGTTAGCAAGTGTGTGAAGTGTAAACATGAATTGTCATGTAAATTTCTTATCAAAAGAACCAGTTTTATGTATGTAAATCACGGCGACTAGCCCAAGGCAAATGAACGGGTACAATCGATATTATATCGTTTCTGTAACACAAACCGGGCATCTACATAGATATGGCGTACAAAGCGCACAAGACTTTTTGAATTTAAAATGGACGCTTTTTAATTAGATGTTCACAAACATCCTGTTTAAAAGCATCCATTTTAAATTTAAAAACTCTTGCGCACTTTGTACGCCATATCTAGCTGATCGATGGAGTCATGGCAATAATTACACATGATTGCCATGAAGCGATCCTAATACAACCGAAACATTGCACGAAGCATTTAAATTTGCCAGGATTGCAAAGCTGCGGCTGCTCGTTCGTGGACCCGGATTTGGACATATGTATATATTATTATGCAAGGTGCGGTACTGAAGGTGCAGTTGCCACTGCCAGTTGGAACGCTAAAAATACTATATTGTTGCTGACCTGGATAAGCACAACAGAAGAGGTTATAAAGATCGCACATATCTGCAATGAATTATACACGATTAGCGAATAAATTCTGAGGTTGAACTACATATATTTTTCATACATGTATTTCTGTTTTGACATATGTATTTCTGTATTTCATGTATTTCTGTTTTGACATAAAAGAAAGTCAAACCGGATATCTGCGCCAGGCCGTAATCTTTATTCCGCAATCGTTAATGAACAGATCAGAGTCGGTGCATTCAGTAAATTCCTGACAGAATTTGCGCACGTACGGCGTCACTGTACACTTCACTGTCCCTGATGTCTTTAAGTTCTTCCAGTATATCATCCACCTACGGCAAACAAAGCGGTTATAACAAAGACGAAAGCTCATAAGGGAAGACATATAAGGAAGGGGAGGGGTTATAAGGGAGACGAACGCTATACCGGAGACATTATTCTCACAATTTTATACGGTGGTCTTGTGCTACAGAAACGAAGCAGTTAACTGTTTAAACAAATTAAACTGCCAAATTTAGCACAATAACATTACTATCCCTAAACGTCAGCAAGGGAAGTGACACGGTACAATGATATATGGTACAGACACGTGTACATGCACGGGAACTCCGCTTTCGCGCACGTTTTTAGTTTGTGTTCGCACTTTACACTTTTTTGCATTATTTTATGACCTTCTGTAGCCATATGATTTGTAATTTTGCTCGCATTGGCATAAAAACTGTTTGTGAGCATAACATCCGGTTGGTGAGGTACGGGCGAAATAAAGTTCGATCGAATCAGATTCAATACAAACAAGCGTCCAAAAAAATGATCTCTCACTTACTTATGAGCATGTACAGCAAAAAAATTTCTGTATGGAAAATTCTATGTGAAAAATTTCTGTATGTAAAATTCGAAGATAATCGGTCTACAGCTATAATGAGACTTTGGTGCACCTGTTTGTGTTTAAACTGCTTCGAATTTTATTTCACCCATACATGAGCAGCTCACCATGCAACCGGATGTTGGACAAACAAACGGTTTTGACATCAAGGTATATATCCATTAATTTTGTCTACAAAAATGATGTATGTACGTCATTCGATAAAAATTCTAACTGTTTGGGAGTGCACGAAAGCGCAAGGGCTCTTGTGTGTACACGTATTCGGTACAGTACTAGTACCTATGCACCGCCGGTCACTTTCAGCAGCGCGGATTACATTTTAATGCACAGTAATGTAGCGATAGTATTTGTACACCCGATAAGACCGCCCAGTTATGATTCATTCCATCGCGTTATGAATTTGTGTCCACTTTACCGGCTAGTTTCCTTTCTCATGAATTTCTAGAATTCAGTCTTGACACTCGCTTGCTACAGCTTGCATCTACTTGATTGTTCCTCTTGTTGAAACCCTTGCTTACAACCTTGCTGCGTTCTTGATTCCCTTGTCATTAAACATGCCTTGAGTTACGTTGTTGCGTTTGACCGCTTGGGATGAACTAGCGTCATCCCAATCGGAGTCACCTGTGTAATTGCGTTACATCTGTAAGAGCGTCCTCGGCCAGCATCGTTGCCGGCCGTGCCACCTTTCACACCAACAGCCGTTTAATCGTGGTAAAGGCTGATCGCCACCCCACTAGAACAGTAGCCAGCTAGGCCACTGTTACAGTATGATACTAACTTTGTGGTTGACTCTTATGACAGCAACGTCAGAAGGACCGACACAGGCAGGATAGAATAAACAAATGTAAGATCCGCATTTTGAAACTTATGCGGTTCAAAATTTAATGCTATTCCATTAAGTGCCAGCCCGGCAATTACAGACTGATAGCTGTTAATTATCAACAAGGCACCATAACCCCGACTGATCTTCCGATTCAGCCTAAACAGGCGGCTGCACTTTCGGAGATAATCATGATCATGAATTATTTTTTCATTGTCAACAACGAATGAATCAGCGAATATACCATGAATGGTTTCGAGATAGGTCCGCATCCCATACATGCAACTTATTAGTCTGGCATACGGAACGCCTAAATAAGAATATTGTAAAGTTGTAAGTACAATGAAAATCGGTACGCCGACGCAGGGCATAACTTGAATTGATAATTCACGGCTGAATCCAAACATTGGTCGCGGTGTTACCCAGTACGTACTGTTGTTTGAAAAATGAAAAAAATGATCCGCAAAACCGTTCTTTCCCAAAGATTCCCCGATCAGACCGCTTGCAACAGGAATAATAGCCCAAAAGACCGCGAGCATATTAGATTTTTGGAGCGTGACCTTTGACATGAATGGGATGAGCTCCTGCTGTGAACATAGTTCAGCAGTACTTATGTATGAAACATTTATATTCCACACAACAATCATCAATATGCCGTGAACATTTGCGTAATAACGAGCGCCCACCTTTAAAATCGTAAAAATATTGAACTGCGATAAGAGTACATAACTGTTTTTGATTTCACCGGCAAGAGTATTACCAACAAAAGTAAGCCCTTGAAAGGCCACTAAAATTATACGATTGTTTTTCAGGTGTCTTCCATGGGTTTGTTTTAAATTACTGCTAACAGCTGCCCCATGACCAAGAGCACTGCTGAAAGCTGTCTGCAACGCCGGAAAGAGTATTGTTCTGTACGTGTGAAAAAAAGTTTAATGTACAGTGTTTTAAAGTTTAAAACACTTGCCGCCGCTTCAACATCTTCTTATCGCAAAGCGGGTTTCCAAATTTTCTCAGCTTGTACATTAGTTTTTTACTTTCTGTTTGTTCTGCCATTGGTAATTAGCTTTTGCAATGTCGGTATTAGTATGTATATATGTGATCTCACTGATCTGTATACAGAAGTACCGGTAGAAACCGTAGAATAAAATTTTACTTGTAGATACTTTTAATTGTAGATACAATTATGTATATCGATAAATCAATATCAGTACGGCACGACAATGAACGTTTTCGTTCCTGGTATTCCGAGAGGAATGCCTGGAAAAATACTGAGCACTCTCCGTTTCAGAATACTTACAGCTGATGTCAAGTGTTACGCAAATCAGTAACAATAGCTATTCGGATTCGTGTATATTGAGTTTTCTTTGCCATCGTACCAGTACGTATTTTTTTCTTAACATTAAACTAATCGTAACTGTAAGTTCTGGCTTCGAAAAGAAGCCACCAGAAAATGTACAGCAAAACAAGAGTAGCAAACACACAATATTACAATAATTTCAGGTTCCCGCATTAAACTGCGATCTTGATCTTCATAATCTAAATTCTACATATACAGGATAAAACAATAAGTCTAGCATACGCTAAACATGGAGGAAAACCGGCAGCAGAATAGGTATCCGTACATAACAATCAGCAGTAAACGTAACACCGGAAAGTAGCTCTGAGAAGTCTTGCTAACTTTCTCCAAACTTCCCAACGGCCAATAAAATGTTACGCCTTGTGAAATGCACATTAAACAAAGTCGTCTTCTTCGTGGGATAACTCTTGATCAGGAATTCGCCGGAACCCGAGGCACCGAAGGAAACATTATCCGCCTGATACTGTTCCGATAAACCCTTCCAGTTCCACAATCCCACCATTCCATCGTGTCCCGCAGACGCCAGTACCGTATTCTCGCGACTAAACGCCAGCGAGTACACGGGTTTGGTATGCAGCTCCAGTTCCAGAACTTCCTTAGCCATGGCAACATCCCACAAATGCACCATCCCATCGCGTCCGCCGGACGCCAGATACTTTCCACACCGCGAGAAGCACAACGCCTGCGGCACATCCTTATGCCCGGTGAAGTAGCGCACACAGTTGCCCGACGAGATATCCCAGATGCGCACCGTCCGGTCGGCGGCCGCCGTGGCGACGTAGTTGGCGTTGGGATGGAAGGTGATGCGGTTGATGTCGTCGCTGTGGCCGACCAACAGGCGCAGCGGTGACGGATGCTCCGTGGCCCAAATGCGTCCCACCCGGTCGACGCCGCACGAAGCAAAATAGTAGCCCATAGGGGAGAACTCCACATCCGTCACCGGGTACATGTGGCATTTGTAGTTGACAAGGTTGGCCCACTGCCACAGACTCCACAGACGGATGGAGCCGTCCGCGCAGCCGGAGATGAGGAAGCGCTTGTCCGGACTGAAACTGCTGGCGAAGATGGATCCGGCGTGGGCAGCGTGGAACACTTTCTCCTTCGTCGCACTGGCCGGATCCATGATCCGCTCGAACACGTCGTCCGATTCGGGATCGACTTCGGCCAGGTCGGTGGCGGATTTCATGGCGCGGAGTTTGCGGTTGGTGAGAGAGAACAGGCGGATTTTGGAATCGGAAAACCCGGCTGCTAGCAGCGAAGAGTCGTCGCTCAAAGATGTACTGCAGAGATATGCATCCGAATTCATGAGAGTCAAGCAGCAAATAGAGGGCAGACGGTCTGAACCTGAAAACGAAAGTACTATTTAATACTTTATTAACAGCTTAACGGTAACAAACGAACATACTAACAATTTTAAGTGGAGATTCACACAAATCAAACAATACTAAACGACAAAATTAAAAAGCAATCTGAAAAGCCAGTTCCCGTTAAAAAACAAGTAGGTACTGCATTTGTTGTGGTTTGAAGGTTACGTGTCTTGCATTAGTAACATAAGCCTCTTCAAATATCTAATGCCGTTAATGTAAACAATTAGACACCAAGCACTACGAGGAGTCGACAGAATTCATTCCGCTAGAGAATCACAGAACTATGAGGTTCGTGTACACATTCCGAATCCAAGTTACCCTACCAAACGTTCCGAACCTACGCACAATATTAGCAACTCATGATTTCACCAATTATTACTGTTTTCCGTAAAATTTATTAACTAACAACGCATGTTAATGTTAATCTTTATCGTATCAACAGGCACTTATATGGCAATCAGAAATTAGGGGCCCACAATCAAAATACGTACTACGTAGCGAAGCATCTCAGTAAAAACTTGAAACTTCGCTTCTGATCTCACCTAATCGTGCCAATTTCAATGCATCCTTCCATCCGTTCAGTTTATCCACCCGCTCCAAATCTGACAGCGGGGGAAACGGTATACGACTGGCGGGAGGCGCATTGGGATCTGCCCGAAAGCGCCGTGCAAAGAAGTCCTTCTTCGTTATCTTGCGCTTCTTGCTGGGTCGTTCCTTCATCTCGTCATCCTCCGTGTCGTCCTCGTCCTCGGAGAACTCCAGATCCGCGGGGATCGTAATATCCGGCTCCTTGGGCAGCCCATGGTGCACCTTGGCCTTGTTGATATTGTGAATAACACTCTCGTTTTCCAATGGTTCGTCTACGGATCCAGCGGAACCAAACGTGCTGGCATCCAGAGAAAAGTCCACATCATCGATCGCCTGCACCAGCTCCTCTCCCGCTTCGCGCCGGAGTTGTTCTTCGGTGTCTTTGAAACCACGACGTTTGAGAAACGTAATAATAGAAGCTAGTGTTTCTTTATCCATATTTCCATACGAAATGAAATATTTTGGCCCTGATAACCTGCACCGATTGTTCAGCAAAACATTTAAAAAATTCTGGAACCTCCAAGCTCATACTGACGCGGACAGTCGTACTGCAGTATTGCTCTATGGTTGTTTTCTTGCCGGCCCTCCCCCACCGGAGGAAAGTTACCAACATTAATTTCATATACTGTACGTACGTACTACAAGTACTTACGTACTCGCTTGTTATCGTTAATTATTTTGTTTTAAACAAGTATTTGCATTTTGAGGGAAATGCTAAATACTGCACATTGCACAAGGTAACCTAATTAAACAAATCTTAGACACAGTTGAATTCTTAAGAAGGATCTGAAAGATAAAATAATGACTGCTGTGTTCGTCAATCGTCATCGTTCCTGGGTATCACTTTACAGTGGTTTGTTATGCAGAACAAACAACCGGAAGCCCTTCGCTAATGGCTTATTGCCGTCGGGTAGGCGGGTCCTTAAAACAAACAAGATTTGTTGGGGATTCCAGTTTCCACTCCGTCTGTACGGCATGTTCACATTTCACAACACTCAACAGATGCTTTTTCATTTGATTTATTATTCAACATATTGTCATATATCGTTTTGCAGCTAAACAGCCCATCAAAAATTCAGAATCAATTCTCTTCAATCGATTCCCCACCGATCAGTCAGGCCGCATTAAGCGTTTTCTCTTCCCCCACCATGTTCATTGTTATGCCTCGCACATTTTGACAATTCCCTGGATGCAACTTGATGATGGGGCTGTTCTCGTCTGCCCTCCACAATCAACATCCATCTTAACCACGATATACAGCGCCATTGACATGGAGTGAATGAGCAGCTTTTCGGAGGCCCTTTACACGCTCGACATGATGTTGTGCGCTGGTATGGTATGCTGTGCAGACTGTTCCTATCATCATCGTCATTGTGCCGTGTCTGTTTCCACATAATCCCCGTTTAGTCAGTGTTCAGTGATGCGTAATGGATACGGCATCCAAGATGTATAAGGGAAGGAGTCCACTTCCCGCTGCAATGAATATCGGCCGTAAATCCAATCAGGACTTTGCCACAACGGCCTCTTCATCGCCCACCATCGAGCTGAGTAGTCCGATGATTGCGGCTAATTCCCCGCTGACGGCCGCGTCCAAGGCCAGTGTCGGATCCACGTCGGCGGTGCTGGATACGGGCAGCAGTGCGCGGGAGATCGGCCGGAATAATTCCATGTTCGAGCGGGATAACTCCTCGGCTGTTATTCGGGTATTTTCCTACAGAATTTCCTTTTCTTCACTGTTTTCCATTTATTTATTTTACTAAGCTCTAACTAAACTGTTGAACACAAACTGTACATGACTGTGATCTGCACAGGTTTTATCGCACAATACCTCGTTAAAGTAGCAATACATTATACGATTACCGCGTATGAAAATATTGGTTTACTTAACACTAGCAAATTACTTCCGCAAATACTTCTCAATTCTTATTGGCAAGAGCTTTTATTTCTAACGGGAAATTTATAAAATGTCGGCTTGCTGGTACCGTTTCTCAAATTTTATCGTCGATTTTAGATCATTTTACATTTCGATGATGGGTACAGAATCGTTTTGTATTGGATATTTGATATGTCACGAATACAATTGAGGCAAATCATGCATTTCTTTTTGTGACAATTATTCAGTTGAAAAGCAGTTGTAATAGTTGTTGTGTAAAGTGATCTTTACTGAAAGTGGGCAGGATTTGTCATTTGTTCACAGTATACAATCTGTAGAAGCGAGCTTGTGTGCTCATTAAATGAAATATTCTGTCGAAATATTCTGCACTGAACGTTTTATGTTTTTTGTCGGGCGGGTTTTAAAAAAACTTTTAAAAGCTTAAGCATGCTTGATAAGTTAACAGTTGATACACCTACTCGTAGTCAAGGTTCGAGTGAGTCTTTGGAGGAAGAATGAACATAATTTATGTTTTTCAGTCGGATTGGGCATTTTATCGCGAAAATACGAAATACGATTTACAATGTCAGTATCAGTTTTAAAATTATGTTGTATTTTTTTACACATTGGACATTTGCATGCGGTTTTGGACAGACAAAGATGCACATTGTGTACTTTTATTACTCTCCGTTGTTGATCTTATTCTGAAGTTTATATGATTGATCAGAGTTACTGTATTTTAACGATTATTAGTTATTCACTGATCGACGAGCATCATGTATCGTTGTTTCCCAGACATTTTAATTTAATTTGTCAATTTTCGCCAGTGATTGCAGTTCTAACAGATGAAAAATTGAGTAGCCGGTGGCAATAACAGTCTGGCACGCCGTCGTGTCCGTTCGCCTCTTCCCATTTGAGCGCATCCCTACTTCGGGAAGAGGAAGCCACACATCTAGGGGCAAAGTCAGTGTATGTATTTTTGAGTGGAACGAGTCGCATTTGATTGTGGAATATGTAAAAATCCTACGAGTATGCGGTTCCAATTCGATTCGATTTATTGGCAATCAAATTGGCAGTGGGGCATGTCGGCGCTGCCGCTTGTCTGCACTCCAAAAGCCCATCTCTCCTTCCATTCACAACGGCATAGTGATAGTTGTATCTCTTCATTTTTTTCCGCTGCCTCAGTAGCTTTTTTTCTGCCCATCTCGGCAGATTTTAATATATGGCGCGCTTTAAAACCGTAAACTCGTCAACCAGTTTTTCTCGTTGCCGTTTATTTGTTTGTTAGTAGCCGTAATGGGAAGTTAGTGGTGTGTAAAGGAGATATAGCGGATATCATATATCAGTGCGGTAATATCATGGCGCATTATATTCTCTTCCAGAACCCGAAATCCCATCGATCCCCCATGAAAGTGGCCCGGCCCTCGTCGGCCACACCGAAACGGAAAGTTTACGATGATTACATTGACGACAGCTTAACAGGTTAGTCGGGAAATTCTTTAACGAGTATAAATTTCCCGTCGGTCTTGGTGTTGCATAGTTGGAGCCGGTAAATGATGGTTGCTTTCCGTAATGACAATCTATGCTCTTTCGGATATTCGGGGGTAATAAGAGCATCGATCATGTTCGGTTGCAAATGGTAATGGGCTTGTTGCATTTTGTAACCTAATCACGAATGTCATTGCTCCGCTGGTGGTGTGGCGTCTTGAATGGCACCCGTGGTGCAATGTTTACGCAGATGTTGTTGAGTTATTCTGGGCGTCGCGCATGTAGATTGTTATGGATTGCATTTACGCCAATTACTCTCATCGGGGTAATTAGCTTGTTTTGCGCAGACATTTCAAAGAAGTTGTCCAAGACATTAATGCGTCTGCAATACAAACGCGGCAGTTGGATTTCGAAGTTATTTCCGCTTTGTGTAGTTCTCTAAAACGGTGAAAATAGCGCAGCAGAGGCTCGTTGTGACTCGTTACGTAATGCTGGTTACGGTTGGGCACTTCAGAACACTCCGCATTATTAAATTACTTTATTTTATTTAAAATGCTGGCATGTGCGGTTTGGTGCAATGAAGCGGTTAGCTGTATTGGGTTACAACACGTAGTGTATTAAACGGATCTACCTTTCCATGATGATTTTGAACTTATCATTAGGAAATAAAAATCAGATAATTATGGTAACATAGAATTGCATCGCAGTGGAAAATTAGGATATTTGAAATTTTGTGGCTTAAAGACAGAGCGCGTTAATTAAAATAATTTCGTAGTTTTCTTCGTTATTTTTTCGTTGTTCATTTCTTTCATTTTTGCATTTCATGCTGCTTTGGCGACTTTGATCACAGTTTTAATTCACCACATGTGTAACAGATATCTTCTGCCTTAGCATGCTTTGCAATTTTCCGTTTTCAGTGTACCTTGGAGGGCTAACAACACTTGACAAAATGTAATGCAGTATATTTGTTGAATCGGGAATATACAGATATTCACTACAAAACGAAGCACACTAACTGTGTGTCGGAGATTACACTAGTACTAATCGTCAATTCAGTCATTTGAATTACTGCATATAAGCTACGAACTAAATAAATTGGATAGTTTTCAGCTTATTTTTTCAATTGTTTTGCTAGGTTCTTTCACCGATACGGATGATGAGGAGAGCGACACTTCTCCTCGCGACAAACTGCAGACCAACTCGCGCGGCGGCAATGATTTTTGTGTGCGTAGCATGAAGCTGGCGGCCTTCGGACGGCGGGAAATTGAATTGGCTGAACTGGAGATGCCGGGTCTGTTGATCCTGCGCCGAAAGTCCCGATCCGAGCAGCCATTAAAGGAGGCACGCATTATGGTGTGCACACATCTGGTGGCACAGTACGCGGTACGTTGGCAGCATCCGTGCCTGACTGGACGACGAGAGAGAATGAAAAACAAAAGGGAAATGACTTAGTTCCGTTTGTTTGCAGGTCTTAATGGAAACGCTTATAGATCTGGGCGCTGATATCCGCTGTTGTGCCTGTAATGTCGTCTCCACACAGAATGAAGTGGCCGCCGCGCTGGCGGAAGCCGGCATCCCCATCTTCGGCTGGAGAGGCCAGACGGAGGGGGATTTCTGGTGGTGTATTGACAAATGTGTGGCGGCTGATGGATGGATGCCCAATATGGTAAATAATCTGATGTGAAGTTGGGATTGTTTATTTTAATGCTGGGTTTAAAAATGATTTATCTTGTGGTATACGAACAGCGCCGAGGGTATTCAATAATATTCGGGAATCTTTGAGCGTAAAGGAAGCACCATAATTCAGGGCGCACTGCTGTCTTTTTACAGTTCCGTTACAAATTTTAAGATGCGTTATCTGATATTTTGAAAAACACAAGTTATTAATGCTGGTGCGAATTTAGCTTATTTTTTTATGTTGGAAATTGCGTTTTAGTGAATGTATTTAATAGTTTCGGAAGGCGGTTGGGGCTTCTGCATTAACTTTTATTTTAACTTATTTTTGCATTAGTTTTTTATCTTCTTTGGCAAAATCTGCAGAATCACCGGTGCTGTCAGACAAATATCGACACAGCCGGAATTTTTAAAGTAGGAATACCATTAGCGGCCTTTGAATAGATCCCGGTTATTGTGCGAGTTTGATTGATGATGAAAACGCTTTTATTGGCTAAATCGATAAAGCATAATGAACAGCTGGACAACATGGTTATGTCAAACGATGTGTACGCGTCATGTTTGACATTGTAGCTTATTTTTTCCCTTCGTACTCTCTGCCCATTGTATCCCCGGCGCAGTTAAGGATACCCTGGGGAGCTGTCCATGAATTTCCGCTTCATTAGTGGTGACTATTTTTATCCCAGTGGGTGTGGGCTGTGTAGTGTGTGTGTATGTGTGGTTTTAAGGCTCTTGAGAGAGTGAGTTGTCTATCTCCTTCCCAATAGATCCTGGATGATGGGGGAGATCTCACACACTGGCTGGTGAAGAAGTATCCGGGTGTGCTGAAGGAGTGCCGGGGTATTGTGGAGGAGAGCATTACCGGTGTACATCGGCTGCACCAGCTGGTCAAGGCCGGGAAATTGCCTTGTCCGGCCATTAACCTCACCGAATGCATAACGAAATCCAAGTTTGATAATATGTTCAGCTGTCGGGAATCGGTCGTTGAAAGGTAAAAAGATAAGCTGTCATGATAGTACGAGGGTGCTTAATCAAGTCATGTCGTATATTTTTTATTTATTCCTAGATTCATACAATTAACCCAACATTTTCAAAATACTGTTCATACACTCTCTACACATAGATTGCATCTATATCCCGATTGGAAATGTTGATGCAAAAAAGTTACAAAATTATTAAGTGATGGCATCATCAAAATTTTCTTCGAGTTAGTCTTTCGTTCGTTAATTAATTACCTTGCAGAAAATCGTTTAGATCTGGAAATTTTTTTAAACTGCGCAAATCTAAGGTAATTATTAATTTTATTTACGGAAGTATCTATACATCGGGCTTATCAGCATAAATTTTTTAGTATTTAGAAGCAACGGTCTTGGTCCGTCGTTATGCCAAATTGCACCGGTAAATCACCTTCCGTCCCTTTTTTTTGTATTTTCTCAAAGAAAGTTTCCAAAATATTTGCAGATTATTATATATAGATTATAATAGTTTCACGGCATAAAAATATTTTGTTACTAAAATCGTTGTTACGCTGTAAAGAAGCAAAAACGTTCTTCGGAGTCTTCCCCGATTCAAGGCTTTGCACAGCAGTATCAGAACCTTGTCTCTTCTGCAGCTTCCATCATGCATCGCGGTATGAAAACCAGTTGTAAATGAAAACCAGTTGTAGATGTTATACCGATGGCTAATTTATAGTAACTTGGCTTTTCTTTGAGGAGTTAAATTGAAGAAAGCGTACCACCATAAGTCAGCAAAAGAGGTACCCGAAGGTACGCCACATTGCGGAAAATCAGGTAGATGAGTAAAAAGGATTTCGGAGTTGCCTCAATAATCTGTGCTTGATTAGCTGTCTACCTAATAAATTTAATCGGGGATGGCTTTTAACCAGACGCTTTACAATGGCGCTCAAGTTTTGGTTCCTCCAAAAGTAGACTGCTCCGACCACCTCCTGTTGTCCCACGTCAAATTTTCAGAACGGAGACGAGAAGCACTTTGCTTACGAGTTTATAAAGAACGACCCTCATCCATAAACACAAGCGGCGCGTCAAAAAGTCAATGGGTTGCGTCCCACTTCTATAGGAATTTTTTATGTAAAATAGTGCAAAACACATGTTACGATAATGTGCGCCAGTTTTTAATTGGTAATTAAATTTTATGTGAGTTAGGGCTGCTCTGACTCATGCTGACTGCCACCGAGAGGGGGCATTGACTCGGCCATCAGCCTACTGATACAGTTATGAATGCCCTATTTTTTAAAAATGATTTCATATTTTTTATTTCATAACTTATATGCGAACGACATTACTTGATTAGGTACCCTCGTATTTTATTGATAGTTACATAGTTACAATGGGAATTTGTCCAGCTGGAACACATCAGGCTGTGCGAAGGATTAATCCGATTCTATTTGGAAACGAGTCTGATTTATTAACATATATTCGGTTATTATTTTTCTTAATTTTTTTTACAGGCAGGCGCTAACTGTAAAATCGCAGATTGGATTTGTGAAGCTTTGATAATGAGTAGCAAGAAATTGACTTTATTGTGAACGTCTCTTGGGTAAATATTAAATATGGCACGTCTCGATCGATAGTGATCGTGACGATGCAGAATGTTTGATACCGCTTTCAGAAACTGATTGTGTAAGCAATATTTGACACTAAGGATTTTTCCGCAATGATTTACTGTGCAGTTTGCAATTTTTGAGGTTTACAAACTGTGAAGCTAACGCTTTGTTTCCCCTTCCTGGAAGTGTTTTTGGGTATAATTGCTGAGAATTATTTTGACGACTTTTAGGGCAGTAAAATCGTTGTGTTTACCAATGCAATAATGCAACAAAAATCGATTTTTATGCGTGTCTGAAAAGTGATGGGTGCTGGAAAGCTACCGAAATTTCATTAGATTTTCGTCGACAGTACTTCGCGAACTAGCCACCGCTTAATTTCTTAAATGGCCATACTGTAATTGCACATGGCAGTAGCGAAAAATGACCGTAGTACGATGCCATATTGCATAAAAAGGTGTACAATACATGATGGGTCATTCAATATGTAATCGCCGGTTTGCTTTGACCGTAACATCACCTCATATGCAGCTCTAAGGTTCAATTAAATTTTTTTAATTTCAATTTTTGACACTATGTTCTATATTTTATGTGCATTCAATATTTTAAAATGATGTTTCGAATATGTTTTGTTTTGGAAAACTTGATTTTTGCAGTTACACTGCGCTCCATAAACTGTTGTTTTTTTTGTGTATAATGTAATTTAGCATTATTGGACTGCATTTTTGTTAAACATTTCATTTTCTGTTAGCCGCAATTTCCCAGTTCATAAAAAGAATTTTGGTGAATTTTCAGTTTGAAGCGGACCACCGACATGATGATCGGCGGGAAACAGGTCCTAATATGCGGATATGGCGAAGTATGTGTTTTAACGTGTAATCTTTTCTGAAAATGTTTCACGCGCCAACTGGATTACCGTGGTTTTTAGGTGGGTAAAGCCTGTTGCCGGTCCCTGCAGAGTATGGGCGCGCATGTTGTCGTCTCGGAGATCGATCCCATCTGTGCGCTGCAAGCCTGGTAATTGAAGAAGTCGGGATACAAACCGCGGTCACATGTTGACTTGCTATTGATTGTGTTCTCTGTTTTTCTCCATGGGCCACAACAGTATGGACGGATTTAAAGTCGTTAAAGTGCCTGAAGTGATTAAAGTGATTGATTTAGTCATTACGGCCACTGGTGAGGACAGCCGATTAAAATCTTCGATTTTTTTGCAAGATTAAACGCGGAATGATGTTTGCGATATAACTTATTCGATTTTATTAAAAGCGTAGCAACGCAAACTTTAAATTGGTTTTGCACCAGTAATAGCTTCGGTGACAATGTGGTTTTACAATCTTTCCTTCGTTTAAATCTTTATCTTACGTCATATTTTTATGAAAAAGACTGCATCATAACTTCTGCGATTTGTAAAATTTTCTTGCCTTAAGATTACTTACAGATATTTCTTCTAAATCTGCAGTAAATTTTTGCCGGTTTTTACCGTCACTTTTTAATCGCATGGTTTACCAATCCGGTGCTTTTAGTCGTTCATGTTAGTAATTATTTTTCAGGGCTTATTTAAAAAATTATTTTTGGGTTGTGCAGGGAACAAGCGTGTGATAACCCGTGAGCACATGGACCGTATGAAGAGCGGCGCGGTGCTGTGCAACATGGGACATAGTGATAACGAGATCGATGTGTCCAGCCTGAAGACACCGGAACTGATCTGGGAGCATGTGCGCTCTTCTGTAGATTATGTTACCTGGCCAGACGGGCGCCGTTTGGTGCTACTAGCCGAGGTATGTTGACTGACGTGCACGCCGCACGGGGCAGAGGTTGCGGGAATGTAAATTTGAACGCGCATGACGGAAGTTGACTTGTAATACAGGGTCGTGTCCTCAACCAGAATTGCTCAAGTTTACCCAGCATTGTCCTTTCCATTACCTGTGCTGCTCAGATCATTGCCTTGATTGAATTATACAATGCGGCGCCAGGAAAATACCGGAACGACGTGTATTTATTGCCGAAGAAGATGGGTATGTTTCGAAGTTTTACGAGTACTGTACTACGAAACGAAGAAAAACTCGTATTAATAATTTGTTTGCTATTATCGTCTGTGATTTATTTTACTCCTTCTTTACAGATAAGTTCCTCTTTGCATCCCGATAACATTTATTATTCGTAATCCTGTAATGCAGAAATATAAAAGCGGTTATCTGACATCACTGTGTTAATTTTTTCGTATTTTTATCATTAATGTTAACTTGGTAACTGTTTTTGTTTGAAAAAGCGGCTGAAAGTAAGATTTCCGAGAATTATTTATCGTTTCCACAACAATTCTGATCCTTGACAATCGATTTTCGATTCTGATTTTGGTTGCCGTGAATTAAACCTCTATTGATGTGGCTAGCAAGAATCGTTTTATTTTTGCAGACGAATATGTGGCACTGCTACATTTGGACGGTTTTGATGCCCACCTTACGGAATTAACAGTGAGTGCCTCATCATGTTATGCTACAGTGAGCACATTTGCTCAAAGGATTGACCTTGTAAGCAATTTTAGCATGTTTCCAGGATGAGCAAGCCCGCTACATCGGAATACTAAAATCCGGACCTTTCAAATCAGCCAATTATCGTTATTAAAGCGGTGTTAATAGAATACGTGTGAAATTTTTTTCTACTCGTATTTTCGTGATAATGTTTAAAAGTTCCTGCCCGGTGCCGTTTGGCATATTTTTAACAGATGGTCTGTAATATTTGGTCTGTAATAGAGTTCAGAGCAATACGGCTTTCGGCCCACTGTTATTTAATTGATTCCTTTGTTTTCATCGTGGTTTTTAAGTTAATTGAGCTCTTTTTAATATTTTTGCATTGTACGTGCGTCTTGGAATAAGGGTTTCAGAAAAGGCAGTCAGCATCTTTTTCGACGTGGCTATACAAACAGTACTTATACAGGGTAGTTTATTTATCAGCTTTTTTGGATTCCATCAATTAAATACCACTGCACTACAAGAGGAGCTGCTAAAAAACTGTCGCCACATAAGGTCCACCTTTGTGCACGCTGGACAGTACGTCTTGTGCATGTTTGTACATACGTCATACGTAGTTATTACTAATATGCAGTTTTGCTGGCACAATCAACGATGTCATTATCTATAGCATTTAATTAAATTTTGAGCTTTTTGGTTGAAGATTTAAGTTCTGCCCAGTTATGTCACTTCTCCGCTCTTTTTTATGTTTCACGCATTTAACACAGACCTTAAAAATTAAAACATAACATTCTGTATCAGATCATTAAATTTCGAAACTTCCAAGCTAAGAGTAAAGTGCACAGGTAAATTTTTACTGTGTGCAGTATTACAGATAGGAATATGTATTTACTGCATTAATTAGGCCTATATAGTTTTCAAGCAGTTGCTCGAGTTTAAAACATAAGACGGAAGTCCAGCAAGATATGTTTTTCGCTTATGCATTACAGCTGCATTCGCGTTCTTTTTGTGGCCAGTCGCAGTTGCTGGCTTGCACCGCTACTTCCGCCGTGATCCCGTGCTTGAACGGTCCTCCAGAACGCAGGTGACCAGCCCAGGGGAACTGTCAAAACAAAAACATAATTATTTTTACGTTGAGTTATTTAGGGATTTATGGCTAGCTCAGTATAGACGTCATCAAGTATTTTACCCCCGAGCATCCGTTTTTTGCGCAGAAATCGTTGAAAGCTTTATCCACTAGATCGGCATCGGCGAAATTGGCAATGCCCACTTGGACATCGTGGACGTTGTTAAATGTGCATCCGCTTTGCTTGAGAATTTGATTAACCAAGTTGAAGCACTGCATAACGTGGTTGTAGGTAGTTTTCGGTTCGATGACCGTGTTATTGAAGAATGAAACGAAGGGATGTACAGAGTGGAGGAACAAAAGGTTTCCAACTCGCACCGCATGTCTAATAAACAATAGGAGATTAATATTAAACACGAAGATATAAAACACGAAGCGCAAAAACACGAAGATATAAAGTGAAGCTTTTCGCTATAACAAACTTTTTTCCGATAGTTAACATATATATGTAATTATACACTGCGCTTATAGTGTCGCCGATCTCACTGTCCCAGTCGTATCACCGTTTTTATAAAGGTCACCAGCTAAGTGATGCTTACTGCCATGGTTTAGTGACATCTTTTGGCGGCGCTAAGGAAGGAGAGATTGGAACGTTATATCGCTGCCATTTACTGCAACACTGTTGATTCCCTCCCGCTGTAAGCGGATTTTGTGTTGACTGCTTCGGTGAGCCTGTAGTCGCAGAACTTTGTGTCTGCTGCTTCGCGGGAGTTGTAGTCGTAATTTGTGCTAGAGAACGAATATGGAAATAAGTCCACGCATAGAAGATTTCGATAATTATTGAAAATACCGAAACACACAAAATAATTGCAATACCGGCGAACAAATATAGAAAGTATCGTCAAATAATAGATAAATAATTATTTAATGCTAGCAAACAATGACCTTAACGTCACTAAGCAGTTAAGGAAAAATCGACACTCCTACGCTTTTACATAATTTTACAGATAACCTACAACAACCTTTTTTAACACAATTTTAAAAAAGCATGAAAAATTTCTTACATGTAGCGGCATGGCTGGCATCCAATATCGCACAGCAGACAACAAATGCAGTCATACCAAAAACAAATGCACGTACCGTCGCCATTCTATACAGTTTTAGAAACTCACACTTGTGAAACAAACAAGAAATGCAGAAGTCACAGTACTAACAGTCGGTATAAATCGGAAAGGAAACATAAGGATGATATGATTAAGTTTCCGTCTAATACCGCTTTATATACAGAAGTTTGTAAGAAAATATGCCAAATAATAATGGGGTTAATCCAAAGATCTTTGTAATTATACCTGGGTTTATTTGTTTCCGGTTCGGCACACGGTGTATCTGTTTAAGATGTAGTAAAGTTTCTGGAATGGATAGTATACGAGTATGACATGTTAATTACCATCTTTATGCATTTCCATGTATCGAATTTTTATGGTGTGTGGTTGGTGTCTGCTATTCTGTGAATATCGGGCAGACACGTTTCTTTACAGCTATTACGCGGCTGCAAATACGTTGAACCATTCCAGGGACGGCTTGAACCCAGACAATATCAGACTAGCCATGCGATAATCATGACACTTACGATTTAAATATCGCAAATTGCTGTCATGCGCTTAGGCCAAAAATTCTTCAGGGAATACTAATGTCGGCAGCTAAGGTCATTCAGATACGTCATTTATCCACGAAACTGCCTGCGTAATTCCTCAACACACAGAAACGCAGACGGAAGTGATTATATTATACCGATTTCAGGGTCGGCACAGCTTAGAGATTTTGTGATGCATGGCTGCGTGCAAGAAACACTATGAAACGGTGCTTTATTATCAGTGTGGAGGTACCTGTGAAAGTTAAGTATTGCGCTGGTTTCCATGCCTAGACGTACCGAGAAATTCAGTTCAAGCTGAAACGTGTGTTGCATTTTTGTATGTTTATAGTTTGGTTTTTTGGCGGTTATTCGTATGAAACCAATGAACGACAGTTGCTGGAGATTTTCAAAGTTTGAAAACATGAAAATCTTTATAAAAATTAATAATAATTTCTGTGGTGTGCATAACTATATTTCGTCTTTTATTGAGCGCCAGTTGAGCTATACTTCATATGTGCACTTTATGGTGAACAACTAAGCGGTTTTCGCCTATATTTGCCAATGCAGGATTCTGGCAAGTTCTATACACGATAGTGTATGCGGTGTAATTTTATTAATTACTTGTCTTAATACTTCATCACGCAACAAAATGACGCTAATGTCTAACAAATCACATTGAATCTGCCGCAGATAATACAACCTTGTACCATGTACACTTCACGAACCAAGTTCGAATAATTTATCACCAAGCAAATACTATACATGTTACAAAATAATACAAAACCACACCCATCTCCCGGTGACCTTTGTAAACTGTGTAATACTTTTATTCTCTCCACGTGGTCCAGACGCCACCATGAAACCTGGGCCGGGCCTGCTGGTCCATGGGCCTATTGCGCGGTCGCACCACCGTTTCATTGTATTCCGCCAGACGCTTCATCATGCGCTGTAATACTGCTGGTTGTTCCGCAGCGATATTGCGGTACTCACAGGGATCCTCATCCAGATCGAACAGACACGGCCCAGACGACGGCCGGCAACTCTGGGTGACCGAGGGATCGGTTGGCGGTTGGCAGATTATGCGAGCGCTGTGTATTTTTACATCGTTGTCAGTGTCAGCATCGAAGGTGCCCTTTGATCCGTACCATCGGTCCCATAGGCCGGCGAACGTGGATCCCTTAATAAGTTTGTAATTGCGAACGCGCAGGCCGTACAGGCCACGTTGTCGGTCAATGTTGAGCAAGATTTCAGAGCGGGGTGACGGGAAGTTGTGTGATAGTGTCGGCCACATGTTGAAACCGTCAATACCTGGTTACACCAAAAGAAAAGGTTATTTCCGTTTTAACACAGCCAGAATCTTTCAGCCGTAACAAAATGCAGAAACCCTAGACATAACATCAAGTAATTATACAGCATTATTATTCCTGGCAAGGATTTCATGGCGCCGGGCGTTCAACTACAATAGTTACACGCTGCCGACAACTGACTTGTACCGCAGTATTTATAATTGTAATAATAGTCATCTTCGGTGTAGGATAAAGCTGACCGGCTTTGCATTTCTGCATTACAAACTTACGGTTAGTAGTTTTTATTTCATAACTATTTGTATACCAAGCAACAGGAAAATATGGAAAGGTAATAATATCACACGGCTTTCTGCATCCAGGTTATCGGCAATATTATAGACGCATACACAAAATTAACGAATTCAGATATATCTGTAGTAACTTCCACTGTAACATTTATATTATAGCATTTTACCTGGTATGTATTTATGGATTCCGGCAGCGTATAACAACGTGGGCAACCAGTCCGTAATATGCATCATCTGGGTGGATACTCTGGGAATCTGGAGTAGCAACGGGCTCCAGAGGAACGCCGTGGCCCGTACACCGCCTTCAAACAGCGTATCTTTGCCTCCTCGTAATGGCCAATTGCTGGCTTTATTGCGGTCATATCCAGCTGTTGCTCCACCGTTATCCGTAGTAAAAATGATAATACTGTTGTCCAGCATTTTGCGCTCCTTGAGTGCGGCATAAACACGTCCAACGGACTCATCCAGGGCACCGACCATCCCTTTATGCAATACAACGCAGTTGCTAAATTCTGCCTAGCTAGTGCTCATGATTGTATCGTTAAGTTCAGCCATTTGCTTACCGGCAAATATTCGCCGGTCGCGATTTTGTATATTGGGATAGCGGGCAAAGTAACGCTCGGTTGTTTGCAGAGGATCATCGGCATTGCCGGCATGGACAGCTTGGTGCGATAAATATAGGAACATCGGCTATTATCAAAACAATTGTATAATGAACAATATGGTGAACTTGTAATGACCTTGCATCACAATATGTACAGTATCTACTAGTCTGATGAACGCACATAAAGCATACTACTCGTAAGGAACACTGGGTTTACCTCGGACGTATTGTGGTTGAATATGACCTTTTCCGCTTTCTTGGTATATATGTCGGTAATGTAATGGCCGGAACGATTCCGGGTCGGATTTAATCCATCATGTAAATCATGGCCAAGTTCTCCAAACTGAAAATGGCAGCAGGCACTGGAGGCTACTCAAAGCAGTTATGATATTGTTCGCAAATTCCAATTTCCACATGTTTATATGCATCTTTCAATGTTAATTTACAATGGTACCAGAATAATCACAGGTACATTCTGAAACTGTGTAGCACCGCCTTATTGAAAAATTAATTATGCTTATGTGGTATTAACTTTGAGGTATCCTCATTAACAGTTACTGAATAGCTTATCTTATTGATAGCTTATCTTAACCACAACGTTCGCTACTTAGCTAGTTATTTAAAAATAAATGCCTTTTATATGTACCTCAAAAGCTGTGTGATTGAAATAGTCGATGTGTCCAGTCCAATGTCCGAAATGGGTGTCGAAACCTCTGTACGCTGGTAAAAAACGAGCAGTTAGACCTTAAATCAGTTAATTACAAATTGTGTTAAAGAAAACTGCTTATGTGCGAAAGCTGTTAGGATTTATCGTGTGTGTTGATATATACTTACTCGGGGTATAATTTTTGTGAAAGAATCCAAGATGCCACTAAAATGTTAACAAAAGTACGAGTTATAATCAGAAATAAAATAAAATTTCACCGCCGTGTTACAGTATCTCGCATTTTAAATACAGACAAAAACAGGAAATATTCATGTTCGACTCATAGCATTTAAGCTATTTTGTTAAATAGCTGAGTGCCATTCTTTGTACATGTATAAGCGGTACATTATATGAAAACGTCTTGCTGAGCTCACTGAAACATCCAGGGTTTTGTTTTATGGAACATGCCAACTAAAAGTGACCATTAAATTTTTGTTGATAACATTCGGCAGGAAGATATAGCTTTTGTATAAAACTATGCAGTCTTTCACGTCTGTACAATCAATAGACGTCGCCCGAATCTTTGGTTAAACCTTCACACCTTTAAGCAAATTGCCGCCACATGCCGGCAATAACCGGTAACGAACGCATAGCTTTTTTACCTAAACGTATCATTAAACTGAAATAAAGCGTCAAGCCAAACTACTGAAAAATGCTGTATGATTCACGGTTCCAGCTCATTAACGTTCCCATTGTTTGTGCTGAACAGAAATAACTGGTCGTAATTAATCTGGCTTGTGATCCCAGCTTGTACACGTGCTCGGTGTACGGAGAAGCGCCAAAAAAGTTGCGTAATTTTAACATTCCAGTCATTTAGTAGGAAAGTACAGTATAAAACTCTATAATGAGTTTTTTATGGATAAATTTCCCAAGACCTGCAGCGATAATCAATTGGACATATTCTGTTACCGAAAAACTAAAGGTCGAAAAAACCGGAATAATCAAATATCCGAAAAAAACAATATTGCCAAAACCTTGTAGTGCGACAAATTAAACTCATAGGTTATGTCAAGTACGTAATTATTACTTGATAATGCATAAAGCCGCGAGATTTATTACATGTACTTGTACCATAGTCGGTAATTAATTTAGGATGGAATCAGGCAAAGTCCCCAAAGGCAATCCAAAAACTTTTTAAATTTTTGTTAGATTAATGGCTTCCATTCAAAATTACTACAGCGATATCTGTATTTACGCACACAATACATATGCGAACGATATCTACGTATGTATATTTTAAATATACGCTCTAAGGATAATGCGTTAAGAAAATGGAGATTACTCCGAACTGGAAAATTCTTTAGCGAACTGAAACCAAGACGAAAATCATTTTACTATGAAAAATTGCTGACCTTCCCGATAGCATGATTCCGGTATCCCGCTTCCTTTAAATACTGCGGCAAAAGTTTTTCCTCCAGTCCCAGCCCATACGGCTGTGCTGCGTAGAGGACATTGTGCTGCATGCCTGAAACATAATATCTGGGTGTTACGTATGCTGGCAACATGCAACGTTTGTTCCGATGCCATTTTGCGCTATGTGGTGCCAGCTGTCAACTTGACCTTCTTCTGGCCAGACAACAATGCTGTTCTTGAACTCTCAAGTTATGAATTTTGGAAAAGCTGTCAAAGTGAGATATTACAAAATTGTCCATCTATCGTCACTCAGTTAACCAGATTCGGCATAAAATAGGCCACCATTTATATAATCAATCACAAGAAAGCACTAATTTAAAAGTTCGAAAAAGACAGCACTTGAGATACTGTTTATAATTTTTAAATAGTACAACAAACTTATACAAAATCTTCTAACCATGAGGAAATCAAAAACTGTAAATGCAGAAGCTGGCTGGTCGAAAGGCACCGGGTTCGAAAAGTGGTGCTACCATACAAATTAATAAATTTTTGTCATATTGATTTGTAGTTCTTATTTGTCGGCGCCTTTTTTCTATAATAACAAGCCTTCGATACCAGGAATTATATAAGCCAAATGTAAAATACCTCTTTCCCGGCTGGTTTAGTAACAACGTATATCGTTTTTGGAAATCAGCTTATTTAGTTTAAAAAACTGGATCGGTTTGGATTTGGATTGTACAGATAAATTACAGTAAAAGCACAAAAATTTCTTTATCGAGAGTAACAAGTATTGGTGGATACCGAGGTCCACAGATGCAAACTGTAAAATTTCTGGTATCGCACCTGTATGAATGGGATACTTTCCGGTCATCAGTGCTGCCCTTGATGGACTGCACATGGGCGTAACGTAATAATTGTTCAGGATGACACCTTCGCGTGCCAATCTATCGATTTGTGGTGTAAGAATTTCTTGCGATCCATGGAAACTGACATCGTTCCAACCCTGTGCAGATTGCAGTTATTAGAATCCTCAAGAGTCATGTATAAACTACAATTCGCGAATTATTGTACTCAACGATGATAGTAAGCGTTTTTGATACAAGACTTTAAAATAATACAGGAAGCTATGACGCTTTAAAGGTAAAAACATTTAGCAATGCATGTGCATACAGCAGCAAAACGTTTGCCCTGCGTAATAATTATGGCATTTATAATGAAATTGGAGGCAAAATCTTACGAGATCATCGGCCATAATAATGATAATATGTGGCCGTGACTTTTTGGCATTGTACGTCCACAAAGCATTTATATAATCCGGCAGCAAGCATATTATGCATAAATATAAATGTAGAATATCCATTTGAATAAGTAATGAGCAAATACGGGCGTATTAATACTGATAAGTGTAGTAGATTTTGTCACAGCAACGTTTTTCGACTGCTTCGCTATGTGATACCGGCGGCTGCGTACATTACCGGCGACACTTTCCTTTCCGCGCCAAAAATCAACCTTTAAAATGCAGCGTTATGGAGGTGAAAGACAACAAACATACACACATAAGAAACAATAACTTGTCTTCCGCACGCTGTGTACAAAAAATCAATGTCCGATTGCAGCGCATTAAGTGGCATAACTTCGATTTACGTATGTCAAGCTTTGAGTTTTGAACGGTCGTTATCCATGCTTTTATATATATTGTACAGGCGCGTGCCGCATGCACACTTTAATTTGGTGAAATGCTTTGTAATTAATCACTAGCAATACCGAGTATAAAAAAGTATAGTATGAAAACTAGAATTATTTTTTAGAGTATGCGGTTGTTTTAGGCGATGTGTGACTCATTTGTGTGTTGCGGTCACGTGGTATCGTTGAAAATGTTTGCCCTTGATGACAAAATTTTCATATGTGTAGGACGCATTTTAAAAGCAGTCGTGGGATGTATCCGCAATTATATTTCACAGTAAGCCGGAAAAATTTTTTGATTGATTTGCTTTGAAACCATTTACTTGTTCGTTTTGAATAACTTAAGATTTTTATTAATGATGTATCCGGCGAATTCCGAAGTCAAGTTATTCTTGAGACAATAGTAAATATGCTGCAAGTACTGCATTTGTTAGTGTTGCATGTTCGTGAATGGTTAACTCAGGATGAGTTTTTCATAGTATCCTACAAAAGTACTACCATACCGTTGCATTTACTAATAGTGCGGTGTGAGTACAGGTTAATACATCAGCTAATGTCATTAATTTTGTTGGTACGATGATCGTTCGTCTGATCGATTTCCGTAAAGAAAACATATTGGTGTGCAACAAAACGTGCGCGCCAAACCGGTGATACTAACCACAGAGTGCATTGGTCGAACTCCGCGGTAGCAAAGTACGGTATAAGTGATTCACAAGGTATATCGGAAAAATGCCGGCAGGAACAACAATAGTTTTGTTGTTTCAATTAGATTAGCCATGACTCGAACAGCTTGGTTTGTTATTAACTATTTTCATGTTTCGTAACCATATGATTTCATTTTTAAGAACAAAATAAAATTAGCGATGTCAAAACAAAGTTTGCGCAGGTTTTTGCTCGTGACCGGCCAAAGTTTCTGTACAACTGTACACATTCATAAGAATATGTTTTCTGGAAATGTTCATTCATAATTTCGCTGTTTGGATTATTGTAGCCAAAAGCGAAGCCGATAACAAACTGAAAATAAACAAAGAGTCACATATGTCAGTTAATCTAGTGCTGTTTGGGCTACGTACACTTCTAATACGAATTCTTTTCCCGCATTGTCGAAAGCGGCAAATCGGGGAATAATCACTTGTTTTCTTTAAATGGCACCTATAACTAAGCAGTGTGGAGTGTGGACTGTGGTATACAAGCACATGTACAATACGTAACATTATTCATTAAACAATTATCTACTCGTAAACGCTGTTTGGATTTGATTGCTGTTTGTTCATTATTGTTTCAGCCACCACTGAAAAGTGATTATTTGAAAAACGATATTAAGGTTCCCCATTTCTTGAGGGAAACTGTTACTGTACTTTTACTGTTACGGTTTCTGAAATTGATGAACGATCCAGTTCGCATTCTGTGACCAGCACCGCTGGAATCTGGGATGAACGATTACGCTTTCCAGTGCTGTCAATGCCAAAGCAACACCGATAAGGTTAACAAGGCTACTGATTGCAGCCCCGAAATTTTTTTATCCAACACCTAAGGTTTACCTTTGTTGTTGCAGCGGAATACTGAAACCAACCAAAATTAGACCATATAAAAGAGGAGTTTTTTGTTTTCTGCTCAGTTCTCACCTCTCACCCTCAGCTGCCTTGGTCGCACATATTATCTGCAAAATCTGTCATTAAGGTCGAGAGTTTTCTTACTTTTGTACGGTAGTACGTTTAATATTTTGTACGGTTTTCTTAATTTTGTACGAGCAGTTTGTCAATTAAAATATCTAACTAAACGTTTCGTGTGGGATACTTCTATAACAAACGCCATTCCTCATATGGTTTTCGAACAGTTATCTGCTGGACATGGTCCATTTTGGTCAATTTGCTGTTGTATTCTGGGCCAGTAGTAATGCTGCGTACTAATATACTTCAGTTACAAAGTCATTTTGTGATTAGCCATTTTACAGTCCATGTGTGCCTGGATCATAACCACAGGGCGAATTCACGTCGGCTTTGCAACCGCCGTAATAGTTTCATAAAGCAAAGATTCCGGTTGAAGTTTGGCGCAATTACGCACTGCCATGCCGTGTGGCTTGTAGGTACTGAAGAGCAAGATGCAGCGGAAACATGGCTAGGACTACGATCAGAGGTAAATTAAGCTCAAGGCTCGGGGCAAATGTTTTTATTGTAAATGGAAAACAAAAATTGCATTGTAAACCGGTAAATTGCAGTTATTGCAAAAAACCGGTAAACCGGTTATTGCAAAAAACCGTTACAAACCGGTAAATTGCAGTTATTGCATTGTATGCCATAACAAAAATATTATGTTTGCGGACTTTGTGTTTAAATTTAAACACATTTAAATTTAAATATTATGTTTAAATTTTTGATAATTAAGAAAACGAAAAAAGTTTGTTTCAAAGAAACCCCCGGCCCCCAAGGGGCCATTCACATTCCAGGAAAGGTAAAAAAAAAACATCTTAACAATAAATTACTTAACTATGATTTTCCAATACTTCGTTTTTACTGCTGAAATTCCATTTCCAAGCAACAATCCCAATTAAAAGTATTGCAGTTCCAATGAAAACCGTTGCCCCGAGACACTTCGGTAAAGCTCATTACATTAAATGTGCAAATAATATCCAGTTGCTGCTCTCGATCTACAATAAATTGGTTTTGCTGATTTAATATGGTGTTATCGGAACTGCAACAATAACTGTGCCCGGGATTAGCTTTATGTTTACGACGAAGGTTCCTGTGGAAAGGTCAAGGAAAGTAAACTACAAATGCTGGCTAGATTTCACTCTCATCCGGGCAGTCTCCACTATCGTTGACGTCGTCGCACTTTCAAATTTAAAATATGCTTTCCAAGCGTTTCTTTCTGTAAGTTTCTCACAACGGTGACCCGATCGATGCCTGACATAGTATGTCCCGTGCAGTCATAATATCCCATATTTGTAGTATGTACTTATCTTTAAGAGTTTTGCTGCCGTAATTTTAAATTAACTATGTACATGGATGACAAAATTAATTACGCGGTTAATTTACACCCTTCATATACTCGATCTTTCACATAGTACTGCGTAACTGCGTACAAACTGAACAATCTCCACAGGTAAACGAACGACCGATAAATCGCAAGCGCAGGATCCGGTTGCTCACCGCGAAAACCTACCGTGATTTTGCAGTTTTACGCTTTGTATTTGGTAAATGCAGCTGAAAAACCAAGCGAGCGCACTGTATAATCTACATATTTCGGTATCTGTATTTTTATATCCACAGACGGCACCTGTTACTTTTTAGCTTAATACCCAATCGAATTTGGTATTTTAAGCCTTACTTGCTGCATAAAAGAAATTCGGTTTTGACTTCAAAACGATGTTACTGAGCCGAAAGGGAAATCAGTTTTTAAGAAGATGAGGTATTCGTTTTTGAAAAGTTCCTGTTTTGCTCTTTTTTTAATAGAATGTCTAAGTGGTCCGGCTAATTTGTGTATGGCTCAAACGGCATATACAACAGCATCTTCCACCACCACGCTTTCTTCCACTACCATATGCCCTCCCCAGGTGTGTCCTCCCGGACCTATTGGAGTGTGTTGCAACTTAGTGAGCACCGATCCGACATCTTGCATCGCAGTCAACTGCTGCATTCGGTTCGGATTCAGCGAACAGGTGTGCAATTTCAACACTGATAACCAGTGCGACTGTGGCCAAGTTTTCTGCGGGACGGATTTGAGTCGGCATTGTTGCATTGTTACCGGTTCCTTTCCGAGTGCGTGTTATCAACAATGCTGTTGCGATCCGTCGTGCACATCTGCCGCCCATATTAACACATCGGCGTAGCAAAGCCGGGCAATGCCCGGATTTAGCCCGGCCCGGATTAACTGTGACCTCGTGTACTTGTCTAATTAATACCTGATGCAATCATGATGTAAGAGCACTGTGAATGTTAATTCGGCTTTGCAGTAGTTACTGTTGGCAGCAAAGTACACAATGCATGCGCTTTTCTAAGTAGTCTAGAAACAGCAAATATGCCGGTCAGCTTTCGTGCTTATTTATCCACCTTTTTTTGCTGTATTGTTTCAATTTGACGCGGTCGTTGCGAGCTGATAAAAAATTCTAATAGCTGTTATAGGTTCCAGGGGAATGTAGGACGTACCGTATAAGTGCCGGCGGTGTGAACAAAAACTTCATACTTAATAATGGTCAGAGCAGCATCAGATTGCTAAAATCGCATTCGACAGATTTGGTCAAAAGAAATCCATCTAATCTTTCCATGGACTCCAGATATAATTATGGTACTGCGGTTTAGCAGCTGGATCATGGGGGAGATTTCTAGGCGGTACAACGGTCGTATTATACCACCTTAGCTTCTTCATTAGCTCCTCCAGTTTTCTCGGCATAATATCGGCCAAATTCTCATATTCACATGGATCTTTCTCGATATCGAACAAACATGGTGCTCCAGTTAGCGGCTGGCACGAAGTCTTGACGCTGGGGTCAACCGGTGGAGTACAGTTTACAGTCAGCGAATCCGAAATTGTGCTTTGCCCTTCTGGAGGATACCATCCATCCCACTTGCCTTCGTACGTCGAGCCAATAACCAGTTTGTACTGCGCACTCCGCAATGCGTAAATCTGTCGCTCATGATCGATATTCAGGAGAATCTCCGTTCTGGGCGAAGCAGTATCTTCGGACAATGCGCGCCACATATTGTGACCGTCTAGTTCGCTTAGACGACCTTTGTGCTTAGCGGCCGATAAGATGGTCGGCAACCAATCCGTGATGTGCATCATTTGGGTGGAGACCCGTCCCGCTGATTGCAACAACGGACTCCAGATAAACGCGCTGCCCCGAACGCCGCCTTCCCATAATGTATCTTTGACGCCACGCAGTGGCCAGTTGTTGGCGTGGTTGTAGTTGAAACCCGCTGCCGGGCCACCGTTATCGGTGGTGAAGATGAGGATAGTGTTGCTGTCCATGCCGCGAGATTGTAGTGCACGATGGGCACGCCCCACTGATTCGTCTAATCCGGCTACCATACCTGCATATTTCTGCATCTAATGAATCTACTCGCATTCTGTATGATCTGAGTGAGGTAGCCTTACCTGCAAAGAGTCGTCGACCGTTGTGCTTGATATGCGGGAAGCGGTTGTAATACTGGACGGTGGTTTGTAGGGGATCGTACGTGTTGGCGCTGTGAACGGCTTGATGGGCCAGATATAGAAACAAAGGCTGCAAAGCCCATGCATTCGCTTTAATTTATTACGGTTTCCGTCAAATACGTGGTACCGCTAAATAACTTGTGATCTGTAGCCTGGCAAGTACTCTGTACGGTAGGTGTTAACCTCATTGCCAGTATTTTAAGATTTACCGAGCTTGTGTTGTGATCCAGTATGATCTTTTCCGCTCTCTTCGAATAGATATCTGTACTATAGCGACCGGTCAAATTTTTGACTGGCTCCATATTGTGCCGTATGTCAAGTGCCCAATCATCCCACTACAAATGTACAGAGTACAATACACAAACTGTGACAAACTGTGCGGTTCACGATTTGCGAGCGGCTACAATACCTCCTGCGCTGCGTGATCGAAGTAGTCACCATGACCAAGCCATTTTCCAAAGTGGCTATCAAATCCGCGATAAGCTACACAAAAAGGTCGTAATTGTCATCTCTTTGACCTTTGACGAGACGACGGCTAGTCATTTTTTGACTTTGTATTTCGGTCATGGTATGATGCATTCACGTCCAAACTTTCAGATTTGTGTTGAGTTCAAACTTACTAGGAGTATAATTGGACTGGAAAAATCCCAGATGCCACTAAAAATCAAAAGGTCAAATGGCACTGCAGTCAGCGACCTACAATACCGTAATCATACAAGAAGCTCTGACTGTTTAAAAAAGGCGAAACGTGTAAAGGTGTGGAGCAAACAATGGATGATATTCGCCACCTCGTCCATTTTCAACAAATAGCGATCTTTAATACTAATTTACTGAACAATTCTCAAGTCTAATAAGACTTCGGCATTGTCACTCATCACCAGGGCGTTTTGTTTTTGATGTTCGCCATCCTCAAAGCTTCATACTACGGTGCAGCAGTAAACACGCATGAGGACTCACTTCTGCGCTTTTCAGTTACATCGTAAACTCCTTGCGGAATGCATAATTTCCATAACATCTATATTCCAGTTACGTATACCTTTCCAATAGCGTGTGTTTTGTAGCCCATATGGCGCAGGAACTGAGGAAGCAGCTTCTCTTCTAAGCCCAGTCCCCATGGTTCGACACCGTAAATAACATCCTGCTGCAAGCCTAGAACAGCATTATTGACAATGCAATAGTTGTACATACTTGCCACAAAGCTGTCGGTTTCCGAATCTTACCAGTATGGATCGGATACTTTCCTGTTAGCAAAGCACCTCGTGATGGTGTACAAATGGGGTTAACATAGTAATTGTTCAAAATAATTCCTTCTTTCGCAAGCCGGTCAATGTTTGGCGTTGGAATTTGAGCAGATCCATGAAAACTAACATCGTTCCACCCCTGAAACAGGTTTATGCAATGGTTGGGGTCTGGCGCAAATTAAGTTATTCGGTCTGTGCAGATTCGCATTGAAATTCAAACTGACCAGATCATCCGCCACAATTAAAATTACGTTTGGTTTCTGGGATTTATTTCGCTGTTTACAGTGTGAGCCGCAAATCCATATGATGCAGAAAATTAACAAACTTCTCTTATCAGCCATGTCAAATTTTTATCGCATCCTATTTTTAAAGCTTACTTAAGCTTTTTCTCTTCTCTAATATCAACCGTTAAAACTGCCGTCAAAACTTAACAACGCGTTATATTCGGGAACCGTGCAAAATGCACATTGCGGGTATTCGACCACTTTCAGTGTTTTGGTCTGGAATGCATCTTTTATTTAATCTTGTATTTGCATCTGAGTGTGTTAACCTAAAGCACTTATCAGATATCGGAAATTCTGAGCGTTTAGTAAGTGCATTGTAACTTGCATGCTATAGACGTACCGTACGATTGAGCACTGCTGCTTCTTCTGGTTGGTTACTATGTATCTGTATATAGGTAGTTTAGTCATTGAGTAAGCGTAGTACGTAGATTACCGGTTCGTTATCCGCTCACATTCTATGGTATCTTCTGATTAGCGGCTGGATCATAGCGTTTCCAAATATGTAAATATATAAGCAAAATATTCACTCGTAAACAAAATATTCACTCGTAAACAGCAAATACCCAGCCAAAACGTATTACACACAGTTTTGTTTGGCCAAGACTTCTCTATAGCTAAACTCCTTATCTCACAAGTCAGTGCCGCGTATGGCGTAAGGTAGTGCTAACCAGTAAGTGCTGGCTGGCATCCCACTGAATAAGGGCAACGGTAAAAAATGGGGGAAATGTAAAACCCATAAAGTAAAGGAAGCCCTACTAGTGCCATCAGAAGCAATAGAAAGGGTTAAAATTCACTGGATGGGATTAATAAGCGCCGAAAATCCCTGAACGCCCTAACAGAGGCCTAGAGCACCACGTCCAATATGGCAGAATGGTGGGTTACTTTAAACCATTCGATACCAAATAATTCTTCCACTAAACTCTGTTTGTCAGAAAGGGAAATTTGGCCGGTTTATTTCCGCCTTTCGCAAGTGCTGGACTCGCGTGAGTGCTCTTTCTGAAGAGTAGTTTGTTCAGCAAGCCCATGTCCATGTGTATGAAATATAACATCTTGGCGGTTTTTGTCGCAAGTTTTGCGAATTAAAAAATCTGCAGCTGCAGTTACGGATGACATCAGCACATTTCCGTTCGAAATCTGTTCGTTCGTTCGTGCTTAATGCGCGGAAAATCTGCACAGGGCCAGTTCATAGCATTAGTGCATGCTGGTACAGTGGTACTCGTAGTGAAATTTGCGCGGTACTTAGTTCTCTCGGTTCGTTTTGCCTTTAATGTTCCGGATGTGTACAAAGACAATATAAGAAAGATACGAGTATTTATTTCATTTTCTCTCATCTCCATCACCATGTTTATTTTATTGATTTCTACTATGTACAAACTGTGATAATAAACAAGAATTATGTACAAACGCTACAAAAGCATTTGACCTAGTACGAACTGGAGGGGTTAAAAGGTAAAAAGGTAAGAGGTGGGTTATCGATAACTTCCACAGGATCTTTCCAGGGCACCCAGATGCCGTCCCAGTATTTACCCGGATCGGAAGCCGGATCGTAAGAAACTTTTCTTGATGGGAAAAACGTTGTGTTATACACGGCAATCTTGTCCTTCAGCGTCTTAAGCATAGAAGGGTAAGACGCAGCGATGTTATTCAGCTCGCAAGGATCGTTGACCAGGTCAAATAAACAGTCACTCAAATGTGGTGCGCATTTGCTGACCTCCACACCCGGTGGAAAAACGCAGTCAACGGCTAACGGTGTCCAGACGGTCTGCGGATCGTTGTCGGAGGTACCCGGTGTACGGTACCTAGATTTTAAACAGTTGCAGTTCTTTAAAAGTTTCATATAAAATATGGCGCAGTCAAGCGTTGCCTAACCATCCCAGGAAACTATTGTCGAATATTTCTCCGCCGATGAGCTTGTACAAACCACCATACGTGTCCTGATAGATCATCGCGTACTGGTTATTTGTACCATCAATATTATTCACCAGTTCTGTGCGAGGACCATAATTCAGCCCGTCTGTAATATTATTTTGTAAGGTGTCATTCTCTTGATTGAATAATTTGAAGCTTACTGTAGAGAGAGTTCCATTGGCTAATGCCACTAAGGTCACCCGGTTTGTCGCCCAGTTGGTTAACATCTCCACCGGCGGCTTCGTACATTGTCGGCAACCAATCCGTGACGTGGAACAACTGGCTGGTTATGCGCCCACGCTTAGGCAGAAGAGGCGACCAAATGAAACCGTTAGTGCGAACACCGCCCTCAAACATGACGCCCTTGCCTTGTCGTAACGGCCAGTTGCTTCCGTGATTGCTACCGTGTACAAACTGATAGGAGGGTGGAATAGGAGCCCCGTTGTCGGCAAAGAACACAATGATGGTATTGTTGATGAGGCTTTTGTACGTCAGTGCGTCGGTGATTCGCTTGAATTGCTCGTCCAGTAACTGGATATTGGCTACGATTATACAGTTCTTAGATAATAACATTTTAGCAGCAGTATGGTTGAGCGTGGAAGTAATTAATTACCCAAGTATTTCTTGCGGCTTGGATATTTGTCCGTGAAAGAGATAGCTGATGGACGGAGTTGGTACTGTGGCATTGTATGGATAACGGCACCGTAGTCTTCGAACGCTGTATGGGGCACCGTCGTCGCGAAGTACAAGAAGAATGGATTATTCGGATTGGCATTTCGTATCCATTTCTCGGCATGATTTGTGAACAGTTCTGGTAAGAACGCGTTGTTCGTGACGTTTGCAAAGACAATTTTTCCGTTTTCTCGAAGCATTTTCCCTGCCACTGGAAAAGGTGTGATCTAGAGAATAAAATTATAGGTAACGATGGGCTTGTGGTTATACTTTTCGGCGGTTAGTTTTCCTACCCATCCTGTTGTGTAATTGAACCAGTTACCATCCCCGGACATCAACATATACGTTTGGTCAAAGCCCCGGCTTGCTGCAGAATAGAACAGCAGTCCAAAGGTCAATATTCCGCTTGAACCATTGCTTTTATATCATAAGGTTTTTCTTATGTTTTCTTGTACATACATGGAAAGAAAGCGCGAACAGATTGTCCAAGATGCCACTAAAAGACCCAAAAGTTACGGAATTGAACTCCGCCACAACATAACGGATCCACAACCTACCTTTCCAACACCCCAAGTATCGTATCCAAGATCTTTCATATACTGCGGGAACATCTTAAATTCAACCGGAACACCCCATGGTTCGCCGTCGCTGATGGCGGCCGTTTGCATACCAATGCGGAATGTGTATTTTCCGGTCATCAGAGCAGATCGCGTGGGTGTGCAGATTGGATTGCAATAGTGGCGAGAAAAGGCGATGCCGTCCCAAGCCAGTTTGTCGATATTCGGAGTGGGAGTCTGCAGGTTACCCGAGGCGTAGCTGAGATCAGCATGACCCTAAATCACAAATCGCCTGTAAATTCCGTTTTGGTCTATTCCTGACGATCGCGTACTAGATCGTCCGCCAAGAAAAAGACGATGTTCGGTTGTCGACTGAGTCCGGGTCCACCCTTGATATTACATGTCTTTCCGGAGCCGCCGGAGCAGGCCGGTCGGTTAGCTACCGTTGTCACGATCGCGTCGTTGGATGCCGGCGTTGTGGTGCCGCCCACAACAGTTCCAGCTGGCCGACCAGCTGGTGCCTCTGTCATGGTGAAAGCTTGTTCACTGTCTGGTCCGCTGGCTGGAAGTGTCCCCAGTGTGGCTGGACCACTTGTAGAAGACACAATGTCTGGTCCCGCTGGTGGTGTTGGAACTGAAGGGGCAGCCGTTACTGTTGCCGGCACCGGCACCGACGATGACGGCACATTTGAACCCTAAATGCAGCACACATGCAGTCCTAGAATTTGGTGAATACGTGATAGAAAGCAGTCGTTATTAGCTCTTATTGTCGCACCGAGGTCACGGATCCTGGAGTAGCTGAGGGCGCCATGGAATTGTATGGCGTAGTACCGCTACCCATGGACTGCTTTGCCTGCAGCTTAGCCGCTTGAAGAGCATTTTGCAGTTGAATTTGTCGGGAACGGAGAAGACCAGCTTCGGCACATACGACCACCAGAGCAACAGGCAGATAAGTGGTAAACAACATCTTGATAATTTGATATATTCGGCGTGAAGCGAACAAACACATGTGGCAGCAGTGATCAATGCCACCGCATGTTTGGTGCCAGAAATCTGCCAAATCACCAACTTTATATTGTTTTCTTAACTTGCTGTGTTCGTAGTGCTTTGAGTCGTTCGCTCGGTCTGCCGCCAGTCAGATCGTGTACCTTCCTAAAGACCATTCAGTGAGTTATAACTGGATTACCTTAATTTGCAAATGAATTTCCTGTCTGCATCTGATTAATGAATCCTTAATGCTTAATTACTTATTAATTACTTTGCTGGCACCGTTTTTGAAACAACGAACCGATTAAAGCAATTGCAAAGTATGGCTGTGCTCTCTGTAATTGAATTGTTCTTCTCTTAAATTTTAAAAAAATGCAAAAATTTGCACATCTGACCAGCATATTTATGTTACGTCCGGGTTGCACGGGGCCATGTGATGCTATGGGGAAAATGTGCTCAAGTCTGATCCCGCAAATCCAGACACGGATACGAATTTGCATATTGTTACGAACGTGTAAAGCGCTCTTTTAGTGGGTGATGGACAGACAGCCAGACTGTCCATGTAATGACACCTAATTAACCCTTTAATTGGCGCGAACATTTCTACGCACATCGAATTACAGTGCAATAGTTCGACATATGAAACCGTTGTTACATAACCTCGCCCATTCGTTGGTGTAGCACACGCACCAATGGAATTTTCATGTGCTTGGACAGAGTTTATGATATGTTGCAAACGTTTACACCAATTAGCAATTTCCCACAACAATCAACATTACATCAGATTGTTGCAGTGTCATGGTGCTATGAGTTCGGTGAATATCGACAAGTGATTACTGTATAATACACTACTCTGTATTTCGTTGACCGTGGTCTTTTATTACTGACTGCCGGCTGCTTCGGTGTTGTAGGCGCTCGCGTGTTATGCTCGTGCTGACCGTTGATCAATACAACCTTACAAGTTAGTCGAAAGCTTTCACGGATGTTGGCAGAAAATCGTTTTCGTTTGAACATTTGCGTCCACATGGTGGTGGTGCTGCGCAAGGATGAATAAGTATACCGTACGCGTATAATATCTGCCCTCCGGACTTCAGTAGTGATCCACCGAAATATGCATAGAGGACAGGTATGTATTTTATGTGTGATCACTAACTGCATGTTCCAGTTGAAGCTGCGGTCCCATCTACAGGGTTTGCTGATGTCGAACACTATTCTTTTTTGGAATCGCACTTCCGCTGAGCATCAGTTCTTCATACATTTTTTTGATTAGACAACGTTCTGTGCAAAGGTCACCAGTACTATGTGGATCGCACTATATTGAGCAGGTAAATGACAGTACTTAACCAACGTCATGCGACATCTTTTTACTGCTTAGAACTCGCAGTCCAAGTGCCTGTGACCGCTTGTCCCGTGTATCGTTTAAAGTTTACAGCAGGCCTCACCATCAGTATTGTACAATACATATCATGTCACCCCTCGGTTGTTGCAAAAGACACCACAGCCACTAGCTACTAACAAAAACAACCATAAATATTTAGAGCAAGTACTGAATTACTACCCTTTTAGTTTCAGGGTCGAGTAAGAAAAGTGCAACATGAGCGCAATAACATTATCAAAATTTAATTCTGTGCTCGAGTGTTTACCACATTTTTGACACTATCGTTGACAAAAGCAGTGTTACTTCGCTGAATTGTTAAAAATGAATAACGATCTTCTGACTCAAAAGCGCATGGTTACGAATCTCGCCGGATTATAGGAAAACCATTTTTCCTATCTCTTCAATGGGCGTCTTGGCTGAACTTCCGAATGTCTGGAATCCGACAGGGATCAACTCGTGTAGTCCCGATATGATCAAGGGAGTTCTAATTCATGACGTTATCAGCTTCGGCCTGGTCGACGTCGCTCCGGCTCCTTCGCTGCTCTGATCCAGAGTAGACCGGGCATCAGTGTCGGCGCAGTTCACGTCTCACGCCGGACACAGTTCTCTTGTTCAAAGGCAGTCGTTAGCAGTCCAAACGTGTGTCGTTTTTGTGTCACATGCCTCTGGATTCCATTTGCGCGAGCCAGGTAGCCAGCCGACCCTGGTCCATATCGCAGACTGTCGTTAAGGGAAATGACACGGTCCATTTGTGTAAATCAGCACATGCACGAGTACTTTCGCTTTTGCGTACTCTCATCAATTCATGATATAACTAAAAAATTTGTTTCCATTGGCGAGAAAACCGTCAAATGCGCGCAACACGTACTCTCTTGGGATGTTATGGATAAAATAAGACTCCAAAAACTTTTAACCCAAACGAGCGTGCCAAAAGTCTTGCAACATAGACCGATCTTTCATTTTGCTGAAAAAAAAACCACATAAATATCAAGGTCGTTTTCATTCGAAATACTGGAACTATTTTCAAATTTTAAAATGAAATTTAAAATCTAAATTCGTTGGTTAACTTAAGAAAAACGGATTAAAACGATCTTTCTACTTCTTTGCATTTTTCAGAAAGAAGTTTATTATGGCACCTTTGGTGTACTTTTTCGTTTAAACATTTTGGAATCTTATTTCTTCCATAACTCCACCACCGAATGTCGCGGGCACCAACTGTTTTTTCGCTTATGTAGAAAAGTACTGATAATATTTTACAGTACTGATGTAGGCACAATGTCATAAAACGATACAGAAAGCGCTTGGGAGTGGGCGATAACGAAAGTGGTCGTGCTTGTGCTGATGTTCCCGAATCGAGTAAAAATTTTAATGGCTGAGAAGCTCTACTTTGGTTTTTCTTAACACCCAGTCGCTTTGCCTGTTCATTACTAACAATCGGTCATTCCCATTTGTTGTCCCCTATTTTCGCTCTCTCGTTTGGCTGCGCACAAGGGTATGGCCGGAAAATAGGTTTTGATGTGCATTCAAATCTGACTTGCATTGCAAGCGTTATTTCAACTAGGATTAGAAATTAACTATGTAGCAAGCCACATGGGGACCAGTGACCGGTTGTTCCAAATGTATAGTGGAAGTGACCGTTTGTCGTGAAAATACTCGTCGTATTTCGTCGTATTTGCTTCTTGAACCTTTTGCTCATCATGGGTGTTTTGGATTATTCAGTTCCCCTATTTACCAATTTTACAAACAATCCAAGTAAATAACAGTTACCGATACGATTGAACGTAGTCTCCAAAAATCTTATTTGAAATGTGCCTGCGCCGAAAAAGAGCGCTGTGTCAACTCATCAAGAGCTAACAATACTTATTTACAAGAACTTCTTAGTACGAGCTGGACGGGTTGAATGGCATAAAGGTCAGCGGTGGGTTGTCAACAACTTCCACGGGATCCTTCCATGGCACCCAGAAACCTCCCCATTTGCCGGGATCGGCAGCCGGGTCGAATGGTTTGATTTCGGAGGGAATACCAGTGGCGTTGTACGCGGTAATTTTGTCTCGCAGCAACTGCAACATTGTTGGGTAGGTCGCAGCGATGTTGTTCAGTTCGCATGGGTCGTTAACCAAATCGAACAGGCATGGCGACAGATGCGGCACGCATTTGCTAACTTCAACGCCCGGCGGGAAGTTGCAGTCAGTAGCTGCTGGTGTCCATACTGTCTGCGGGTTTGCGTCCGAAGTGTCTGGTGTGCGATACCTGCAATGAAATTCCATGAATAATACGTCGACAACAAGAAATACGTACGAAAACGTTTCTTCGTTTGCATTGCCATCTTTACCATCCAAGGAAAGAATTGTCGAAAATGTTGCCACCGATAATCTTGTAGATTCCACCATAGCTGTCCTGGTAGATCATGGCATATTGAGGATTAATAGTGTCGATGTTGTTAACCAGTTCCATACGAGGTCCGTAGTTCAAACCATCTACGAAGAAGTCCATCTTAATGCAACATATCGTAAGTTTTCACAGTATTATTGTAAAAGACGGCTTACTGTACAACGACTTCCACTGGCTCATGCCGCTAAGGTCACCCGGCTTGTCACCCAGTTGGTTGACATCTCCGCCAGCAGCTTCGTAGACGGTGGGCAGCCAGTCGCTGACGTGGAACAGCTGGTTGGTGATGCGTCCACGTTTGGGCAGAAGCGGCGACCAGATGAAGCTGTTGGTGCGGACTCCGCCCTCGAACATGACACCCTTGCCTTGACGCAGCGGCCAGTTGCTGCCGTGGTTGCTGCCGTGGACGAACTGGTAGGACGACGGAATTGGAGCGCCGTTGTCGGCGAAGAAGATGATGATGGTGTTGTTGATGATGCCCTTGTAGGTCAAAGCGTCGGTGACACGCTTGAATTGCTCATCCAGTGTCTGAATAGTGGCTAAAAAAGAAATTTTCCGGTGAGCGATTGCGTCTTGAAAAAGTTATTTCCAAAAATAAAACATCTCTAGCAAAGAAATAATATTTACAAATTGCCCCCGATACAATCATAAAACTAGAAGAAGTGCCATGACTTACCCATGCACTTCTTGCGCGATGGATACTTGTCGGTGAAGGCGAAGACCGGTGGTCGAAGCTGGTACTGAGGCATTGTGTGCATGACGGCGCCGAAATCTTCGAATGCAGTGTGCGGCACAGTGCTGGCGAAGTACAGCAGGAAGGGTTGTTGGGGTTGTGGTTGCGAATCCACTTCTCGGCATAGGTCGTCATCAACTCGGGGAAATAGTTGTTGTTGGTAATGTTGGCGAACAGAATCTTGCCGTTTTCACGGATCATTCTGCCAGCCATGGGATACGGCGTAATCTGTTGCAAAGCGATAATTGTACGCAAATAAGGGATGTAGAAAAAATGCTTTTCTGATGCGAACGTACATCTTGCCGGTTATATCGTACATGTAAGTATCTTAATTCTACAATTCAGTGTACGGTTTATGATAATACTGCATGGTATTACTATCTAATACTAAATTTTTAGACCGAAATATTAATTTTATGAATTTTTGAACCAGAGTGCGTACCCAGCCAGTGGTATAGTTGAACCAGTTGCCATCTCCTGCCATCAACATGACGGACTGATCAAACCCGCGGCTCGCTGTAAATAAAGTGTTGCAATTAGCCATCATTAAAAGTTTACTAGATTATGATTCATTGTTGCTGACATTTACAGTTAGTTGTGTTTTCGCGTTCTGTTGAAAATCAGTCCATCATTTTCGCCTTCTTACTACGAGAACAATTGAGGGCTTCAATCGTTTAGTTCGGTAACCTACAAATCTGAGCTTGGTTTTGACCGTTGCTTCTGCCGAACGTTCAGCGATAAGTTCGCCCAGAAGAGCTGTAATTAAGAATGACACATTCTGCTTTCGCAAAAACCGGCATCAACCCGCCCACCAATAATAAAAGGTTTCTAAACAAATTTCAAGTTTTTCTTTTATATGGAAAAGATTACGCTGCAAGGTGAGCCTACTGTGTAGTACGATCGCGACACACAGTCGACTATCAATGCTATGCGGATTTTAGTTTTTCTCTGATGGTGAACCGCAAATCCAAATCCAAATCCATATTCGTAAATCCAAATATACAAGAATTTTTAGACGATTTTAGAAAAAAAATCCTCTTAATTACTCTGCAAAATTTCAAGGACAAAAAAAATTTAAGTTAGTTTTTTGGGAAAGGTGTAGACACCCTAATTATTAGCGTCCGAGGTGAAAGCAAACCCTGTTGCAGGATTTTGAAATACCGTACACCCTAGGGTCATCAATTCTGGAATTAGGATTAACCAAGTATCATTTAGGGCCAGGCTGGCTGTACCGAGTGCTGGTAACAGTAAGTAAAGAATCGAACTACGTAGTTACTTACATGGTAACGACGCACGGTTGTATTGACCAAGATGCCACTGCAAGAGGAATGTTGAAGATATGTACTCTGTAGTGGTTGTGGGTATCTGATCGAAGAACAACCAAACAATAACAGGTACTGACCTTTCCAGTAGCATAGGTATCGTATCCGAGATCCTTCAGGTACTGAGGCAGGAACTTGAACTGAAGAGGCACACCCCACGGTTCACCGTCACTAATGGCGGCCGTCTGCATACCAATGCGGAAAGTGTATTTGCCGGTCATCAGAGCAGAGCGCGTGGGTGTGCAGATCGGGTTGGAATAGTGACGGTGGAGGATAATACCATCCCAGGCCAGCTTGTCAATATTGGGTGTCGGGGTCTGCAGGTTACCTTCCGTGTAACTGAGATCGGCATGACCCTGTTAAGGTTAAGACAAATTACAAAAACACACTGTGACGTATCTCGCAAGATTACAAGACTGACTGCCTACCAAATCGTCGGCAATAAAGAAGACAATGTTTGGCTGCTTATTGAGACCAGGTCCACCTTTGGGGTTGCAGGTCTTGCCGGAACCGGAAGAACACGGCGTTCGACTTGCGATAGTAGTGACCACGGCATCGTTGGAGGACGGTGTGGTGGTACCGCCGCGCACAGGTGGTGAGCCAACGGGCGCTTCGGTCATGGTAAACGCCTGATCACTTCCAGGTCCGCTAGCCGGAGGCGTACCGGGTGGGGTTGCTGGTGGTGTACCGGGAGGAGTTGCTGGTGGAGTGCCAGGCGGAGTTGCTGGCGGTGTTCCTGGAGGCGTTGCGGGCGGTGTGCCAGGTGGAGTTGCCGGTGGAGTCCCAGGAGGAGTTGCTGGAGGTGTTCCTGGAGGCGTTGCCGGCGGTGTTCCCGGGGGTGTAGCAGGAGGCATTCCAGGTGAAGCATAAGTGGTTGCTGCTGGTGCAGTGGGTTTTGTTGTTGGCGCCATAGTTGGTGCGTAAGTGGTACCCATTGTCGGTCCCATAGTTGGGCCCATTGTTGGTCCCATAGTTGGTCCCATAGTTGGCCCCATGGTTGGCCCCTTTGTGGTGGGTGCGTAGGTGGTGCCCATTGTGGGTCCCATCGTAGGTCCCATCGAAGGTCCCATAGTTGGTCCCATAGTGGGCCCGGCGGTCGGTGCCGGCGTGGCCATCGATGGACCCATAGAATAGTATGAACTTGTCGTTCCTACCGCTGCCTGTTTAGCATGTATTTTGGCATTATCAATGGCAGTTTTAAGTGCCTTTTGCCGAAGAATGGCAGGCCGTAATAGTCCAGCTTCGGCAGATATTATCATAAGGGCAATACATAAGTAATACGTAAAGGCCATTTTCTTGGTAATTTCCGCTAACTGCGGAGACACCAAGCTGAGGGAATATGACAGGAAGGCAGACGTTGTGAATGTCTAACAACTACGCGACAAAGCTAATGTATGTTTTATCATTATTTTATACGGGGTCATTGCACAATCGGTATATTTTGCCGCCAGTTGGATCGTGGGCCTTCTTACAACTGATATCTAGTGTAACAAAATACAAAAGCGATCGCGAAACAGATAGGCTGATGCGTTTTGCCGGACAACGTACGCGATACCTGTAGCAGTCCAGCACAAAACTCTATGACCACAGCAGCTAGATTATGGTAAGAATGTCTCAAATCGCACAATGAGTGTTTTCATTGGTCTAATTAATTAAGCTGCACAGTATGTTAACTTCAGCGCGACTTTTCCCGTTGCAGCGTGGTTTTGTTTACTAGGGTAGTCTAGTTCGATCGTAATTAAGCACTATGCAACTAAGTGCATAGTGCATAGCGGTCGCTTCGATCACAGGTAATTTGTGTAAAATTTTTTGTCCGATGTCCAAGAAAGAAGATGATTAGTTACCAATCATCAGCCTGTGGTAACATGCCGGTATTTTCCTACATCCCAGGTGTGATCACGGCCAATAAGGAAGTCTGGGAAAATCAAAAGCTCAGACGTTACAAAATGGTACTATTATTTTCGTTATCAATTTGTTGTATAATTTGAAGCTACTGCACAGATCGAAGAGACTGCTATACTCGGTAAAAAAAATCAGTATTATCGACCTTTGTTATTTTCCGCTTACAGTTACCGGTATTTGTAAGCACTACTCGGCGTATTGTGGGTTTTATTTAATACGTTTCCTGTGAAACAGGCTGCAAATTCGAATGGTGACCAATCCATTCACAATATTGAATCTTTTTCTACCTTTTACTCGGTGCACTACCACCTTTCCTTCCGATTAAAACCTTTGCCGCTGCTACCTTAGCTTCTACTCTGTATACGAAAACGACTTTTATTGGCTGCAGTAAAACCGGGTTAATTTAATTTATCATTTGGTTTCCGCTGCGCGTTCGTTTCAATCCTGTGAATGTTTTGTAAAATGCACCTACTTTCAGGTAGTACTGTGGTTACACGAGCTATGTAAAAAGCAGCTATATTTTCTCCGCGATTAGTACAGAGATAGAAGTACTCTGTACTTCTATCTGAACATAAAACCCAGGAATGGGCGAGCGCACAAGGATAATTCGCAAAAATTTCTTGCATTGCAAAATATCGGTATAGTGTGGAAATCTACTGCAAACTTTTCTGAAAAGAAGTTGGAAAGCGACGTGGAGAACCAAGGAGAAGGTTAAAAGCAAACAACGAAAATGCAACGTACCGAGTGATTGAGTGGTTGAGGTAGTGCACGTACGGAGTGAAAAATAGTGAAAGGTTGTGGACGGAGTGGTCATCAGTACGCTTTCGGCTCTTTTCCCATTCAGTTCCCACAAGCCACAACATGAACAAGAGAGCCAATTACCGAAACTAATTGTTGACACTTAAGAATCATCTTATCTTTCTGTTTGGTCACAACGTTTTCCTTAACATAGGAGTTGCGTACAACAGGAATCGAGGTTTCTTTAGCAGCGCTGAATCATTAAATGCATATAGACGACTGTCCTTGTTTGCGCAACAGCAGCACCGGCACCTTTTGGACTTTCCGATACTTTACAATCTGGATTCTCGTGACTTCTTCTTCGTAATTCATGTATCCATATGGATCACTTCTTTGTAGAACAGACTGGTATGCTCGTGTTCAAGTTTTGCTGCCGGTAATGGTCTCCGTAAGTACGCAACGGCATCGTTGAGAGGGGTGCTTAGCCATTGGCTACAAGGTCAGTTTACGCGAACTACATACTGTATTTGTAATACTCTGAAGTGAGGTTGTACCGTTGTACTAGTAAAAGCCTTTTTTAAATTTAGTTGAGATTATGAACAAATATGTTTAGCACAGCAATTCGTAGAACAAAGGCAATTTGAAAACACGTAAAGTAAGTGTGCCTAAAATTTCGATTTTTTTGTTCACAAGTTTATGGCCAGTTTGTATTTGCAACAGTCAAAACGTAATACGGTACTGCAGATACAGACCGGGACAGAGCATTCATCTTCTATATCGCCAGGTAGTATGCAGTTCCTCCCTACTGTATCGTGCGCATTTTTTTCACCATCAGGACCAAAGCTACAATATAATTATAGAGTCACTAAACTTTTACTGGTTGTTTCCATTGGTCGAACTGCCAGTACCATAGCACCAGAATAATTCTATGATTTATTCGTATACAGAAATTAAGAATGGTGTTGGATCATGGATGTGCCTTTGGGGTTTTTCGAAGTCTGCACTTCATCTATAAAAAATTAGGTTAAAACATTTTGCGAAGCAAATGTCCGGTATACAGTATATATATACGAGTATATACATCCAGTATTCTGGGTTAAGAAACTATTGCAATTAATTAACAGAGCCGTTGGATCAATAATTTCCGGTAATTTAGAACAAAAGCCAGTATCAGTGTTCACCATCAAAACTAAGACGTTCACAGCTGATATTTTTATGAAACCATGATGCTGTTCGCATAGTACTTATTTCATTTTCCGTATGCGCAGATTATAGGGGTTTGAAGCAAAGCTTTTACGAGCTACCAATATACGTGTACAGTTAGCGACTTCCGTAGCACAAATTTTAATAAAATTTGTTTAAATTAAAGATTTGTAAATGCAATCTTCGCATCAATTTTGGTATTCCGGTAATTCTTGAATTTCGTACATAAAGTTTTCGTTAACCATGAAAATTAGAAACAACTTCAGAGCTTTTTATCACAAAACCTTTGGCCAAATTGATATTCTCAAAAACATTCTCATAGTTGTTGGGCCACTTTGGGTAAAACCAGCATGAAAATGCATTGTCCAAAATATCATACAACTATGTATCAGTCCGCAAAATAAAATTTACAACATACTGTGTCAATGTAACTGAACAACGAAGTGCGTAGAAAAAACATCCATACAAATACTCCACCAAAATAGTGAGCTCTTAATACGAGCTGGACGGGTTGAATGGCATAAAGGTCAGCGGTGGGTTGTCAACAACTTCCACGGGATCCTTCCATGGCACCCAGAAACCTCCCCATTTGCCGGGATCGGCAGCCGGGTCGAATGGTTTAATTTCGGAGGGAATACCAGTGGCGTTGTACGCGGTAATTTTGTCCCTAAGCAGCTGCAGCATAGATGGGTAGCTGGCCGCAATATTGTTCAGTTCACAAGGGTCGTTAACCAAATCGAAGAGGCACGGAGACAGATGGGGAACGCATTTGCTAACTTCCACACCAGCCGGGAAGTTGCATTCTGTGGCAGCCGGCGTCCAGACGGTTTGTGGGTTAGAGTCCGAGGTATCGGGCGTGCGGTACCTGGATAAAATCGATTATAATTGTACCCAAGCAGATTAGGATTGAAATAATTGTACTTAAGCAGATTAGGATTGAATTGCGACAGACTAAATTACTTACCATCCCAAGAAAGAGTTGTCGAAAATGTTTCCGCCGATGATCTTGTACAAACCACCATAAGTATCCTGGTAGATCATAGCGTACTGAGGATTGATTGTATCGATGTTGTTAACTAATTCAGTTCGAGGTCCGTAGTTCAAACCATCTACAAAAAAAGTCGCTTTAAATGTATCTCACGTTAATACCATTAGTTCAAAAGACGGCTTACTGTACAACGACTTCCACTGGCTCATGCCGCTAAGGTCACCCGGCTTGTCACCCAGTTGGTTGACATCTCCGCCAGCAGCTTCGTAGACGGTGGGCAGCCAGTCGCTGACGTGGAACAGCTGGTTGGTGATGCGTCCACGTTTGGGCAGAAGCGGCGACCAGATGAAGCTGTTGGTGCGGACTCCGCCCTCGAACATGACACCCTTGCCTTGACGCAGCGGCCAGTTGCTGCCGTGGTTGCTGCCGTGGACGAACTGGTAGGACGACGGAATTGGAGCGCCGTTGTCGGCGAAGAAGATGATGATGGTGTTGTTGATGATGCCCTTGTAGGTCAGAGCGTCGGTGACACGCTTGAACTGCTCATCCAGCGCTTGGATGGTGGCTGCAAAAAAATGTATAACTTAAATCATGCTTACACGGCTTTTAAATTGCTGTCGCTGTTTGGAGAGAAACACAAGGTCACCGATATTTCAACTGCCGACAAATACAAAGATACCGGAACTTACCAATGCACTTCTTGCGCGATGGGTATTTGTCGGTGAAGGAGAAGACCGGTGGGCGGAGTTGGTACTGAGGCATGGTGTGCATAACGGCTCCGTAGTCTTCGAAGGCAGTGTGCGGCACAGTGCTAGCGAAGTACAACAGGAAGGGGTTGTTGGGGTTGTGGTTGCGAATCCACTTCTCGGCATAGGTGGTACACAGCTCGGGGAAGTAGTTGTTGTTGGTAATGTTGGCGAACAGAATCTTGCCGTTCTCGCGGATCATTCTGCCAGCCATGGGGTATGGTGTAATCTAAATAAAACACGTGTGAACTTTTGCGCACTTAGCTGATTGAAATTAAAACGTTTTTTTACCCATCCGGTGGTGTAGTTAAACCAGTTGCCATCTCCAGCCATCAACATGACAGACTGGTCAAATCCACGGCTAGCTGTAAAAACGTTTAGTTAGTCAATGAGCGCTGTACAGGTGAAGGCTACTCAGAAGGGAATCACCATAAAATAGAATTGCCGGTAAACGACGGAAACCAACATACTCGTACATATGTTTACACTATTTTTGTTCGCATTGTCTAACTGCTATGAATAATTAGACCTTTGCGGGAACCCTTAAAAAAACAAACTGCATGTGCTTACATGGCAGAGAGGCACGGTTGTACTGTCCAAGATGCCACTGTAACGCAACGAAAATTGATTATCCAAATGCCAAATGGATCAAATCGGTTTTATAGTATTGAGTAGTCTTAGTTGACTAAACCGACCTTTCCGGTAGCATAGGTATCGTATCCGAGATCCTTCATGTACTGTGGCAGGAACTTGAACTGAAGAGGCACACCCCATGGTTCACCGTCACTGATGGCGGCCGTCTGCATACCAATGCGGAAAGTGTATTTGCCGGTCATCAGAGCAGAGCGTGTGGGCGTGCAGATCGGGTTGGAATAGTGACGATGGAGGATAATACCATCCCAAGCCAGTTTATCGATGTTGGGTGTCGGGGTCTGGAGGTTACCTTCCGTGTAACTGAGATCGGCATGACCCTAAACCAATGATATACCACTGGATGAAAGGTATCCCAAAATTGTTGACATCATTAAAACTGTATACCAAATCGTCAGCAATGAAGAAAACAATGTTTGGCTGTTTGCTGAGACCGGGTCCACCTTTGGGGTTGCAGGTCTTGCCGGAACCGGATGAGCAGGGTGTTCGGCTGGCGACCGTTGTCACCACGGCGTCGTTGGATGAGGGCGTGGTGGTGCCACCACGGACGATGGGCGAACCAACGGGCGCTTCCGTCATGGCGAAGGCCTGGTCACTGCCCGGTCCCGTAGCGGGTGGGGCCGGTGCCTGTCGGTTGCTCATTTCGCCGGCACGGAACTGGAATTCATTCATGCTAGGAAATACTCGTGCGTGGGCGCCAAACGCCAATAAAGTTAATAAGAAAATGGCCGCCATGGTTACAGTTGCGGCTTTGTTACCAACAGCTGCAGAAGAAACCGAAAGCAACTAACTCCGATTTGACAGAATGATACCTTCTATATAAGAAAATGAAAGTATCCGAATGCTTGTAATCAAGACCTTGTTGCCGCCAGTCAGATCGTAGGTCTTGTTAATTTGCACGGTACAATAATATGTCGATCAGTGTGGTAGTCGGCTACGGAAGGCGGGCCATAATAGGCCATTGTGACATAACCATAACATGTATTACAATTCTTTGCAATTGAATTTTTGTAGGTTATTGGGTGTATTCGCATTAATATGCACTCACTTGCATGCATTCGATATGGCCGCGCCAAACATGTAATCTCTGAATGGTTAATTCGCACATGTGCGTAATTAAATACACAAGGTTAATAAATTTGCGGTTGGATGGCTACGTATTGTGAAATTTTATCAAGTTCGTTAACGCCACACAGCGCCAAATCCTGTTGAATAAAATGCTTATTTAGCCTTGTATCCATAATACTTTGGCATTTTTTAAAATGACCTTTTTATATTTCACCGTGTTTCGTGCAGGCATTAAGTTATTAATTAATTATTATTCTTAAATAATGAGGTAGTTAAAAAGTTCTGCAGTGGTTATAGCATATACCGAGTACTGTCGATAGTTCATGCGTAATGATTGAAAGTAGTTCAAGATTTCATAAAAAGGTTAATTAGAAATCAGGTATAATTTACTCCCATTGGTTTATCGTTTGAACGTGCGATCGTGCGATGTTTAAATTGAATAACCCTCGTCCTTGTGATTTCCTATTCATAATACCTAAGTATCATATTTTAATGAATATCTTGGCCCAAGTCAAGCCATTCGTTTTCTTTGTGACATATTATCATGAAGTTTAAAACGAACGACACCCAGCGATCAGAACTGTCAAAACCTGGGTGCGTACCCGTCGGCAAAAATTCTCGATGTAATCAATGAATTAAGCAAACCGCATACAACTTTTAATTTTACCACAAAACGTCTACAATTACAATTCAGAAGTAATAAAAAACCATACCAGCACGCAGGGAACTATAGATATACTTACTTGCTTTTAGTATTCGTTGACCTCAGTTTGCGCCCACTGCCCACTGTTTAACAAATAGATGATAAAATTTATTGGGTGGTGTTGCAACTTTTTAATCAACTGCAAACTGATCGAAGCTGTTTTTAAGAACATTTTTGAAGAATTAAATATTTGGAGAACAAGAGTGCATTAAAATTTCGAGATTTTAGTGCTGCCTACATTTGGCTATTGAATTACATTTCCTTCCGCGCATTTGAGGACTGGTATATTTTAGCTTTTTGGTATTGCTGCCGTTTCCCATATGCACAAAACTTCATGAAATGTTAACTAAATATGTATTGAAAATAGTCAGAAATAAATGACCATAATCCGTCGAATCTAATTACTGTACACGCCCAACGGCCAGATCGAAGAAGTATTGTTAATATTAATTGCCACTGCCCGGCATACATGCCGTTTGCATGATATTAGCCGTGATCCACTAGCAGATTCGAAAGCGAAAACGAGGTTGAACCGGCGTCTCTTGACTTTGATTTCATAAAGAGCCGGCAATCGGTAGCTTGTTCGGGTCAGAGATATAGAATTGTGTCATCATGACAGCCTGGAGTTATCTTAGCGTTTTTTCCACCACTTTCTATCTCATTAAATGTTTCCCTTTCACTTGTAGGCAAACAGACATATTTCCGTTAGCAAAAGCCAGTCGTTTCTACTTGGATATTTCAGTATATCTGTGCTTGGTCAATCAGTTGCACAGTTTAGTCTTATTTCAACCGGTTTGCTAGAACGTGGGGTGGATTTTTTGTATTACGGCCAGCCTAAACAACTGTGATCATGCGCTGCGTATTGATTCTGGCTTTCGTTGCCGTAGTGGCCGTCAAGGGTAATTAACTAATCTGCTTAATGTAACATAATTAATAATTTTAAGATATTCAACTGTTTTGTATGACAAGCGTAGCATTGTCATACAATGCTACGCTTGTCTGACAATGCTACGCTTGTCAGACAAGCGTAGCATTGTCAGACTTGTCAATAGCATTGTCAGACGTTTTGTATGCAAATGTTAACGTTCTCATCTCTCAAAAATTTGTTTCTTTTTTTAGCGGCGGATAAAGGCGATGCATGCCAGTCCACAAACATGTGCGACGATCCCGGTTTGGTAAGTTATACGAGTGTAATCCATATGCGCCGTTTTCGCATCAGTTGTTAACTTGTTACTTCATTAGTTAGTCATTTTTTTAGGCTTGCTCAGGTGCTCGCTGCCACTGCTTAATGGATTTCGGTGCGGAACAGGCTCAAGTTTGGGTATGTCTCTAAGGTCACATTGCATAACCGTGATGCCACAGCGTCAGAACGCTGTGATTTAATGTAGGCGTGCAACCAAGCCAGTGACTGCAAAGGAATCGCCAATCTCGCTCTCCGCCACGTTGAGGAAACCGTTCGACAGCGCGCCCGTGCCCCCGTCTGCGTCCCATCTGGTCAGTGCCCGGCAGTGCCTGGTTTCTCCGGATATTGTGATGTCACCATGGATGCTTAAGCCTGAAAACGGATACCAATAGAGCAAAACTACGACTGCTCAGTGGAGTCTTGATGATCAGATGAATGATACGGTTGTTTTTTGTGCTTGTATAAACTGATGATCTTTGAAATCGTTATTACACCCGCTTCTACAGAATCTGCACATGTCAGTTATCTCCATTGTTTCTGAAAAATGTAATAATTACTATTATTCGCGGCGACTTTGAAATGGTGTGCATTTACTTAATTGCCTGTGCTCGTTATAGTAATTCCATATCATACATGTATCTGTTTGTTTCCGCCAAAATTTAAATGATTTTTAATAGCATTGCAAGATATAGACAGTGCTAAATAATATTATGAGTTACCCGCATACTGAATGCATATCTGTACAGTACCTACATTATAGCTACATATTGGTACGTAGTGCATGTGCGTTGGTTAGATTAAGTATATGTTGATCGTACGCGTACGGCGTACCCAATGAGTGGTAACTTGTTTTCGAAAATCAAAATTATGACAAGTGTTAGAATGCAGGCCATTAATGAACCTTTTAGTCTAAACACGAAATCTACAGCAGTTTTAGATCGACCGATCGATCGGCCCATAAAGTATCGACTATCGAGCTTGTCCGTTACAAATAAGTTGTGCATTGTAACCGATAGTCATTGTCTATCATTAATTTTTATTGAATGGATCGGTGAGTTTTGTGCACTGATGCCGATGGTAAGTTTTGAAGTTGTTTTCGCACAAAACGTTTCAGTGTCGGTCGCCGGAACTCTGAAATATTTTCCAGTATCTTCATTTGTTTTTGATAATTACCCATGCTACATGATAATAGGCATAGTCAAGTCGAATAGGTACGATATGATAATAGTAACAGAAATATGGTTATTTCTTACTGTGCAATGCCACACGGGCCACGGCACAAGATATACTGGAAGTCGTCGCTGTCACGGTGATACCGTCAACCGTGACACGCGTGAGGACACGCATTTTAAGCACTTCCGGTAGGACCGGTACGATGCAAAACAACGAGGCGATGGCGGGCTTCGTATTCTTCCGCTCACTGGGCGGCCGTGCCGTGTCTACTCTCGACGTCATGGATTTTTCTTGCGACAGTCACAGGCCAAGAGCTAAACACCGAAGTCAAAAACTCCAGACAAAAAGTCCAAAGATGTAAATACAAATGGAATGTGTTACTTTGGTCTTTGTTATTTGTGTAGCTTCTTTTCCAAATGTGCGTTAATCGAAGTTCTGAGTTAAGTTATGCGCATGGAGAACTTTAGTCACAAAATATTTATGGTAAAACCGTAAACCTCCCCAACCCATCGTTTAGTTTCTGCGCACAGCAAAACACTGCGTAATGGATCCCGACGCACTGCACGATGCCATCCCCGAGATCGTTCCCGTTGTGCATCGTCCGCGTGATCGCTCGCATTCCCTCTTCGAGCAGGAGCAGCATCTGCGCTTCCTGCAGATCAAACACGACCCCACCGTCCTGCTGGATATGCCCCGCGAGCAGCTGCACAATCTGATTCTGTGGTTCTGCTCCATGTATACGGAGTCGTGTGTGCACGAGCCCATGCCTGATTTGTGCGTCCTGCACTGCCTGCTCACGACGGACGCCATCTCCATCAACGACCAGCTGCGACTGCCCTTCGGGGATGGGATGGAGACGCCGCTGTCGCTGGCCATCCTGGCGCGGAATATGAGTTTGGTGGCGTATTTGCTGAAGATGGGCGCCTCGCCGGATACATTGGTCGGCTCGGATCCCAACGTCAGGCGACCCACACGGCTGGCCTTCGATCGCCTGGATGGGAATTTAATTGAAGTCTTCAGTCATGTTATTGCGCTGTGCGAGCGACCGGTGCGGAGTTCCATGGACGAAGTCAGTTCTCAAATGATTCTTATATAAATCACATTTTAGAATTTTTTTATTTTGTGATAGTCATGCTGAATACATAAATGAAATATTGTGAGGACTTATACGGACGAATTAAAATTTAAAAAAATATTCCCAGAAAAATGTATTATTTCGTTTTTGTTGTTTATCTTGGTTCTTGAAACCACGATTTCAAACGTTTCAAGCTTCGGATTAAATGGTTTCTAAATCATACTGGACTTCGAGGATTAAAAACGATGTGAAACAAAAATTTAATTTTTTTAATTATTTTGAATATTATCCAAGTGATTTTAGGTGGAGAAATTGGTCAGACTAAGTGAAGATTGATCAAAATATTTGCAATGAAAAACTAATGAAAATAACGATATAGTAATTATGTATTAGTATGTATTAATATTTGGATTGTTTTCGTTGTTTACAAAATATATATCAAAAACACATTTTCAATTTTGTTCTAATTTGAAATCTCGTTTTTATTCGATTTCGTTTCGAGTCATTTCCAAAACGGTCTAAAACCGTTAGAATCTAGTTTAAGTTTAAGGTTTAGGTCAAGTGAATTGATTGAATCGTGGGCGATATTGCTTTGCTACAATTTTTTTGCCTGTGGCTGAAAATATTTAAATCTTGTTGACTGTGGTTATGCACGCGCTAATAACGATTACCTGGAAAGTCTTCTGCATGATTGCAAAATGAGCCTGTAAACAGGTGTTTGATGAAATATTGATTTCTTCACCTTTCTCTCTGATTTTGGCGTTGTGACTGCAGTGCGAACTGTTCGGTTGGAATTTTCTAGGCGCTGTTGACAAGCAACTTGGAAGGGAATGACTTCGTGCAGTGCGTGCAGGATCATGACATGGTTATGGGATTCAGTGAAGGGATTGAGTACGATATGGCGGAAGCGAAACTGGATCCCACTGTGGTAGAGAAATGGAGTAAATTGCACTGTTGTTATGTTTTTGCCCGTATTATCAGACGGCGACCGACTGGACCGCTCCCGAGGGATTATTTCTTGGTGGATTTGCTTTTGGCCAGCGGGAAGGTAAGACAATCGGAAAGTGCAGTAAATTTCGAGAACATTCTTCAAGTAATATGCAACAGTAAAAATTTAATACGGATATTTGCCATCGTAATCTCTAGGTGTAATTTGCGATTTTTAACAATTCAGTTGAAACTTTCTGGTTTTGTCCGAGTAGTTGGCGTACATCTGACTTATATGTTCTTTTCTTGAACACGCGACTTAATTTTGGCATAACTTTTTTACCCGTAGATTGGCTCACAGAGGGCAAATGTTCATTCAGTATGATTTTGTGCCTTTAAAATAATATTAACCGTTCCGGGCTGACCGGCTTCCCTTGACAGTAAACACCGTCTTATCAGAATTTTGAGCGGACTTGTTAAACAAAAACTAGTTCGTTTTTAACAGTAACCGCTTTTCACTGTATTCGAGATGGATTAGTTAGCCGATTGTTTTTCTGTTTTCCTTATTGTTCTAAGTTTCAAGTATCACCTTATGGTTAAGGTGAATGTGCAAAATATGTGTTGTGTCTCAGCTTTGAACTGCTCAAACTGCTTATATCTCAATTCAGACAGTTTTAATTTTTTGTGAGCATTGTGAGGATCGGTTGTTTGTGCGCATCGATATTTCCACAAGTGTTGGTCGAGAGATCTAGCCGTAACCATTCTTTTCGTTAATTTCAGGTGTCGGTCAATGACTACATGGTAATCAATGGATTCGAACGCGTTACGCCCCTCCACGACGCAGTGGTGGCCAAGAACGTTGATTTCGTCCGTTACCTCCTGCAAAAGCACCACGCCGACCCCAATCGCCGCAGCTACGTGGACGGACTGCCCTTCCACGATGTCACGCACATTGTCTATCCCCTGTCGACGGCACTGCGCGCCTATTGGCTGCTGCGGGACGGCGAGGAGATGGCCTACACCGCCATGGCCACGTTGCTGCTGGATGCCGGGACGCGGGTGGACGTCCAGGTGGAGGCCATCCACGGGATTACGCAGCCGGATGTGATTTCCATCGTGGACCTGAAGGAGACCATGCACTTCTGCCAGATGCTTAAGCTGCTCGTGGAGCGGACACCGGGTTTGCTAGTGCAGCTGCGGACGCCCCTGTCGTACAGCCTTCCGACGTGCGTTGTGGGTTAAGTTTTGTAGCTGCTTTCTTGATATGCTAAGTGCATTGCAAGCCCATCCAGAAATACGAGCAGAAGTTTACGTGAAACAGGTAGAATGGGTAGAGTTACAGAGTTATTACATATTTTCGTAGTGCAATGGCCATACTCAAAGTACCTCTAACTCAACTGGTCGGTTGCCAGGTGGTGCAACTGTCGCATTTCGTTTGGGTGAAACCCGTCCTGTTTGATTTTTCCCGCTTAATACTGTTGTTCTTATTTCTGGACGGGCTGGCACATTTAACTACACAATTACTGGCTTAAACATTTACAAAACACTTATCTTGACTGGCTTCGAAAATTGCTCTTTGAATATCTGCCGCTAAAAAAATAGTGTAAATTTATTACATCAGTTAGGTTTCCTGAAATGCTGACAAGGGAGTGAAAATCGCTGACTGAAATAAAAAAAGGACTAGTTAATTATTAATTTGAAAAATCAGACGGTTGCTCTGTAAATCAGTGTCATTGGGCTGCATTTACATCGTATCTAATGATAACGTTTTCGCTAGTTGCATCCGTATTTATTCGATATGGTGGTGATTTTCGTTTGCGCTGCTTACTTGTTTTCTCACACAGGTTGCTCGGCTCCTGCGAGCATAAATGGCTGCGACAAGGCCCCGCCACCGAACCGATGCGGTACTCTCCCACCTTCGACCAGGTCTTCACGGAATGCGTCCCCCTCATCCAGCTGGCCATCAGCCTGGGTGCACCGTATCCCAAGCAGGATATCCTCATCTCCCTGGCTGCCTCGCGCTCCTATCTGACACTGGCCTCCTTAGCTTACCTCCTGGGAGATCGGCTGCCGTTGGATCTGGAGGATCCCAGCCGGATTCGCTATGTCGATCCCTACACGTACCTGCACGCCCAGGCGGGGGTTCCGCCTAAAGACGCCTATCTGCGGGATGCCATGCGGACCACCCATCTGATTGAGGTCCTGGTGCGCTCCACCGGAGCCAGTTACAAGTGGATGCCGGTGATGCGGCAGTTCTACTCGTTTATCCGGATGCCGTGGCATGCGCAGCCCTTTCCCGCGATTTTCCTCTCCCTGAAGAACCTGTGTATGGGAAGGGTGAATGATCTGCTGCGGTGGAAGCGGTTGAGTGGCGAGGAAGTCGAGCGACAGCTGCCCAGTGTGATGCAAGCCGAACTGCAGTGTGAAAAGGCATTTGATACGTTGGCGCACGTGGTGTTTTAAACGCACTCTTACCGTAGATTTTTACCATACTTTTATTCGGCATTAACGATATGCCTGCCTTGATGCATACTACTTCAAATGATTCAGATTTTTTAAACGCACTCTTAGTATGATTCCTTGCGAGATTGGAATAGTATTAATTAGTAAATTTGTTCATATTTTTTGGCTGTGTTGTTTCAGGATTTTCCGGTTTTGTTGCGTATTTTTTGTTGAAGCACAGCTGTGGAAAAGTTGTCACGTGAGCTCATGCGCTTCACGTGAGTTTTGTCAGATGAAGGTCATGAACACCATCAAACGATTAATCATCTTATCCCTCGAGGAAAAATCCGATTTTCGTTTGCAATTGGTAATTTTGGAAAACCACAAAATGCTGGCTACATGAGCAGTTCGCTGTATCGAACAGCAAGTTTTAACTGCAAATTTAATGTTATTCACTTTTCGAGCTTTACAAATTATTACAAAAGCGGTAAAGAAATGGGTCGTCGCTGGCTTTAACATTCGTCCACGGCGAATGTTGCCGGAAACGCTTTGGCCAGTTCGGCTAATTCTGGATTCTCTAAATTTCGTAACATCCACTGATTTATCTTTTTGGTTGTCTTCTTGACTAAGATGTTCTCGCCACCCACCCACTTTTCCTGAAACAATAAACAAAATGTAGTTGCTGGACATATCATTTTGCATATATATAAATATATATATACTCGTAAATTACGTACTCTGTATGTATGTATCGAACTTACCGGATCGCATAATCGGAAGAACATTGTTGAAAATCTTAATCTCTCCCGCTGCCGCGTTTTTGCAGTGATTACAGTGTTCATTTTTCCGCATCTGATCGAAATGGCAGTCAAAAGCGATGCGTTCCACCTGACTGTCCGTCAGATGCAATTGCAGGAACTGGGCCAGTTTTCGTATGGAACCGGTTGTGTCCTGCAGTGACAACGTACTGTTCCATTTGAAAAGTTCCGTAAAAATCTTATGCTCATTTTTTCCTAATAAAATAACGTCTATACCACTGTTTTTGCAAACCTCGATCGCAATTTATACTTAATAAGGTAAAATGAAATAAAAGGCAGTCAGCGGTTTGTGTATCAGATTGCAACAACAAGCGAATCACATATAAATTATAATTATATTTGTTCCGCTCCGAAGCAAGTACTAGTGGTTGTACTCTACCTGGGAGAAATCCTCAAAGGAAACCATTAACATGTTGTTGTCACGATTTCTCCAGTAAGACAGCATGTGCGTGAACCAGGGTCCGGAAGTTATTTCATCGGTCACCAATGCTTCGACAAGGTCACTCACGGTACCGGCGAATCGTGTGAACTTTTCTCTGGCTTTGTAGTGATGATACAGTGTCACCACGGTATCTTTGGGATGTCTGAGGTGGTAAACTATCTAAAACACCACCACCGATTATCTTCATACAGTATCTTTCTATACTTAATAACTTGCTTAATTAAGTTGCTTATTCCGCGTAAAACCGCTTCATCAGTATAATTTGGCGAATGTCAATATTTTGATTATACAGATACGAGGAAATTTTCATAAATTTAAATAACATAATTCTTACTTTAGCTTTGGTGCGACAGGTTGGCGGCAGGCCTTCATAACTGACTCGCGTCCAATACGCTCGCGGTCCCGTCATTGTATTGACTTGCTCCAGGCCGCGCGGTCCCTCTTTGTTAACGGCCGTGCAGAAATCCAGCCAGGGTATCTTTTGCTGTAAATCCGGTGCTTGATACAACCACTGCGGATCTTCAGCGTGTAATATACTTCCAACGTTGGCACAGACTCGCGATGCACCTGTTGGATCTTCAGTGCATTAAGTTGGCTAACCAAACTCACAAGAGAATAATCAAATACATAACTTACATCTGTGCAATCAGTTATATGTATCGTAGGGCAGGCTGTGACTCAACATAGCTCTAAATAATATTCTGATAATACATTTTAATATAGCATGTAGTCATGTACCGTAAGGCTTATTATCTTATGTATAAGGCTGTGCGGAATAACTGAAACCGATGATTAATTTGGTAAATTTATTAAAGATTATGTTTAACGCTTTCATAATTACTGTATACAAAGTAATAAGCTTATTAAATAAAAATAAATAGAGAAGTAGCAATATATTTACCTGATTTAGCGACGCCACAGATCACGGTATCGCCTTCCTGTGCCTGGAATGTTGGGAAATCCGGCAGGGCGAGCGACATCGGGTATACCACGTTTGTTCCATACCATTTGGTTCTGCTAACGTGATAACTGTTATTCACCGTTTCTATTGCAATGTTCAAACACAGGGTAAACGAATTCTCTTATTTACAGAAATCCAGGTTGTCCGACAAACGTCTTCTGGTGCACTTCGTTGGCTTGCACGAACTCTTTGATTATTTTTCCAAATCGAACCGTTCCGCAGCAAGATCATACTGGGCCTTGTGCATGGTAAGCAATCAGGAGAAGGCCAATGCCGTCCAATTAAATGACAATAATATCAGACTGCTAAAGAATGTTGGTGTTCTGATAGGTTTCTTATTGGCATCAGGACATGTTCAAATAACTGCATCCACAAAGCGGTAATGCGCAATTTAAACGACTCGCTTATATGTAATACGCAAATACTAATTGCTGTCGGTAGGTAGCGTAAACGCTTGCAGCTTGAGACTCGGATGACAGAGCAAAACGCAAAAGTGCACAGCGTAAAATGATCTTGATCACAAAATCTAAGTGAGTTGTGAATACCTGCTAATAGATTTCGCCTGAGCATATTACAGATATACGACAACGTACTATCTGGCAAACTGCGCAGCATTTTAAAATACTGTAGTAAAGTACATTGTATTTTTACAGTAGTATAATAACGCAGCAGATTGTAGCACTATAATATCTTTTCCGTCCAGCGTAAGACACAAGGATCTCGATAGTCATAATTTTTCGTGAAACCTATGTGCTGCTTATTTATTGGGTGACAAGCTTACCAGTTACTTCTCCTCTTATGACCTTTAGTATGCCAAATTGTGTCTACTACTTAGCCTCATAAACAAAAAACATAGATAATGTGTACATTTCAAACGGGAATGGTGTTCAGTTTGACCTTTGTAACGAATTTAATACTTTGCTAAATGCCGGTACCATATTTATCATCAGGCGCAGCTAGCAGCGAAATATTTAATCACGAATCAGAACAAACCCAACAAAACCAACAATTCACAATGCGAAAAATAAATCAGTGTTGTCCGGCATCTTTGGCCAGTTTATAGAATAAACTATTAGGGTTTTCTAGGAGTTTTTCCGGTGTTTCGAACTCTTTGATGCGTCCAGCTTCCATCACCATAACACTGGAAAATACGAACCAGATAATCAAACTTTAATCGCTCTATTAATAGTTAATCGTATTAAACAAATCATACCGAGTTGCATCCATGATCGTGTTCAGGCGATGTGCAATGGTGATAATTGTGCATTCCGCAAACTCCGAGCGGATAATTTCCTACACACAAGTTTTAAAAACAAGTCAACGCGGAGTCCATTAGTGACATATGTTTCGTGCGTACCTGAACAAAATTATCAGTTTCGAAGTCAATAGCCGCTGTGGCTTCGTCCAGAATAAGGATTTTTGAGCGACGAAGCAGAGCCCGAGCAAGGCACAACAGTTGCCGTTGCCCAACGCTATAAAACCGAAAACCCGAAAATATATAGTAATTCCGTTAATAAGGTCATCGGTTTGCCCACGCACCTCAAATTTCCACCACTCTCGGTAACCTTAAAATTCAACCCGTTCTGCGAAGCCTGGAAATACGGCTTCAGTCTCGATAACTCCAGAGCCTTCCAGATTTGCTCATCGCTGCTTTGCTCAAACGGATCAAGATTCAATCGCAAAGTTCCGCTGAACAGCACCGATTCCTGTCATCCGAAAAAATAATCTTGTTATCCAAACGTTAGTGCAATTTTCAGTATTACAGGAAATTATAATTGTGCCATTTAGTGCCAATATTAGAAAAGTTCTACCTGTGGAATAATTGTAATGCGCGAACGCAGATCATGCAGTCCGATTTTGGATATATCAGTGCCGTCAATGTAGATGGACCCTCCTGCCGGTTCGATCATTCGCAGCAGCGATAAGGTCATGGTACTCTTTCCTGATCCAGTACGACCAACGATGCCAATCTAATGCCGAAAGTAAACAAAATCGTTGTGCAAACTGCCAGAATGTAATAATCAGTTAATGCACCTTTTCTCCACTGTGGATAGTACAAGTGACACCGTCGAGCACCAGATCCAGCCCTTCTCGATAGCGTGTCTGGTAATCCACAAAGGCGATATTTCCGTTGTACGGCCATTTTGATGGTACACGATTGTTGGCCACAATGGCCGGAGCCTGCGCGAAGAGAACAAGTGACCGATGCGTTAATGTACTTACTGAGCAATTTTTTTAAACTTGTTATAAATGGATGGTGTACAGAGTGCGATGCTTTACCTCAACAGGTGTATTGGAGTATTCGTACAGTCTCTCCACGGAAATCAGTGCGTTTTCCAAATCGCACATATTCTGCGCCCACCAAGGGAACACCAGTGTGAGCTGTAAAAACGTCACGGTTAGTATATATTTTTTAAAATTTATTTCACCGGTATCACAATAAACGTACGGAAATAGCGCCAATCAATCCCAGACCAACAAACGCCGGTTTGGCATCGTATCCCAAATAATCCCGTCCGTACACAGCGAAAATGGCCGCCGCAAACGTCTGGGTGTTACACAGCAACATCAACACCAACATCATCCAACTGCAAAACCACCGCTCATGTACAAGATTACAAAAATTCTTAAAATACAGTAGCATGCGAAAACGGATGCAATTCTTACTGCAGCGACGCGTTACTGCAGTGAATGACAGCCGGTGACATGGTCGATTTTCCGGCGATTCTCCAACACAAAACGGTCACTCTGCTGCATGGCGGCAATAATACTACTTCCGGCCATGGATTCCTGCAAGCTGGAGATGAGCGGGGATCGCGACAGGACATCCAAACGTTTTAACTGCAGTGCGGTGGATGTGTAGTAACTCTGCCATATAAAACAGGGTTTTGAATGCGCAAGGCAAATGCCTGTAATTTCGGTAAGGTAAATGGTTTGACAAACCTTCACAAAATACGCCACGATGAACAGCGGAATGGCGAAAGCGGTTAGAAACGGAAATACAATGAGAACCTGTAACGAAAATCTTCGTTTTTGTAAATACCTTCGAAAATGTTAGCACAGAAAAATCAATTTTAGTAGAACTTCAACAAGAACTATAAGTACAGATGGATATTATATTTCCACTAACCAAAAGGGCAAAGACAACTGCCTGGAAGAATGCGTTCATCACAAAGCGCAGCTGCATCGGTATGCCGCTATCAATGGTATCGATGTCCTTGCTGAACCGATTAACAATGCGTCCCAGCGGTGTGGTATCGAAATACGACATCGGTGCGCGCATCAGTCGTATCAACATGGAATTATGCAGCGAACGTCCGGCTTTGATCAAAGCAGCAGCGATGCCGTATAGCCCAACCATGGCGAAAATCACTATCCGAGTAGAAAATTAAATTACTTTGGCCTAAATGTTTTTAAATTAGACCTTAGGCGATTAGACTTGTTAGCGAAATAAACTGGTTAATTCCCTACGTTGTAAAAGGGCAATTAATCCGTATATCGCCACTTCGAAATTCGTTTCCGCCCAATCCGTCGATCCATCCTCATTGGTTGTGTTAGTTTGCGCCCATTTGGCCACCCACATGTTAGAGAAGAGAAAGAACGCATTGGCCGCAATATACCCAAAGAAAATGACAATCGCCATTGGGATGGTCATTTCCTTAATTAACCGCCAGTACGTTGAAAAGGGAATGCCGCCCGTGGAGAATTCTTCCGTGGCGATAATTTTACCGCCCTCGGCGGTCTGCTGCTTGGGTCTAGCGCGAACCGGCTGGACTTCCATCGACTGCGAGATGTTGCCATCCGGGGGAGGGCGCAGCGATGCGGCTTTGCGCAACTGGCGCAGTTCTTCATCGCGATCCAGCGGTTTCTCCCGCTCCGACGGTTTGCGTTTGAGATTCTCAGGGTATCCGGCCCCGTGTTCGGCTTCGTCGTCCGCGGGAGCTGCTTCTTCGTCCTGGCTTGTCTCGACATTGCACTGTCGCAGGAAATCACTGAAACGTTCGTCGCGGTCAACGAGCTCATCGTAAGAGCCCATTTCCGAAATACGCCCTTGCTACAACAAGACGGCGAATTAATACAGTATTAAGTACGCAACTAACGTAAAATTAATAGTTTGATGCTTGGGTTAATTTTTTTGCATTGCAAAGTGGGGATAAAATCTTATCTGTACCTCCAGATACGCGATGGTATCGCATTCCGGTAGCCAGTTAATGGCATTCGTAACGAATATTCGTGTCTAAAAGACAAGTCTTTAATAAACCGGTATTCAACGCAGTTTTAAATGTAAGCGAAACACAATACATAAGTAAATTTTACCTTGTCTTTCAAAATGCCCTGGGGTCCGATGACATTCTCGAAAATATGTTTGCCACTGTAACCCAGATGCAGATCACACGTCAGCAAACCATAAATCTGGTAGGGAAAATTCTTCGATTCTCTTCTTGAAAACTTTTGCCCGTGTACATACGAAAAATAACTATGACTTTTCAATAGCTTACACGTGTGCGTCCACAGCACTCAACGGATCATCCAGGAAATACAACTGCAATTTCACAGTCACATTAACTAAGCCGGTGAATTGTTGGGAATTTCGCTTACATCGCATCCTGCGTAAACGGCCCGCGCCAAGGTCACCCGCAGTTTTTGTCCACCGCTGAGATTGATGCCCTTTTCTCCGATTTCCGTTTGATCACCGGACGTCAGAATCTCCAAATCCGGTTTGAGCGCGCAGCATTCCAACACCCGCTCATACTTTTCTTCATCGAAAGGTCGGCCGAAGAGGATGTTATCCCGCATGGTCATGTTCTGGTTCCAAGCTTGCTGTGTGACGTAGGCCACCGAACCGCGGATGGTCACGTGACCGGAAATGCGCTCCATCAAACCCAGACAGGCCGCCAAAAACGACGACTTTCCTTTGTGCCAAAATGAAATGCATGCAGGTCACGTGAAATGTGCCGATACAACGGATTTGAAATAATTCTGTCAGTATATGCAATAACTGTTAAGTTTGTACTTACCGCTGCCAACGGCTCCGACCAAGGCAAACAGTTGTCCCTGTTTAACATCGATGTTCAGGTTCTTTAGCGTGAGTGCCTGGCCCGTAGCGCTGCGACTGTTCCACGAGAAATTCCCTCCGACAATCATCATAACAGAGCTGTGCGGACTTTCCGACCGTGGGAAGCGGTCCACGCTGCTAGGGTCAAGCTCGCGTGCCAGGAAGAAGTCACGCAGACGGTTGCACGCTATTTTCGCCTTTCAAGAGCAAAGATCGAATATTACCTTTTTATATCTCGAACCGTAACTAGTCCATGTCCTGAATCTTTGAAATTTCTATGAAGTCACTATGAACGTGACGCAATGTCTAGCTTTATTATTGCAGCTAGCTTTATTACTGCAGCTGAATAAAATCGAGAGGATTTGAAATTCAGAAAAATTATGAAGTTAACCCCTCGTTTACCATTTCTTCACCAACCTGAATGAGCAGTGTGGTACCAATGGGTAAAAGGTACAAGGAGTGCCTCAGACTGAACAAAAACAGGAGCGTTACAAAACCGGTTTTAGGTGTCAGTCGATAGCCGGAAACGTAGACATATGTTGCGTAGGTTGCCAGTGCCGCGAGCGGTGAGGACACCAACATAAGGGCATGGTTGATTGTAGTCAAGTAGCCGGCTTTTTTCAGCGAAAACAACTACAATAACAGGAAAGCGAATGCACAGCGAATGCTCTGGCGCTGCCAGACAGCTTCGTTTTTTACCTCGTCCTCTCGAGCCTGTATGATCTGATCCTGAAATTGCGGTTCCCACGCGTACATCTTCAAAATTTTAATTCCGTTGAAAATCTCATTGATACGGCGTACACGGCCGTCTTTTTGTTTAACAGCGGACACCTGTTGCAGTTGCAGAATTTATCAGTAAATTCTTCCAAAAGGTTACTACAGTGCTAACCATACTTCAAATTTCTTCGCTCTGGCCACAACGATAAAATTCAGAAGGACGATAAAGATCAATGTGAAAAATCCAGCCAAGGAAGCCACACCAACATACTGCCACAGGAAGTACATCATCACCATGGCAGTCACCGGCGTAATCCAGACATAATGGTGATAGTAGAGGAAATCGGAGATGCGTTGTGTGTCGGCTGTTAACATGTTGCAGGCATCCCCGACACGGTACTGGCGCTTGGATGAATTAGCCAGAAACAACGCCTACAATCAAAAATTAATATAATGAACCAACGAAAGATGATTTCTTCTAATCCGGTTCACAACAAAATCCATAACAATAATTTGAGAATCACTCTGTTCACATGCAAATAAAATTAGAATAAGCAAAAGAATACCATGCACGTACCGTAAATACACTAACGTAAATAAATGGGCTACCTGCTAGTGCTACCGAGATCAAACTGTTAAACTACGTATTAAATTACCACAGAAACACTTTTTTTGGAACAAGGCTTTTATATAGAATATTTTTTACAGAACATTTACGCAGCAGATATAAAATTTTATAGAGGTACAACGTATTACTGTAATTATCGAGAATCTTTGTGTTTACTGTCTAGGAGTCTTATGTAGATGCCGAATTGAAAGATCAGTGCAGATTTACTGTTGAAAGTATGCTTATACCTTTCTGTAGATCATCGCGGATAAAGCTGAACGAATCCGCATACCGCAGCGACTCGTGGAGATATTCATCATCCCGAAAGCGATGCTCTGCACCGCCACCATCAGGAACAAGATGGTGGCCAGCACATAACCCTTCCACGACCATACCGCTGGAGTGGCAGCAAACTGGATAATCTGACTGGAAAAACCAAAGTATGCATTTGGATGCATAATTCCATATAAAAGTGTGCAATTTATCGAGCGACAGATTACCCGACTAGCAGCGGAACGAGGACCATAATGCCATCGTGGATGACCTTGAAGAAAGCCGATTTCCAGAAGAGCGGCCAGGATGTCTTGTAGAGAGCGGATACTAGCGAAGGCGTCTTAGTGCGACCGCCCGATGAGTTGGTCAAGTTGGCACGACGACGGTTGGTGCTGACGGTGTGACCACTGGCTTCCGACTGTGCATCGCTGTAATATCTGTCCAACACAACACCATGAATCGTAAACACGGAAACACTTTTTATGTAGAACAAAGCTTTTATATAAAATATTTTTATACGGAACATTTATACAGAAGATCTATACATTTATACACACTATCAAGAACTTACTATAGCTAGAAGGACTGGGAACGAACTGCGCAACGGTCGACTACGTCATCACTGTCGCATACAGAAAGCACTGCTGTGCTAATGCTTACCATAGTCCCACAGACTTTGTTGCCCCTTTTAAAAGGTATTCTGAAGTTTTTTTCTCATTAAAAGCTTTCTGAGATTTTAATATTATTATATTGAATATTTAAATCCCAATTTCGGGGGGTAGAAACAGAAGAGAGCAGAAATCTGCTGAGAAAACTGACAAAAACCGTGAAAAACGCGCATCTGTCACCATGGCAGCCGCCCTTCCGTGTATGCGAGAGTGATGACGTCAAACGGTTGGTTACCAGTCCTTCTCACACTATAGTAAGTACTTGACACTATCTGTAAAATGATTTCTGGAGAACAAATGCCACAACCGGCAAAAAAAATTTTGAGTGCAGTTAGTGTCCGTGTTAAATGTTCACAATTTTAGGACCGCGACATGAAAGGATCAACGGCAGTCTACTACAAATTTCTACTGGATTAGCAACAAATAAGTGTTGAGTAAACGGCATTTCAAGAGGAGGAAATAAATCAAATATTATTTTGTGCAAATAATATCAAAAACATTTTCTAAAAATTTCGGGATAACCTATAACTAGCAATAAGGGTCAGCTCCAGATGCCACACAAGCATTTAGAGTAACTCATGTAAAGCAACGGATGCGTGAGTTTCTCCTACATTTCTTCTCCGGTAGCCGAAGTGATCTGTTTGCGCCACGCCTTGGTCAGTTCATTGTCCAGATATTCGGTGCGTTCTTCCGGTAACAAATCCCAAATATCGTCTTTTAATAACTGTCGTTTCCACGCAGTCCTCATCAATCTGTAAAATTCCCAGTTATTAAGATAAATGTTCATCAAGCAGAATGAGAAAACATTTCATTAACACAGCTTCAAAGTAGCGACTGTGCTTACTCAGTAATCCAGTGAGAAAATGCCTTGTTGAGGAAGGAAGCGCTTTGTTCAGGCGAGGGATTCTGATCAAATTCCATTATTTGTAACCAAAATTGCATAGTGTTAATGCCAGTAAAATTTTTACCTTGGTCCAGTTTTCGAATCTTTCCGGGTAATTATCGGCGAATGCTGATAGAATAAGCTGAATGACGACGATGGGAAAAAATACTTCGTATGTGAACAGACCGAAGACATCGTCAGGACTTTGCTGGGTTGGGGAAAACAGAGCAATAAATATACTGTACAAATAGTAAGAAGCTATGAAAATTGAAAACTGAATGTAATATACAAAGTGTATATTATTAACACATTTTTAGTTTGCTGTTGCGAACAAATTCTAAAGAATATGGTGCATGGATGAATCTGTATGTGCGCACTGCGCAATGCGCATCGTACCGGCTCTTTTCCAGACACACGCAACACTTTACTCCGTAGGATAATAATGCCGGCTACGGCTAATAAGAGCCAGAAGACAAACAGGATGGCATTGGAAATTCGTCCCTTCCGTCTGTCAAGATCGATGTAAACCATGGCCAGTAGCTGTACACAATTATTAGTTAGTAACCATACTTTGAATAACATTATTACGTTATAACACGGCATTTTATAATATTTCATTGAGCTTTGCTTTAACTGAATTCTACAAAGATGGCTTTTTAAATGTTGAACGCTTAAAAATCAACTCACAAAGGTAAAAACTTGTATCAATGGCGATATAATATTGACTGCCGGCAGTGATTCCGTGCCAAAATGCACCAAAACTTGGGCCGCATAGCCGAGATCCATCAATTCCAGGATGACCAGAATTATACACAAACCCTGCAAGCAGAATCTGATAGTCAACAGCGAACAACATTAATTACTGATCATTTTTGTGTTATCAGGTATTGCTAATAAAAACACGTATACGGTATACGCATTGGCGGTCAAGCTATTTTCAAACTAATTAACTATCTAAAATAAATTAAAAATAATTCACATTTTATTAATGAAGTTTGTAGAAACTAACATACAGTAATTGTTAATGGTTTCTTGGACTTGGTTTTGTTGGATTCATCAATACCACAAGAGCCTGTATCATGTGCATAATCGATTTACAGATAGTACCTGTATCATATTAAGTTTTGTACCTTTCAGATAGCGGTACAAAATTAACAGCATGGAAGTAAGGTTTGTTGTTTTCCGTCGCAAGTATCTAACTAATTATAGTCATCGCCCTTCGGCTGGAAAATGGTGTGATAAACAGAAAAGCTCCAAGATTGATATTTCTCGTACATGTTGTTTCTCCATCCATCTAAGGCGCTCTTATTGCACGTAATGTAGCGCATTAAAAATAAAATTAATATTCAAATGTAACCAGCTATATTTATACCAATCAGTGTTTTACGAATTTATCTGCCTTGTTAGTTACTGCACACCCTACCCGCAGCAAAAAAGTTCAGCACATCTGATTCACACTTCGATTTGGAAGTTTACAAAAAATCAAGAAGAGAGCGTCTGCAAAAACTGCAAAACCTATCAAGTTTTCAAACATGAACAAATTGTTCGATAGTATGCTAATTCAGTATTTCCGGCACCTGTAAACATGTCAATCGCCCAGCGTTGGGTATTTTGGGGATGGAAGTGTGCTACTCAAATGTCCAACGAATGTTGTATTTTACTAGTCTCACCATTTTTGCAATTGTCATTTTCGTCCATCGTCCAAGTCGGGCATTTTCCGTTATAACCTTGTAAACCTCCACCGGTATGCACAGCCATAAAAACAGGCAGGGTATGCCGACTAAGGCGATCTGTTCGAAGCAGTGCGTAAAATCTGGATGCTCCACATACCACGCTTTCGTCCCGTTCTGCAGTGGAACACATCAATAATTAATAATATTCTTTATGACACGTTTGGAGAGCCTGCAACGTGAAGCGAATAACCGGAAAACAAGCAATCGCTTACCCAAAAAACATCGCTGCACATTCGAACCATTTTTGCACAGTTCTCCAATTACGGATATATGCAGTTTACTGTTAATATGATTGTCGTTCCCGCCATAAATCAAACCGCCAAAACAAGCACTTTCTGATCAGGAATATCAAAACCAGAAAGGGACGATATCCCGGCGCTGGCATATACCGGTGTCCATTTGTCTCTTCGTGCGCCCTATTTCATTTTGGTGTGTGGTAAACTTCCAGCAGCCCACATACACCAGTTAGATCGCCATCCATGCTTAAACTCAGTATAGTCTTCCGATGTCTCGATCGCAGTCTTGTACGCGCTATTGGCTAAAGGCTAAACATCTAATGTAGCCAGCAGCAACTTTCGCACTGCAAAAATTGCAACTAAAAATTTTAGTGTGATTGTGGCTGTACTGTAGCATACAATATCTGCAATGGGTAGCAACATTTGTGCGGAATTATGCCTTGTAGCAAGCGGTTGGCTTATTGTTGTAAGATTGTAAAAAAATTTTCCTGCTCTTATTGTTCAAAAAAGATCCACTTTTGCCGCGACGTGACACCCAGCGGCGACATGACTAACGTTAGATGCATTCTTCGGGTGAAGGGTATTGTGGTGTTTACAACAAGAAGACGGTATAAAATTCACTGAAAAAGTATGCGAAAGCCAGCACACAATTGTACACCATGAAATTTCAAGAACTTCACATAAAAAATTTAAAACCGTAAAACAAAATTCTTTAGGCTGACTTTGTTGCAAAAAGTACAGATAAATTTTCTAATCATTTAAAATACCGAAATTATGTATGGCAGAATTTATATTCCACAACATGTCAGAGATAAAGTGAACTGAGCAGTCCTTAATGCTACGCCAGAAATTTGGGTTTTAACGTTTCTTTTGTTCACATTTTGCTCATCATAATTAATGACAGATGTGATTCCGCACAATCTTGTGGTCGATCGCATATTGAGCAAACTTCTAGCTTCCAGAATTGGTCCTGACATGATACATCGATTTTTAAATGTACAGTATTCGTTTAAATGTTTTCTTTTCGTTCTAATACTTCACCAAATGCCGAATCACTCGCCATTATCAGAGGCATTCATACTGTAATTTATGAAAGAAGTAAAAAAAATGAGAAGTAATATCATGTGTGTCCAGAATTGGTCCTGACATGATACATCGATTTTTAAATGTACAGTATTCGTTTAAATGTTTTCTTTTCGTTCTAATACTTCACCAAATGCCGAATCACTCGCCATTATCAGAGGCATTCATACTGTAATTTATGAAAGAAGTAAAAAAAATGAGAAGTAATATCATGTGTGTCGATCAGTGTTGTCCAGCATCTTTGGCCAATTTATAAAACAAACTGTTAGGGTTTTCTAAAAGTTTTGCAGGCGTATCGAATTCTTTGATCCTTCCAGCATCCATTACTATCACACTATAGAAACAATCAATAACTAATAACTATAAGCGAGCTAATTTCTTCAGAAAATAATTATACCGTGTCGCATCCATAATCGTATTCAAACGATGCGCAATTGTAATAACTGTACATTCCTCAAATTCCCGACGAATAACTTCCTACACAATAAGAAAGTAGTTCCATCGTTTTACAACTTCTGAAAATTTGATTCTTTTTGCGCTGACCTGAACAAAATTATCGGTTTCGAAGTCAATAGCCGCTGTCGCTTCATCCAGAATGAGGATTTTTGACCGTCGAAGCAAAGCACGAGCGAGGCATAGTAGCTGCCGTTGTCCCACGCTATAAAACCGGAAAAACATCAAAGAAAAATCCTTTATCAATTCCATCTTTTCTTTTCCCGCGCACCTCAAATTTCCACCGTTTTCTGTGACTTTGAAAAACAGTCCGCTCTGTGAAGCTTGAAAAAACGGCTTCAAACGCGACTGCTCCAGCGCTTTCCAAATCTGCTCCTCGCTGCTCTGATTAAATGGATCGAGATTCATCCGCAAAGTCCCGCTGAACAGCACCGACTCCTATTATTGCAGACAACAATTTTAGCGCAACCGCGCATGGAACAGCATGTTTTCCAAGTCAGCAAATTAATTTACTTGTGGAATAATGGTAATACGCGAGCGCAAATCATGCAGTCCAATTGTGGATATATCGGTGCCGTTAATATAGATGGCTCCTCCTGCCGGCTCAATCATACGCAGCAGCGCTAAGGTCATGGTACTCTTCCCGGATCCCGTACGGCCCACGATGCCAATCTGAACGCCCAAACACACTAAACAGTATTATCTGTAAAAGACACCAGCATTTAAGAAAATTTGGGATGTACCTTTTCTCCAGCGTTGATCGTGCAAGTGACCCCGTCCAGCACCAGCTCTAGTCCTTCGCGATAACGAGTTTGGTAATTTGCAAAGGCAATATTCCCACTGTACGGCCATCTTGATGGCATACGATTATTGGGCACAACGGTCGGAGCCTGGATGAAAAAAACCAGCAGGTTATTGCATATTGATCAAACATCCCTTGAATAACGTTTTAGTTATTTTCAAAGCAATTCAAATTTTTGCTGATAATGTTTCGCCGTTGTACCTCAGTCGGCGTATTAGAGTATTCGTGTAGCCTCTCCACAGAAAGCAGTGCATTTTGCAAATCACACATATTTTGCGCCCACCAGGGAAATAGCAGCGCTAGCTAAAAAAAAGCAGTTATTACTGCACTGCACTGTTTGTTGCACGGTTTATTACGGCACTCAGCATACGGAAATGGCTCCAATTAATCCCAGACCGACAAACGCCGGCGTGTTACTGTATCCCCAGTTATCCCGTCCATACACGGCAAAAATGCCAGCCAAAAACGTTTGGGTATTGCATAACAGCATCAGGACCAGCATCATCCAACTGCAGAAAAAATTTTCATTATTAAAAGTAAAAATATTCACTGTCGAAAAATTTCGTTCGTTATTTCCGATATATTGCTGATGATGAGTATAACGTAGTAAAAAGTCTTACTGAACCGATGCATTACTGCAGTGGGCAACAGCGGTGACATGGTCGATTTTTCGGCGATTCTCCAGTATGAACCGATCACTTTGCCGCATGGCCGCGATAACCGAACTTCCGGCCATGGATTCCTGCAAACTGGAGATCAACGGGGATCGCGACAGGACATCTAGCCGTTTTAATTGTAAGGCCGTGGACGTGTAATAGACCTGCCGACACAAAATACAACAAAGCGTTAAGTACTTATGTATAAAGCAGACAAAATAGTATTGGTTTCGCGCTAACCTTCACGCAGTATGCCACAGTGAAGAGCGCAATGGCATATATGGTAAGATATGGGAACACAATGAGAACCTGCCAGAGAACCATACAATTATCAACGCCTTCACGGTACGGGCGTCGATGAACAACTATACATAATGTATTAAAGACAAAAACAGATTACAAAATCAAAAATTAAGATTGATTTGATTAATTTTAAAGAAAAATACAGAATAATAACCCACAGATCACAAACAACACAACATTTATTTTGCATTTACCAAAAGGGCAAAGACAATGGCCTGAAAGAAGGCGTTCATCACAAAGCGCAACTGGATCGGTATGGCACTGTCAATGGTATCGATATCCTTGCTGAAGCGATTAACAATGCGTCCCAGCGGTGTGGTATCGAAATACGACATCGGTGCGCGCATCAGTCGTGTCAACATGGAATTATGCATAGAACGTCCGGCTCGAATGAGAGCGGCAGAGATACCGTACAATCCCATCACGGCGAAAATCACTACAAAATTAAGGAATACCTTATTTAAGAGATCTCGTTCAAGAGTTCGGTAAATCCGTTTCTTACGCTGTATGAAAGCAATAAGAGCATAGATCCCCACTTCGTAATTTGTCGCTTCCCAATCAAAGGACCCATCCGATTTGGTGGTGTTGGTCTGCGTCCATGTGGCCACCCACATGTTAGAGTAGAGAAATAACGCATTGGCCGCCGTGTATCCGAAGAACATGAGAAAGGTCATGGAAAATGTCATCTCTTTGGTTAAATGCCAGTACGTTGACCAGGGAATGCCGCCGGTGGACGATTGCTCCGTGGCGATCAGCCTACCTTCGTCGACGGTCTTCTGCTTCGATTTGGAACCAGTGGCCGGGTCTTCCATAGTATGCGTGATGTTGCCGTCCGGTACATTGCGCAGCGATGCTTTCTGCAGTTGACGGAGTTCTTCGTCGTGGCGCATCGGTTTTTGTTCGCGCACCGATGACGCGCGATTGCGATATGGCGTAATGTCCTCTTGGTCATCTTCGTCATCAAGGGAAGGTTCTTCTTCCACTTGGCTTTTTTCTATATTGCACTGCCGGAGGAAATCACTGAAGCGTTCGTCGTTATCAATCAATTCAGCGTACGAGCCCATTTCCGAAATACGCCCTTGCTTTAAATAAAAGCCAGAAACAATTTAGAATCAACTGCTACCAAATCACATTCCCTAACCAGCATAAATTATTGTAAAAGGTAATATCAGACTTAATTGATACTGAGTGTTGTCAACGTTCACTGTGCATACAACGAAACGAAGAAAGTTACCGTAAGTAACTGTGATGAGACTGCAAAATATTGGCTTTACCTCCAAATACGCAATGGTATCGCATTCCGGCAACCAGTTGATGGCATTCGTAACGAAAATTCGCGTCTAACAGATACACCTTTCAGATAGCTAAATTTCGATTTGCGGACAAAACAAGCAAATTACTTTGTCTTTCAGAAGTCCTTCCGGTCCAATGACATTCTCGAAAAGATGTCGGCCCCTGCAAAGAGGATGTCAAACCAACGTATCTTTCTGCAGGCTTCTTAGTTTTATCATGCCTGCCATGCACAGTTAGTGTATGCATTTATGTCAAATCAAAACATAGCCTGCATTACTTACACATGCGCATCCACAGCGCTTAGAGGATCGTCCAAAAAATAAAGCTGCAATTTAGTACAGGCTTTAATTTTATACACTATTTAATTGTCCCAAATTTCACCTTACATCACAGTCAGAATAAACAGCACGCGCCAGTGTCACCCGCAGTTTCTGTCCGCCGCTGAGATTGATACCCTTTTCGCCGATCTCCGTTTGATCACCAGACGGCAGCACCTCCAAATCCGGCTTGAGTGCGCAGCACTCCAACACTCTGTCATACTTTTCGGCATCAAAGGGTCTTCCAAAGAGGATATTATCCCGCATGGTCATGTTCTGGTTCCAGGCTTGCTGGGTGACGTAGGCAACGGAGCCCCGGATGGTGACCTTTCCGGAAATACGCTCCATCAAGCCCAGACAGGCGGCCAGAAACGATGACTTTCCTTTTGTCCAAATGAATCATTTTCATGATTACCGTATTTTACGCTGTACGCAAAAACATACAGAAGAATCTTCGCTTACCACTGCCAACGGCTCCCACCACGGCGAACAGTTCCCCGTGTTTAATATCGATGTTCAGACTTTTAAGCGTCAGTCCTGGACCCGCAGCGCTGCGACTATTCCACGAGAAATTTCCCCCCACGATCATTATCATCGAGCTGTGCGGGCTAGACGGTCTGGAAGTACGGTCCACGCTGTCGGGGTCAAGTTCGCGCGCCAGGAAGAAATCCCGTAAGCGATTACAAGCTATTTTTGCCTGCAGAAAAATGGCATTTACTACCGTAATCCGCAAAGAAAGCTATCAATAAAAACTGACGTTAACGTAGCTATCATAATGTTTCCACAGAAAACACCATTTTACGCACGTACCTACTGCGTATCCGCCTTTACATTTAACGCACCTATCCGTTGCAACCGTTCGGTTCGTAACTGACATCAAAATTACGAAATTTAACGAGTTCAGTTTTACCCGTAAACTCGAGCCCAGAATGACTATTCTGTGGTGTTTTGAAGAATCGTGTCAATAAAGTACAATGGACTTCAAAATTTTGTTACACTCACAAAACGCGCGCAACCAGCTATTTACCTGTACTCAATCAGCCAAATTCCGGGCTGGCAAACACTTTGCCTCACGCATTGCAACCATCACCAATATCTCAAACGAAGAGAAAAAATTTTTAATTTTGATACCAAGTTAGCTTTATGGGATCTGGCGGAAAATCGAGCATCTAGGTTTCTCGTAGACAAAGCATAGCATTTGAATCCACGGTTTGGTTTCAGTTTTCACACAGAAAACGTATGCTCGAGAAACTTTAGATGCGTCTTTCTCGATAAAAAAACTAACTATCAAACGTTGGCGCAAACAGCAAGTGTTCAATTACGCGTTTCCAGTTTATTGGTCATTTGGCATTTATTTCTATTCGTGGGGTCCCGGAATGTAACAAAAATTGTATGTGATAAAAAGAATAGCACTCTGCTGTGATGTCGGTATTAACGTTAACTATTCCCAAAATTCTGAAAGTTCGTATTTTTAATGAAATTCTGCTAAATTTAAATGGCTGAACAAGTTACAGAAATCCAGCAAAAATAAACTACCGAAAAAAAATATAAGAGGCCTGATAGTGCTGCGTTCGGACATTCGGGTGCAAAGTCAAAGTCCATGCGCTCGGTTTGTACAATGTACAGCCGTTTCGCCTATTATAAATCTTAAGCACTGACCTGAACGAGCAAAGTGGTGCCGATGGGCAACAAATACAAGGAATATCGCAGGCTGAACAGGAGTAACAGCGTAACGAAGCCGATTTTAGGTGTTAAGCGGTAGCCCGATACGTAGACATATGTAGCAAAGGTCGTCAGGGACGCCAGCGGTGAGGCCACCAAAATAAGGGCGTGGTTGATTGTCGTCAGGTAACCGGCTTTTGTCAGCGACGTCAACTGCAATTGGAAAAGCATGTACTGAACATCCCTCATAAATTCCGCCGACGTTTTACCTCCTCTTCCCGAGCTCGCAAGATCTGATCCTGAAACTGCGTTTCCCAGGCATACATCTTCAGAACTTTAATTCCATCGAAGATCTCGTTAATGCGGCGTATACGTATATCTTTCTGCCTGACAGCGGATCCCTGTTCGCATTCAACTTTTTATCAATTCTGTTAATACCCTCAAGCCCAAAAAATACCTCCAGTTTTCTGGCTTTGACCACCAGGCTAAAGTTGAATAAGACGATGAAAAACAATGTGAAAAAGCCGGCCAAGGAAGCCGCTCCGACATACTGCCACAGGATGTACATTATCATGACGGCGGTTATCGGCGTCACGCAGACATAATGGTAATAGTAGAGGAAGTCGGAGATGCGCTGTGTGTCGGCTGTTAACATGTTGCAAGCGTCCCCGACACGGTACTGCCGTTTGGAAGAATTAGCCAGAAATAGCGCCTATAAATTCAGTTATTAGTGCGAAATACCAGCAAATCGTCTGATCATTGGCCAGGTTAGCTTCACAAAAACTTCGTGACAAAATTCAATTCCAATGAGAACAGAAAATATCGTTGTAGAACATCATTCATGAATTACTAAAAAGCAAACAAACGTTTACAAATACTCGTACACTACTGTTGCGTTGTTACATTTTTATATGGCGATACATTCCGATTCTCACGTCCCCACTTATAGCCGTTGTACTACGAAATCACACACTACCAGCTTGTTTGTTCACTTTTTGAACCTGTAATAAGGCTTTGGTGCTGTTCGGTTGCATATCTTTGATCTTTCCATAGTTTTTAGGAAAAGCCGTATGTGTAAATTCGGTAAGTACCGTATTTATGAACTGGCGTGTTTATAATATTTATTAAATAAGTATCAAAATATCTGTATATGTATTAATTAATATTCATTTAACAAAAGCTCATAGCGACCGCCCAGGACTTTAGTATTATAATATTAATAATATTAATAGTGTACCTTTCGATAGATCATTGCGGACAGAGCTGAGCGAAGCCGCATACCGCAGCGGCTCGTAGAAATGTTCATCATCCCGAAACAGATGCTCTGTATAGCGCACATCAAGAACAAGATGGTCGCCAGTACATAACCTTTCCACGACCATATGGAAGGAGTGGCCGTAAATTGGATAAGCTGACTGATAATCAAAACAACAGATTTCAGTCGCACAATTAGTCCGAACATGTGCTGCCGAATTAATTTACGGAAGACTGTTTAAGACTAGTGGTTTACCCGACTATTATTGGAATGATAACCATAGCGGCATCGTGACCAATTTTAAATAATGCCGATCTCCAGAAAAGCGGCCAGGATGTTTTGTAAAGGGCGGACACCAGCGACGGAATTTTGGTGCGACTGCTGGAGGATTTATCCGGCTTATCCTGAGGACGGTTACCGCTGGCGCTGCCAATGAGGCTGCTGACTTCCGAGGGTACATCACTGAAGTACCTGCCCAGTGCGACAAACGGGATGCTCATTAAATGTTTCTTTTGCATATTATCAAGGTCAGCAAAAAATTGTGCAGATCAAGTGACGTTTACTTAGGTTGTCATTCTAACATTAAGCCAATTCTGAGCGCTGCCAGTTGCGATGTATACTACACTCTAAAAGGCATTTCGCTACACTTTCGGTTACCTACCTATGGTGTCCAGCTGTTAGGTATGTTAAAAAAGCGCACTGAAATTTGGTACGTATGCAAGTATTCATGCCTTCATTCGCTGTTGAGTTACAAGAATTTTTCTCAGTTTTTGGCGCATATCTCTAATATCACTACAATCTATGTATTTCCGTGGCACTTTTGGAATCTACTTTATCCACACGCAAAAGAAAAAAGACTTGCTCGAAATATTCTTCCCTTTTGAAATCATTGTTGTGGGACTGACTGTTTAGCTCGCAATCAGTCCTTCTTAGGTCACAGTCGAAACCGCCGCCGTAACCGGCGGACAAGAAGGAAGGAACACTATTTCGTAGCTCACTATCTACATAACAAGAAACTTCTCTCCTCTTTTCTAACATTAGCACGTTTCCGAAAAATATATGATAGCATTACGAAAAGCGCGATTACGGTACTCAAAACGGCCTTGTATTTGATACGTTTTTCGGCTGATGCGGTGACAAACAATACCTATCCGCGCAAAGATAAATACCAGCCGTAGGCGGTATCATAACCACCATTGCCCTATGTTGATGTAATGGTCAATAAACAGTCTTCTTTTAAAAATGAGCTGATGATCTAGGAAGTTTTTCTGAAGATTTTTTTGGTAGATCTGCAGCTATAATAATTCATGGCCGGCAAAATGATGTTTCCGGTTCGGAAGCCCTATAAGCAGCTTCGCAGCGTAAATAACTTCCCGATGATGACATACTAAACGCAAACGTTTCACGCACATTTCGTCTCCGGTTGCCGCAGTGATTTCTTTGCGCCACGCCTTGGTCAGCTCATTGTCCAGATACTCGGTGCGCTCTTCCGGTAACAAATCCCAAATATCCTCTTTTAACAATTGCCGTTTCCATGCCGTTCTCATTAGCCTGTCAACATAAACTACTCACGAAGTATTTCGTAACAAGACATAACGAAAACGCCAGTTAGCTTAATGCAGTGCATTAAAGCGATGTATGCCCGACGAGTGGATGACGTACGCGGTAATCCAGTGAGAGGCCCCTTTGTTCAGGAACGAAGCGCTTTGTTCAGGAGACGGATTCTGATAATCACAGAATTCTACATTTCATAGTTCTACTCGAAATTTAGTGCAATATATATAATATTAACACCAATTTAATGTGCACCTTGGTCCAGTTCTCGAATCTTTCCGGATAATTGTCGGCCAGTGCAGATAAAATAAGCTGAACAATGACAATCGGGAAGAATACTTCGTAGGTAAACAGCCCGAAAACATCATCCCGGCTTTGCTGTTGAAAAGAAAATTTGTATACAACCATACAACGTGTAAGGGCTATAAAATTATAATTTGCTTAATTTGAGATTATAGCTTCTCAAGAATGTGATTGCCGCACCGGTAGCTTTCCAGATACACGCAAAATTTTAGTCCGCAAAATAATGACGCTGGCAACGGATAAGAGAAACCAGAAGATAAAGAGGATGGCGTTGGAGATGCGTCCTTTGCGTCGATCGAGATCGATGTACACCATGGCCAACACCTTTACATGAGTAAAAAACATCAGTCCACAATTGGTAATGTTTGTATGTGTTAACGTAATTATGCGTATATGCCATGTAAAATGCATAAGTATTTATATACTATATACTGACAGAAATTTTATCAGGACACTCGTAAACCAATTACCTATCTGAGATTATCGAATTTCACTGATCAGCTTCATTTACTTATTAAAAACTGCTAATAATAATGTCTGTGAAATATCGATCGTGCAATGTGATTGTTTTTGTATATGCTGGACTTCCAAAATTAACTTACAAAGGTAAAAACTTGCACGAGCGGCGATATAAGGTTGACTGCCGGCAGTGAATCCGTACCGAAGTGTACCATAACCTGGGCAGCATGACCGAGATCCATCAGCTCCAAGATGACCAGAATAATACATAGCCCCTGCAAACAAAATCTATTTTAACAAAAACAAATCTCCTGTTTCTCATAGTAGCTTTAAGTATATAACAAAATTGTTTTCAGAAAATTGTGGTAACATCAGGCACTGTGTTAATACTCGTATAATTATTATCGGTAGTCAAGCCAGCACCAGTATTTACCGGCTTTATGTGGGGATCAATCAAAAGTTCAAAGCTTTAAACTGTGCTCTTGATGATTTATGTCCATCTTGTGGTTGTAAATATGGCATGGAAAATGTAAGCAGTATTTATGATGAAAATCTATTGTCCTGGGGATTGTACTCTGTTAATGTCTGACTAACAGCCCTTCGGCTGGTAAACGGTGTGATAATTTCAGCAACAAGCACCGTCTGCGGCTTGAGACGCTCCAAGAAACTACCAAATAGACACCTGCATTGTTTCCTCTACAGAAACCTTTTCTTACAAATATCTAGCGCAGCTGCAGATATAAAGTACAAAACTTAGCACCAACTTATTTTGCTACCAAACTGTCGACGCTCTCGTTAAGAAAAGCTCCAAGAAATTGCACATAATATTTTGTGTACATAAAGGTGATATCGGAAACGACATGCAATACAAAAAAATAAAATAGCTGCTGAAGCTGAATGCTTGCACGAAATTAAATTTTCTTGAACTGTTAAGAGTATTACATAAATTAAAATACTTAAGTTCAAAGATCGCCATGAATGCAATTAGTAAGAATAAAAAACTTTGAAAATTCAAATGAGGCAAAATTATTTTTACAAAAAGTGAGTCATTTCCAAACTTCCAGCATGCTCAGCTATTTTGACCACAGAAACCCTTAACTATGTAATCACAAGGGTGCCACCAAAGCGATTAAAATCGAACGAAATGTTGCTTTTTTAGCCTCACCATTTTGGTTATCGTCATCTTTGTCCATCGTCCAAGTCGTGTATTGTCCGTCATAACCTTGTAGATTTCCACCGGTATGCACAGCCACAAAAACAGGCAGGACATAGCAATTAAACCCATCTGCTCGAAGCAGTTGGTGAAGTCCGGCTGCTCCACATACCACGCCAAAGTCCCGTTCTGCCGGAAGAAGACATAAATAATTTGCTGAATTACTGGCATTTAGGAGTACTGGCCCACTTTAGAGAAAAGACCTAGTACCAAATTATTTATATCTGTTAAAAATTTTACTTCCGGTCAGTTTAATGACAGGGAATTGTTGCGCATCCAGAACTGTTTTCCCATAAAATAGTTATATATTTATAATACCTGTACACCGCTTGCATAAACAATATTGTGTGCAAATCATTTGATTACATGAATGTTAACCAATGCAAATGAATTTAATCGTGAGCAAAAGTGAAAATGCGCCAGTGTTGCGCTTATATGAGGTTGGTACCATGTGCATGCCCTTTCCCTGAATAAGCAAACTATCGAGAACTATATGTAACTCACTTACCCAAAACGGGTCGCTGCAAATTCGAACCATTTTCTAAGGGAATTTGCTAATTCACAGGGAACGATTAGTTTAAACGGACTTGCAAATCATGATCGGCAGCATCATTCCATAACAAAATTATGACTTCGGCTTGTTCATTAGTGGCAAGATGCACCAACGAACAACACTCCGCTTGACCATATCGAAATATTATAATCCAAACTGGCTAGCATCCCGAATTTTATCGTTGGCATACGCCGATATCCGGCTTCTGACCGCCCTATTTCGATTTGGACCAGTTGTAAAATTGTAAAACTGCCAGCAGCGTTTCGTCACCTGCCAGACAATCAATTAGCGCGTCCGGACACTACTAAACCTGTTCGATGCCTGGATCGCTTAATCAGTTAATCTACAAATATTTTGCGGTTAGGTTCGTAATGTTGTGGAAAAGCGAAAATCGCAGCGAAAGGTCCTCTTTGATATCGAGAAAACTGCCCCTTGTTTTCAAATCCGGCATGTATCTGCATATGCATACAACGGCCCTTGACAACGTTTTACTCGGTTCGGAACCTTCTGTATTTCGCGAAGAACCGTGCATTCGGTGTAATACCTTGTGGCACTACCATTCACTCGGCGGTAGACAACCTTTCCCGACGCTACGTTCTTCACGCGGACCACGATTACCGTGTTTACCGGTCAATTACCGCAGATGGGATTTTGTTTTAAGTTTAGCGTCACAATCGAGTACTGCTTAATTTCCGTCAGAACCGCTTATTTCTCATAAAAGTTTCGATAAGGAACTGTTTGTAAATGGTGAAACTCACGGTGTTACGACTGCAGAAAGCATAAATTATGGTGTCTCGCTTAAACTAGGTAATTTGTGACTGGAGGATTCAGACGATCCGTCGAAAATTTAAAAACCTATGTCGTGGTTAGTCGTGACCCATATATTATCTAACGGTATATGCACGATAGATATACTGATGCAAAACTCAAAACTTGTACAGTGCAGTAGTTTATTTGCACACAGAAAAGTTATTCTGTGGCCAAATTTTGCTTTTTGCACTGCTAAAATAATTATTGGCATCAACTTTCTAGATCGCTGTAAGCTGCGAGCACATTTTGCAATCTCGGATATACCCGAAATCTTTCGTGCAAATATGTAGCAAAAATATGTAGAGCAAAGAAAAATAAAGGAAGTCGTATACCGCATGAATTTTGATGATGGCGGTGGATTAAAAACAGGAGGAAAAGAAAATATCGAAGGTAGTGGCCGGCATGTTACAATTACACTTTTGTATTCCGCTGTGACGTCACTGCAGCGGCTACACAAGCAGCATCACATTCTGAGTGAACTGTAGCCGATATAATTTAATGGAATGTGAGCGCATTCGTACGTTCAAAGCGTTCAAACGCTAACGTACTCAATTTTGCATGCAATAAATAGTTTTACTTCGATGATTTAAAAAGAAAACTTCACAAAAAACTTAACAGATGCATAATTCGCAAAATGTAAAAAGAATATATCACATTGATTATCTTGCAGTGATACGCTGCATCCAAGATTGTCATGCTGTCAATATAATTCTTCTACTTTTCGTGTTTTTGGCGTCCGGTAAAATACAGTTGTCAGATAGATGTGTAACCTGTCAGTATGCTGGTTTAGCTCGATTTTTATAGTCCAGCATCTTTTGCCAGTTTATAGAACAAGCTCCGTGGATTATCCAGCAGTTTCACCGGGATGTCAAATTCTTTTACTCTTCCCGCATCCATCACCATGACCCTGTGAAATTCAACAAGCATGCTTTTTTGAACACACCGGTGTTGTCTTGTTTAGATTTACCGAGTTGCGTCCATTATAGTATTTAGCCGGTGGGCAATCGTAATAATCGTGCAGTCAGCAAACTCTTTGCGAATAACTTCCTGAAACACGAAATCAGCAGTAATTTTACTAGAGTTTTAAATGTCTGCATTCGTACTTGGACGAAATTATCCGTTTCAAAGTCAATGGCCGCTGTCGCTTCATCTAGAATTAAAATTTTGGACCGCCGCAGCAGCGCTCGTGCTAGACAGATCAGCTGGCGTTGTCCCACACTGTGAATAACGAAGGAACAATGTATCTGTCAACTACATTCTACCATTAACCGTTTAATTTTAAAACAGTAATGCATTCATAAATAACACTCATTCTGCAGAAATAAATAAGAAAAGGGCGCACCTCAGATTTCCGCCTCCTTCCGTGACAGCAAACTCCAGTCCGTGTCCGGCTAACTGGAAAAACGCCTTCAGTCTGGATAATTCCAGAGCCCTCCAGATTTGCTGATCCGAACACTGGTTGAAGGGATCAAGGTTCATCCGCAACGTTCCGCTAAACAGTACCGACTCCTACAAGATATTTCTAAAATGAGCAATACATTTTTGTGGCGATAATAACATGTACGATGCTTTGAATACATCAAAGCGCGCGCTGTTACTAGACCGTTATCACTTTCACTCGTTTAGTTTGGCCATTTTTTCACCGTTATCGCCTAACTACATATAAAACTGACCGAAGTGAAGCTTATTCATTAAAGAAACAGCGGAAAGCCAAAGTCTTTACAAACCGATTTGAATGACAAAAAACAGCTTAACAGCTTTGTCCTTGAAAAATTAATCATTAACAATTCTTATAAACGACGGGGAAAAAAATTAGTATTTCTCAACTCCAGGAAGGGAGCATCCACATTACAGAGTATACTCGTATTTTATAGCATTAGCATCTGCAGAAATACAAGGAATCCATGCTAGTCAACTATGCTTTTGATGTATCTCTGTTATGAATTTACCCATTGGCTATGCGTTGCATATGAAACGGCAGTTAGAGCTGGTTTACATGCAAATATATAATAATCCGCAACCTCATATAAAGTTTCTTAAACAACGTAACGAATTTCATTCATTTTCGGTATCCATATTATGCACAAATCAATGTTCGGTATTCTACCGGCGTTTTAATAAACTCCAAGCAGTAAACAGGCACAAGCAACCGACCTGAGGTATCACCGTGATACGCGAGCGAAGATCATGCAGGCCAATCTGGGCAATATCCGTCCCGTCAATGTAGATATTTCCAGCCACCGGCTCCAGCAGCCTCAGAATGGCTAACGTCATGGTGCTCTTCCCGGATCCGGTACGCCCAACAACACCGATCTGCATACAAGAGCAAAAGTTTAATTCATCTTTCAGTAATGTGGTTATATGCCCGTAGTACATTAATTTTTCGAAATATGCACTTTTTTATTATTACTGTTACTGTTTTTGTATTATTACTGATACCTTTTCCCCGCTGCGGATGGTGACCGTAATACCATCCAAGACAAGGTCCAGTCCATTACGATACCTTGTCTGATAGTCCGTAAAAGCTACCGTTCCCTGGTATGGCCACTTGGAGGGTGGTCGATTATTCGGAACGATAACGGGTGCCTAATATTGTATAAATTTATCAATTTTAGTTATTTTGTTTAATAATTTGTTTAGTTTTTTCAACTTAATATTTAAAAAATATAGAATTGTTGCCAGTGATGTAATAACAACGTGTAAACGCAAACGCCGATGATGTCAGCTAACCTCGACGGGAGTGTTAGCGTATTCGTTAAGTCGTTCGATGGAAATTATGGCGTTCTCCAAGTCGCTCATATTCTGCGCGCACCATGGGAAAAGGACAGTAAACTGCAAAAAATACACACTTTTTAAAACGTTAATACTGTACAACTTTTGTGACTTCGTACCGAAATTGCTCCGATTAATCCCAATCCAACGAAACCCGGTTCCTCACTGTAGCCCAATTTGTCGCGCCCGTAAACAGCAAAGAGAGCGGTGGCGAATATGAGGATATCGCCTAGTACCATAAGGATCATCGTCATCCAGCTGCAAGACATAATAACAGGTATTCAAGAAACATCGGCAATGTGCTAGAAATTAGTGTTACGTACTGGAGCGATGCATGTGTGCAGAGCAGTACTCCCGTTAAATGGTCAATCTTCTTCCGATTTTCCAGAATAAATCGCTCTGTCTGCTGCATGGCAGCGATAACCGCGCTTCCGGCCATGGATTCTTGTAAGCCAGAAAGCAGCGGTGACCGCGACAGAACATCCAGGCGCTTCAACTGGATGGCGGTAGCCGTATAGAACGCCTGTCAAACTAACAATATCATATGAATATCCGCTTATAACTGCACTGGTTTCCATTCATACCTTGACAAAATACGCGACGATAAACATCGGCACGGCATACACAGTCAGGTAAGGGAAAACAATCAATGTCTACAAAATTACATACATGAATTTTTTATTGTCATATTTACATTTCAGGAAACAATGGCCGACAGGAAATGGTTACCAGCAAGGCAAAAACCAAACACTGGAAAAAGGCGTTAAGGACGAATCGTAGGAGCATGGGAATGGTGTTGTCCACCGTATCGATATCTTTGCTGAACCGGTTAACAATTCGTCCCAACGGCGTGGTATCGAAGTACGACATGGGTGCCCGCATCAAACGCGCCAACATGGAGTTGTGTGTTGTACGACCAGCCAAAATCAGCGCAATGGCGATTCCATATAAGCCAGCCAGCGCACAACCCACTGTATAGCAAAGTTTATAAAACAAAAATTGAAAAAAAATTTCACAGTATTATAAAAATAAAAATTACAAAAAATTGAAAATAAGCGAAAACAACACCGTTAAAAACCAAGACCACTTCATAAACTTAGATGTCATCTGCAGAAAAAGATCAAGAAACAACTTTTTGCAACTTTTCCATTGTTTTCTCTAATTAATCTGCGGTCGAAAAGACTGCGATAAAAACGTTCGGTTTATACGGACTTACGTTGGCAAAGCGTGAGTGTCGCATACACACCGACTCCAACATTCGTCTTCTGCCAGTCGATGCTTCCATCAGGAAGGACCGTATTCGTCTGACTCCATTTGGCCACCCACATGTTCGAAACCAAGAAGAATGCGTTGGCCAACACATACCCCAAAATGGCCAACATGGTCATAGGCACCGTCATCTCCTTGATCAACCGCTGGAACGTTGACCACTGCACACCGCCAGGCATAAATCCTTCCGTTGTAATCAGTTTACCGGCTTCCTTATACGCAACGCTATCGCGTGTACTGGCTCGCTGGCGGATTGCTGTCGGTTTCGGTAACCGACTTACAGCTTCACTGTGTGATGTGCCAGGTTGAATATCCTCGGAAACCGAAGATTCACCTCCTTCTGCGACTCCCGCTTCCTTTTCCTGAGTGGCTTCGATTTTACATTGTTGTAGAAATTCGTTGAAGCGGTTATCCAGTTCCACAAGTTCGTTATAGGTACCAATTTCAGAAATCCTTCCTTGCTGCCAAAACAAAAATCGTAACTACAAATTTCATGTACTATATATGCTTCGTAGCAAAAAATTAAAATGAGACAAAATTACTGCGAGTAAATGCATTACATTACTTATGTGCAAAAATTACCAGTAATCCGCTATCTAATGCAATCAAATAAAGATTAACGATAATTAATAAAAAGGTACCATTAATTCTCTGAAGTCAAAATTACCTCTAGAAATGCCACTATGTCGCACTGCGGCAGCCAGTGGATTGCATTGGTAACAAAAATTCGTGTCTGAAAGGAAAATGTCGTAATACACACAAAAAATTAATGTGTCGTTGAATTACTATAAACGTGTGACGTGACAGCTTACTTTGTGCTTTAGCATTCCGTGAGGACCAATAATCTTTTCAAAAATGTGCTTTCCTCTGAAAAATAATTCAAAAAAAAATAGGAATTAAAACAATTTCAATCGAAAGTGTCTTACACGTGGGCATCCACAGCACTTAATGGATCATCTAAGAAGTACACCTGCAACGCAAAACCTCAGTTCCCAGAAACCAATTCACAGTTGACCTTTGTTGGCAATGGCATACATCACAGTCAGCATAAACCGCTCGTGCCAGCGTCACGCGTAATTTTTGCCCTCCGCTCAGATTGATGCCCTTTTCTCCGATTTCGGTCAAATCACCGGATGGGAGGATCTGCAGGTCGGGATACAGAGCACAGCATTCCAGCACTTGTTCGTAGCGCTCTTCGTCGTATGGCCGACCAAAGAGAATGTTATCGCGGAGGCTCATATTCTGATTCCAAGCCTGCTGACTGACGTAAGCTACCGAGCCACGAATGGCCACGTGACCGGAAACACGTTCCATGAGACCGAGACAAGCGGCCAGGAAGGATGATTTTCCTAAACACCAAGGAGCATAAAATGATTCTGAAATCACTACGTAATTCAACACTGGTAAAACAAGATCATAACAGAAAAAACCTGTTGCAAAATTTTTAATAATACTAAAAACCGGATATAAAATTTAATTAAATTGTGCACTGACAACAACTACAACATCTTTTCAAAAAATATATCAACTTTTAATTCGAACTTCGTGACCTTTAATGATTTTTGTACACTACTTTGATATTTTTAGTACACTAATATTTCTTTTTGAAAATAATCTGCAGACAATAAAAACATGCAATACTGTATGTTGCAGGGGTAAATGTTACAAAAACACCACAATACCGGGCATACACTAAAAATAAAATGTACAGTGTATACTTGTACGGTTGTACTTGTACGTAACGGACATTTCAAAAAAATCAAAAAATATGAATAAATTGTAACGTGAGCACAGCAAGAGAACTGTCTAAGTGTTATCCGAAATTCCACATTTTGATGCCAACATTTACCGCTTCCGACTGTGCCCGTGACAGCAAACAATTGCCCCTGATTGATGTTAGCATTGATATTTTTCAGAGTCAGCAGAATCATCGTTGGATTCCATGTGAAATTTCCATTTACAATTGTCACCACCGACGCATCAGCAGCCTCCGATTTGGGTACACGCTTTACACTTTGCGGATCCAGTTCCCGCGCGAGAAAAAATCTCTTAACCTGGTCGTTGCGATTTTGGCCTACCAAAAATTAAAACATACAGTATTACCGCAAAACATTCACCCAAGACAAGGAGAATTTCCCGTTACTTGAATAAGAAGTGTGGTTCCAATGGGCAGCAAGTACAACGAATGCCGCAGACTGAACAGGAACAGCAAAGTGACGAAGCCGGTTTTGGGCGTCAGGGTGTGACCGGGATACAGATAAACATACGTTGCATAGGTCGTCAGAGCCGCCAAAGGAGAAGACACCAGCATCAAACCGTGGTTGATGGTGGTTAAAAAGCCGGCTTTTTTCAGCGATTGCAACTAGTAATGATTAAAGGGAAATGCATGGCAAAAATCTTTATGTGCTTAAAAGTAACATTTTTACCTCGTCCTCGCGCGCTTGAACAATCTGTTCTTGGAATTGCGGCTCCCATGCATACATCTTGAGAATCTTTATACCGTTGAATATTTCATTTATTCGCCGGACTCTGGCATCTTTTTGTTGAACGGCGGAAACCTGTGGGAAAAATATACTACTCTAGTTGTTGGGCAAAGCCAAGCACGAAAGTTTTAAGATTTACTGTAGTAATACACAAATTTGAACTCTAAAATTCGATTATTCCTTGTAAAGCCACTGTTTTACGAAAGTGCTCGCATACTTCAAACCGCTTGGCTTTAGCCACGACAACAAAATTGACCAGGACAATGAAGATGAGCGTAAAGAATCCCACAAGTGAGGCGACACCAACATACTGCCACAGGAAGTACATCATAACCATCGCTGTGAACGGCGTAATCCAGACGTAGTGATGGTAGTACATAAAGTCCGCAATACGCTGCGTGTCCGCCGTCAGCATGTTGCACACATCGCCGACGTTGTACCGGCATTTGGCGGTATTCGCCAGGAATAACGCCTAACAAATATAACCCGGCCACTGACTTAATGATTAAACTATTTTACAAATGAATAATCAACTATCAACAATGACGATTAACGGTTAATCTAGGTAAAAAATACCACCCCTGACCTTTCGGTAAATCACCGCTGATAAAGCGCCACGAATCCGCATACCACATCGGCTGGCTGTGAAATTCGTCATGGCGAAGCAGATGGTATGACCCAGCGCCAAAATCAGCAGGATCACCGCAGAGACGTAACCTTTCCACGTGTACATGGAAGGTGTAGCCGCAAATTCAATAATCTGTCTGCAAGGCTGATTAGTTCCGTAGCTATGTACAGATAAATGCATAATATAATTACGTACCCGACTAACAAAGGCATAACCACGGTAATGCCATCGTACACCATTTTGATGAAAGCGGATTTCCAGAATAACGGCCAGGATGTTTTATACAAAGCGGTAACGAGCGATGGCGTTTTCGATCTAACCGGCTCGGTCGGATATTCTCCGGACGTCGGAAGCGCAGCACGATGACGCTCTACCGGGCGACCATTGATTTCCTCTAGGACGTCGCTCACGTAACTACAAAAAATTGAAATAGAGATGGTATCATTGAATCGAAATTTAGAGGTGAAAACTATTGCGGTACAAACAATTCTTCGCCGTTAGCGTTAGTTGTCTGCTTCCGCCAATGCTTCGTTAATTCAGCATCCAAGTATTCCGTTCGTTCTTCCGGTATCAAGTCCCAGATATCATCTTCCATCAGCTCCCGCTTCCATCCAACTCTGAGTAATCTACGGCGGCAAAAAAAAAAGATGGTAACTTCACTTTGAAATAACGAAGTTTAGGAAATCATTAAGAACATTCAGTTCTGAAAGTATAATTACGTACACAGAAAAAGAGCATTGCAATTTTAATTTGGCAATGAGCATACTGTATATTTCAGTTAAATGCATTTATATTTTGGTAAAAATATTTACTCGGTCATCCAGTGTGAAAACAGTTTGTTAAGAAACGATGCGCTTTGTTCCGGAGATGGATTCTGCAATGCAAAGGTCACACGCTACAGTCCAGGTTACTCCGAAGCTGAAGCAAGACAAAGCAGATAAAATTAGTGCAAATACTTTTGTCCAATTTTCAAATCGCTCCGGGTAGCTATCGGCAAAACTGGACAAAACCAGTTGTACAACGACAACCGGAAAGAAAACTTCATACGTGAACAAGCCGAAAATATCGTCCGCGCTTTGCTGTAACCGAGAACTGTTATGACGGTGTTGTTACGATGGCTAAAATGAAATAACATAAAAATTTCGGTGCGCAATGCGTACATGTTCTTTTCCCGTTGCACGTAAAATCTTGCTCCGCAATGTTATAAACCCGGCAGTGGTCAGCAAAAGCCAGAAAATAAAGAGGATGGCATTGGATATTCTTCCTTTGCGACGATCGAGGTCAATAAAAACCATAGCCAGCAACTGCACGCAAAAACGTGGCATTTCGTAAAAATAACCCATTTTCTCGGACACATTTTTACGTACAACTGTTAGGATAAGCATCAGAGGAGACATAATGTTGACCGATGGAAGAGTATTTCGGCCAAAATGCACTAAAATTTGTGCAGCATATCCAAGGTCCATCAAAGAAAGAAAAATCAAAATAATGCACAGTCCCTGTGTAGGAACAGCAGTTAGCAATCCAGTGCGGTACAAAAAAAGCGTATAAATTAACCAGCTGCTCTACACCGCAAATGCGCACACCAGGAAAAGATCACGTAAAAGATAGATATTATCTATATTTTTAAATTACTTTGGGACTTTGGGTACAGATAACTATATTACTGTTCGCGAAACACGATACATTGTGTAAACAGTAGGGTAAACATTTTACTGGACCCCGATTTCCGATGCCAGTACACTACGGAACTTCCTCGTTAATACGGATTTGCTGTTTTATCAACTGTTTAGTTTGGGTTTTAAAAAAAACGGGTTTTATCAATTGTTTAGTTTGCTGCGTTTTAACTGGTTGGCCATTAACGTTTCGGTTACGGATTCTTGCGTAAAAAATTTAACATTATAAGCAGTTTCTCAGTGTCTTTGCCGGTAATTCTAAAAAATATTAGACAATATAATTATTTGATATGAAATAAAAATGATCAAAGTTTAATTAGGTAGTCTATTGCGGCTCTTACATAACCGCAACACCAAGTAGGGAGCGGGTTCCGGATACCCATGATAGTTTCCCTGAATTCAATTTCAAAATTACCATAAAAACACATAGACTGCTCCTGTCGGAAAACACTTCACAAACAAATCAGAGCTATTTTTACATTCAAAATAACATTCAGTTTTACCATTTTGCTCATCGTTAACTTTGTCCACCGTCCCAGTCTGGGGTTTGCGCGCATGAACAGGAAAATCTGTACCGGCGTAAATAACCACAGAAAAGCGCAGGGTATTCCAAATAGGATAATTTGTTCGAAACAGTGGGTAAAATCCGGATGTTCAACATACCATGCTAAGGTCCCATTCTGTTTCGACGTCAACAAAACACATGATGATTACAATCACAATTACCACTTATTTACTTCGCTTTTTGTTATAACAGTGCACCTCAGGAAGCTCGAAAAATACGAAATTACAAAACCGAATCGCAAGAATTTGCTAGTCAATATCTATTACGAGTACCTGTATAGTATACTTCTGTACGGTACGTTTGTTATCTATTACGGGTGCGTATTCCTGTACTCGTACTTGTTTAGGTGTCCTAAATAAGCGCATTATCAGAAAACCAAAAAAGCATACGCAAGTAACTTTGAAACTATAGTTCTTACTTAAAGTAACCTATAATCGTCATCGGTAGAATGACAATACTCAAACAAAAGTATATTTAGAAATCAAAGGTCATACTGACCATACATACCCAGAACTGATCACTGCATAAATGTTTCATGGCTTGTTGGCAGGAAAATCCACTGTGCGTTGACAAAAAACGAAAAAACACACTTTAACAGAGTAATAATTAACAGCCAAGAAAACCCAAGATCATATCGATCCTGAGTGTCGTAAGCGTGAATTACACTGTCAGTACTTCTATTTGCAGCATTAGTGTTTTGAAAATGAATAACGCAACGATTTCGCGACGGTTGTGTTTCCTGATATTCGTTTCTTACAGAATTCAAAAGTTCTTACGTTTTCTTAATTTCCAGACAGCGGACCAGCAATAAATTAGCAAAATTAAGAAACTCCGAGAAATTGTGTAAGAAGGTACTATCCTAACAACGAGAAAACAAATGCTATTCTCGTTGAAATTTTACTGCATGTGTTGTAATTTTGCATATATGATTAAATTATTCTTTCCCACCGGCAATCCTGTATAACAATGTGCGTAGTCAGAACCAAAACGAAAAACGAACATTTACTAATATCTACTGAAAATCTGTAAATTTTCCATATTTTTCACATTGAATTTGTCAATCAGTGCGATTTATTGCATCTAGTGACAAAATAGTGCGAGTTACGGTACGAATCACAAATACTTTCGCTATATTTATTTGCGGTCAGCACAACTTGTCATTGGCTAAAAAAACCGCGGAAGAACCGGGAAATCAGACTTTGTCAAACACACCTTAACCCAGCAAGCACCAACATATTATATTAGCTCCAACAACAACTTATTTATTGTAATATATATTAATTTAATAAAGCAATCTAAATCATCACCCCAGCAAGCGCATACTGTCATGGCTATAAAAAATTTGTTACTAAAATTCCATCACCGGAAGCGAAACCGTACATAGAAGCAAGTTCAAGCAACATTCATAAATAAGCTACCAAATTGAATCAGAGCGAACTCTCATCGGAAGACCTCTTTATCGGAATGGTTCGATCTTCGGACATCCACTCTACATAACATTCAATGCCGCTCGTTAGCTTCAAAACAAACTATACAGTTCCGTATCTCTGTTTGTTTAGCTAAAGTGACTATGTACCCACCAAATCATATCTGAAAACAAAATTAAAATAGCAAACTCCAGGAAAACAAGCAAGAGTTAGAACTTTCCAGAAGGAAAAACGTATGTACATACAGAAACGCTGCTACAGCTACCTCCGAAAAAAAATGTGAACTAAAGAAAACAGATTGATACGGGTGTAAACTATTTAAAAAAGCCTTAAAAAATTTCGGGCTGAAATTCTCACACCGGTTGTAAGGTGGAATTAAAGAACTGCATTAATTAATCACACAAACAATTCCACAAGAACGTGACACCAAATCCAAGAAAATCCACACGCATTCTAAAAACTTTTTGAAAGTAAGTAAGCTGGAGAGCTTACAAATTAAACCAGTCTGGGTCAACTCCTCTTCGAGCACGAGCAAGTTCCAGTATTAAATCATTTTTCAATCAACCTACCGCGCGATGATTCTTGAGTGCCGCAGCGTACCACTCCAGCTGATTAATCATATCCGCTGCTGCTTTGGGCAGAAGCTGCACGCCTTCACCCGTTGGTTCTCCATCATCCGTCAGGCGCTCATGAGCCTTCGAAATCACTGATAAAAAGACACAAAATTCAATACAACAAGCCATTTCACTTTCATTTTATAAATTACGGGTATAATTATCCTTTAAATATAGTATCTCAAAATTAATGCAAGCACACGAAGCCTAATTTACTGATGCCATCTTTCAGAATCAGTATTCATCCTCCATAATTCGATGAAAACTGGCATGTGCAGCAAAATAAATACAAAGCAATTTTTGGACTGGTTTGCCAAAGTGATCATACACATGTTTTGCTAAAACGCTGCAGATTAAGGACAATTACATTTCGGCTGAAATCTGCGTAAATTTTCGAGCAACATGTTATGCAAATGACCAACGAGTGAAAAATGAGGCCGATACCGGATCCGTAAAACTGATTCAGCAGTCGCGAACTTACCAACCATACTGGGCATATGAACAGTTGTCAATTCCGAAAGAAATTCCCGCAACTGCATGGCCGCACGAATACCTCCGTAATTACCTAAACGTTCGTTAATTCAGTTATCATCGGTGAAATCAACCGTCTGATAAATTCAAAAAAATTATCAACGACAAAAAAACCCGATCACAATTTTTAATGCACAAACAGCAGTGCTAATTCCAATTTTGCTGCGTCATCGTCCTAACGTTATGACTTATGGATCGCGATTTAAAAACTGTACGAACGCTTCTGCTCACCCATTGAATACGTGACAATGCAACTCGGGCGCCAAGAATAGGATGCCGGTGGAAAATGATCCATAATAGAGCACAACGACGGCGAAATGGCCGAATTGTACTCCGCCGCCACGGCAACGAAGGCATCAGCATCCTGAATCGTTTTATTCACCGTACGTAAAATCTCCGGGGCTTCGGCCGGATTGCGATAAAAATGCAGAGGCTGGTGCACTTCCCCCAGCTTCAGTTCCAAAGGATCTACACAATGTTATTTTAAAATTAATCAATAAATTTATCAAAGAAATCAGGAACCATGAACCATGATAATTACGATGATTGCTTCCAAAATAATTCTTGGTTTAACAGCAATTGTAAATGTATCACATTTAACCTGGCGCAACCTCTGCAAACTCCGTAAAACCTACGGCCACGACCGCGTCATTTACCGAGAATGGTCACACGATGGCCGCGACTTTCCAGCTGCTTGCGAATAAATTTCCCCACACGGTCCGCCAGGCGTCCTTGGCGAACACTTCCCAGGAAGACAACCAGGTTCAGCTTTTCGGAAGACATGGTTTAATTAGCGGTACAGAACTGGACACTAAACACTCCAAAACTGCAGCGTTACACACAGGAAGTCGATGACTAAATGCCTGTTCAACACCGATTAAACGAGCAAACAATTTCCTCGGAGGCTATGAGTTTAGACAAATGAACAATCGTTCCCAAAAATGCACTGCCAAGTTGCTAGCTGCTGAAAAGCCAATAAAGAACGAAGAAACCGCTTGTGGAGCTGTCAGATAACCAGAAACAGTATCAAGATGAACTGCAAGCAGACAGGAGAAACTTCGGAGAAGAATTTCGAAATGCAGAGAAACAAAAGCTAACCAAACCGGTTCCAATATGATGGTTCAGTGAACTGACGTGTCATGCTTTAAACTGCACTGTATAAAAGTTTTGCAATTTTTTACTTTATGTACAGTAATAAAATTTTTCTCCATAATTATAAATGTTAGTGTGTAGTACGGATGCTAATTAGTAATTACTTACTGTCACAACTTGCTAAATTACATAGTAGTAACAGTAACTTTCATTCTTAATGAAAAAAACTGCTCTGAAATTGTCTTATAAATAATTCCGTAATCATTTTGCAATTTTCTACTTTAATTCTTATTGTTTCGTTTAGGAATTAAACTTAAAATTAAAGGAATTAAAATTAGGAATTAAAATTAAAGTTACTGTTACATAGTAGTAACAGTAACTTTCATTCTTAATGAAAAAAACTGCTCTGAAATTGTCTTATAAATAATTCCGTAATCATTTTGTAATTTTCTACTTTAATTCTTATTGTTTCGTTTAGGAATTAAATTATTAGGGTTGAAACTTGAACTGTTAGATTATCCCGACTTCAAGCTTCTGGCTATTCCATAAGCATGTTAAGATGCAGAGATGAAGGTAAAAATTATAACGGTGCAACCGGTGAATTCATTCGCTTTTATGTGAATTTAATCGCTTAGAAAACCTTGATAGATTTACTCGTATTTGCTTCAGGTAGTATGCAAATCTGCACTCACCATTATGAAATCATGGTTTTAAATTCTTCTCCGAAGGCATGAGCTTTTTTACAAAAGCGACAATTTTGAAAAATGCCCTACGTAACGGCAACTCGTCGGTAACGGTAACTCGTCGTTAAGTTCTAACGGTAACTCGTCGGTTATTAGTATTATATTTTTATCAGCTGTGATTATTTAACAATATCGCTTAATAAACACTCGCAGTGGATTCTTTATTTCAAAACAATGAAAACCGATCATTGAAAGATCATATGCATGGATATTGCATAAGTAGTATTGAAATTTGAAATCTATTAATATGTCGCGTGTCTGTGTGTCGCGCTTTTTATCGTTAATTAGTGGGCAATGTTCGAGTGAAGTTGATAAGCAATGTTCGAGTGAAGGTGATGAACATCACGATATTTAGAAAAATAGTTTGGATCAATACCCAAAACAAAATCGACTACTCTAGTTAAAGCGCGGGGTTAGGTTTCTTAGGGGTCATTTGCTGTGAAAACAGGGGGTTTCGAACTCGCCGCCGGTCCATATTCCAACAATACAGTACCAGAAAGTATCGTTTCCACATATCCATACATCTAGCGGTGACGATTACTGCTTCGGTAAGCCCACCTGCAAGTTGCAACACACACGTACTGTAGGTATTGTAAATTGTGCACTCGAAATTCATAAAATGCGACGCAGATATTATAAGGTACAATTACGTACGAAATATCGTATATATACTTAAAAAAAAACACCACTCGAGTACACAATTTGGACTGTTATGCACATATGACGGTACCTCGCGCTCTTTTTTCAGTGCTCGAGCATACCATTCCAGCTGATTGATCATACTGTCGGCGGCTTTCGGTAAACGCGAAGTGGCATCCTCACCGGCACATTCTCCAGCATCGTTCAGAGATTCGTGGACTTTCGAGATCACTGCAGCCGACATCGTTAAGAAAATCGTTTTCAATTCGAAATCGAAGATTATCCATGTTATTCAAGCTGTTCACTGACCTAACATATTTGGCATATGGACAGTGGTCAGTTCCGATAGAAACTGGCGCAAAAGCATAGCTGCACGAATTCCACCATAGTTTCCTGCAATGCGTAGTGAACATTAGCTGCAGATGATAATCCAATGCGCAGATACATTGTTAAGTTAATACAACTACCTATCGTATACAGTTTCTATCCCGCAACGAAATACTTGTTCGTGCACGTGTTTTCGTGGTTATTTGAGGAAGAGCCTTATTACCGCGTTAAGGAGCGATACTATTTGTCGTGAGATTTCCCGGCACCGCTATGGACGTAGTGGTGAAATATTGTACGACAAATGAACAGTTCCAGTATGTAAGCGGATAACCACACACACACTTATGTAACGTGGCTCGTGTTCCCTTTTGTTATCCGCCAGAAGAGCACAGTGCGTCACGTTGCAGGGCGTATTGATTAGTTTGCTGCTGGATGACAAGCGTTATTTTACTTACCCATAGAATAGGTAACGATGGCACTTGGGCGGAAAGCGTAAGACACCGGTGGGAAATGGTCCATGACGCTGCACAGTGCCGGCGAAATCTGCGAATTATACTCGCCAGCAATGGCAATAAAGGCGTCGGCCTCTTTCAATTGTTCGTTGAGCTGCGGTAAGATGGCCGGGATTTCCGCCGGGTTACGGTAGAAATGCATTGGCTGGATAACTTGGCCCAAACCCAGTTCTAAGGGATCTGTGCAAAACAGGAGATCAACTGTTAACGGAGCAAAAATCTTATATGGACGCATTTGAACATAAAGATTGCATGCTTCTACAGATATGTTATACTCTAGCTCTGTCACATAATATGTACATCAGTCTAAATTATAACCTCGTTCACATACAGTAACTAATTTATAAGCCCTCCCGGTACCCATATTTGCATTTACTTTGCCAGAAATTACACTGTCTCCGAATAAAAAAAATTATTTAAGTACATCCGTAGCACGAATTAAGTTTAATAAAATAATTAAGGGCTTGTATCATAAGTACGACGTACTAATTCTATAATATACGCAGCGTTTAGCCTACCAATAACAGTTACGGTATGGCCGCGGTCCTCGAGACACTTCCGAACAAACTTCGCCACACGTTCACACATCCGACCTTGTCGAACGCTGCCAAGGAATGCTACAATCTTTAGGCTTTCGGACATTTTCGTTAGCAAGGATACGACGCGCAAAACGAAAATTTGGGCTTTTCAAAATATTTAAGGCGCCACAATTCTATTAACTAGCAAGTTAGTATATCTGCAGAGCTGGTACACCCCTCTACGTAAGATGTTATAATCCCGAAACCTGTCGTTAAAAAATTAACGAAAATTTGCAATAAGGATTTCCGTACTGAACGGCTGGGAATAGAAGTACCGTGCTTATGTTGTATATCGAACGGTTTGAGGCTACGCCGGGTGGGCACACGGAATCTTAGTAAGAATTTTTGCATGTTGGCACTGTATAATCCTATTGGATGACACCGTTTGCGCTGGCTTATTATTACGCAACTCAGCACTTCCGATAGGAGAGAGCGGCGGGCCGGGGATATATCGAGCGCTGTGGATATCAGCCGAGTGGCTGGGTGGGTCTTCCAGCGACAGATTTGTATGTAATCATCAGCGAGGGAATCAAAGTACGTATGCCGGGTATAGAACTAGGCGCACAATAATAATCGCCCTTTTGCAGCAACTGTAATACAGACAAACGTGCAAAATGCCGGTTCAGCTTTCAAGCGCCATTATTTATTTTGGCAGGGAAGAATGGTTTGTTTGTGAATATGTCGAAAACTCAACTCTGCTGGTCAATGAGTTTCGACGCAATGGGAAGCCACTTTGCATTATGTTTGAATTTTACGTTCTATCTCGTAGGTTGTAATACTAACTTTTTAGAATACGACTATCATATTCAACCTTCTAGAATATGACTATTGATCAAGACAGTTGTCATGCATAGAGATATGTACGAGTATGATGGTTCAAAGTAAAGAGCATAGCACAAAAACTGTGGATCAAAACCCAAGTTTTTGGTACAGATCTTTACGGAGCTGAACATTATCACATTTAAAAAAATTAGCCAAAACAAAAATGATAAACTGACCGCGTATAATTCTGCAACATGTAGAGTAGGTCTCGAACATTTCATTGGATTGACAGAAGTTTTAAAAACTAATATACTTTATACGAACACGAACAATACCCACGTTTACACTCTAAATTAAGCAGTATAACTGTGTAACAGAAAACAAATTGTAAAACATTATTTTATTAAAAAGTTATTATGCGTTACCAGAATCACTAATGGTAAGAGCGTATACCCGTGCTATGGTTTATATAATTACCACTACTCAGTAGATAAATGTGTACTTACTTTAATAACTATTCCATTCAAATTATTACTCACATATTGCAATCATAACCGGCAAATTCCCATTGTCCATTTTATGCCATGACTGACAATATTGTATACGGTAATCAGCTGCAACAGCCTTTCGCAACGTGTTTCTACAAAATTTATTACCGGAAGGCAAAAAACTTAAGCGCTTATTAGTGCGTGGGTACTTCACCTCTGCTTGTTTTTTAGCTGTTGATTCTCACATTACCAATATTTGCGACTAGATAAAAAATAATACGTTTCTTTTTAGTTAATTAACGATAAGTGTAGTGTCAGGGGATCGCGCATCTCTAAACTACAGATCGCGACACTAATCTAATTATTTTGCACCAAATATCAGCGAAATATGATAGCAGAATTACTTGCCATTTTGCCTGGTCTGACGGCGGTTGTCGGTATTGCATATGGAATATGGCACGTCTGGTATACCCGTCCAGGTCTGGATGGCACTCCACCTGGTCCCATGGGTAAGCTTACTTGAGTTACTTCGTAGACTTGGATTCTTTTAGTGTGGTACTGTACGAATACCCGGCCTTGCTCTTTTTGACACGCTTACATTATTATGACTTTGTGAGTACTGTATGTACATCTACAACGTGTATTAATGTTATACTGTTATTAATATCGTATTAATTTATGATTATCAGATTATATTTAGTACTGTATGCGTAAACATGCCTAAGGTCTAAGGATGCATGCATTAAAGGCGATGTGTTACAATGGTACCTACATCATTATACCGACAACGGACGGCGGTAAAATTTGCCCTTCCGCCAAGAAAGAAATTATAAAATATCTACCGCACCGTCTCATAATAGCAATATATTCCGTTAGCAGTTACTGGGTAATCGTTAAAAATGACTGTACAAAACAATTCACCCGAATCAAAATTAGATATGATCGTAGATATTGAAGCTGCCCATATTTCATAAACAGATGCGAGTTAATACGTAGGAAAAACCACCAACGAAAAAGTTTTATACCTACCTAGATGAATTTGGTTGTATAATAAACTTTGCTTTTAATATTAAATTTGAAAAGTCGTCTTCTTAGTATTATAATTCGCTAGTGAACTTCCCGTGCACATGTTCTACATACATGTATAACCGTTATACCGACATCTAAACTCTTAAAAAAAACTGCGACTTTTGGTTAGAAAACATGCAGGCGCGGTATCAACAATGCTAACCCTCTGTGTTTTATTTTTTCAATACAAAATTACCGAAGCAAAGTGCATGCTTACTTTTAATTAGTAGGTTATTAATATGTTTTTAAATTTCGATGTCCAGATCTAGCACATGTATGTATCCATAGCTCTTGTTCAGCATCAGATTGTGGTTTCTATTTTATATGCAGGTATACCCTTTCTTGGTTACTTACCATTTCTTGGGAAATACCCATGGATTGGATTAGATAAATTGCGGAAAAAATATCCGCGCCTCGTGGCTATGTTTTGGGGCAACCAGTACACGGTAGTCCTGCAAGATTACGAAGCGGTCAAGGCCTTTCTCGTGGAGCAAGACGAGAACTTCATCGGTAGACCTTATGGATTCCTCACCAAATATTTTAGCGCTGGAAAAGATGGCGAAGTTCACAGTAAGTACCGGTACTACCCGATATTCATTTATATGTATGACTATGAGACATCTGGACACTCTTACAGACTCGACCCTAGCAAGTACTGTACTGTACACTATACCAACTTAATTTTTAATTAACATAAAAACTTCTTCAACTTTTTTGATAAAAACACACAAATGCACACGCAAGATGCCTTTAAATGGAATGTCCTATTGTGCAGAATCAAATAATTCAAATAATTCATACTTTCTTAATCAAATTAAAGTGTTATGCGCTATCTCTCTCTACAAATCGTTACTTACAATATCTACTACTGTACATATTTACCTGCAAAATAACTTGCCAGTTGGCAGGTTATTTTGCCAGTAAGTTATATGTAGGTTAGTTAATAACCTGCAAATCCAGATACGAGTTTATACGTAGGAAAAACGACAAACGAAAAAGTTTTATTAGATGAACCTAGAAGAACTTGGTAGGCACTATAAAACACTGCATAAGACGACGCTGTCGGCAACACTGATAAACTATTATAAAATAAGGAATATTTATTGGGTATGGTTACTGACTGGTCGCATCGCAGACATTCTCGATATGGAAGGACCCAAATGGAAAGCGACCCACGACTTCGTCATGGATACATACCGTGAGCTTGGACTAGAAGCCAAGAAAGTAGATGGGATAATTGTTCGACAAGCGGACCATATGATCACGGCCTTTAAGCGTCATAATTCGGGAGCATTTGACCCCGACCCGTACGTCTATCCGGTGACCCTTAACGTCCTTTGTGGAGTGATGTTCGGAAGAGAGCTGGAGTTTAACGGCGAAGAATTCAAAAAGCTGACCGAAAAAAACATGCAGGCTTTTGCCGCGATTGCCGGGTCACCGATTCAACAGTGAGAAGACTTTTGTCACAAAAAACGGTTTTTCTGTACACTGCGAATCTATACAAGTACATAGAGAGTATATTGCAAACACTGTTCATAGTAACTATCTGTACAACTAGCTATATATACAGAGTAGTGTGTGATTAATATGATAGGCGTGACAGATTAACTGCCAGGCTTACGGTAACAGTTTTTTGGTGCAGGTATCCTTTCCTGCGATATATTCCCCCTTTCAACAAGGACTGGGATGCGTTGCGGTACATGGTCGAACGCGAGTGGGAACTCTTTACAAAAGAGTACGCTCAGCATGAGCAGATGTACAAAGACGGAGCCATGGTGGATTTCTTTGACGCATATATACGGCACATTCGCGGAAATGATATCAAGCCATCACTGGCCTTTCAAAGTAAGCACCGAAACTAATTTTAATTTTTTCAAGTTCAATATAAATTAACAAAAAAACAGCAGTGTATGCCTAATTCACGGTTATACAGCATTACTCGTACATTCACTTGAAGATGATTCACAAAATAAAGCAAAGCAGCAGTGCGTGTGCATTATGTAAAACTTATTTACTCGGGCAGGTTAGACGTTTAGTTAGAAAGTGAGTAGGAAAAGCTGACGTGAAAATGCGTCAGCAATGTACGCGCAACCTAACTTTCAATTATGTAGCAGAAACAGAAATCACAGCATGAAGGCGTACATTTCCGGTACCATTAAAAAGGACCAAAAATGAAAGGCCGCCAAAACTGTTATTAAAATTTCGTTAGCATTTTCCATCAGATTTCTTAGCCTTTGAGCTTCAGTCTCGCCGGGAGACCAATGAGAGTGTTGAGGATTTCGCTATTTCGTTTCATGGGCACAGAAGACGAGATTATGTCCTTCATTGCACTGTCCAGAGCCCGGTGATTCTGAGGAAATAAATAGGTGGCAGGAAAATCCGATGATTCAACATGAGAATCCAAAATTTCCTGTCAACATTACAATAAGCATTAAATAATGCAAACTTTATATACAAAGAAAATATCAATAATAAATTATAGCGCTAGGATATACATAGTAGCACCAAATTACCTGAACTCGCTGAATATAATCCGCATCTGCAGCGGTGAAGTAAGAAACAGATCTACTTGCGGCATAGCTGACAAACAGCATCATGAAAATGCACATAACCTTTGCCATTCTTGGTCGTACGTAACAAATAAATCGGAATATATTTTGCAGTTTTTAAAATCAAAGTTAGTTGTGGACAAAAGGCTTTGATCTTCGCACACAAAAATTGTAATATGACCACTCCAGAACAACATGGCTTATATAAGAATTTCGGCAATACGCTTGTAAGAATTTTGCATGCAGTAATGCAAATCCGATAATTTACTGGGTGTGTGATTTGCGTCGGCTGGAAATAATTCGGGTGAAAAGCTTCAGTATAAGGCATAGTGTTAAGTCTCTTTGACGCTCTTTAACTGTCCAGCCCTAATCTATTCCCTAACTGTCCAAAAAATTATCATCGATGCGAAAACTTTATGCCAATGCGCCCATGAGCAACGTCAGTGGTGAAGTCCTAATGCGTCGCACACTCTTAACTTATAAGTTAATACCGATTTTCCTGTTAACGTAGACAAGGATGATCTCATCTGTTCGACGATGGGACTGTGGAGTGCCGGACCGGAAGCGACGAACGTGGCCATCCTGTGGGCCATCCTCTTTATGACCAAGTATCCCGAAGTGCAACGCCGTGTCAATGAGGAAATTGTTCGTGTCGTTGGCCCAAGCCGGCCTGTTGTGAGCAGGGATCAAGGTAAATCGTGCCGTATGCGCTATCTGTAACTGTACAAAGGAGGTTTTTTTTACGTTTCTATGTAATTATGACATGTACTGTATTAAAACTAAGAATCATACTTTTGATTATTTTCACTCGTGGTTGATGAAAAATAACCGCCAGTTTGCTGTGCCAGTATTTTGTAGGCCGTTTAGAAGCACTACTTCTACTGTAGAAAAGCGAAATTACAAGAGAATAATCAAGCCTGGCTCCGCATTTCAGTAGTCACAATATTTTTGTATTTAATATCAGTTTACCGCTCAAGAAAACTTTTGCGTAATTAAAAGCACACGAAGTCGCAAGTGATACGAATAAGCTAATCATGAGTTGTTAACATAATTACAGGAACTTATACTAATCGAGTAGAACGATGGCAATGGCCCAAGTTCATACAAATATTGTGTTACAGAAAATTATGTGCAGTTTCAGTTTGCATTGATTTTCCATTAGACGATTTGCCGTACACCATGGCGACAATGTATGAATTCCTGCGTTTGGGAGGAAATGCGCCAATCGGCAACCCACGCTCGGCCTTTGAGGAATCCGAAGTGATGGGCTTCCGAATTCCCAAGCGGACCCAAATTATTTACAACTCGTGGTCCATCCATCGAAACCCCGCCTACTGGGATAATCCTTTGGTGTTTAACCCGGAAAGATTCCTCGGATCCGATGGACGTGTGCATGTCCCGAAAGAATTTGTGGCTTTCGGTGTGGGTAAGTGTAAAGGTCGAACAATAAAATGAAACACTTTCAATATCATATTTTCAACATACATTATACAGGCAGATGACTCGTTAAAATACAGTATGTATGGCTGTCAGCATACTCGTACATTCAGTGGTGGGAGCACTAATCGAATTTACTCAACTGGAAAAAATTAAATTGTTTTAACTTTGGCTTTAAAAAACGCTGTATTTTTCAGGCACACGATTCTGCCCCGGCATAGAGCTAGCCAAATCGTTGATGTTTCTCGTTTTCGCCAACATGATGCAGCAGATCGAATTCCACAAAGCACCCGGCCACGAACTCCCGCCGCTGGATGAATACCAATTCGGAGTGTCCTGCAAGCCGCTTCCGTTCAAAATTCGTGCTATCCAACGCTCATATTGATTGCAAGCTAACTCAACCTGGGTTAGTTTGTACTTTACAACGAAATTGACGCAAGCGCACCTTTCATTTTCAAGCGCATTTTTTGAATAATTTTGCTTGTACACTACGCAATAAATCAATCGTACATCGTCTGCAGACGAAATTATTGAGGTACCAATCACCAATGGTGGTCACCAATTCCATCATCGAATGTCAAAACAGCGTCAAGATTTTCTTATCTATTTTCCAACGTAAAAAATGAAGATCATACATGTAAGTCTTGCCAAATTGTGGCGGCAAGGGAACATTAATTCTCTTTAATATCCAAAGTTTTCCATGCTGCCGCTTCAGCTTTCTTCATCTTGACTTCCACTTTGGGGCCCGCCAACGTAACCTGCCATTTAGAGGAATAACTCATCACGATGAAAAATTACGCACATGCAATACTGTATAATATTACTATTATCATTTAGTGAACAATAATAGCATCTTGTAACACTTTAAAAAACACTAATGCAACAGGCAGCACGACGAACAAAACTCTGGGACAAAACTCAATATTTAAAGTCAGAGTTCACATATTTCCGTAACAAAAGAATGTGCGATACAAGGTTCAGGTAAGAAACGTTAACTGAAGAAAATAAAATAACTATCGCGCTCGTTAAAACCAAAAAAAAAAGCAAAAGCTTTGCTACTTACATCCGACTGCTCAATGTCGATAATTCCTCCCAACACCATCTCTTTCTCAAAGAGACTTTTGCCCGCATCGAACACCAGTTTCACCTTCAATTTCACCGGATTAGCCTGGATGCTGCACTGCTCGGGAACGGCGTTTTTGGCGTAGAAAGTGGCGTAGACATGCGACGGCGTCTGATGCCAGTCGGTGCGACACGTCGGCACCGCCTGCAGCTCCGCGGCGGTCTTCTTCCAGACATGGTTGCCCTGTTCACAGCCCTCCTGCTTCATAAACACATCGAATTCACTCGTCTTCCGCTGACAACAAGTCCAGTACTTCATCCCTTCGTGGAACACGGGAAAGCCCGGATGATAAATGCACTTGGAGTGGTCACTTTGCGGGCCGTCGTATTTGACAGCGCAGCCACGATGTTGGCAGGGATCGCCAACTTTCACGGCATTCTGCCAAAAATAAATTCAAAAATCGAAATACTGTGTAATTATTTATGAGTATTCTGTATTCATTTTTTATTTTCTCACATTTTCGCTTTTATCACCGTCCGCTAGGAGCTTCAGCTTTTCCAGTTGCTCTTCCAGAGACTTTTTGAGAGAGGCCGTGACTTGGACGGGCAGAGGGATTAAAGGCGAACTGGCATCGGGTCGCTGCATCGGTTCCTGAGGTTTCGCTGGAGGCTTCGAGATTTCGTCGACCACTTCGACAGGCTTTGGTTTGGGTTTTTCCACCGGTTTCACATGCGAGTGAAAGGATGTTTTGCATCCCTTAAAATTGAGGAACTCCGTAAAATCCGTGGAACGCTTTTTACAACACGTCCATTCTTTGTATGCGTCATGGAAATACGGTTCTCCAGGGTGAAAAGTACATGATGTGGAGGAATTATCCGAAACTTTGAACTGCTTTCCGCAGCCCTTATTGTAACAATGTTCCATTCTCGGTTAATCAAAATGAGTAAACGATAAAGAATTTGCAATCAAGGTGTCTATTGTCTACTAGTAGACAAAAAAAGAATCAGATTCTTCTTATGGACAACAGGACAACCAGTGAGACTGGAAAGAACAGAAGAAAACCTTGCGAAACCGGAAGCGGAAACGCATCCGAGCCCGAAATCAGGTGCGCCACGAGCGGGGTGGGAATTTTCGCCCCCATATAGCAAATCGGTCTCTGCGCCCCAGCATGGGCAGTTACGTTCGTTACTGTACTGCCCCTTATGGCAGCGCACGTTGTGATGACGCTGTCGCTAGCTTTGACTCATGTATGTACTTCGTACTGTCGGTACTGACTCGTGAGAAAGATTTATATTAATTTTTTTTCAAGTTTGGACTTAATCTGTCTTTACGTTGTTTCTCTCTGATCCCTTTAAGCAAAGCCTTTTCTGGATTCCGGGATTCATCCGATATATTCTTGCCTAGTGGTTAATAATAAATTATTTGATTTTTGGATTCTAGACAAGTCTTGACTCTAGAGTCTAGACTCTAGAGTAATCCGTAAGCACTGCTTTCAGTACTCAGGTACTGTACTGTATCTTGGCTTTGCCTGTGGACCTACACTTTCAGTGCAGACGATGAAGATGAACAGCGATCCCGTTCCTCCATCTTCATCGAAAGTTGCCTTCAGTTTCTCCCGCAAAATCGAATCCAAACTAGTGCAATCCGTAATCGCACCCGTAGAGGCACCCGAAGCGCCCAAACGCCAGCTAGTCACATCCATTAATGATCTCCTCTCCCCCGCAGATTCTGACCACACTGATTTTGACTCTTTGGTAATCCCTCTCATCAAACGCAACACCTATGCCCCCCTTCTTGCTAAATCTGTAACCCCTGCCGCGCTCCCTGTCTCCAGCGATGACGCTGCCGCCGCCGCGGCTATCCTGGAAGATGCCCAGCGTTTTCAGGGGACCGAGACGAAGATCGACAGCAAGGACGACGGAGTAACCGAGATTCCGCTGTGGATGCAGAATAAACTTCCCGAAGGGTTTGAAACGGATGCCAGGTTGGATGTGGCGCTGCGCGCTGAGGAATCCAGTCTGGAAGATTATGACAGGATACCCGTGGAGGCCTACGGGATGGCCATGTTGAGGGGAATGGGCTGGAAGGCGGACGAAGGGATTGGATTGAGGAATAAACAAGTGACGAAGCCCGTGGAGGTTCTGCTTAGACCGCGGGGATTGGGATTGGGGGCGACTCCGGTTAAGGAAAGGAAGAAGGAGGGGCGGAGTGGAGAGGAGAAGGATGAAAAGGTATGTACTTTCTCCTGGTCTTGATTAATGCTTATGTGATTATCGTAATTTTGGCGTACTTGAATTTAGTCTGCTTACGTTCTTATTACAGTTTTCGATCTTACTTGATAATATTTTGGAATCTATGAGGATTTTGATATACAGTAACTTACAAAATCCTGCAAGTGGTTCGTTTTGTGCGCCTGACGTTTTGTTTTTGGTAATTGTGAAGGAAACTGGAAGGAAGTGTAAGGTTTTGTTTGTGTATTGTACACTGTATAGTACTTCTGCATATCCATCAGTAAGCTTTTCTTTCTTTAAGTACTGTACGTAAAAAATTGTGGTAATAACTTAAGTTTGTATTTTATATCGTAAAATGATAGAAGTAATTACAGAAAGAACAGTGTTGTGTTTATTTTGGAATGGAAACTCGAAGAAATGTTTTTGTGGGTGCTTTCGCCGTGTTTTCGTCGTTTTTAAGTTTTTGTAAAGTGCAGTTATACAGTATGTAGCTTATAGTCAAAATTTTTATGTACTTATACCGGAGTTGGTATGTCTGACCTTATACAATTTTCCAGGAGAAGGTTATAGCTGTGGGAGGATATGTGTCAATAAATTCTGGACGCCACCAGAACCGTACTGGTAAAGTGACAGCGATGGACAACGAAGCTGGACGATATATCGTTGTATTGGTGGGAGAAGAGAAGCGTTCCGTTAGTATTGCCGGTGCGGCGCTTGAAGTGATCTCGGAAAAGGAATACAACCGCTCTACACGCTACATCAACAACGACAAGTATTACGATCACAAAATTGTCGAAGAGGTGACCAGAACGAGTGAAAAATCAGACAAGCGGTCCCGAGATGATAAAGACAGGAGAAGGGAAGAGCGAAGAAGGCGGTCCCGATCGAGGTCTACCGATCACAAAAGAAGACGGCGGAGCCGCTCGTGAACTAATTTGTATGTATCTTTTATTTCGGAATTTTGTTTGGCGACGATATGTGAAGTGGTTCAGTGCTTGCATGAGAAATTAAGAATGGAAACAGATTACATGTTGGACTTGTTAATGTCTGTATTACTGCTGAAAGGAGGTACGTGCAGTCTGTCACCAGATGTTCTCGGATTGTGGCCTACCATGATGGTCTGGCGTAAACGAAGCTTATCTGACTGTCGATTTTAATAAAGAAAGGAGACATTGTTTTAACACCGAAAGAAAATACTGCGAAGTTATGATATTTGTCCCTTAAAAAGCACAAAGTGCCCCTCACAAGAATTCCTTGTTCTGTTGGATGGTCCACGCATATGTTGTTCCTGACTATCTGCTGTTGGGCACGCAGTGCTGATTATTGCTTTCGTCTTTCGATTATATACGAGTATTGGTAAAAGAAAATTCATTTTAAAACCGATGGGTGTGAGCAAGCCATCAACAGGTAGCAGCAGACAAAAGTTTACAACAGACAAAGGTTTTACAAATAGATATACTCGTATAAATATTGCCACCGTATGAAAGTGCTGCATGATCATAATTATCCAAAAGGCCCCAATGTAAAAACCATTTGCTTCTAGTAAGTGCGTCATATAAAAAAACAACAAACTTGCCAGGGGCGGAAAAATGCAAACGCTGTTTATTTCTAGCCAAGCGGCGAACGCGTGACCGACTGACCGAAAAAATGACAACAAAAACTATGAAGTCATACAGCGCCTGACGTTTTGCTTTTCGTAATTGTGAAGGAAACTGGAAGGATTAAATTAATCAGTTCAAAGAATTAATTGCACATACGCGACCGGGTTGCATTATGGATAACCGCCAGAACATTGAACAACTGCAGCATTATCTAAATGAACTTTTCGCAGCGGGCAGTGGTGTTATCGGGCAGCTAACATGGTGGTCAGGAATAGGCGTAATATTCGCACTTCGTTTCCTTTTTTCAGGTCTATTTTCGCAAGGTGAGGCCACTACGGTTTTTAAGGAATTCTAAGCTTTTCGTGTTTGCAGGATTACTACCCCGTATATTGCAATTAATGTAACTAAATACACGGTGCGAATGGTTTTAACATTTTACAGACGGTACAACCGAAGACGGCAGTACCATAGTCGTATTACAACCCTTCTCCGGAATATTGTTGCTGTTAACCAATCTCGCTGTTCTCGGGAGTTGCTACTGTGCGAACTGGGAGCTCAGTTTATTTACAACAGTGCAGCAATGGGCAAACAGAAATCGCGAATATATCGCTCTCCAATCGAAGAGAGTTGCGGTTAATGGAATGGTCAATCTGTTTGCCTGTGCGGTATACTGTGTCATGGTCATCGTCAACCTGAAAGCCATGTTTTCCGGAATTGTGTGTCTTGCTATCTCCTTGTGGATGTGCCCAAACATCATTCGGAATTATGAACTAGCCTGGATTGCTGCAATGATATCACCGGGCGCTGCCGTCATAACTTCTGCGCTTGTTATGGCAATAAACTGCGGTTTCGCCAGTTATACCATCTTTCAAGTGGTACATTTCATGTACCAAAGCAATACCATGCCTGCTGGAGAGTCTACCAATAAGCGGCAAATCTTTATGGAGAATCCACCTGCATACGAAGAAATCAGCCAAATGTTCGCGCAGTTTGCTCAGCCTTTTCCGCAACAAAACTGATTGTATAAATATGTAAAATATTTTCTTTACGTTCTTTTTTTCATGTATATGACAACCTCTGCTCACTATGATAAGGTATAATTTCTACTTTCTACAACTCGAACAATCATCAAACAATCACACAATTTAGGTTATTTATATCACTTTGCTGTAATTATACCGGTAGTTTAACGGCCGTAATAATGGTCCACGCCAATAAATATACTCTCTATATGAAATTCAAAAATCTGGTGCTGTCAGAATTTCGTGATGATCTTCGTACTTAATCGCATGACTGCTCGAGTAGTTGTTCGGAAATCGGCTCGCTTTACAACTTTATATACCCCGCAATAAATTCATAATCTTTAACCACGTGACAGAAACAATGCTTTACGATAAAAAAAGCAGAACATATTCCAGTCAAAACTTAAAGCTATGCGACATTACCTGGTTAGAAGAAGAACAAATGTTTTTGTGTCGTAGATACCGGCAATAAATTACTTTCAGATCCATAGAAGTACGTAGTGTAAATTTTTCCAAAGAACGTAGTGATGATTAGGGCAGTATCTCTTCAGGAACCATGGATAAGACTGCTCTAGTATTACTAACCATACGTTCAAATTTAAAAATACTTACAATTGTTAATTAAAATAATTCTGGAACCCTGCTCAGTGCTCGTACGGACTGGTGCTCCCGTACGTATGTTACTTCATAAACGGACTCTTGTGTAGTATAAACCGAATAAGTAATCGCAAATTATGGCTGTTTTCTGTTTTAATTTCCATTTTCCAGTAATCACGGCACCGGTCAGCGCGGGTAGTCGTTATTATACGACTACGTTTTGATAAATAAGGATTACCGAATCCTGTTTAGTAAACAAGTAAAATGGATCAGGCGTCTTCTCGCAGAATGCTTCTGCAGGACAGACCCGATTGTACCGCGTAGTTGGTCATGAAAAATATTGCGACCATCACACCGATATTTGGGGACGCGGTAATACAAGCAACCAACAACGCTAGATAACCGCTAATCACACCACGATAGCATAGAATAGTAGTTAAAACGGCAACCCCAGCGCTCGTGCGCGACTTAAAAATATCCAGTAATATGCGTGAGTTAGCCAAAAATATGCCGGCGTAGACAATCGCTAATAACATTACTACAATGGCAGTGATAGTTATTCTGAACCGCATCGGATCTCCGTAACCTATCCGCCGTTCCAGCTCCCAGTAGCTTGTCGGATTAATTCCAAGTAAAAGAAGTAGATAAAAGTTTTTGTTTTTGTGTCAATGATAGTTTTGACATTGACACAAAAACTATTAAAAGTTTTTGTGTCAATGATAGTTTGTTCAGCACTTTTTTTCGTACGTTTAGGGACACGTGATACGTGTGATTAACAATACCCCTTAAATCGTTACGTTTTTGTCCTGTAAGACACAAATTCGTCCGCTCAACGCCATTTTTTAGTTTTGGCGGACATTTTTTGTACTGGAACAAAAATGTACCTTTAGCGGTAAATATGTGTAGTTTTAATCGGGTCACTAGTCTCACTACCAATAATCACCGCGAATACCATTAATTTACGAATTTGTGTTTGGTCGGGGACGTGAACACATTATGACTTATACAGTTATACATGATTTCGGGCGTTAAGTAATGTTGTTTGCGAATCTGCGAAATACTGTAATTATTATTTCCAGGTAATTTGACATGACATTGTGTCAGCGTGTGCTTCTTCGAGAAACACTACTACTTTAACGTTCAGAATTCCGTTCGTTACTAAAAAAAAATGAAAATTCAGGTTTTAATGCGATTGTCATGCTTGAGACGTGCAAAAGTTTTCAATGGATAAAAATGACGATGTCGATGGGCGCTGGCGTCCATTTAGTCAACTTCGAATTTCAATGCAATTAGCCATTAACGAACTGACGGTGCAATGCGCACAACTAGAACCATCCATATTTGCTACTCCCCTAGTCAACGAAGTGCGTATTTGACTTGTTGTAGGTGTATCAGTCTGGACGACAGAAACAATATAGATAAAAACTGTACTGCAGATAGAAATACTGAAAACAGAAATCTTGAAACACCTTTTCAAGATAATCCACAGAATGTTGTTAATATTAATTTTAGGGCCTTAAATCAGCTAAAATCATCGCATGTGCATAGATATATAGACACCGGTTCAATGACAGATTGAAATGGTCCAGCATTGTGTTTGTGTGACCTGCTTTATTGGCTCGGTTCCATGCTTATAATCTGAGCAGCTGTAACAGTGATTAGTTTCGATGACAAACCGATAGTATAATAACATAATAAACTAATAACATTATAAACATAATTACACGTATTCTGAGTTTGCGAGGTTAAGGTGACAAAACGAGATACGAGCGCGAGTAAAGATATCATTCACACTGTATCATGTACTGGTAGTATTAATACAGTAGTACAAGTAATTACCTGTGTTAAACGGGCAAAAGTACGCGTAACAAAACCTAATAAGATGTAAGATTATAGGGAAGATTATAGAGAAAGAATTTTCACGGTGAACATGTACTAGTACGAGCACAATATTCAACTGCTCGGATAGATGATGATATTAATGAACGGAGCTTAACGATTATCATCAATTTTGTCCTTACTGCCTCCGTTTGTGCGATCCAGCTTGGAGTGCCTATTTCCGACATTATATTTGTTGTCGATACAATTTTCGTGTACCGACGATAAATCTGTCGTTGAAGCGCGGATATTATTGTACTGATCAAGATAAATAAGTACTGTGTGGACGATAGCATGTCCGCATCGAACATGACTTTTGTGAATCGCTTTGCAAAGGTCTATACCACATCAGTTTTTTCGTGACTCACTCAGCAGAACGCATAAATACGCCAGATAACACGAAAACTATTAATAGGGCTATAGGTACGAGATTCGCAGCCGTCAGTAATGTTGACCATTGCAGTGCACTGGAGTCCGAGTTAGCCACGTCGACTATAAAACGCAACGAATCCAGTTAAATGCATGGAAAATTTGCATTTGCTATTCGTACATGTAAACTGCAAATCAACAGCAGCAAAACCTTACCTGGCAAATACCATGTTAACCCAGCCCAACTCGAGAAGTAATGAAAAATTTGAAGCGCTACGGTGATGCCCGCCCAGACGATCAGACTAAAGGAATTCGCTTCTAATCCATTCCGGACGGAAGTCGATGACTGGTCAGCGTTTGCGTCGCTTTGCTCCATTAGCTCACGCTTCACTCATGCATCTCCCGAGAAAGACGTAGAAATGATAAAAAGACTGTCGGCAAATTGTTGGATATTTTTTCAGATCGCCAGAAATACTTTGTATACGCTTCGTTGCTAAACTGTCTGGTTACTGCAAGCGACTCATTACCGACAGATTTGTAGCTAAAAACGTCATGCGGCTCGCGTCGGCTTCTTAGCATTCAATAAACCTATTCAGCTGACGTAAGAACGGTGTTTTTTTGCGCGAGATCCACCAGACTGTCCACGTTTTGTGTGCTTGTTCGTACCTTTGCATAAAGATTTGCCCAAAGCAAAATTATTCATTTTTTTACGAGTACGCAGTCGTATCGTCGTACAAGTACGCTAGCATCCGTTTTGGTGCCACTGTGGCAGCAGGCCAGCGTTATAGTCAGGCCGAACAAATCGCAGCAACTTGCAACCGATCAAATACAGTACGAGTACTAGTACTGGTTTAAGGCTTTGCTCGTCACGTATCGACCATCACAAGTTATAGCTATCGTAACATTTATATATCCGAGTGTTGTGCCTGCTGTTTTTGTGTATACAAAATCCGAGTTTGATTAAATTTGAATTTTTAGATGATTTGTGTATTAGGCAGCACATGTCACTGTTTGCTTTTATAGACATTTCGGATAAGCTGCTGCAGCAGTTTTGTCTGCACCGGTTTTGATTCCTTGTAACATGGCTGGTTCGAGTTTTGAATCGATAGGCCGCTATCTGGGCGAAAATTTTGTCCAGAGTGCCTCCCAAAACGGTTTAACCTCGAGCACTATGCTCGAAATGCTTCACACACTTCCAGTTACGCTTTTGGGGTGCTACAAGCCTACACTAACATGGATCGGCTTAAGTCTAGTATTCCGGTACCTCTCATTTGATGTACTGCTCTCCTTTGGTAAAGGTCTTCTAATTATTGTATTAAGCTCAATGATTCCGTATTATACTAAATTTCTAATTCTGTATATATTGTAGTCAATGTGCCCATAGCTTCCGCGGAAGGTCAGGACCTGAGCACCATGCAACGGTCGATTCTAATGATGACAGACATCGCCGTCATATTGACCATAATATTTAGACGGTATGCGGCTTGGCAATCTAATCTTCCACAGCAACCGGATCCCGAAGCTTCCTTCAGACAAATCAATCGCTTTTGGACCTGGTTTATTGTGATTGGTGGTGTTGACGCAGTATGCAGCATTGTTTATGCTCTCATCTTGATTTTCAACCTGAGTTCAATAATATTTTCCGCAACAATGAGTCTGTGTACCATACTGTATTTTCGCGGGTTGATCAGGGACTGGGAAGTGGCATTAGTAGCGTTCTTCGCGTCGGCAAATGCCGGCGTTGCCGTTGTGGTATATTGCTTGGCGCGGAATTGTTTGTTGGATTTATTTATGTGTTTCACTGTCGTCAGCACCTTAAAAGCTCACGAAGTTTTGCAGAATGGCCAAAGGATCGAAATACCATATGCTGATGATCCCCCCTCTTATTCGGAAATCACGATGACAGACCCTGTGCCTGATTCGTAATTTCGTATTTATGTACCATTTAATCGACCATGGTTCAAAACTGCGTCACATGATTTTTGTTCCTGATAAACCACAACTTGATAAGGGGGCAAAATAATTAAATTTGTTTTGGCATATATTAACCATTAAGGCAAGCGAAAAATTTGTTTGTGTGTCATTTGCATAGGGAAAATTTATATACGAAAAATGTGTCTATGTACTTCGCTATCACATTCACACTTTTCCTGATGATTTCCCTGTCTTATTCCAAAATCTGACCTGAATCCTGAAATTCTGAGCCGGAATCTGACCGCCAAAGGAAGCGCAATTCAAGTCGATTACTTTGGAATACAAACATTATATACTGTTGTTTACAATACTGCACTGCTTGTTACCTATACGAAAACTATTGCTGGTTAATTCTGCCGATCCGAGATTGTTGCCCGTTCTATTTCCCAGTAATTTCTGTTCCATGCTGGTGATATTTTCCATAGCGATTCAAATCAATGTCGGCATCCAAAGGATCAGTACTGCTAGGATTCAGTAATTGTAATGATTTATGTATAGAAGTATAGACCCGATGGAACAATTGCATTTGCTTCCAGTAACTGCGTCACAGGAAAAAAACAACACTTGCCTTGGGCAAAAAAATGCAAACGCTATTTATTTCTAGCATACCGTATAGCCAACTGACCGAAAAACAGCAATAAGAACTGTGATGCGCCGGATGCTTCATACTGATGCGTCTGACGTCTGTTTAATACAATACAACTTCCAATGCTTTGAGCTGTATGCCTATACCGAGCTCTGAATTAACCAAAATCTGATAAATAAAAACGTAACTGCAGGACACCGGGCCGGGATCGATTATGAACTACTCCCAAAACCTTGAACAACTGCACCGGCCGCTATCTGATTCAACATGGCGATGGTCTTATTGGCCGTGGTCAAGGACTATACTGGGCAACAACAGCTGCAGTATTAGCACCTCGTTTAATTCCTTTTATCGGGCCTATTTTCCCAGGGTATGGCCGCTACAGGTTTTTTAAGGGAAGCTGGATTTTCGAGCGTGCAGGGTTATTACTTATTAGTTATGCATATGTGAATATCGCAAGTGTCACAAAGTTTACGTTAGATGTTTTCAACTTTTTAGAGGTAATAATGATGATACTAGCGAAGATGGACGTCACATTTCACAACCCGGCACAGGGCTATGGTTGTGGCTACTCAACATCGTTGTCCTCGGGATTTGCATTTGTGCAAATTGGAAACTCGATTTAATGCGAACTGAGCGGGGGTCAACTACAACGCCCCAAATATGTCTACTTCCACACGACGGTAGTTGCGTTTATCGGAAAGGTCAATTTGATTGCCTGCGCCGTATATGCTGCTATGGTCAGCATCAGCGATATTGATGCCATGTTTTTCCTAGCTGGCCGTCTTATTCCCGACATTCTGTGGATCTGGCGGAAGCGCCAAGGCATGGATGTTCGATATTTATCTACTAGCTTGGCTTATGCTAATACAAGCACCGGGGTACTGCTCTCACAATTGCTACGCTGGCGATAGCCATAAACTGCGGTTTGGCCAGTTTCACAATCTTTAAGGTAGTACTTTTCATGTACCGGAGCAGTACCATGACTGCGGGCAGGCGTAAACAATATCCGGGAAACCTTTCTGGATACTTCACCTGCATATGAGGAACTATCCTATTCCCTGCATTAACGAAGTGCTCACAATCCTGACACAGCAAAATAAGAATCAAAAATTAACAAAAATATTCCACATAATAGATCACAACCAATTCAAGTCGAAATTTCGTGATGAGGAACCACCAGTCTCCGCAGATAGCAGTCATTAATTAATTGAATAGGTATCACCGGACTGTTTTCAAGTAGAAAAAGCTTAAGGAAACGATGGTTATCTAAAGCCAAAGTAGTGCATATATGGTGAATTCCCAAAACGTTTCTACTCCGGATCCCGATTCTTGCGTGGATTTGTGGGAAGTTGTGAATCCCATTTCGTAAGAACTGGGCTCCAAAATTATTTTCGTTATTTTGACCGTATGATTAGCATTAGCGCCTGGCATGGTTCGTGAAGATGCCGTGAAATTTTCATATGTCTACCGAGATGCTATACAATATGGGACCAAAAAACAATTTAATGCCGGCTTTGACACAAGAAAATTTTTCTAATCCTTGTGATGTCGGAAGCACAATCATTGGCAGTTAATAAACGTACGGCAAAAGCAAGTACCGATTCCTGCCACATAATTGTAAATTTAATAAGCAGATGAACGAGGTCAAGCTCCTTGTTTAAAGTGTGTGGCATTGTGATTTTGTGCTGCAAGCAAACGCAGAGTGCTTCCCCACCACAGACCGGATTGTGCCGCATATGTGGTTAGGAAAAACACTGCGACCAGTGCACCGGTATGCAAGGACATCAGACAAGCAACCAACAACGTTGCATAACCGCTAATCACACCTCGAAAACACAGGATAACAGTTAAAGCGGCAATTCCGGCGTTTGTGCGCGATTTGAATATCTCCAACACCACAGGTGAGTTAACAACGAAAATGCCGGCGTAAGCAATCGCTAAGGATATCACTAAAATGCCGGTGATTATCACCTTGGACCGCACTGGACTTCCCGAATCTGTCGAGGTGCCGCTATGAGCGGTCTGCGAAGAACCAGTCAGAACCGCGTGAAGATTGAGAAATACATAAGATACGATAATTACGAGATTCGCAATCGTCAATAACGTTGACCATTGAAATATGCTGGCGTTGGAGTTGGTTACTTCACCTAAACCATAACGATTCCGGTTTGAATGAATATAATGCGATTGTTGTTCACATATATATTGTAAAAATAAGATACAGGAATGAAATTCTACCTGGTAAGAACCACTGGCCAACGGAAAAATAATCCAGAATTTGCACTGCTACGGTGATCCCAGCCCAGGTGAGCAAACTCGCGCAGTGGGCATCTAATAACCTTACGGTAACGTCAACTGACAGCTGATCAGTGTTTCCGTAGCTTCGCTCCATTATTGCAGTATTAACTGCTTATATTCATATCTTCCCGAGCAAAACTTATGGAAAGACTACAATAAAATACTGTCGGCAACTCAGACGGCAAGTAAGAAGATCGTTGAACATTTGCTCGCGAATAGCGAAACATAAAACATCGTCGCTGCACTTCAGGTTCGGCCGACTACTGCACGTGAATCATCAATGACAGGTTCATAACTGCCTACAGTAACTCGTTTCTTATACGTACCGGGCTCATATCGGCGTCTCAGAATTTAAGATACCTATTTGGCTGACGTAAAAATATGTTTGTTGCACGAGATCCCCATTCCACACTTTGTTTGTTTGTCTTAGTACAGGTTCAGCTCTCGGCAAAATAAGTTTTTATTCTCGTACGCTGATACAAAGTATGATGCTTCTTATTGCTAGTGGCACCCAACGACAGCAGGCCAGTAGTCAACCTGAAAACTGTGCTAGACTGCCAGCGAATCACAAAACTGCAACCGATCATTAAAAATTTTAAGGCACAGCTCTAGCTGCTTGAGTAAAACAAGGATAATAACAACAACAAAACGAGTATCGTTTGCTCGTATTGTACGCTTGATATGTGTACACAAAGTTACACGAAATTTAGTTAAATTTCAATTTTGTAGAGGATTTCAAATATTAGATATCATGCTGTAATATCCCGTTTTACAGGCAGCTGTCGAATTAGTAACTGTCCACAGTAATTTCTTCAGTATCGTTGTTTTTAATTTGCTCATAACATGGCTGGCCTGAGTTTCGAATCGATTGGTAGATATTTGGGTCAAATAGGCGCTCAAACTGCCGTCGACAATGGTTTAGATCGGAATAGCTTTCCCGAATTGCTCCGTTTGTATACGAATGTTATTGTGGAGACAGCCAGGTCTACACTGAAATGGATCGGTTTGAGCTTTCTGTTCCGCTACCTCTCTGTCGAATTTCTGCTTACCTTTGGTAATAGTACCACATTGAATCTTGAGCGTTACACAGAATTTTTAATCCTTATATTTGCAGTTACTATCCCTACAGCTGCCGCGGAAGGTCAAGGCTATTTGAGCAACATGCAACGCACGATCCTGATGACGACAGACATCGCCGTCGTAATTGCCGTAATATGTGCATGGTTGGCAGTGGGGCAAATTAATTCTCAACAGCACCGCGAAGCTTTGTTCAACCACATTAATCACTTCTGGACCTGGTTTGTTGTGATTGGTGGTGTTTGCGCAATATGCAGCATTGTTTATGCTCTCGTCTTGATTTTCAACCTGAGTTCAGTAGTGTTCTCCACCGTGACAGACCAAGTGGTCGCTGGACATTTCGTCGTGGGACATTTCGCCACATGTTTTTCGTCGCAGCGGCTAATTTGTTTTGGGACAACTCGTTTTGCAGCCGTTTTGCTATGTGACATTTGGTCGCACGGCTTTTGGGGAGCCAGAAAATTATCGACAAGTTTATGGCAACGAACAGTCGTATGGCTATTTGCCACAAAAACGAGTTGTCCTCAGACGAAATGTCCGTAAAACCAAATGTCCCGCGACGACCTGTCGCGTAGCCGTTGTGTTCTCCACAACGATGAGTCTGTGCACTATACTGTATTTTCGCGGGTTGATCCGGGACTGGGAAGTGGCATTAATAGCGTTCTTCGCATCGGCAAATGCCGGCATTGCCGTTGCGGCATATTGTTTGGCGCGGAATTGTTTCGGAACAGGCGTTATGTGCTGTACTCTCGTAAGTGTTATAAAAGGTCAGGAAACTTTGCAGAATGCCCAAAGGACGGAAGCACCTTATTCTGATGATCCCCCATCTTATTCCGAAATCATCGTAACACAACCAGGGTATTAGTAGCATGAGCTTTGAATATTAGGCAACGGCCGGCCAGTTAAAGGAACTGAAATTTTTTCACTGTGGTTAACTTGGAATACAAACATTTTTCTTTGGAATTTCGCTGTTGAAGTATGACTGCCTGGCTCTACTTTCATGTATATCTTTCTTGTTCAATAAATTGTACATGATATTTATTAGCCATGCGATCTCAATATAGATATACATATATGCAAATGCTAAACGAAGAACATGAAAAACCTACTCACTCCTACATGATAGATAATCTCAAAGGTGAAATCGTTCGTTAACGTTAAAAGTGCAAATACATTGAAAACCATACAAGCTCCTGCTCCTCCAGGTCATTCAAGATTTTAAATAAATTTGAGCGCCAAAACTGGTACAGCATTTAGTGATACTTGTACTAGTACAGTAACATCAATAACGTTGCATTAATGTCCAGGAAAAGTGCTCATACGCAATAGCGCTCCAAACGAAATAACTAGAGCCAATTATTTGTAAATTTTGGATTAATGAAAAAGGTTTGGTTATTGTCTGCGCAACATAAATTCTTGCTCATTTTACTTTCCCACCGCTTCCCTTCCATGCGATTGATCCAAATCAATGTTGGCATCAATGGGAACAATATTGCTGGGGTTTAGTTGCTGGAACGATGTATAATAATGATTGCGAATGTGTTCCATATTGACGGTCTTCCTTATGTCGCGCACCTGGTACATGTCTCGTAACCATCCCCATAAATTAGGATAATTTGCTATTTGCTTCTTGGCACACTGCAACAAATAAGGGTTGAACAATCTCAACATAAGTCATAAGTTGAGGTGTAATACTAAAATTCTCTGAAATCGAAGTAATTATAATTATCGCGGCAGCAAAACAAAAAAAACAGAAACACTATCACAGAATATTACACTAAAAAAAACACTATTACAGAATTATCTTCAGAACAACACCCCGCTACATTGCATACCTTAAACAAGATGTAGTAGACACGGTCAAAGCGCAATAAGGTAGTGAACAGCCTGATATCGGCTTCTGTCATCCGACTTCCGGTCAAAAAGCGCTGCTTGGCTAAGATGTCTTCTGCCTGCACAAGTATAATTAGCGCTAACAATAAGGTTGATCAACTTACAATTATTAGAGGTAAATATTATTTACTGAAGGAAGGTATGACGGGTATGTCGTTATAGAAAGCCAATACAAATGAGCGTTAAATTCTGGTCTGGAATCAAGCTTTAATCGCGTACCTTGTCGAGATGCTGGAATAATTTTTTTACCGGTACATCGTATTCCTCTTGGGTTTTGGCGAACGCGCACTTGTAAACACCAATATTAATATGTCTGTAAAATAAGCGCTTTAATTAAAAAAACGTTAACTTCTAACAATTATAAGTACAGTCTGCTGACATACTCAAACACCCATTCGTTAATTGCCTCAATCTCTTTCTGGAGATTGCTTGGGTAGAGGTTGAGTTCTTTCTGGGCAGAATTGTTGCAGTACGTAATCGTCAAATTGGGTGAGGAACATTCGGAGAATGTCAGCGCTTTCGTTGTTAACGATGGTTTTTTTCTGCAGGGAGGCCGTGGCTATCTTGCGCGTACAACTTTTCACCATAATGATCTGTATCGTTGGGCTTACTTGTTTATCCCACAATACCGGCACAGTGATTCTTCCACTGTAACCTGTTTGTACACAATGGGAGAATTTCGCTTACCATTAGTATTTGTATCGGCTCATTGAAAGCTATTTGGGTAGCTAAAGTGCGTTTGCGCACACATTTATATCTATACAGGTTTTTACGTACCCGGACTAGCCATTTCATAAATTTCTCGCAACAAAGACTTGTGATTTACTTCATCAGATGTTGCTCCAGGTCGCTACAATTACAAAGTGTTCAGTACACTGTACACTGTACAGTGTACAGTGTATCCAATGCTTTACAGTCAAGATAAGCCAGAAAATAACGGTTAAACATGACAAGCGTATAAGTTATAACTTATTACCAATAGTTATCTGTTAATTTGTGGCCTTTCGTAATAAACACTTTTAACTACCAATCATTTACTAGTATAAATTACACACAAGTAGCACCTGCAAAATTTTTTTATCTATTTTTAATAGTTGTAAACGAACAAGGGATGTGCCAACTGTCACCTGTGATGCGTATGGTTAACGTTAACAGTATTAGTGTAGATACGAGTAGCTATCGATCCATAAACACTAAACTTGCATTCATAATTTTTTCCGGTTTATCCCGTTAATACAAAAGTTAAAACTTTATCTTACTCTTTCCGAGATTGTTTTTTGTTTCCCCACTTACGTCAGGATTAAAGGCCCATCCTGCGAAGAAAGGGAAATATATACAATGCTAGAAAATCTTAATACCCACTTGGAATCAGCAACAGAGGCGCTCTCATGATCAACCAGCACCCTTAATGCTGTCAGCTATGAAAAATGATCATAAATGTAACATTATTTAATTTACCTGTGCTGCGATCCAGCGCCCAGTCAACAACTGACATAGAAATGGCATCCTCCAGACCTTTTAGGCTTCTTCCGATAATTGTCCGATGCGCCTGCAGAACGTGATCTGTATGTAAGTACGCTGTGCTGTGCAGTGCCAATTTGTTAAATACTGTACATAAGTGTCTGAGAAGTACAAGCAATGAAATGCATAGTTAGTGTAATTACAAATGGACAAGCATAGGAGACATAAAGGTGGTAGCGGTTGGCTGCTGCTGGAAATCCGCTTGATCCATCAGCTGCGATACAGAAAAAACCAAGAAAATTAGCTGGGGCCTATACTATCGAAGTCGTGTTATTTATTACCTGTGATCCAGTTGTGAAAACCGGTAGACGACATTTTTTTAGATAGCAAATACAGGCTGTTCGTGGCGAATCAAGAACTTCCCAGCGGACTGAAATCCCAGCACTGAAGTTTTAAGGAATGTTAGAAGCATGTGCAGCTGTTTGCTGCATCATCGTCCGCAACTAAGAACCGATCAATAAAAAATCTGTATGTGTAGTGCGATAGGTACAACTTGTACAACTGGCTGCGAAAGTGCTGAGTGAATAGAAATAGCAAGTAATTCAACGAAAGGTGGCAGCCGGCATGTCTTGTGGCAGTGCAAGCGCCGTAATCCTGGTAACGCGTTCAGCCGGAAGTCAGGAAACACCGCGAAGGAAGAAACACTGCAAAATGAAATTCCAAGAGGCATATGCATCGTTAAAGAAATATTATATCTAAGTACATGAAAGCCACGCCGGTCATGGTATACTGTGTACTGCAACATGATCATGAAATAACGATAAGGCTGCAAACGCAGAAGCTGCATATTTTTCTACGGTAAGTAATTCAAAATTCATCCAAATAGGTTAAATCTGACTGCTGTAATCCATAATATTAATGTTATCGACATATGCTAACTGATCGGATTACTGGCGGAAGCTCTCCAGTTCGCCGAGGCCTGCGAGTGTTCTTCCAAAATCAGGATTTTACGTACCCGCACTAACTATTCGGCGTTTTACTGCACAGCGCTCAGTTAATACATCATTAATAATTGCTTGTCACATTCGTACTTCAGTAGAATGTTCTCTTCCCGCTTCTCAGATGATCTGCAGAACATGTGTACCCGTACAAAATACGGATACGGCAACAGGAGACTACAAACCCTCTGGGTCACGCCATGAGAGCTGTAATCTTGAAACTGTGCCTCACAGAAATAATACAACCAGTCAGCCACAGGCACCCGGTGTCCACCGATTTCAGTTTTATTTCATTTATACGAATACTTCAGTTCAGCGCGATGCTAATAATCTTTAATAAACTCGAAGAAGTTTCACAAAACTACCTTTTTCCAACACTCTATAAAAACCGATTCAATAAAAGCTTAACAACATCAGAACAACACCATATGCGCCAGAAAGAATAACGACTATATCAATAATATGGATTTATTAAAGATTAAAATCTGTCATGATTTCTCTGTTAACTCATGCACTCAGCTTCTCACGCCCGTGAGCTTCGTCGAAACTGATGTCGGCCTCAATGGGAACGATTGCGTTGGGATTCAGCTCCTTGAACGTTGTGTAATAGTGCTTGCGGATGTGTTCCATATTGACGGTCTTCTTGATACCAGGTTTCTGGTACATATCGCGTACCCAGCCCCACAAGTTGGGATAATTAACGATCTGCTTTTTCGCGCACTGCAACAAAAGTCAAAATTTCAAACAGAGTTAAAACTTCATCTATTGCACCAGCAAAAAAGTACAGCAAACCTTGAACAGCACGTAGTAGACACGATCAAAGCGCAATAAAGTGGTAAACAATCTGACATCAGCTTCCGTCATTTGGCTCCCGGCAATGTAGCGTTGCTTAGACAAAATTCGTTCCGCCTGTTGCACAGGAAAAAAATCAAAGATTACATATAATGTAATTTTTTAAAACGCAGTTTCAACCGTTTTTACCTTGTCCAGGTGTTCGAATAACGCTTTTGCCGGTGTGTCATAATCTTCCTGCGTCTTTGCAAATGCACATTTGTACACGCCACGATTGATGTTTCTGTAAAATTTAATGTACCGGATACGACATCGAAGACCAATTTGCGTCTTTTAAACTGAATTAATTTGATAGTTTCATTGTTAAAGCCGAAATCCAGTGAAGTGAAAACAAGGAACTGAGGATTCTTACTCGAAAACCCATTCATTGATAGTATCGATCTCCTTTTGCAAATTAACCGGGTACAAATCGAGTTTCTTCTGCTCCTCCGTTTTGCTCAGAGCGTCGAACTGGGTACCGAACATACGGAGGATTTCCGAGCTTTCATTGCTCACAATGGTCTTTTTCTACAATAACATCGAGAGGTGAAAACATTTCGCAGACGCCGGCAGTTATGGTACGGCGACTGTCATACCTGTTTATCCCACAGAACCGGAACCGTAATTCGGCCGTCATAGCCTGATGCCAACAACACGACTGTCATACACATTCATATGCGAAGAACTCGAATTTTTGCGTTCACACTATACCTGGACTGGAAGCTTCATACAGTTCCCGCAAAAGTTTCGCATGATTGACATCGTCAGCAGTACATCCCGGTCGCTAAAAACAAATATACTGTAATCAAATTTGAAACATGATTTAACTTATACGAAATAAAACAATTTGCATGAGAAACATAGTTTCGCAGTTAGAAAATACAAGCATCGAAACTTTCCAGTTATTATACTTTACCGTTTAATAATCTTCTTCACTTGTTCTAATACCTACTCTCACATCAGAGAAAGCATCGCAAACGTTCCGTACAAAAATATTTTAATGTTCACCGTCAGATAATATTTTTTGTGAACATCATTGAACATAAATGCAATCACGGCCGTCCACTCTTTACTTACACCAGGATTAATCGACCACCCTTAAACCAAACAGAACAAGCTGAGCGAATTTCAGTGAATTCATACTCGAATCAACATCAGTCACACTACAAAGAACAATACAATCGCAATCAAGCTACCTTTGCTACGATCAAGAGCCCAGTCGACCACTGTCATGGAAATAACATCTTCAAGGCCCTTCAAACTTCGAGCAATGATGGTTCTATGCGCCTAAAGAATAATTTTCGAATTGTAGTCAGAAAAGTCACACAAAAAATCATACTGGAGCAGTCGTGATAACGATTTGCAACGACAGTAAATCTTAACAGAAACTCTTAGAGAAGACTCAGTTGCGGGAGTTGATTGAAATCAAGAACAGATTAGTATTTGTAGAAAACATGCCGTATTTGTTTTCCGACCAAAATAATATTGATGGCATAATGCACAAAAATTACCTTTTCCTTAACAGCTCGAAGTATAAACAGCAATTACTTATGTGAAGCTGACACTTACCCATGGACATGCCCAGGATACATACAGATGGTAGCGGTTGGCTTCTGCCGGAAATTCACTCGATCCGTCCGCTAAGAACAAGCATTTCATTTTAAGCAATAAATCGTGACCATGTTACTACAAATAAATAAACTATACAGCAAGTTAGCAGTTATCAGAACAGTTAAATTTTTGTCATAATTTTAAAAATGCTGACAACAAAACTGAATCCGCATTATGCAACTTGCCTTTGATCCAGTTTCGAAACTGCGACTGCAAACGAAAAACACACAATTCACAATAGAATCTCGTAATGGAATTAGTACAGAATTTTAATAATGCTTTTATTATTAATTTATCTTCACAAGCTACACTTTTGTTTCAGTTTTGTTTTTAAATCGTCAACACTTGCAGTTTATCACTTAACCCTTACTTGATTATTCTCACTATTTCACTGAATTTCAGTTTTTCACTTTAGCACTCTAATAATAGTTCGCTGTAACTGCAAAATCAAACGTTCATAATCGACGGTTATCAATTTTACGAGTTCAGAGCTCTTATCGTATTGTACTGTATCTATATTCTATATAGGCTGTTCTGTCCCTACAGCGTATGCTGCATCCAGCACTCGTTCAAGAGATTTTGCTTACCTGTTGCAAAAGTCTCTTAGCATTATCAGTTTCTTGTGGTTTCTTCCCTGCATTCTCTTGATTCTTCGAATCGCCGCTCATGTTTGTAGAATATGCTATCCGAAAGAAGGATAAAAACGCTTGCGAAGAGAAGCTGATGTGATAGGAATGTTTGGAAACCGTGCTCAACTTCGAAAACCCGGAATAATTCAGCATACGGCCACGGGATACAGTACCAAATCACAAAAATGTGTTATTAATATCAAAAACAACTGTCAAGGATTCAAATGTTACTTATAAAGTAGCAATAACTTAAAAAGCAAACAATTTAACAACTGTAAACTGTGGTGACTCTGCGAAATCAACCTTCTGTCTGCAAAGCGCAAAGTTGCAAACAGCTGTCTTCGGCGTTCAGTAGTCTCTGTTGAAGTCTTGTGTTCTGCTGACGTCATCGTACACCGGAGGCGAACAAGCTGCAGAGTGCAGTATTGCAGACTCTGTCACTGCAGAGTAGTAGTACGTAAACTTAAAAAATCTTTGATAATAATTTTTATTAGTTTTTATTATTGATTTTGAACAAGCCGAATATAAAGCAGCCACATAGGGCAATTATTTACCGCAATACGTGCTTCATGTTTTTCCATGTTTCAGGATAAAAGATGTTCCGATAAAATTACGCGTACCGGCGTACGGTCACAGTACAGTATATATTCGAGCGGGCGAGCGAAGCGAGCCCGCGTTTTTTTCAATATAAGCACTTTGAGGTTTTAAGACACGGCGACCTTGACCTTCAGGTTCCTCACACCCCGAAACTGCGGTTCTAAGACACGGCGACCCAGACCTTTGGGTCGCCAAGTGACCTTTAGTGACCTTTGTTTCACGACACCCCGAAACTGCGGTTCTAAGACACGGCGACCCTGACCTTCAGGTCGCCGTGTGACCCTTTGGCCTACAAGTACCCGGAACTTAAAACTGTTCTTAAGACTGGGCGATCGTAAACGTTGGGTCGCTTTCAATCCAAAGTTTTGATCTTTCGTATATTTACGGGACATAGCAGCAGTTCGATAACTTAGCCGCAATCTAAATTTAGAAGTAAAATTTCTAAGTGTTTTAGAAGAATTTTGAATGTTTGAAAGTATTTCGAAACTATTCTGAAAGGTATAAAAAAATTTAAATTACCTTCGAAAACATTATTGAATACGTTTAACTATGTTAAAACGTTTTTCAATATTACGAATAAATATTTATAGATATGTAGAAATTTTTGTAAATTTGTTTAAACATCATTATTGTATCCTCGGATGTTTAGAACAGACTTCATTGCCCTAAATATCTTTTAAAAATTTTTGAACTTTCAAATCAAATAACTATCTCAGATAATTTCCGTTTTGTGCTTGCGGGTCCCTTTTATAACCTACTCGTGGCAAGGGTACTAACAGTGCTTCGTGATTATCATCGAACAAGATTCCGTACAATAGGCATTGGGACCAGGAGCTCTCGACAAACTACCCAACAGCACTTCTAACTAAAAAGCCAGTTCCACTTGGCTCCTGTTCACTTAAGCAGAACATTTTTACTGAATTATCATCGGATGAAACCTGTTGCAATATATCGATTTTTTATCTGAAATACTTCGCCATATACACGTTGCATATTAAAATGATACAAAAGGCTGCCAGGTGCCACGTTTTCTATTGTGCATAGGAAGCACTAACCTTTTCAAGCCAAGCATAAAACCAACCATTCAGACCGAGATATTGAAAACTTTGGTAAATGTTGTTATTTTGACAAGTAAGATCAGAGTAATCGAGAAATCGTTAGCTTCACCGCTTCACGTACTTAAACGCTTCGGCCAGCCCAATTTTTTATCGTAATTGAAGACCTGAGAAATAATTCAATAGCTACACGGCAAACCTTGAACACATGAATGGCAAAATATATAAATATTTAACGGTTAAATTTTTGTCGACAATTTGTTTTCAAAGTTTTACAAAATCGATAATAAATTAATTTTATTTACTACATTTTTTATTAAATCCCAAATCAATTTGTAAGAAGATTTTACTTGCGATTTCGAAAATAAATTGAAAGATTTTGCTAAATTGCTATGTTTTTTTGGTTTTTTTTAACTCAGAAATTCTTAACAGCAAACGAACTTAAAATTTGAAAAGTGCATAATCATAACACAAAAGCTTCTGGAAGTGTCGAACAGAAATCCAGCGTGAGAGCGGCTATCATTCAACAAGAACAATGTCGTTTATCATTTTGTCTTCTATATCGCAAACCGGTTTCCGCACTGTTAATTATTCAGGCTCGTTCGATAGAGAATTTTTTAAACTGCCGACATTAACAGCACTTTTCTGAAAATTTAAGCTGTGCTCGTTTCCAACGTCGCCAATTAAAATAGTGTGAAAAGTTTTCGTGTCTCAAGTTGCAAAACATATTAACTTCAGGCATTTCTTTTACGCATGGACATTTGGAATATTTCAGCTGTCTCGTGTGAAAGGCCTCCTGTTTTAAAAGTATTGCAGTTGTAGACATGTTGCTTGAGCTATGCCAGTTATGCAGTTTTCGCACTGTGTGACTATTCCAAAAATGCCGTTTTCTATTTGATTTGTGCGAGTATATATTAAAATAAAAGAATAAAAGGAGGTGTGGCGATCTTGTCTGCGCATCCATGCTAAACGACCCTCTTGGGGCAATTTTTAAGCTGTGCGTATTACTCGATAGCCCTAATTTAGTAGGTTTTTACAAAATTAGTTTGATTTGAGAAAACGAGTAGAAGTACGTTTTAAAGGTAGCTCTGGGAAACCTTACTATACAAAGTCTACGGAATCATGCAACAGCCAATCAGGGAAATTGAAAATAACTGCGAAAGCAGTTCATGGTTAAATAACTGCGCCTTCAAGAGCGGTATGTGTGAGTTTAACGTATCCGCTCGTCTATGGGGTGTGAGAATATTAATTTTACTGTTGGACCAGAAATATTGATTGGCTGTTGCTTGAAACGGAGGCTTTACTGTGACCGTGAACCATGTTTTACCTGTTCCACTTCGCATTTTAATCATTTGTCAAAATTCATTGCTTTATTTATTTTTAGTAAAAACTAAAGATTTAGGAAGCACAGTTCAGTATTTCTGAACTATTAACGGAAGGCGGAGCCGAAGGGGACGCCGAGCTGCTGCGCGAGCAGAGCTCGCGGAGCAGCAAGTCAGACATTTAATTTCTGCATATAAAGAAATATGAATAAAATAATTCCCAGTGTCCGACGTGGTCAACCTGCTCAGGGTGCGGGTACTGGGTAACTATAATCTAGGTACGTGCAAAAAATAAATAAAATATAAAAAGATGAACTGAATACCACTTAAATTAGTACTTACCGATATTTATTAAAAACTTTTACGGAGTTTCAAGATAACGGACAGCACAAAAGTTAGTACACCGATTACCATAATTTAACGTTCTCTGGTAAATGACCGTCAGTAGAAAATATGGAAATATATGCAATATTTATATGTTATGGAAAACACGGATTGCTGCTGTTTTCGGTAGGCGCGATTCATATACCACATGATACAAAAGTTGTTGGATTTTTCGCAACGTTTTCGTTTCAGGGAATGGGTATGGAAGGGTTTGCGTACGTGCCAGCCCGACACTATAGAAAACATTAAATGTAACTGAAACAATCGAAATTCCATTTTACAAGTAGTGGTTGGGCTTTGTGCTGCGTTTGCGGCATTATGGTTGTAATAATTCGGTCACTTTAGCGTTTTCCAACAGGGGACTGGTGGTGAAAACTCGTGTGAAAAAACGTTACGCAAACTTGAATTGCTCCGTAGTGCTGCTATGGTACCGGGTAGTAGCATTTACTGCAGCGTAGGAAGTTAATAGTGGTACTGTATATTTTAAACGTTAACATGCATTTGAAGAAAAAACCATTTATTATGACTTAAGCGCCAGGTTTATTGTAAAAATTAAGCGTAAAAGTATTCCAGAACAAATAACCTAAATAACCTTAGTAACAGTCTTTAATCACGTAAGTAAGGTTAGTTATTTTTACAGTAGTTCGTTTAATTTCTTCCGCGCAATTTGCGAGGGTCTGCCAGTTTTTCTTAATAATTTCTGGCTGCTTGATAGGTGTCAACAAAATATGCCAGTTTAACAATTCAGGGTAGCTTACACATCGCCCTTCCAAGAAAAAAATCAAATCAGGTTAGCTTCTAAATCGTTAGTCAGGGACTGGCTTTCTGGCTGGCCTTACTTGCGGATTTCACGAGCTTTAATTGTGCAAAGTTTCTGTTATTCCTTGCACTGGACAAACACGTCTGAAAAGAAGCACTTTTCTAATTTTGGAGTGTGTAATTTCGGTTTCCCGCTTCCAGGACATCATCGAAATCTATCCAATTTTTCAAATTAATTCATACAGAAACTCGTTCTTAAGATAATTCTAGCTTGATTCAAGATATGCGTGTTAAAAACACAGATATTTCACACAGAAAATTTGTACATGCCGGTTCATTATGAGACTGTTGATGATGAACCGGTTTGCTAAAAAACCAATTGAAATTGTATATCACCTATAACTCTTCAACCGGATGTCGAGTCCACAAACGGGTTTCACTTCAGTATACTTAAATCATTTATCTACAAAATGTCGTGAAAAAATATCAAAAGTGTTTGGTGTATGCGAAACCGAAAGTTTGCTTGCAGTTAGTCCTAATAATAGCAATCGCAAAGGTCAGTTCTGCAGCTTCAGTGCTTACCTGTTAAACACTTAATACGTTCGCTGCCTTACATATTGAAAATTAAATACCGCCGCCCGCTTGCCCTAAGGGCGGTTACGACCTTTATGCTAGTATATGATAATATTGTAATAATTTATTTCTACTGAATGTTAGCAACAGTACTGTACGCTTATCATTCGTCACGGTTTTAATATTCAATTTAACGGGTTAACAATACTGTAAGCTAGAACTGAATCGCTACAAATAATAACCGAAAATTATTAGCAGCAAGAATGACCACTGCAGTATGAACCCCGTGGTGCATTTCCGCAGTGAACTGTTACAATAATTATCCCATGAGCAGAAACAAAACATGTGATGGGTTCTCTCCACGATCTGCAAGCGTAAAAAGTCCATTCACGTGATGTTACGACCTCTTACAGATGCATCCGCGTAAACAGCGCAGAAACAACCAAGCGTTGCCAGTTTGGGTGCATAGGGTATCTTTGTAAATTAAACCGTCATACTATGGTGAAAGACAATCGAACATTAGTTAAGCTAGTACCTTTTGATGCGGCTCCGAAACAATGACATCTTTATTCAAGCGGATGTCGTGTGCGCCTAATCGACACCCTTCGTACTTATCCGCTGGAATATCCCGTCGAACGCTGATGAATGTCGATAGGCACCCGCGTGTAGTCAAATTCGACCCTGAAATGCAACATAATCTGAAAGATTCCTTTCTTTGTGTCATCACAAACCGACACAAAAACTAGGTGTCCAGACGGTTTGCGAATGTTCACCAAGAGTTCCGTATGCTGTACTGAATTACCGGTCCCGCATTCGTAACATCCACCCACCTAACACTGTGTCAGTTATCTTAACGCAAGCATCGTACGGATCGGGGCATTCAAGGTTTTTCACTAAACGCCAGTCGAGCGTTTCCGTCGAGCATCCCGGCTGCGTTCCCATACACTGGTAACAGCGAATGCCACACACATTTTCTGGAGATCGCAACCAGTTAAAAATAGCTCCTTTTGTACTTAGATGATAGCTATTAATTCTGTACAAACATTATCTTACAATGCTAACAACTGCAAGCAATCGCTCAAGCCGCAAGCGTACTTTAAGCTTAAAGAAAAATTAATTTAAATACAATGTACAGTATAAAGTACTATTAACTTCTACATTTTATATGTTGCAATTATACTACAATAATTCGTTGGGAACTAAAATTTAGTTAGAGAAAAATTAAATAATTGCAGTTGTAACAATTATTGGGATCATCATACAATAGATTGTCCTGCTTTGCCTTACCGTTTCTAAATATCAGAATGGTAACAGTAAGTGTAACCAGGTGCTGTTTCGCGAATACCATAATTTTACTTAATGTTGGCGAATCGGTGACGTGTAAAGTAATTCGCGATCTATCGAGTTAATCCAGGTAATCCACAAGAACCAGCGCAACTGAGAATTTAATGTGAATAACTTTTTTTGAAGACTGGCGTGTCTCTCGGAAGCTAGCTGAAAGTCCATTCGCATGCTGTCCTGTGCAAATTCAAACTAATTTTGCTCATGTTTTTGTCTCATGTTAACGTTAGCATCTGTTGTACCCACGCAGTGCCTCTAGCTTTGTCTACATAAGAAGATTTATGCAATTGGTTTACATATTTTGATACTCAAGATGGTCAGTAAACAAACCTGCTAGCTTTTAGCATAATATTATAATGAATACAGTGGACACACATTTCTGAAGTACAGTATTCGTACAATGTTGCTTGCGCGACGGACCACATGGTTGGTTAGCTGTGTCTTGTTTCAGACGACGCATCCTTTAACATAATATGCAAAAAATAGTCCATGCCGCAAATGCACATTACAATAACAAATCAATTATGAGTAGAAATACGTTAATTGGGCCAAGCTCCAAATCAAAGGAGCCAAATTTATGTACTTCAACAAAAATGGTGCAAGGTATGAGATCAGTTTTGAGGTGTATGGAAACCGTTGGAAATTCTGGTATTAAGGCTTTCCGCTGCCGGAGCATGTTATCCGTGATTTCCTACCGTGATATACGGACAGCACTAAAACAAAGTGCAATAATTATTATACCATTGCAACGCTTAATAGTAATTTTTAACGCATTCCACTTAATTAATAAGTGTTATTGTTTCAACTTAAGTGAACTGTCATTTTGCGAAAATACAAAAAAAACAACTGGATAATTACCTGGTTTGACTTGTATGATGTGTTTGTTATACTACTGTCAGCTTTACCTGAATCCAGACCCAGTGGAAATAATTATCCCATGGATTCATAGCTTGACCTAAGCCTGCAAAAACACTCGAAATTCATGGTAAGCGACAAAATTTGCTAAAGTTTGAGGACATCATGTTTTACGTGCGTCCTACCTGTCATAACAAAATTCGTATCGCATTTAACAATCCACTGACCATCGTAATGCTCGCCATATCTGTTAAAATCCGTATAGCGTCATCGTGTTTTTGTTCTAGAGATTTCTTTACTATTTGACATTTCTGTATGCTTCAGTGTCAAGTACTGTAAATGCAAAAAATGCGTGAACAAACATATTTTGGAACATTTGTGACTGATCTACAATAAATTTCATTGATCTTGATCATGCCTAGTTAGGGTTGGCCTGAATTCTGTTTAAAATTAACTAATTGCAGGATATGATATTTGTTGCAGGATATGATAATTGCAGGATATGATCTTTTTTGTTGTTGTTGTAGGTTAGAAAGCAACAATAAATGTTTTGTAGTACTGTGCTAGAAACGCTTAGGAATCAGCTTTAACATAACAGCAGTAGCCGTATACAGTAATTAATTAACTTACTTGTCGTGTGTATACTTCCATTGACAGCGACTATAATCCAGTGCATACTGCGGTGGTGTTTTGCCTAAACAGTGAAAGGTCACGAAGCTACTTTAATTTGTAAGATTTCTATGATATCAGAAACGGCATGGTAATTAGCCCTCTGAATGCTTGAATTAGTCTTTTCATGGGTCGGATGCGTCACGGTACTGTAACTAATAGTGCTCAGCCAATCTTACGAACACAAAATCGTTAGGTTTGTTTCCTTCAATAAATCAAAGTGATTGTTCAAAAACAGCATGCCCTGCATAGTGCACAAAAATAATTTTATGTATCGTATATTTAAAAAATAATTATTCTAACCGCCAGGCGATAGTAAAATGGCCTTTAAATTATGAACGTCGGAGACTGATTTGATAGCACATGCAGCATCGACCGGTACAGTATATTTCTTGGTTGAGACAGACTCTGTACAATTAGTATTTCAATTTAAAATTAATAAGGGGGAGCACCTTTATTGTTCATAGTTAATAGTGTGCAATAATGTAGAGTCTACTCTGTAATACAAAATACTTAATTAGCGGTGCTTTCTTACAGCATTTCATCAGCGATGGATAAACAGGATCGTATGACTCCAGCGCAAACAGCCCTACAACAAAGATTAAAATTTACAGAACTTTTTTAATATATACACAGTGCCAAAATTTTAATATACAGCAGGACACCGTGCAAACAAAAGAGAATCAGTGGCTGCACTGGATTTTGTTTGTATCGGTGTTAAGTCTTCGCACAGTAATTCGTAGCGACACTGTGCAGAATCGTAAATCTTATTCGCTTACTCACCGGTTACAAAAGTATTGTAGGTATCTCCCGGATAATATTGATCATAGCAATAAAATTCCCGTAGAGTAAGATTCCTGAAAGCCCAAATTTCGATATGATTGCTAACATCGACAAGTTAGTTTATTAATGACGTGAGCCCATTTTTGTTTTTGAAATCTTCGATTGATAAATTCAGAATTTTAATATCTTCTTCGCTTCGGTCTTAAATTATTGTTAGTGCTAGACAACAGCGGTGCACTTCCCTAGAGTAGTTGAGATATCAGGTCGAAGCACTAACCGTGCGCAAATAATTTTTATTTCAATTTAATGAATGTACTTTACCTTACGTTACAGTAGGGGTAGTATGGATATATTCCCTGAGATGGAGGTTTCAAGGGAAACATAAAGTAGCACCAAACTTCTGCATCGTTGAAATATCAGAAAAGTCAGTGTTGCAATATAGAGTAGAGACCGATTGTCTTATACGTATTGTATATATAGATATTCTGAATATCTCAGTTTAGCCTTACGAGATAGGCCTCGGAATTGGTAGTTAAAATCGTAAATCCCGATCATTCCTGTAATTGCACACATTAATGACTGGTAAATGTTATAATTTACAACATTCTGGCTTTAGCTTAAATAAATTGCTTTTTATTTTTTGTTTGGCTGTAAGTATCGACTGTATCGTCGTCAATACCCGCTACCTTCTCCATCTCCGCACTCGATCATCCATTTTTCTCTGTCATTATTCTGTCCTCCGCCTAAGTTTCCAGCCGCTATTACGCAGTCGCCAGTGCCTGTACGAAAAAATCGTGTCGTCGTTTTACAAAATTTCGTGTGTATATATAGCGTATATTCATTAATTAATTTTTTAGTCCTGTAGTTTTACCGCACCGTAACATTTTACATGGTCATAATATCCCCATGTCGGAATAACAATAAGACAAATCACGAGCGCGCAGGAAGTAATAAAATACAAGAAAGTTCCCTGCATTCCCTTGAAAATTTCACCAACTGTACAAAGCACATTTGGTTGTAATTCAGGATGATAATCCACATGCAAAAAAATGTGCGGAAAATTTACATCAGATACCACAGACAATGCCTGTCTTTATCCTCTATCAACAGTTATACCATTAAAAACGTAAAGCGGCAAACATCAACAAAACAAGAGTACGGTAGCCAAAAAAACATCTAAGAGTACGGCACCCGCCGTTTTTTTCTAAATAAAAAAAAGGTACTGCACAGATGCTAAAAACACATACAAAGTAAGGTGCGTAGGAGCAGTACGTATAAAGATCGTTCTTGACCGGTGTGCATAATATACATCGCTGCTTTTCATCATCTTGTCTTCGGCTCGTGCGGATCTGGAAGTAGACGCTGACATTTTGTGCTCCAAGCACGAATATGAATGCAGAAGAGTCGATAACCCTTGCCCGAAGTGTACGCGTAACGCGTACGGCATAATGTAAAACGTTTTTGTCTGTTGTACGGTATAAATTGCGCGTGGCAGTTAAAAAATTATTATATAAATCCATCACGCATTATAACCGTAAAACTGCAGGTGTTGTAATTTAATGGATATGGATATATAATTTAATGGATATTGTATGGATACGCTCAACTCGATCTACCCTACACAGTATGTATTGTGTGGTCATAGTGCGTTTCTTCCAGCCGCTGTATTCTATCGGACATATGTAATTATTGTCTTTTTATTGAATCGTTTTTCAGGGAATATGCAGAGTATATAATACTCTGGTTGCTGTTATTATCATGACTTGCATTGCGCTTGGTAGGAAATTGATATGCCGATATTACGATATAATAGGCTTGTAAAGGTTGCAGCATATAGTACTTCTACGGGTACCGAAGTTCGAACACAGCCGCTGAATACGTCACTCTGACCAATGTTAGTCGACTTAGAAATCTATACAATAGGTGCGGCCGGTGTAACGATATTAGTTGTCTGGTTTGTAGTATTTTACGAGCAGGTATCCGGAAAAACACAGTCGATGAAAGTGATTGGTCTTGAACTTCTATCAATCACGCTTTGTGCAGTGCTAAAACCGCCGACCGTCACCTTTTCTTGAATTTCAAAACCATCCAGCTACATAGAAGGCAGGCACTTATCGTCACTATCTGTAGTTAGTCTGTCAAGAAAGACATAATTTACTAGAAGTGAGTACTGAATATTGTTGTAATTTGCAGCTTGCGACCGACTGACGGAGACTGTCATCGCAATTCATTTCTATATACTCCGGGTACTTTTCGACAAGCAGATGAGAAGGGAATACGCATATACATAATCGGCATATTTACGGGGAGATTTAAGTTTTAAGGGACCACCGTATAAGAAAATGCAGCAATTATAGTCTCACGTGTCTTATGTATTTTAAGTACTCTTATGTAGGTTATGACATTCAGAAACCTTTGACCAACAAGAGATAATTGCGGGATCAGTCCCGTGGTTCGAAAATGACGTCAAATCTTGGCGGCCGTGTTGTGAGCCCGTTGATGTAGTCTTCCGGTGGTTTCAATGTGTAGCCTTCTTCCAGACGAAGATTAAAGTTTTGCAAGACATTGGTCACAAACAGAAAGACCTCCATCCTGGCTAACGATTCTCCTGGGCAATGGCGTTTTCCTGTGAAAACAATCACAAAGTCACTGTGGGTTACGGTTTGCACACGAGCACTTTTATGCGAGTTTCTAAAACTCATCAAAATTTCATGATAATATTATCATGCATTTGTGTGTACGGTAAACTTAGTCATATATATATATATATATATATTTCCAGATGAATTTGGGTAACGATAATCAGGGGATTAAACCAAGTCGTTTTGCAGTCACGAGGAATTTATTATCCGTAAAAATTGCCTGCGAACTTGTTGACATCCTAAAGGAGATCAACTAACTAACAGTACTATTTATTATTTTTATCCACACAGGCTTACTGTACTGCTTGCTAGAATCGTTAATTTTGTGACAGGTAATTAACTACAGTAATGCCGACCTACCAATGGAAAACGGCATGAACGATGGAGGATTAAGGACACGACCTTCGCTGTCCAGAAATCGCTCCGGTTTGAACTCATTGGCATCTGGGCCCCAGTGTTTGGGGTCATGATGAATAAACCACAGGTTGGGCATGATGTAGGTCCCCTTGGGAATGGTGTAGCCGTTCATCTGCACATCTTCCGTGGTACTGCGTCCAATGCCCAGAGGCACCACGCTGCCCATGCGAGCCACTTCCGAACATACCGCCTCGACGTAGGTCAGCTTCGCTATAAACCAACAAAAGTCGTAGAACAAGGGGTATCACAGACGCTGGTCCGCATAAAAATTGTAATTTTGTGATATTCAATCTTCGTAAATACTAAATTGTGAATTTACGAATTAAATACTTTCTTTTTGCTTTACCCTTATCTTCCGTGGTGACATGACGTCCCCGTCCAACTTTCATGTCGATTTCTTCCTGCATTTTCTTTTGCACGTCCGGATGACGCACAATAAAGTAGTACGCCCATGTAATCGTTGTGGCGGTTGTTTCCGCACCGGCGCCGAAAAAATTACTTATTTCCACTAGTAATTCATCATCTGCAATAATTTCATTGCGTGATTTCCTGATCACAATACGTACTTATTAACAAATTAAAGACAAGGATTGGCATTTATATTACCATCAAAATAATTTGGAGTGCTGCCCTGCTCCCCTTCTTTTTGCTGCTGATCGTAGAATGCATCCACATAATCTCGGACATCGCCATGTTCCTCCTTGTATTTCTTTTCATGAATGGCCAATTCCTCCGCAAATATACTGCGCAGCTGTGTCACCTCACGGCGAAATGTCGCCCAGAATTTTTGGAATTTTCCCGGGATGAGTCTAAGCCACGGGAACAGCTGCAGCGCACCAATGTTACTGAGTGTCGGCAGCGCGATGATCAGGAAGTCCACGATGCTCTTGAACTGCGGATTGCTGTGATCGAAGCGCTTATCGAAGCACACCGCGAACATGATGTTAGCTATGCAAGCAATCATCAGGTTGTCCGGTTCTACTGGTTTCATCTTCTTGCTGCGTAGTGTTTCGCAGAAAAAGTCAATTTCTTCGAGGATTCGCTCCTGCAGACGCGATTTCCCCATTCCCAAATTGCGCAAGGTAGTCAAAGCAAAACGGCGCATGGTGCGCCACTGATCGCCATTGGTCATCGTCAAGCCTGCGAAAAATTGTCTTTAATTAGTTATTCAGGTTTTAGGTTCAAAAAAAACGCTAAAAACGTGATGGGCACAATTCCCGTTACGGGAAAAAATTTATGAAAATATTCTCCACCCGCATTTTGCTTTGCTAAAATATTGCGCTGTCAATTTAGCGCGTGAAAAGGGTGCTGCCTTGCAGTCTGTTAATAAATCGTGTATTCCCAATAAAAAAATTTAGTAGCTATTGTACATACTCACTGTTCAATACTAAACTTGATGTAATTACAGTAACTTAATTTATTAAATTTCAGTTTCATCGTCACTGATATGAATGTGCGCTGCTTACAAGTTCCACTTATAAAATACTCGTACGAAAAGAACGAATTTTTTGTTGTATTTGATTATTCTCATTTTCGGTTCTTTTTGTTTTCGTAAAAAACTACAGTTTGTAGCTGCGTTAAAATTATTTTATAGTGCCGCATCTTACAAATACAGTTTAAAAAATAGTAACTTTAGTAATTATGTGCTAGATTTTGAATGATATGATACCTCGCACACGAAGGTCAGGCCCGCCGTTGATCGGCCCATTGGAGGCACCATTGAGGGCTCGGTGTGCAAATCCCGGTTTGCGGTCAACGAAGATATCAGAGTAATCGTTATAAGCTGTTTTGATTGCGTCATAATCGTTTAAAATCACCGTCAACTGGCTTCCCAGGTAGATGCTAAAGACGTTCCCGTATTGTTTGCTAAGTTCCAGGACCTTTTCTGCCGGTTTCTGGCCAAGGAAAGGGGTGTAGCCAAGAACTGGAACCCCTGTGAAAGCACATGAAAAACAGATGTAAGTAACAGCTGGACATTTTTTTAACAAAATACTTCTTACCATTAGGTCCGGGTGGAATACCTTTCGGCCGCCTATAGTAGTAGTATGTCGCGAAACCGATCACGACGACCGCAAAAAGCGCCCAGTTTAATGGGAGAAACCCGAATAGCAGAAGCGCGTGCGACTGGGTGGTGCCGTTTTGCCTTTGGTTATGGGATGCGGGTGAATCCATTGTCAAAAGCGTATACAGCAACGTGCTGCTGAATTCTAGATTGTCTGAACAGTAACTGGAAAATTCAGATCTGACCGTTGTACTGACGCTATTTCTCTAACCGAACAAGCTGGTTTCCGTAACCTTGTTTGTGAGTCATCTGAGAGAATTTTTTGGCTGAAAAACATGTTTTTCCCAAATGATGGGCGACGGCGTTTTGAAGACCGTAAGCGATGCCCTAACATTCGATGACTCGACGACGCTAACGTTTGTATGCCTGGGGCCACTTCAAACATAATTTTTGATTTATGGCAAAATTACGTTTTTGAGCTAAAACAATTTATTCGTCGTGCGGTTCTACCCAAAATGGTCTAGCTGAAAAAAATTGCAAAAGATAACACAATTAAATCTTGTGCCTTAGAAAATCGGAATCCGTATTTCGAATAGCTTCGATTTGAACTAAACCGATATATGTGGATATCATGAATAATTAACCGACAGTATAAAACACTTTAAATTTCTCCTCTGTTTATGAATGTAAAATGCGCGCAGGCTTTATAAATTACTAGCACTCAGAAGGTGACTTTGTACACGTGGGTCGGAACCAGATTTGAAGCAAATTTGATAGTTTCCGGTTTGCGCTGGTTTCGAAGTCATTGGTTTAGCGGTAGCAATGCGCCGGGAGGCACAGAAATCAGATCGCATCAAATGCGGACACTGCGATACTCGAGCAAGACACTGAAAAGAGTAGCAACCGGATTAGTCGTGAAAGTGTTTACGATCGCTGGTTTTTCGGTAAAGAGGATCATAAATAAAATGACGGAAGTTCTGGAGCAAACAGCGTACCGTGTCAAGGCCGGGGAAATCTTTGGCCAGCAACGTCGCCCGGTCGGAGTAGAACCCGTGAAACGCGTTTTGCTGCTGCACGGATGGCAGGACAACAGTAATTCGTATGTGAATCTGATACCACTGCTGCCGAAAAACTGGTGGATCGTCGCCATCGACTGGCCCGGACACGGCCACAGTTCGCCCCGCGGACCAGGTGCCGCCTACCACATCACCGATTGGCTGGTGGACCTGCGCGAGGTTGTTAACGGTAATCTTATTTTAAACTTCAGTTGTTGGTCAAAAAGCAAAGCAATCAAAGTTTCTGTTGCTTGTGTTACTTTGTTTAATTCGTGTTCAAATTACAGTTTTGCAATGGCAAAAGTTTACCCTAATCGGGCACAGCATGGGAGCCGGGGTGGCTTTGATGGTACCGTCGAGATTTTTTAAACATACATAATACTGCAAGATTACTCGCAAAGCGGGACTGCTATTTTTATTACCATTTTATTCCTTGTTTTTACAGTATGGCGCTCTGTTCCCGGAGGAAGTGGAAGCTGTGGTGGCGCTGGATGTCATCAAGCAGTTATCAGAACCGGCGGGGACCACGCACAAAGTCCTTCGCAACGCCATCATGACCCTGGCCGACCATAACCAGAAAACGGTTGCCCCACAAAAGCCGGAAATCATGTCCAAGAATCAAGTGGAACAATGGTAAGTTTTATGAAACCATTTTTCTATTTTGCAAAGCGAAAACATTCATCAACCGCTTCAACTCGGCATTTCATAGGTGGCATGGCCAAAGCAAGGCGTTCATGAACGAGCAATCGGCAGCGAAAATCCTGGAAAGGGGAATGCGGCAGAACAGCGGCACGACAGCAGGTAATTTGGCGCTTGAAATGCAATTCTGCGCTCTTCCAAACCTTCGGTTCGCGTTTTCTAGATGAACATTTGATCAACCGGGACAGCAGATTAACATTTGTAAGACCAGTGCAACGATCTGAAAAGACAGTTGAGCATTGCATGCTCTGATTTCTCGTATTGTATGAATGCAGCCTCCGTTATTTCGGATGCACTTGGACCAGCATCGCAATGTTTTGAAGGAGCTCAAATGCGATCTTCTGATTATCAAGTTAGTACCGTGCAGTCTATCCTGAATTCCTTTTAAGTAGTTTGCTATGCGTAACATTTTATTCCGATACCTAAACAGATTCTGGTTTATTTACTGTAAAACGATTTTATTCCGATACCTGTACAGAATCTGGTTTATTTACTGTAAAACGAAATGTAAACTTTGTAATATAAAATAATGATAAGAAGCCAACGTTTCATTTAGAGCTGCAGGTGCACAAAACTACGAATCCCCCGAAGTTGAGAAGGAATTCAAAGACATGTACCAGAAAAATTGCTCGCATGTAAGTCCATGCGCTGAGCAACTGAAATATGTCATATTAAGTTAAATATTCATGCGCAGTGAAATTATGTGCGCTTTTTGACTGTTTTTCAGTTTGCCTACATTGTCGTCGACGGCCTCCATCACGTACATTTGGACCGCCCGGAAACCGTTGCGCCTGTTATTGTGGACTTTCTTGAACACAGACCAATCAAAAACAGCCATTAGTCAAAGTTTCAAAAGACACTTTACCGTCGTAACACAAATTTTTTAATACAGTAAAAGAAATTTCGGATTGAAAATTTCAAACATTTCAACAGTCTACCCCAATATGCTTAACTAAAATGAGCAAAATCGACGTGCCGAAGCATTTATACTGCGCGGCGTTGTTAATGCCCTGAGGCTAGATTTCGCGACGGTCAAGTTAGATGCAAGTCTGTGTGAAAGTACTAGAAAAAACTTATTACACTGTTCTTGCGGCGTGTCAAAATCTTCTTTTAAGCACATGGAGAGCTGAGTATTCACAAGTACCATGAAGATTAACACTGCTAAGTATTTCACACAATGTATTCCTCCTTCGGATACAGGACACGAATACTGTTTACCGTGCTCTTGACTGTTTCTTCGTTTTTCCTCTCCGTTCATATAAACAAATTGTCCCGGAAACGTCCCACACCGGTTTATCGTGTACAAGAACAAGGACTTCGCAGTTTGTTGTCATTGCCAAAATCACAGCGCAGACCAAAAACATGCCTGGTGGAAAACGTTTACGAACCGGAAGGCGTTATATTTCTTCACCCTGCGAATACTTCGACAGAATTGCGGAATATGCTGCGTACTATGTGGCGTAAAGTGGAAGTCAAATGTCAATACAAAATTATTTTTATAGCTTTTGATTCTGAACCAACTAATGAACCTGACAAACTGGAAAACACTTTATTTCTGAACACGTCGAATGAAGCCCAAAATATTGGGGATATGCAACAGTGGATTAAACAGAAATGCAAACTTGCCAAATATTTTGGATTTCTTGACAACGTTACGGAGAATTCTTTGAGTGAATTTGCACACGGTGGCACAAGTTTCCGTATCCTTCCAGGAACAGGTACAAATTCACCCCACACATTTACAGATGTAGTGATATTCTCACTTCACTGGACAAATTTTCTAGCAGCATCTCATAAAAAATATATAGACACTGTTAACAAAATTATTAGTTAATCAAAAGTGATACTTACAAAATTTATTAATCAGAACATTTTTTACCGATGTTGACGTACAGTATTGTAAACTGTTATTGCAGTTACTGCTCCCGATCTCATTGGTGCGCATTTTAATTGGTGCATGGCGAAGGTACCAACTCCGCGAGAGGAAAGCATTTCCGATCTGGGCAACTACGATTTGTTGTCGATAACGGACACGGACGCACCTATTATCGAAATGGATTCCGAAGCTCAGACAATGTTACTAGAAAGCTTGCCTGCTGATCGGAGAAGCATTCTTCTTAAAGAAGACCAAGGTTGCATTTTTTTAAGTAAAATAAGAATTATGCAAGATATGGAGTACGAAGCTAGAGAAATTATTATTATAACCTCCACAATATGGTTTATTTATTTTAATAATGGTTATGTGTTTATTGCAACTATTGTAAATGTCTAAGGCTGAAGATTATTAAGCGCATTAGCTATCGTATTTTGTTTATTTTCCAGGAAAACAAATAAACAGTAACGATTTTCAGTACATAATCAATCAAGCCGAATTATGCACGGACTCCCTCAAAAATTCTCCACCTTTCGCATTTATTGCCGTGCACTCAGCCATCCATCATTTCGATCTCCGGGAAGAGGTACTATTGCTAGATTGGGTTAAATTATTCTTACAGTTATGTATCACCGGATAAAATAATTATAACTTTATTAGTTGCTAGTACAGATATAGTCATATAGTGATATTCTTTAAAATGAATGTATTTTAAGATTGCCATTAATTCATTAATTACGGGGTATATGTAATTGCAGATAAGATCAACCTGGGGTAATCCCGAGCTGCTCCAGAGATTGGGGGCAGTGTTGTTGTTTTTTCTCGGATTATCCGACAATTCTACCGTCCAGCAGGAAGTATGTATCAAAGTTACCGTAAAAACTAACAAAGTTATTCTGAATAACTTTCTGTTTACAAGGTGGTTGCGGAAAGCGCGCGCCACCGCGACGTTATTCAACAAAACTATACTGACCATTACCGGCAATTAACGCTTAAACACACTGGCATATTCCAGTATTTCACCAGTTACTGTGATGAGATTCCATATCAGTTTTTAATGAAAACCGACGATGACGTTGTGATTGATCTGGAGACAACGTTGTCGTTCTTGAAGAATTTAACCTTTGCTATGCCGAATATAACGAAAAGTATTTACTGTTTCCATTTGGAAGCCCAAGAGAAGGTTCCCAGGAAGAAAAGCTTTAAATGGTACATAACGTACGAGGAATATCCCGGCGAAACGTATCCGCCGTTCTGTTATGGAAATGGATATTTGTTTACCAAAGATTTGGTGCGTCCAGTGTACGACATGGCAGTGCGAACACCGCAGCTTTGGGTTGATGATGCTTATTTCACTGGATTTGTTGCAAGAAACATAAAGGTAAAATACTATCGAACAGGCGATTTCTGTTGGTAAAACGATACAGTTTTGTCTGCCTATGAAACCAGTGGCTATTGGGCTTTTTCACAGCTCCTTTACGCCCGAAGCTGTTTTGGTGAAAACTATTATTTTTGCTGCGCGCTCTTAAAACTTTCGTTAAGTTCAATAAAAACTTTGCAGTTAAGCTTAATATGGAGGCGGCAGAAATCTGCAGGAGGAAAATTAAAAAGTTGTCCACAGAGTAGAAGAATTCTTTACAACTATAATAGCAGTCACATTACTCACATACCCTACATTAGTCTTTGGTTTAGGAAGTACATCGCATTCAGCTGCCTCATCAACGTCCCATTTTGCCAAAGGTCATGACACCGGAAGAAATTATCGAAGGGAAAAAATGGATGGTGCATACCTGGGGTGATGCAACAGTTTTTGACACATACTGGACGGCATTCCAGAGTCGTCATAACGACAGTATCAAGAAAATATTCCTAAATGACATTTACAAGCGGACTGGCACTAATTTGTCAGATTCACTGTTTGATATTTATTAGCTGAATTTGCTGTAACCCAGCTAATTACCATTGATTGTTGGTGCTGGTTTAGCCAATTCTTGCCTGTTCCTGTCGGATCCCTTATGCGCACAATTTCCGTTTTTCGTAAAATCCAGTAATAATATCCGGTATATTGTTACTTATGGCGCAGAATTAACTAAATTATTATTATTATACCAAAGTAATTTTTAAAAGCTACACTTCTCGAATGACGAAACCCAAGCGCGACAAACACCACATACTTTGTCTTTACCGTTTGGTAATAGTTTTGATAGTATTCATCACGGTACAGGTAACCCATAAATCTGCTGTGTTTTACTCCAGCAGTTAACATGGGAATTTAAACCTGGCCGTTAATATGCAGCTGTGTGTTCACAAATGCCTATTAATAAAAGCGGTCAGTCATTCTACATTTGCATAGTCAATTCTGGTTGTTTACTTAAAAATTCTAAAAATCGGTATACATGTATATATGCATGTATGTATATCGGTATGTATATGCATGTCCGAATTCGAGCTGTATGGAACAAGTGTAGGTTTATTGTCGACCGCGGGATATATACACTGGCTCGAAGCTGTGCTTACGATCATTACAAATTACTCGTACATATGACAGGAATTTGTAGCGCCATGTTTTGCGCTCTGTACGTAATAAAGTTCTTACGTCAGGGACAAAACCGAGACTCCAGCTACGACAAATGTTGTAGAGTTTAATGCCAGCGTTTTTACTCTCTATCACAAACGATAATATTCTTTTAACTTCCTTTTGGCTTTACACTGAATATGATATGCCGTTTGCATTCACTGTGATGGGACTTATGGGTGCCGATATAATTCACATTTAATGCGAATAATGATTAGAGTAGAATTTGTTTAGCTTGGACCTGCAAATCCGTTTTCCGGCCGAAATTGTCAAGCTTATGACTTTAAAAATCAAAACTTTGATTGTTTTACTTATCATTATATTCTTCTTATCCGCGTACATTGTATCGTTCATCTTCACGTACAATTCAGACACCCAGAAAATCATTATTTTCGGTAAGGAATTTCCCTGGCTGGAACATGCTCCAGAATCTTGCGTGGTGGATGATGATTTCCAACCGAAAGGAGTTATCTTCTTACATCCCGTCAATACGACCGTGAACTTTCGAAAAGAGATTCGCGCAGAATGGTACAGCATAGCGCTCAAATGCCACTGCAAAATTATTTTAGTCTACACGGCCGATACAGTCCGTTATCAGCTGAAAGAGGAAGATTTATCCCACGTTATTACCACACGCAGTAACGCCGATGCCGAACCGGGAGAAATCCCGAAAAATATCGTAACGGAGTTGCAGTCCTGGATTTTTCGCACCTGTAAAGATGTCAGCTATTTTATACTGGTTTATGACGTTGTCCATGAAACACTGGGCGGCAGTGCCAAAAACTTTACGATGCATACCATGCCGCATAACGCAATCGGTAAATATTTACCACACCAGGAATTTGGAACAACATAAGTTATGTTTGCATATAAACGTCCGTGTAGGGTTTACAGAATGACTAATTTTTTACAAATTTCAGAAGTTGATTCGTCCTTGCCTTATCGACAATGCATGAACCTGGCTGTGCAAGGGCTGAAGGCAGAGCACCCCAACGGTCCTGCTTACGAAGATCTGTTCTCTGTGACCGATATAGATATCCCGGAAAGTGGCATTGATTCCACTGGACAGGAACTGCTAAATAACCTATCGCTCGCAGAAAGAAGTATTATGCTAAAAGAAGCTCAAAGTAAGATTATATTCAAGCGATTTTCCACAGCTTATGTAATTGTGACTGTGAGAGTTAAATTTCCATATTGATATATCGTTCTGCAACGTAAAACTGAGCAGTATTAACAGCAAAAAATTGTCGACCCCGAACCTCATAATACAACGTGTAATGTTGTAGCTGGGAGCGGTTCATGCGAGTAGGGCTTGCTTTTTTTGAACGGACGAATAATACTTGCCCCGGCACGTGTTTACGTACCTATATTAACGGCAATAATATGTTTTCTTCAGATTATGATATTAATCCCGACAAGTCCAAGTTCATCATTAACCAACCGGAGCTGTGTGCAAAGTACAACAATGCCCCGCCTTTCCTGTTCATTGCTGTCCACTCTGCGGTGAATAATTCCCAGCATCGACAAGGCGTGAGTAACAAAAACCGACCGTTGTTTGGTCTTCCATATTTGAATGCAGTGATTTAAATCTGTGACGCAGATAAGAGAAACTTGGGGGCATCGAGAAGTCCTCCATAAGTGTAACGCGTCTTTGGTTTTTTTCCTCGGATCTCCCGAAAATTCTACTGTGCAGGACGAGGTAATTAATGCTTCTGATAATATTCTGACTTTACTTTGCGCAGTTACTCTTATTAAACGCCTTTGGTTAATATGGTGCAGATATTTGCCGAAAACGAGAAATATCACGATATTGTGCAAAACAGTCACATCGACCATTATCGAAACCTCACGGTTAAACAAACCTCCATCTACCGATATTTTTCAACCTACTGCGAAAACGTCGGTTATGATTTTCTTTTGAAAGCGGACGATGATATAGTTTTGGATTTGGAAACTGTGATAACCTTTCTGAATGATATTTTGTCCGAACCAGACAAATGGGTGCCGGCAAAAAGCTTATATTGTTACCATGTCGAATCCGTCGAGCAGGTTCCTAGAAGCACAACATACACGTGGTGCATTAAGTATGAAGAATATCCCGTAAAGGTCTATCCGCCGTTTTGTTATGGAAATGCATATTTCGTCCCCAAGGTACTAGTTAAACCAATGTACGACATGTCATTACGAACTCCGCATTTTTGGGTGGATGATGCATACTTCACGGGATTTGTGGCTCGAAACATAAAGGTATTACCAGCGCAAATAACCGGACTGTATGAATCAAAATTCGGGAAACACGTAGAACAAAGTAATGTATTTTATTGCCAAAGTCCGCCTTTGCTGTCACGGTAGGGTTTTTATATATGACGATTATCCTGGCCTTTGGGCTGTGTAACATTTTAACATTTTTTATTATCAATATGCCAGTAATATGAAAACGTTTTTACTAAAATTAAGGGTGTCCGTCGTGTGCAACTCCCATCCCAACGCCCCATCATGGCGGTTAACAAGGCACCAGAAGTTCCTTTAAGCAACAAGCGTTGGCTAGTGCATTACTGGAGTCTTCAAATAGGACCGTACAATCCTTGGTGGGTTGAATACCCAACAACGTACTACATGGATAATCCACACTGGATGGCATTTCAAAGTCGACATAACGAAACAGCCCGACAATTTTATATTAAGGATGTTCAGAACAGAACCGGGAAAGTTTTAGCCGATTCTGATTTTGCTGTGATATAAAAGAGAAATAGTTATTCATATTGCGTACATGTCAAAGCCATAAAATTAGAGCTAGAAACTTGACTGTTGGAATGTTTTATAATCTGTCATGGTTTAATTGGAGCAGCACGTAAGAGCAGCACCTGTATTCGGCGGCTATTTGCAGATTACTGATTGTGAGGTTAGCGTAATACTGCATGAATAAGCTGAATTACAGTAACTCGATATTCGGGGCCTGCTGACATTGTTAGTAGGCGCGCCTTTTTTATATTAATTCAAAATTTTGCCTGGTTTTCATACAACTTCGTACTGCAAAACTTACCGTCATCTTCTGTCTCACAATTAAGTATAGACATGTCAATGACCACTGTGTTTACTAATAAAATTTCTACCTACTGGCAATTTGTTAAACTGCCACGATCGATGCGCATTTGTATCACAGCTAACAGACACAGATTTTGATACTGTCCTGGCTTGTGTAATTAAACTGAGATGTTGTCTGTCCTTCTTAATATTCATCATTATAAAATGTAACTAATTTGCCTGTTTTATCTATGTGAAGACGAACAAGATTGTAGATAAAACGAAATCAGTTTTCCAAAGGAAGTACAGATTTGTACATCTGCTAAAATGCACCGTCTTTCCAACTGGATATTGTCAGCGGTTATATCTGTACTAAGCACTGGTAAAGTCAACGCAGAGTTTTAACAAATAAGCAGCGCTATTATTGTGTATCCTACAAGTATAGATAATTAAAAGGCATTTTTGTTTATGTCATGGTACCCAGCAACTCTTTGCAAGTCGCAAGGCCCACAGGGAAATTCGTCATGGTCTCTGGATGCACTCCTTGGACAGTACGATTTCGTTCTGGAGACTCGACATCTTATGGAGGAACTGATTTATGGCATTTCCGGTACTAACTGTATACTTATAATACTCTGTACATTAGATAACGAAATAAGCACTGTAAATAAGATGACAAATGTGACAATGCGAATTTGAAGATCTTTGCTGTTTAAAGTCATCAACTATTTTTAGAATAATGAATGCAGTAAATTTAAATGTTTAAGAGCCAGACATACTTTTGTTTTTGTTAAAGTATGCTAGATATTAAATCTCTAGCCGTTAATAAAAAATATATTATCCGAAAACTTTGTTAGGTGTTCCGAAGGATGTGGCCAATGGGCCGACCAGCATAATATTCAGCAAAACCAGCGACGGAAGCCGGTATCAACAGCAAACCGTGCGGATCGATCCACGCTATAATGTGACGATTCCCTTTGTTTTGGGTGTGACATCCGCACAGTCTCAGCCTGGACACTGGCTGCAATCAACTTTTACCATGGTGGACCAGTTCACCCTGCGTTCTAGAATTTCTTCCCTTCAAAACAATACTGCTGTTGAGTATCTGGCAACCTTCACCTTTAACACCGATGCCAGTGGAATCAGTAATGTATGTATTGTGTCGTTACAGCATCAGGTTTTCTTATTGATTTTTTTAGGATTTGCCTGCGATGCGAGTAATTAACAATTTTCATATGGTATGAAAGGCAGCATACATACAGATACAATACAGCTGTATGTATGACATTAATTTTGTTCATTTTGTTGTACGTACGCGTTGAACGTAACACCGGATAATCATCTGTAATGTGACTAATGTCACACAAGCAATACATGTTTTTTTTGCTTTGCAGGTGGTCGATGTGCTGTATCCCCAGCAGTTTCAAGCATCTGTATTTCTTACTCGTAACCAGACTGGATCTCGTTATACGTGATTAATTTTGTGTTTTTACAATACCAAAATGCGCACACTTTTGGTGCAAAGACTTCTTTTCACAGTAAACGTTACAGAACATTTGTCTGAGTTTGTTATTTTTAAATTTATTCTTTCGTAGTTATGTTCTACTGTTTTTAGGGGCAAGTACGAACCTGTAATATGGGTACATATTCCAAGGTAATGTGGAGCGGATCTGCGTTATGGAACTGAAAATTAATTTCTATGCCGTACCGCAGTCAAAAATTTCAAAAAATGCCTTGTTCAGAAGCTGTTTCTCACTGTTTGGTGCCTCTAATCGGCGTTCCCTGGCTGCGGGTCCTGCACTTTGGGAATGCACAGAAAAAACCAAGATACTGGTACTAGAAATGCCTAAACCATTTAAGGCTCTCTAATGAGCCTCAACACAACCGAGGCGCACAACAAATTCTCAAAGTAGCTACAAATATAAATACTATTATATCATATTATATTATAATACTATTACAATACGTAATGTAATAGTACTGGCATGCTGCTGACAGGTATATCCCGTTAAGGTAAGAGATTCCGCACCGTTTTGCGACCTGGAAAATGGAAGACCGTTGACAATAAATTAATGGTTTTCTTTTAATGGTTTTCTTTCACTGGTACGTATGTATTTGTATAGTTCGGCGTCAAACAGCCGATCGCCCTTACAGACAAATATATGGTTTCTAACCGATACCGCATGAGCCCTTTGGCTAAAAGCGGTTCAAGTGTCCTTTGCAGTTTTACAAATGGAGAGCACTTGTACCGGCGCTTTAAGTTACATGTAATATCATGTAAATTTAAATTAATTATTCATAATTTCAGTTTTACAGGTTAAGGAACTAAACGTGACAAGATCCATATTTGCTAACAAACCACTGGAACTGTATGCACGATACAAAGATTTCCCGCCGTTTCTGCTTATTGCTAACGTAAATTTAGCTCAGTCCATTGTTTTATTCTTTTAAAAGCGGACGATGACGCAGCATTCGATCTGGAATCTGTGATCCCCTTTCTCCAGAATATGTTGTCCGATCCAACAAAATGGATACCGGCAATTGTAAAAAGCTTGTTCGAACTGTGTATTTTTGGGAGGACGATGCGTAACACGGAAGTTGTGCTTTGAAACATAAAGATAGTGCTAACCTATTTATTTGGACCATAAATTTTTGACCCATTACACCGGAGGCGAGAACAGTACGATTTGTATATCTAATTCTTCTTATACACAAGGCAGATTTTATATCAATGTTTAGTGTCATGACCTTTACGCTTCGACAGTCTGACTGACTGAGATGCTCGTCCTGTGCATTTCCTATCCTAATGGCCCGTTATGGTTAACAGACATTTCTTTAGGCAAAAAACGTTGGATTGTGCATTACTAGAGGCTTCCAGAATGCACAGGAGCTGGTGTGTGGAATGCACAACAACGTACAGAGTACTATTTGCACACTGGATTGGCTTTTAAAGACGCTGTAATGATGCAGACAGGAAAATGTTTAGGTACTTATGGTTAGGATTTAGGACGTTCAGAGCCGGGCCCACAAGGTCTGTTCTTTACCGATTTTAATTTGGATGCAAAACGAAACAAACTATTTACACAAATTACGAAGTGCAAGCATTTTTGCACTTGCTTCTTTGTCGAAGCAAAATTGTTAAAAAACCGTAGACTTCGAAGTACAAACTGAAAACATTTTATGGAAATAGCACTTGTGTCATGCATACGATGATGCAGTTATGATTGTAAGCGGCAGTTATTCGCATTTTAATGGTACATACGCATTAGAAAAGGTCGAGTTTGCCGACATTACTGGCACACTTCACACTAAATCAAAAATTTTGTCCAATTATCGCGCAATGTTTCTACTGGAAAAAACTAACGACGTCTTGATCTATTTCATGGTTATAGGAATGTCAATGACCACTAGGCTTACGTACAAAATTTCTACCTACTGGCGATTTATTACTACGCCACGATCGATGCGCATTTGGACTAATGTTAACGGACACAAAATTATGATCCGGTACGAGTATCACTAGTACGAGTACAATCAGTACATGTATAATTAAACTGGGGGTCGTAGTGGTTAGCATCAGATTTATCAATTTGGTCTATCTTATTTATAAAACAATTTACATATCTATAGTTGGTATACGTTGTACAGCGGGCGTGAAGGCAATTTCAAAGGGAGCTTCGATCGTAGTCTGTAGATTTGCTACAATGCGCTGTCCAACTACCTGGATATTAGTGCCGGTTATGTGCACTCTACATGCAGGTAAGCAACAGGGGCCATCCTTATAACCACCAGTTACTCTTATAGTTGTGTATCTTATGTGAAGAATTTAAAAGTTCTTTTGTTCATATCGTTCCATCCAGTAACTCTTTGCGAGGCGCAAGGCCCACAGGGAAATTCGTCATGGTCTCTGGATGCATTCCTTGGACAGTACGATTTTGTTTTGGAAACTCGGCATCTTATTGAGGAACTGATTTACGGCGTTTTGGGTAAGTGCTTACTAATTTTACTTTGTACATCATAAAACGGCGTTCATGAAAGTTCGCTAGTTGCTTCAGCGGCTCACATAGTTAACAACTTGCTCAGTATCAACTAAACTTTAAACAGGAAACTGGATTTGGATAGAGCCATCATAGAGGCAACAACATAAACGACAAATTACATCCACTTTCGATGGTTAAAGACTTGAAGTGCTAAAACCCGCAAAATTCTCTGTTCTAGACGTCCCGAAAGATGTGGCCAATGGACCAACCAGTATAATATTCAGCAAAACCCGAGACGGAAGCCGGTATCAACAGCAAACCGTACGAATTGATCCACGCTATAATGTGACGATTCCCTTTGTCCTGGGTGTGACATCAGTACAATCGCGGCCTGGACACTGGCTGACATCAACGTTTACCATGGTGGACCAGTTCACGCTGCGCTCTAGAATCTCTTACCTGGAAGATAATACGACAGCAGAATATTCAGCAACTTTTTCGTTCAACACCGATGCCAGTGGAATCAGTAACTTAAATAATTTTTCTACGAGTACTTCGTTCAAACTATATGCAAAGCCAACGCTGCTATAGAATACAGATAGTCCTTGATTTTTTAACAATCGGCCCTTTTACAGTTAACTAATGACCATTTGTTTGGAATTTTGCAAGTTTCCTTGATTACAGTATTTCGCATATATACGAGTAATATGTAAACAAGGCTATGTATGCACTGCATATTGCATACAATAGCTCCAACGTTTTGATCCGGCATACAACAAGAGAATAGGTACATTTGATTTGCACACGTCATCCTTTACATGTTAAAATCAATTATTTTCTTCTGATTAACATTAGACCACGTGTTTTTACAATGGCAGCGAAGCATTGCACTTTTTTTGCAGGTGGTCGATGTGCTGTATCCAAAGCAGTTTCAGGCATCCGTATTTCTTACGCGCAACCAGACTGGATCTCGTTATACATAGTAAATAATTTTAAAAATTTGTAATACTATCAGACTTTAATAGTAGAATATGCGAGTGCTGGGTGTAGAGAGACTTCCTTGCACGATTTAGTATTAATGACATTTTATATTTGTGTTCTGTTGCTTCTTTTATCATATTCTTCATTTCTTTATTGTTCTTGTCAGAATGTGTACAGACATCCCAGAATACAGACATCCCAGACATCCCAGAACATCTGTACGTACATCCCAGAATATTTCTGTAAAAAGTTTGCATCTAATGCTAATTTGCAGTACACAACCAAAACTTTATTTCTGGTACCGGCTGACAGTAACTAAATAATGACAATAATACTAATACAGTCTATCGCTGTTGACTGTCCCTGGAGTAATTATCTTCGCCGGTTTTGTTGTGTCAAACTTGCAATGAGGCCAAGGAAAGATGTTATTTATTTTATATACAAGCAGGTAAAACATCCGATAAAAAATATTATTAATATTTAGTCCAGCCTCATTAATACAATAAATTGGTAACCTTGTGCCGCTTACCAAGAGTATTATTATACGGTTAATGTGAATAATCGTTGCGGACTGTTGTGTCTTGGAAAATTTGTGTGTTTTGGCCGAATTGGTATTTAGTAACAAGTCGCGAAACTTAATTAATTAATTACTGGTTAAACGACTGTGCGAATACATTTGTGTCCGTTGCCGGCTGTGACGGCAGAAAAGTGCTGTCTCTGCCGGCTGATTGTCAGTCAAGCACGTTTCCGCTTCTGCTTAGAAACGTTTTTCTGGGTTCGACGAGCACATGTCGCACGTCTAGGGCGAAAGATATCGACAGACCGGAGTTTTCCAGTCAGTATTCTGTTTTCTAATACTTTCCAGTTCAGAAAGTGCATTCCACGCTTAAAGGTCCCGGTCACTGTTTTGAAATACAGTAATATACTGCAAGTTAAAAAATACATTTCGGGAGCATTGCAAGCATACATCAAAGCACCTTCCGCGCCGTGCACCATCACTCTGTAAACAGAAACTGATTTCCTTGGAAGTTATCACCGGAATGCTTACCGCTGTCTAACCTCCTATAATTTTAGGCAATCACAGATAGAAAAACATGTCGTTGTGCTTTACTGTGTGACCTTTGGCATAACCGATTTATTGATTGCCTTACTTTGCCCAATATTAACCCACACTAAACTGCGGAAAATAATGAAGAACATTCGCAAATAATCGTAAATTAACCTGAGGTCACCAAAACTCACAAGCACATCACAGAAAACCCTCTAGAACGTAAAGCTGATTTATAAGTGCACAGAATCTCAGTTATCGTTAAGAACTGTAATATATATTTGAACCTGTAGTGTACAGAGTGTACAAACAAGCCTTCTCGTTAAAATTCCGAAACATGTACATGTGAAACAGCGTACAATTAGAAACAAAACTGATACTTATGCCTGCCTGAATAGGATTATAGACTTAAACAAAGTCACAACTCACAACAACAGAAAAAACTGGGATTTCGGCTGCCTACAGACAACCTCGAGCCTGTACGTTGCAATTTTAGTTTTCCAGAATTGATATTATAAAATTATTCGAAAAGAGCTGTACAATACGTTGGCTCTGAGGATACATAATTAATCTCAAGCTAGATAATGCGTGGTGCGAATATCGGTAAGCAGAATACGTTTCCTTGTAACTGCATATGACATTAGCAGTACATACCTGTGTACTGCGAATTTCTGGCAGTTTGACTTAAGTGTTTCTTCCTGTAAACTTCTATAATACCAGACGTGGCATTTGAAGATTTGACTATTACTGGCAAACATCGGGATTCTAATCGATCGTTAGTCCTTTCTAAGCATTTTTAACACTTGGCAGCTGCATAAATTTAGAGGAAATCTGCAGAAGCACTGACGTAGTTATAAGAAACGTTGATTAGATATTGCCAAAGGGTAAATTAATATCAATAAAATCACACGGACATGATACGTATCTGCATATTATGTAGAGGTATTGTACATTCCGTGGTATTCCTAACAAAAGCATTTTAAAGCTCTGACAGTTTTTCAAACCTGTTGCATTTGCAAAATGGCGCGCTGTTCAACCTGGGGCCTGTTATTTATCACGATCTTATACTTTATCGGTGCAGGTAAATTTATTGATACTTCTGTTTATGCATGCAGTGGCATACTGTATTATGCATTTTCCTTTGTTTGTGTATTATACTCTTAAATTATAGCACACGTCTGCCAAGCCCAAGGAATACAATCTGGAAATTCCTCTTGGTCATTAGATCCTTACCTGGGACAATATGATTTCGTCTTGGAGAGCCGACATCTTATGGAAGAATTCGTTAACGGAATCTTAGGTAAGCATTCTACAAATTTGAGTATGACCTGGACGTATGGACATATGCTGATGTATGTTCCCAGATTAAATAAATTTTTTCACAAAAACGTTATCCATTATACAAAATGTGTTGCGTATTAATATTCAATAAAAAATTCTTAAAATTAATATTAATATTTGGCCGATAAAAAGTCACCATAATTAGACAGTAGCTTTGCAGTCTTATGCAAATGTTTATAGATGTACCAAAAAATGTGGCCAATGGCCCGACCAGTATTATCTTCAGCAAGACAAGCGATGGAAAATACAAGCAGGAAACCGTACGGAGTGATCCAAAGTACAATGTTGTCAGCGTTTTTGTTCTGGGCGAAACATCATCCCTACAGACAGCCCCGGGATACAAGCTCAAGTCAACATATATGATGCCCGATCGGTATACTCTCCGTTCACGAATTTCCTACTGGAAAAACGATGTTGACGTCGCTGAATATGCAGTAACATTTTCATTCACCCCCGATGGCAGCGGAATAAGCAATGTATGTCATTAAAAATTCCAGATAAATGACCTTTAATGCGTAGCAATTCGACAGTTAAGTAAAATAACATGCAATGCATTAACATGCAATAACATATTCTTGAATAAACTTTACTCAAATTGTATCCTTTGTTCATCACTTTGTATACAGATAGTTGCGATCAGTTTGTTTTGATTGCAGGTTTTGGAGGTTATTCATCCAAAACAGTTTCAAGCGTCTGTAACCCTTGCTCGTAACCGGACTGGATCGCGATAATGCGCTTGCAGTATTACTGTATATTACTGTGCATATCACCATGTATTGTGCATCACTATGCATATACTGTACGGTATACTACTATGCATTTTTTTCAGTTTGCTTTACAGACTGTTACACAGGAACCTTACCAATTTATAAGTTTTTTCTTGAGTTGTTTGGAAAAGACCTGTGGCATTCGACAGCCAATTGTTGTAATAATAATAAAATGTGTTAATGCTGACTGCTAATTGGGCAAAACATGTACGATACTCGTGCAGAGCACAGAGAAAGATTTTAAACGGTTACCCAGAATTTGAAGATTCGCTACATATTTGTACCTTCGGTGCATACAGCTAACTTGAAGTTTTGGCAATTTTTTGCCACAGCTTCCTGAATACGAGCTATGTATTCGGGCAGCCTACACAAAAATGCTCAGTCGATGTCGCATGAATACCTGTTGCACGAAATACCGGAAGAACTTACTGCGCGAACAATGTGAGTATAGCCAAATGACCTCATGTCAAGGTGAAAATAAAGTGCAGTTTGCATATACAGTATCAGACTATATCATTTTCAACTCTATATTAGTTTAGAGCGTATAATTTAGTTACACCATTCACCTAATGAGCAGAAACAGTGTACAGATAAGTCAGGATAATATCCTGATTCTTATTGATCTAAATAAGAACGTTTTTATTTAGATCAATAAGAATCAGGATATAATCACAGGAACGTTCACGATATCAGGAACGTAATCAGGAACGTTCACGTGCTGTTAACAGCACGTGAACGTACTAGTACAGTACTGATACATATTATTGCTGCTGAGCGTGATGTACTCTTTATTTGTACATCTTGGATACTGTTGTTGTTCTCAAAGTACATCGTGATTTGCGTAACCCAATCCCACATCGTGATTTGCGTAACCCAATCCCTTCGCTCCGTGCAACGCCTCACCGTCGCCACAAATTCAGTTAGAGGATAATATTACTTATGCGAAAAAATGGAGCGGTGGAAATAAAGCTCGGACAAGTCAAGGAATGCACTGTCTGTAAACAGCAAATAAAAAAATTATAGTAAACACTTTAATTATCGTTTGCGCGACTGATGTCTTTAAAGTAACATGATTTTTTTCAAAAATTTGCATGACTTACATCGAAAAATCCACTGAAATCCGGATAAAATGCGAACATAATAACGAAATTTTCGATCCTATCGCCGAAATTCCATGAGTAATTTCCTTGCAGCGTATCCGCATTGAGCATCGTAAACCTGTAGGTTAATGTCTGTGTGGTGCCGGGAATGATGATGGTGCTCTGTACTCCCAGGACAAATGTCGACACGGCATCGTACTGGGATTCATTGCGGAGAACATACTGCTGATAATTCTGACCATCCGGTGTTTTGGTAAAGATTTGCCGCTCAAAACCCAGCGTTACAGAAAGCGGAACCCCTAAAGGTCACCCAACAGTGCTACATATACCAACTTCAGGCCGGCACTGTTAAACTGTAAAAGCATTTTAAGATATACGTTAAAATTTTCTCACCAACTCTTCCATGAGTGAAATTAACCATATTAATGGCTTGGGACATATCCATCTCGTACGATCCAAGAAAAGGATCCAGAGACCAAGGCGAGTCGCCCTGCGCGGGATTACACGGTGTGGCTCCGACGAGATCAGGACGAGGAAACCAGCGCAACATTAAAACACCAAATAAACTGCATAGCGCTAAACCATGCCATTTTATATTCCGCAGTATCATGATCGAATCGAGGCAAATAATTTGCAGTTACGTACACTTTTAGTCAAGTAATTATCTGCTCGCCGATAATTAAGGTGCTCGTTTTTACTTTTAGGTTTTTAGCTAGTTTATCAAGTCATCCGACGCTTCTACATTGCGAAATTTAAACATTACCATTTATAATTAAATTGTGGATATTCAATTTTGACACCGTGAGCTACCTTTCGAAGCGTATAAATGCTTTTGATACGTACTTTTACACCTTGCTTAACATGCTGTGCATTTGATTTTGTAGAAGTATGCACTATACTTACAAGGAAGGTGTGATAAATTATTGTTTTGGATACAATAACAATCGATGTATCTGGGAAATGCAAACTGATCGTGAGAAGATTTCAGTCTAATAAAATCCCTTTGTGCACCATTATGCACTAATTGATATGTTGTGAGGAGGTGAAAAAGTCGTACGGCAAAATTAGAGCAGCGGTGTCGAGCGTTTGTTGAGGATTGCATTTGCCATGCAGACTGTACAGTCTGTACTGTAGTGCGGTCAAGCTGGGTTAAGTAATCGTTTATGAGGAAAGGCTTTTGAAATCACCAGAACAGTTACGCATTTATCCTAACAATTTTATGAATGTTTGAATTTTGTGTTAAACGCACCCGCAGTAGCAGCTGCAGTTATTGTTTCGTCCATTCAAGAAATGCAAGAATTTGTAGATACATATACCGAACCTTTTAAGAGACAATTATTCCTAAAACCACCGCAACGAAGATCCTGAGAGATTTCCACGCATTTGCCGTTTCGTCTTACTTCTCGCGTTATTGCTGTTTGCTTCCTTATCATTGTTTTCCTGGCTGCCTTCCCGTGTGATACGTTACAAGAGCATTTCGGCATATAAAATTTAGTGAATAGTAATAAAAAATTTTTGGCGACATTAATTTAGAACAATAAAATGTGCTTATTGCTGTAGTATACTGGATTCTACTGCACATCAAAATGTGATTGATGAGAGGGATGTCATACATCTAACGTTCCTGCATACTTTAGAATTATTACAATTTCTTGTTACCTAATTTTAACCTAATTAAAAATCGTTCGATCCATTTAATTGACAATGATTACATTAACAAGTGCTAATAATGGTGTCTCTATATATACCGTAATATCGGCTGTTTGAGGATGTTGCTTCCGACCGGAAAGTCGTATCACTGCGTCTACTAGCCATTTGTTTACTTGCAGAATGGGTGGATTTCATTGCATTGTTGGTGTGGGTGTGACCTGGGGTAAGAACAGAAAAATCAATGTACGAGGCACGCCTAATCGCTCCACATTCTGTTGCGGTTAATTATACTTTTTGTGCGACCACATTCCGTCATAAGTTGTTATGGTTGTGAAATGTTTGCAGTGTATGCTTCTTATTATCAACTGGACTTATATTGAGAAACGTATCCACAATAACGTTTGTATTCACTGTACTCTTTTTTAGTCCTGTGTATGTCAGTTCTGACTGCCGATGACTACTATTCCTCCTCAACATGGTCGCTCGATCCATTTTTGGGATCTTACGATATGATTTGGGCGCAGCAAATCAATATGATCAACTTCACCGGCGGAATTATTGGTGAGTAAAAGGGGAGTAAACTGAAAAATTTATCTTTCGCAGTCGAAATAACCTTTTTATTGAATTACGGTTGTCTTTGATTTTCTGTAACACCTATTTTGGCGTCTATGCGGTTCGGACACCTTTGTGACCTTTTGCCGCAATAATAAAGGATTCATCACAGACATTTTGCCCATGGTATTTTAGTACCGCAATTAAGCTTTGAGTTTACGATGGTAACAGCAGCTAAAATGTTAGTTAAGGAATATATATACGCAAAGTGTTTTATACATATTTCTGTAGAGTAACTCTACAGATTGCGCCAAGCTTATGCTACACGCCTTTAATGAACCGAGTGACCCTTTAGGTATTCCCCTTGCCGAAGTAGCAACCGGCGAGCGGCAGACTTTTAATAAAACCATCGACGGCAAATACCAGCAGACTGTGGGTCGAACCGATCCACGGTTTGATGCGATCATAGTTTTTGAACTGAACAAACCTGGAATTGTCAACATACCCAACACCAGTCAAACGATCAACTACACTTTCATTATGCTGAATGCCACAACACTGCAAGGCACATACGAATGGAACTTTGGAGACCGCATTGCCGATTTCACCATCACCTTTGCGTTTTATCCGGATGCCAGTGGCTTCTTTGATGTAAGCTGACAGCATTTCAACAATATTGCAGATTAACTTACATCATTCACCCAGACAGTTTCGTAAACAATCATCATGCAGAGTTCATTTCATAAAACTATCCTTCAATTTTTATTGTTATATGAAAACGTTTACTTTTTTTCGACTTACAGACCGTTACATTGACAAAGCCAATGAATCTGGTGGCCACCGCTCCATTTTATCGGGTCAAATCTGGCGATACCGGACCAATTACACTTGGACCTTCGTAACAAAGATGTCGTCGGATCGTCGTATTTTAAACGTCAAAATTATGGGCCAATTATTTATTGATCTTAAACTTTGAACCAAAGCCGTTTTTTAATTAATTTTGTAATGGACAAATGAGACATTACACGCACGTCACTGCAGAAACGAAACTGATGGTGAAAGCAACGAAATCATACAGATTTTACAAAGTCCATGTTTAGGCTTTTTCAAATCAGAACAGCTCTTTTTCAAAACATTTTCGGAAATATGTAAGTGGCTGTAATAACCTGAATGATTTTAATTGTGCTATTTTGCATCGTATAAACAAACGATATCTGTTTGACTTTTTGCTTTAAGGTAAGCAGAACCGAAAATATTTGGGTAAAACTTTCTTATACACTACAACAAAACACTGGCAATGAAGGTGCCCAAAGGGCTCTGCATATTATTGCGAAAATACTTGTGGCCATATGCATTAATGCGGTGGCATATCTGCAAAAACAAAGTTACCTAAATTTAATCTCCGTTAAAGCTTGAAAATATGTTACCGCAGCGCACGGCCACCTGGTTTATATATCATAGGTACGCATGATTCCATCAGGATCCATCAGGATCTCTGATGTGCCGTACTAACATCGGAAAAGTGAAGGTTTTGCAAGCAGTATATCATATATGTACAGTGATAGAAGTAAACGATTGTGAATGGGCCTCAATATTTGGGATTTATCATCTGATCTAATATCGTTCACTTACATAACAGTACTAACGATAAATTAAGACGATACCCATTTAACGCGGTTATGGAAGCGGTTGCGTAGCGTAAACAACACCTTTCGGGCGCTTTACTTTATAGAATTAAAACACACATTAGTTAGATAACTTTAAATGCGTTCAATGTATAAAAGTCAAATTTTTTTGTAGTACCTTATATTGAATTACTCAATTGTCGAGAATTTTCCATCTCAGCGTAAGTTTCTACGGTTGGTAACTGCCATACTAGTAGCGATTATGCAAAAATTACTAAAAGCTAACTTCGCCGGCGTAGTGTGCGGTAAGTTGACAAGTTGAGGTAATCGGTTCACAAAACAATTTTCATTTCTTTTTTGTCATTGGATTTTAAATTTGATGAACCTTTAGCATGTGCAATGCATGCAAATAAAGCAGCAGAAACCTCTGTTTCTACTGAAGACGAGCATTAAAAGATGTCGCTGACTGTTAATTTTGTCGGAACTGTTTCCTCAAGTACCTAGATTAATATTTAAATATATAAGGATTTTGTTTGGATTAATGAACGTATATCCTCCCATTTCTTAGTGAAGAAGCAACAATGCAACTAAATATTTTAAATAGAGAAATCTGACTATTTTATTGCTTTCGTCCATGTCACCAGTTTTTTTTAGCTTTTTTTGCGACAAACTGATGATCGTTGATAAAATAAACCAAGCATAAAATGAACTTTCCCAATTTGTTACAGCTTTATGCCTTGTATCGGTGTTCAGTGCTGATGACTACTCTTCGACATGGTCGCTGGATCCGTTTTTGGGAAGCTATGACATGATATGGGCGCAGCAAACGAATATGATCAATTTGACTACCGGGGTTCAAGGTGGGCTACAGAAAAAGATTTCTTCTAACCGGAATGTAACCAAATAATGTTCTTTTGCTGAATTGATGAGGCTGGTTTATATAATTTGGATTGGTAGGCCTGGCGTGTGCATGCGGAGCCAAACTAACCAGTTGACCTTTAGGGGTACCATTATCGGTTACGCTGGGTGGAGAACGACAGACTTTTGTGAAACTGGCCGACGGAAAGTATCAACAGACGGTGGGCCGGAGTGATCCCCAATATCAAGCAATATTGGTATTTGAGTTGGGCAAACCGGGATTTCTGAAAATACCCAATACGAACAACACAATCAATTTTACCATGAGTATGGTCAATGCCACAACCATCCAGTCAAGTTACCACTTTACCTTCGACAATGGCCAACGTACTGCGGATTTTCTTTCGCAGTTTGCATTTAAACCAGACGCTAGCGGGTTTTTCGATGTAAGTTTGGTGTTTGTAGCGCAGACTAAATCGCTATTCGGCAAGTTACTTAATTATATGTTAAATAAGACCGTTGTGAAGTAAGTCTTAATTAAATACTGAAGAGCAATTTATGCTCGTAGTATTGATTCTGGTGTACTTCTTCTGCATTTCGATTTTTGCAGACGGTTGTAGTGACAAACCCATCGAATTTTGTGGCAACGGCGCCATTCTACCGACTTCCGGATGGGTATACCGGACCTATTACTCTGGGTCCATCTTGAAATCCGGACTGCGATCTCTAGTTCAATCCAACTGTGATAAAACGCTTGTTGTTTTTATCTTTTTTAAAGAACATGCCTGGCTTCTGATTTGTGCGAACATGAGTCTTCAACGAAATGTTACGTTTTTTATCTGAAAAAACAGAAAAACCTTTTTGGAATTCCTATACCCACTAGCATTTTACGCTAGTACAGATACTGGTGCTCTACAGTACTAATAATATTTTACTTTTTGCTAACGGAAATGTATTAATTATTGCAGTTAGTAAACCTTAGTTTCCTACAACGGGTTTTTTTAAATGTTAAGGGGATTAAAAACACATTTAAAAAGTATGAATATTCACATAGCAAATACAATGCATAGTGCAGTGTTACCGGACTAATCTTTAGAAAAGAATGATTACAATAATTATGCCGAGTTGAATTTCACACAATCTCATTTAGCTTAAAGCTCTATGTACGGAAGCTTAACCAGAGCGAGCTAGAATACCTGCACTCTGCAGAGGTCTTACACCACGAAACACTCTGTAGCATACTCTCTTAAGAAACCCTCTGTACCCTACGTAACAACCATACACTGTGCACTACAGATTAATGAGCGTGTCTCAAAATAAGGTAAGCGAATCTTTGCGTTCATAAATCTCCGTTCTCGTATATATAACATGTGTCTGTATCCGAATCATATTTTGCAAATTTACGCAATATCTTGTAATAATTTTGGTTCGGGCAAGCGCAAGGTCAACGGAAATCGGAAATGACCGCTGCCGTCACGGTAAAATATTTTCCACGGCAAAAGCTGTCAGACTAAATCGTACCACCGTGATGAAACAACCTGATATGACGTTTTCCAGAATCCGCTTTTCATTCATTCATGTTGCCGACAACATATACCGAATAACTGTTAAATTTACACACCCGCTAATTGTTGCTTTTCTGGAGGTAAATAACAAAATGTCGAATGACTTATGGCTGCCATACCTATACCTCATGTTGCTGCATTCTTAGCGCATACAAAATCGCAAAGGTTACGTAACAACACAGTACAATCCATAATTGCTCGCAGATAAACGTGCGGTATGTGGTTACAAACTTAGAAGGGCTTTTAATGCAGTGTTTCACAGAGTGTTCCAGCACGCAGATTTTCTAGGCAGACATCTCGATCTTCTCTTTCCGATCTCAGGAAATTCTATCTATCATACTCTTTTTCTAGTTCGGCGTTCGCACAAAAATGTTTTTATTTATCGTTCCATATGGTAAGAACTTCGCTTTTGACTTTCGGAATTTGGTTATACAGGGCAAAATACAAGTCAGATTGGCAGATGTGCGTAAGAGAGTCATTCGCGTCAAAACGTGTTAAGAATTCTTCTTGCAGCTTTTTATTTATTGAATGCGCTGGATGCTGCGGACTACAACTGTTCCTCGTTGTTTTCATTGGACCCTTTCTTAGGAGCTTATGATATAATATTTACTGGCCAAGTAAATTTGATAAATTTTACGAATGGACTACAAGGTAAAAAGATATTACTATGCAGAAACATGTAGATTGTAGAAACCGTTAAACATAATTATAGAATTAACGCTAACGTAAAAATTCCCAATAAATACGGACCATTTACGGTACGCGGAGTACTACCTATACTTGTCGTAAAAGCTATACATTATTATTGTGCATAAAACCGCAATGACGAATGGAAACTCATTCTGCATGTTGCAGTACGTACAAATTACAATTGTACATCTTTATTCTTTATACATCTTTATTGTGCTACGATAAGCAATTATAAATATTTTTTAAAAATAAATTTAACTGTTACTCTATATAGGAGTGCCGGTGTCAGTGATAATGGGCGGTGAACGACAAATTTTCGACAAAACTTCCGATGGAAAATACATACATACCACAAAACGAGCAAACTCCACCTTTAGCTCCTCGGTGACTTTTGAGCTGAACAAGCCGGGAACAGCCAGGACGGTGAACTTCACATTCTCAATGATCAACGCCACTGCACTACAAGGCACGTACGAACAGACCCTGCAGGATGGCCGAATTACCGATTATGTCATCATATACTCATTTAGTCCTGACGCCAGTAATTTGTGGATTGTAAGTTGCCACTTCATTTTACCGCTTTATAATCGTACCTGGAAGACCTGCAAAATAGCTCATTTGTACAATATTAACACAGAAGTTCCTATAAAAGTTACTTTACATACAATTCATGCAAAACAGGCCATAGACAGCAGCTCTGCTTAATCTGAATGTTGTATTCTTTTCAGACTATCACCGTATCAAAGCCAATCCAGCTTGCGGCATTTGTGCCCTTTTATCGTCTCAAAAACGGCGACGTGGGACCACTTACTTTAGCTCCACCAGCCACTTCGAATCGCTAAAAAACCAGTATGCATTAATAACGTTATTGATACTAAGGTTCCTGCGTATTTAAGAAAACTGAAGTGTTTGTTTATATATGGTCCATTTCAAATATCTGCAGTCAGCAGGCATGATCTTGTATTCCGCATAATAAAGATAATCGTCAGTTGCAGATTAACTTTATCCTAGCTTGTTGTTTAATAAGTACATAGTAACGTAACGGCCATGAACACTGATTTAAAAGCATACTGAAATCGTACTGTTTGCCTTTTATTCTCACTTTTATACGTAGCACATCAAGAAGACCGTTTCATTTATTTTTTCAAAAACATTTATTTCTGGCCTTCAAATTACACTGCGAGCTGCGTACGTAGTTATACCGGACTTTTTTCACTTACTACTCAGCCTAATGTACTAAAAATTGTTTTAATTGATGTACTAAAAATTGTGTCCTTCGAAAATATTCTATGAACAACCACAACAATTCTACGCAAAATTAGTTCAATTCTCGGTTCTTGTGTCGCTTAACAATTTGGTCATGGTAGTAAGCACACATGAATGAGTAAACATTCTCACTCTTGTTGACACTAACTCGTAAGTAAGTACGTAATACTCGTATATCTCTACTACGAGTATGTTTTGATAATTAAAGCGAAAATTTATTTACGGTAGTACTTACACTGTATATACGGCCTTCCAACTCTACTGTTTTATAGTTTTACTGGGCCAATGTGCTAATATTGTTTACTTTTACTGAACACTCTTCCTTATTAGCACAAAATGCGTGGTGATCAAGGACAGCGTATAACGATCACATTATAGTTTATACCGACCACAACATTAATTTGCCGGTGTTTGCTTGCTCAACACCGCCCTTATGCATTGCTAATGATACACAACCCAAAGTGCTTCTTTAATTGACATTTTTCATGCTCTGTGAAAACTCTTATTGGAAAATCGAATTAATGAGTTACCAGTATCTAATTCGTGAACAAAGTTCGTGGCAAAAGCTTGCTAATTTGTTATCAGTAATTTCATCAACTAAACCAGAAGAGCGGATAAACAGCACAATCCATAATCAAATCGATGGATTTAATAAGCTCTAATAAGGGCTCCGAGCTTTAACTTGCAAAGCTTATGTCTCCAGTTTTCGGCCAGCAGAACTAAACTGCTTGAGGTCATAATTTGCTCGCGGGAGATTGGTCTGTGTATACAGCAGATTTTAAGTTGCTTATATCAGAAAGAACCGTACAAGTGTCTATCAAGTTTTGACCTTGTTGCTGGTCATCATCGTACGCAAGGTTATCGGTTATGCAGCTTTTACCGGAAACAAACGTGTTTATTATGGGTTTTATCGTGTCAACTGCACGTCTTGCAGCAGCATTTTTATGATTGCAGATTAAAGTATGTACTTGCGATTTCGTGTGCAGCTTTGCAAAATAATAAAATTGCTGGAAGTTATGTGAAGTGCTCAGCGGTACTTGTGCGGTAGTGTTGTGTGCTTACCATTTCTCAAAAAGCCGATACCATTACGAACAGTTTTAAAATTATATCGTGTTCTTGTTAAACTACAGTAATTAATAAATCATCGTGTCACAGAAGGAGCATATTCCGCTTTGTGTCGGTCGAAAATTTGTTGTGCAGTGTACGAATTTGTTTAATCTAATTTAGTGATATTGCCGTGAAGTTACTAAAAAGTTACTAAAAATGGCATCAACGAATAGTGATGCAGGATGGAACCTTGATTCTTTTTTGGGAGCTTACGATATGATCTGGGATAAATCCTCCAATATGATCAACTTCTCGGAAGGGGTTGTTGGTATGCAGTATTCCTTGTCGGTAAATTTTTGTCCTGAGAATTATAGCCATGCAAATTGACTGGTATACGCAGATATTTCTGTGTTAAATTTGTAACCTTTATTATGGGATTATGGAACAAGTGATGGATTCAAAATTTATTCCCATTTTAAAGTGGGAATAGTTATACATAGACAGGGAGATACAGAGTAAACAATTCTTTTGAAATCGTATTGTTTTCAGTTTTTCTTTTGTACAGGGCTTCCGGCTTCAGTAATAAAGGAAGGTGAACGGCAGATTTACAAGAAAACAGGCGAACGAAAATATGAAATGCACGTTTTACGGAAAGATCCAAAATATAACATCATAGCCGATTTCGAATTGGGCAAAAAGACTGTCAAAAATCTTCCCAATAACCAGACCTTAAGTTATACTCTGGAAATGACCGGCGCCACGACCCTGAAAGGAACATATGAATGGGATTTTGGGGATCATATGGCGGCGTTCGGCATTGTCAACACGTTTAAACCAGACGGAAGCGGTTTTTTTAACGTACGATAATAAAATTAATATGGGAAATTACCCAAATATTATGTCTTACGCCACCAGTTTGTAATGTGTAAAAGTACTAGCATCCAATCCGACACATGCAGTCGAAGTACACGTACACGCCTTCTTTTGGCAGTTTACTCGGCAACATACGCATAACACAATTTTTAAATCGTTTGTTCTCGTATTGATGCCAATTTAAAGTATAAATTGAAATACATCTACATATAGTATAAGCTGTAACCTGAGTTATTAAAATTCTGCGCTTAACCACAGTCACATTAATTGCTGGTAACTACTTATTTATTAAAATTTTATGTACGGATATTGATTCTGTCATTACGTTCGAGCATATGGAAGGGGTTGTTGGTATGCACTATGCAGTATTCCTTGCCGGTACTAACAATAAGTAAATTTTTGTACTGAGAATTGTACTGTATGATACCTATTGTAGAAGTATAGGTGTATGATGACTGTGATTTCGGCTATCGTGCAGACATACAGTACTGTTATACTAGACCACGATCCGTGTCGTACTACCTAGTTTCTATGCTAGTACTGTACATTTACAGCTGTACATTTACAGGAGTGTTACGGATCCTTGATCATTTTGTAGATTTACCAGATTAGAGTATTACTTTGCTTCGGCACATTTTTTTGTTGTTCTAGCGAGTGTTATTTTATACGCTATTCCATTACATAGAAAAATTTCGAAAATGCTTACACTTGCTTAAAATGGTTATGTTTTTTCCTGTTCCAGGATGTCACCGTAACAAAACCAAAGGATCTGAGGGCACATGCTCCCTTCTATCGCATCAAAGAGGAGAACATTTCTGGCCCTATTACACTTGGACCATCATAATACACTTTGTTGCGTTTATTTCTGCATTTTGTTCACTGCAGTGCGTACGTTTTGGCTCAATCCGGATAATCTGGTTAAAGCTCTCAAAATATAGATATTAAGTGTTCATTATTCAAATTATTATTCACATTATTAAATGAGCACACAGATTCTGTCTATCTGAAAACTGGTGGAATTGACAATAAATAACAATTTAACCTCAAAACCGATAATTAAAGTACTGTATACGCGTTAGTAAGTTCACCTGTCCATATTCACCAGGCAGTGATTTAAAGAGTAGGTTTTTCGTTTTCCAACAGATTAAAAGGTTAATTTGAATGTGTACATATTATTTCCAAATACAATAAAATTTATTTGCACGGGCACATCACGGTGGAATATGGATCTTTTTTCATGGCTGCTTGGCAGTGATCAGCTGGATTGTTTTGTAACTTCGGAGGTACGCGTACATTCCCAGTGATTTCCCACAACATCATAAAAGCCGATCCGAATCGTCCAAATTTATGTCCCATACAAACCCAACGTTTTATATTTATTTCATTGTAACTGGTTGGGAGCGGCATCTTGCTTCAAAAAACAGAAAACGTCCAACAGAAAAACCGGGCGGTATATGAAACAGGCTGTTGTTCCACCAAAACGAATAATAGTGTTTTGGTAGGATAATAATCGCTAATTACCAGTGCAGTCTAATCTGCCAGTACCTTCACCGGGCGCGTTGTTTCCTAAAAATATTAATGCTTCCTAAAATAGAAACATTTACATTGATTAATGCTCGGCTCTCCATTAATGGTCTACATTTTCTAACAATGTCGTTGCCCAAAAAATGTTGACCTTTGCTGTTAATGCCATTGTAATCGAATGCGTCATACATAAAACTCGCGAGTGCCATTTACTGCCGGTAAGTGCACAATAGAAATGCAAACCCTAGATTCCACAAACTGCAATGGAAATGGCCAAGGTTAGAAGGTGATAATGTCCTTATGTTTACTTTACGAAAAGACTGCTTCCGATCCAGTGCCTATTTTTACACGTACTCATTGTTGATCATAATTATGATAATTTCGATAATCATTTACACAGACAGGAAAGCTAATACCGGCAACGGCGTTCGGCAGGACAATTGCCATATAAACCTCAGTTGTGGGAACCAGACTGTGAGAACAGCTGAGGTCAGCATATGTAAATTCAAGAACTCGTTACTCACTCTCTTCGCCTTTGTAAAGTTTGAAATTTGTTAGAAAAGTAGCAGTTTAGTCCTAAGCCTAATTGCCTGCCTGAAATCTGATCAAGTTTTTAATATTTTGACGTCTACACTCGGAGATGTTCATGCAGACCTTATTCCTTTATACCTTCTTTGCCGGTAAGGGGAAATTTAGTGTGAAGTGTGAACTTTGTTATTTTAAAACTTAAAATTAAAAATTAAAAAAGCTTAAAAATATAAACATAAAAGCTTTTGTACCACAGATGAGTTCCGAAATCGCTGTTATTTACGATGAATTGTGAACTATCAAAGATACGCCAGAACTGATCTTTATTTTCTATACATTCGTAGAAGTGCACTTGCGATATACCGAGTATATTGTAGTTTACAACTTAACAACTCTGTTTTTTTTATTCCTTTTGCAGTTCTCATAAATTACCGCCACTCTGTAGCAAAAGACCTTGATTTACCAAAGAAGCCACAATGGTCACTTGATCCGTTCCTTGGAACCTACGAAATGGATGCTGACAACAAGAACGCCATGAATGATTTTGCTTCTAAAATATTAGGTATGAAATGGCAAAAATGACATTATAGTATACCCTTGGTGCTTGCAATGTTTTATCTTTAACTTTTTGTAACTAAATTACTTCTAAAAAAATAATTTGCAAATTTTTGTAGTGCTGTATTTAAAAAACCAACCGTTGGCAGTCCATTAACGCTTGTTGATTCTATCTGTACTGTAAAATCCTTGCTCATATGCACATCGAAATCTTAAAATTGTTCTTGAATAATCTTGAAAAAGTATAAAAACAAGGCTTCGTTAATATTTAATTGTAAGAATCGCTGTCAGAGTATGCCGACCGTGAGAATCTGCATCATGCCGGTATAACATTTCAGGAATTCCAACAAAGACTCTGGAGAGCGGTGAGCGGCAGGTGTTTAACAAGACACATGACGGCACCAGATATCAACATTTTGTGCTACGAAATGAATCCAAATACAATGCCCACTCCACATTTCTGCTAGACAAGAAGACTAGTGTGCTAACGGACAGCGGTGCAACGATGACCTTTCACTTTGCTATGTTAAATGCTACGGTTTTACAAGGAAGTTATACTTTTTCAAACGGGGATAACGTCACGGATTTCACTACAAAGTTTATCTTTTCCCAAGATGCCACCACACTGACCAAGGTACACGCAAAATTTGATTACAGCATACCAGTCAGCTTACTAATCGGTTCGGATTTTTGGTAACAGCAACCCATAAAAATCAGATTACAAAAAATTACTAATAAACCGGACGTACCTGATTACAAAAATGAATTTTCCCGTATGGGTGAAGCGCTGCTGGGAAGTGTAAAAGTTTTTCGTTTTGCATCTTAGAGCAAATCAAAAACTCAAAACAATTTACACTCTTGCAATTAAATGTAAGTACTACTTTGACAAATGACTATATTTTTAAAATTAATTTTTTTAATTTATTTTTTTTTGTTGCCGCCATGATCCATTTTTAAAATAACTAGCCGATTCAATGCCTTAGATTGCCCGGGTTTTATATCCAGAGGAATTCCAAGCCATGGCCGTTTTCCATCGAATTTCCAAGCCACAATCTCCGAAATCCCAGCCCGCACCACCCGTTCCCAGTGGCGAAACCGCGGAAATCTCCCAAACACTGCATACCGACGGGGAAACAGTATCGCACCTTTAAAATTTATTAGAATTCATACTCTGCCTGTGTTTTATAATCATGTCAAGCATTTGCTTTATACCGGTAGATAGTCTTTCACCAGCACCGTTAAATTGTTCGAGAAGAGTACTGTGCAGGCACTGCTTTCTGTATCACTTGGTAGTCTGCGCTTTATTAACCGAAATATAAACCAACACAACTGACGATCTTTGTGGAAAAATTTATCATACACAAAATTATAATAATAATTAAAAAGCTGAGTACAAAAAACACTTGTATTTATCGCACTAAAAGGGTCGGGATTGAGTCATAAACATGTACATACCAGCATTCATAATAAATATTCAGAAACGCCAATTATGATCTTTGGCAATAAGGTTAAAACTGTTCAGCACATGCTACGCACTTGCAGTTTATATGATTTTGAGGAGGGCAGAAAATGCAGAACAAAGCGAACCTACAAAATACAGAACTTTCTCGTGAACGGAGGGCAACGCGAGTGTAGGCCTGGGGTATGTGCTGGTTAAGTACGAGACTGGATGGATATGACCACTTTATTTTATTCAAACAAGTACTTTGATAAGTGGCCATTTATGCGGTGAATGGACAAAATGGTGATGCAACTGCATTAAAAAAATCTCAAAAAATTAATAAGCTATATTAGCAATGCACCGGATCCGGTAATAATATTCATGATCAGGCAAATCAAAATTAACCAAAACCACCGAAACCTGAAATCACTGGTACCGATTACATAACGAATACGTTGCGTGTTTCGCATAGGTTAATTTTTATGTATTTCTCCAGTATTTATCGCATGACCAGCTTCATCTGCTCAACTATACACTGCTCATAGATTCCGTCAGTCAAGGGTAATACGAGTATTTATTAATAAAAAAGTCACTAAAATCTTGTAGGCGGTCAACCTACACGTTCCACGGGTGAACTCTATCTTGTACGATAATTTCAGTGGTCACGTACAAGTAGACAGAACCGAATTATAAACCGGTCATTTTTACTCTGATGATTAATTAACAGTTATTTGCTCCAGAATGATTCGGCCGTTTTTGGCGCCCTCAAGGCGTCGAACAATAAACTGGATTATTACAGAACGTAAAAAGCGCCACTTGACGGCACGCGTTATCACGACAATAGCTTCAAGTCTGACGGCCCATTAAAAAACCGGTGCACAGACACACAAAGGACTACCATACGATGTGCGCACCGCGGCAGACATGTAGTAAATTTGATATTCCGTCTACAGTTAAAAATTACAAAAAAATGTTTTTCGGAATCGGAACACTGCAGTTGTATTTCTGCAGTATCTGTGCGTTCTCCGCTCTTGTGTTCGCTGTATCCGCTCTACACTTTTGGTTGTTATCTTATCCTTTGAGTGTTGTGCTGCCGATAACGGGCAAGCAGGAAACCGGAAGTGATATCGCTTATACTATCCAGCCATCGATTGTACCGGATAATTCCACAGCCGGATTGATCTTCATTCATCTTTACAACATCTCACATTTGGCGTTTAACACCGTGCGGCGCAAGGCGCAGCCGATCGACACAACATGCGGTTACCGCATAATCTTCGTTGTCGGTCAAGTGTCGGCGAACAAAGTTGTACGGACACAGGCGCAGCAGCATCGCGATATACTGCAGCTGCCGAATATCGTACATAGTCAGGCCAGTCAAAAATTAATTATACCGGAAGTGAAAAAATATGCAAAGGCGATCTGCGGAAAGAGGCAAATGGGCATAATTGTCACTGGAAATGTGGATACGCAAGACAGTTACAGGACCATTTGGAGGAATTCTATAGCCTTTAAAATAAATCCAAAAAAAGGTAAAACTACACGGTAATGTACTGGTGAAGTAAAGCAGGAGTATGACTGCACTTACCGATGCCACTACAGAACTAGCTAAGTTATTTTTTTTCTGTACAACCATATAATTGATGTACAAGCATTCTACTTGTGTGTATAAATTGTGCACTGTAAAATATATTTAGATTCAGGCGGTCTTAAACCAGACCTTGATCGCTACGGTTGGTGTATGGGAAACGCATCCCAAACCTACGAAGATCCCTATAACGAAAATGATTTGCTGACCTTTGCGCAGCATAACCGACCCGATTCCACGGCTGACCTGATCGGCACTGCCGGATCCGAAGAAATTAAACAGCTTCATTATCTTCTTCTGGAACCGCAAGGTAAGTAGGGTACAAAAAATCGTCGTATAAGCTGACAAGTACCTCAATACCTATTGCTCCGGTTGGGATCATGGCCCAGCCAGTGTAATTTGCATGAAGTTTTTTGCCAAGTAAATTGCATAATAAACTGTTTAGGAAATATTTTAATTTTATCGAACTGTCGTGTTGATGTGTGTACATATATATGAGGGTCTGCAAAATTAATATGAACATCGGCTTATTTTTAATACTTTATTCCTTAATATTCGCAAATATAAATATTAATTGTACAGTAATACAGGTAACGGTAAACATACGGCAATTTGTCAGTGTATCATAAGTATCGTGTATTTGCTGTATCATGTTTATCCACTATTAAGTAGTATTTTTAGTCATTAAAAATTGCTGGCCGCAGCATTTAATTGATCACCTTTTTTACAGACCATATCGTAAACAAACAAGAATTTCAACACATTATTAGTGAACCGGCTCTCTGTGTGCGGCTACGACGTAAGCCGCCGTATTTGCTTATTTTCACTCATTCGTCGCCGGCTAATTTCCGCCTCCGGCAGAAGGTGAATACCACGTGTAGTCTTCGTGGATACAAAACTAGACTGGTCCTGTTGCCAAAATAAGGCTGATATTACGTCGAAATAACACTGAATTTTTTTACCATCATGTTTAGATTAGGGAAACGTGGTACAGCCGGGAAAGTCGAACAAGGAACAACATTGTTAACCTGTTTTTCCTAGGAATTTCATCGACAAACCTGTCGTCACAAACACAACGTCAGGTTGGAAAATTATACGTCTCCTGACTGAAATAATAACTGTCACATTGTATCGCCTGATTACTGCTTATTATTAAATAATTATAATCACACAACTGCAACCGTTCGTTTAATTATTTGTTATAGATTGCGGCTGAAAGTGCCAAATTCCACGATATCATTCAGCTGGACTTCATTGACTCGTACCGGAACCTTACTTTTAAGCACACAGCGGCGTTGAAATACCTTACTGAAAACTGTCAAAATATCACATATAAATTTGTACTAAAGACGGATGATGATATGGTTCTGGATGTCGACAGCATAGTTTTTTATATGAAAAAACTCTTGAAGAACCGCTTGGCACCGCCCACACGCACAATATACTGCAGTCACTTGATGTACCGGGAAGTTATAAAGCGGAACACCACATTTAAATGGTACATCTCCCCCGAAGAATATCCAGGTATGGTGCGTAAACACCGGTAAATGCAATACCCTGGTTATGAAAAGGACATAAGTAATGTGAAGATCACAACCCACTAAGTCCTGATGTAGCAGTTTTTTATATACATACATCTGTAGCGGCGCAATTATTTAGCTAATTGTAAACAGCCAAAAAAATAACGATTCGGATTAATAACATTATGTAAACGTCACATATGAATTTTTTAGACTATTCAAGCAGTACTTTGTTTAGGTCGCACTTATCCTCCATATTGTTACGGTGCCGGCTACCTAATGACGCCTGATCTCATTGGGGACCTTTACAACATGTCCCTATACATGCGCCGGTTCTGGGTAGACGATGTGTATATTTCCGGTTTTGTGGCACGTAATCTGCGCAATGTACGGCATGTGCAGTTACCTAACCAGATTCCCGTATTCTCAAAGAAATCTTCCGCGCTGGAGATCCTACAGAAAAAGCGCTGGTTGGTACACACCTATAACGCACCAACAGCATTCGACCGGATATGGTCAACGTTCAGCACACGATGGAACACGACGGCAAGGGAATCGTTTAAGCTGGCCAATAATCTTTCGGATGACAGTATTTTCAGTGTTGCATGACGTATATTTTGTTATATAAATTCACCGTTGATCTCTGATCTACAAAATTTGCTCAGAAAGCAGGCTATATTAAAATTACTTAACTTGCTAAGCATGTATATTGAGTATTGCTCATGTACGGGATGGTCAGTTGCATAAAAAAAATAAAGCTACGCAAAATTGATTGTTATTATTAGCATTTGTATATTTTGTAAGCGTTCAACATAAACTGTAAATTTTTATGTATTGATTTGTTTGTGAAACAAATATGTCTGTTAAAATAAATATACACTATTAGAACCCATTTTAATACAATATCCAGCAGCAAACGAGCTGAGGGACCATTTCCCATATTCCGTACTGTTTCAAGAGTTTGCAGTAGTGTGTTTTAAGGAATTATGTAATCCACAAAAGCACTGGACAAACACAGCGCAGAGGCATGAGTGTTTATACGGTACTGCAATATCTTGCTAGCTGCTAAAAATTAAGGGTTGTACTACAGAAAAAGTCGCCAAAATTTTCGTAGATCAACTGATTTCAGATAAGAAGATAAAATCCCGGAAACACCACGCTTACCTTTAGCCGGTTTATAACGCATGTGTACGAATGCGCGACACAAACAAATTACTGGCTGATCATCTCTGCTAACTCCATAACTCCTAAAATGCTGTGCGCGTGCACGTATTTCCGAATTACTTGTAGCTGCTGCCACATGTTTCGTTACAATAATGGAAGCGCAAAACCGGCATCCTAGGAATCGTTACATGATTTCTACGGGCTACTACAACTGCAACCATTGGTCCTTAGTTTTTGTGTTTCTACTTTTTGCAGCTGTGCAGGTATGCCATTCGGAAACCGGTAAGGCTGAAAACCGCGTTTATACAGTGCCGTACTTTTGGGGCTTTGCTTGTTTTACTTACAAGTTACAACAATATCTTCCTAAGTACTATAGTATCTTTCTATAGTACTATCTTTCTGCACACGAAGTCATACAAGCAAACTAAGCACTCCTTAGCTTACACACAACGAATAATGTGACAAGTATGCATAGGAAAACTTTTGCAAAATACCTTTACCAATTAAACGTTCTCAACTGGCTATGAAACTGGCTTACCTAAATGCTTGCCTAGAGAAAGAATTACCCAAAGTATCCTTTCATCCCAATACCCCTCTACGCGTCCAGCTAGCAAATCAAGGCATCTACATCGAGTGCCGCAACAATGTCGCCGGTAAACCGTACCCCCATGTCACATGGATCGGTCGCGATGGAAACCCCTTGCCGGAAGGCACCAGTCCAAATGACCATCCAGAGGGCACGCATCGCACCGGAAATCACAGTGGGGCTTTATTTCCTATCCCAATCCCTCTTCCTGTTCCGGTTGATGGATTCAGCACCGATTCGGTTATTGTGCACAGCACTACCCCGACGTCTGATGGAGACCAAGGCCAAGGTGAATAATTAAGGGGTTTGCCGGTATCCATTAATTTAAACAAAACGTGGTGTACTGTAGCAATAGGAGTTGGTCAACCTTCGCGCGCAACGATCATCCCTGCGGGACCAATCCATGGGCGGGTGGGTGATCCAGTCACTGCGGAATGTGCTGGCCAAGCGCCGGATGATACGGTGTATTGGCGTCGTGGCGCGGTGGATGGACCGGTTGTCGGCGGTCCGGCGCAAGGCAAGCTGAACCTGCAGATTCCCGATGCGAAGATCGAAGATTCCGGGCAGTATGTTTGTGTTGTGGTGGATGCTAATGGTGGCACCGAATCAACTCCCGTCGATATATATAGTAAGTAGATGATATATTCTAAGAAAATTCTCAAACTGTAAATTTATTTAACTAATGGGCATCAGCTAGTTTATACGAAAACATTTTGGAAAATGAATACGAAAAAAACTTTACTGACCCACCTGGTCAGTTATGTACAAGTACTGTTAATTAGGCTGTTCGGCAAGCACTGTGGAGTGCGCTTTCCCCAAAGCAAACGATTTTCCGATGTCACTTTAATACATTCAACATATTGCTGCGGCAGAGTAGGTCGCGCAATGACCGTTTATTTCGCTTTTTTGGAACAAGATTTAACGACATTTTGAGCGACATTTTGAACAAGATATTTTTAACAAATCTTTACAATTTTTATGTTTGATTTGCCGGCGAATGTTAGCAATAATAAATTTATGTTGATATTCATCTGTGCATGCAGATAATTCCCCGTACAATTAGCAGCATCGTTGTATAAGGCGTGTACTTGTTCGTCGGTAACTGAAGCATTATATGTAGCGTTTGTCACATTTTTGCTCTTCTACAAGTACAAGGTATAATATAATTCGCCAATAAAAATTTAATCGTAGTCGGTCCAATTGGAGTTCCGGGAGAAACGCCTTCGAATGCGAGTCTGATACCGGGCGGTGTCGTTCCCGTTATTCCCGTTGTTCCACCGAATGACCAGACTGTTACAGCAACAGACCGGCCTTCACCGGATCAGTACGAGACAGCAAGAGATTACCGAATTGAGCCGTGGTACCAACAGGTGCCTATCGGGCTGGATTCCAATGCCACCTTCGAATGTATTCATCCACGTGACGGCCAGATCAGCATCACCTATACCTGGACCAGGGAAGATGATCAGCCGCTACCGGCATTTGCGCGTCCACACGGCAAGTACCTGATATTCGACGCCACATCGGACGCGTCTGCCGGCAAATACATCTGCACCATCAGCCCCATCTACGAGCTGAAGAATCTGGAATGCGAGTTAGCCGTGTGCGATCCAGACTTGGACGAAAACTGTCAAGGTTCGCACTGAGAATTACTTGAGCTGTTTCTCAGCAGGTCATTTATTATTACTTCATTATGTATTGATTACTGTTTTACTGTCAATATGCCAGGGATTTTATTTTTTGATATTATTTATTATTGTTCGTTAGTAATATTCCTTGCAGTTACCAAAGAACGCCCTCCAAAACCGGTTCTCATCTTTCCAGTGGCAGCGGCGCCGCCTACTATTGAACAAAGTATATAATTCTCTAATAAGTTTCTGCTTTATGCTTTTCATTTAATAAACCGTATAAATAAAATTTTAATTATCTTCACACAGTAGATTGTACCACCGCATATATAAATCAAATTGCATATATAAATCAAATTAAATGCTATCTTTAGAACGAATCACTTATCGATTTACTTTATTTCAGCTACACCACCGGATGAAGATTCTGCTGCGCCGCCATTGATTACAGTTGTATGAGAGGCACAATCTATTTTATTCTAAAAAAAGCTGCCATTTATTTATAAAACTTTATATCAGAATGCATTTAACTAATTAACTGCATGATAAGATGCATTTAGCAGACCCGGCTCTACTCTAAAAAAATAGCGGTGCACGGAAGTTAATTAAGTAAGTAAACAAAGTCCACGAGGTGCGTAATTACAGATGTGCTGCATGACTTTGTGATTCGTGATAGTTCCGTTTCATGTGAAGTTTCCTGATAGTCTATCAAAATGGTAATTGGAACAGTACAATAAAGGACAAAATTTATGCCTGTCGATCGCTGCTGTAGTCTAACCACTTAGATAACTTAACAACATAAACATAGTTATTGCTTATCGCGTTTCGCTAAAGGTCGTTTGTACCCAGACTTTCCCAGTCCGGAAGACTGTCTGTTAATGCATATGCAGTACTTACTCGAATGTTTACAAGTTTTGTCTAGAAGCATTTTGTAGCAGCAGCTGCAGCATTTGTCTAGCAACGTTTTTTTAAAACTCCGAGAGATTCAGCAGAAAACTAGTTTCGCTAGCCGTTTCATCAGTTTCATATTTGATCGTATTGCCCAGAGGAATCATGCATAGTTTCCAAACAGTCACGCGATGTTCTGTGGAATCAGTACCACAAATGACACAATATCCCACAAAACCGGAAAATGTAAGCTGGAATACCTCGAGGATATGTTACTAACTGTAATGACCCCGCGCAAAGCTGTATCTTTTTTTATTGTTTAAATTGCTGGAGCAATCACAAAAATTTGGCGTTGGCATATTCTGGAGCAGCAAAATTATGTTAGTATAGGACAGATATAATAATCAGTATCATGAAATCCATAACGCAAAAGAAATGTTGGAAGTATCGCACAAATGAGACATGTATCAAAAATGGAAATGCAACACACTGGGACCTGCCAATTTCCGATACGGGATCAGCAAACAACAACACAATCAGAAAGCAGCCAATGGTAGCACAAAAGATGCCGAATAATTCGTCTGAACCAGTTTGCATCCGTTTCTATCCCAGTAAAACCTTTTTCATCATATCAGCTTCCTCTTGATCGGGTGTTTCTGTTAAAGGCACTGGACTGCTAGGAATGCAGCGTGGAGAACACAAATATTCCAGGAATGGTACTTTGTATTTGCCGCAAAAATCCACGAATTTGATGTGCTCGAAGCGGGTATCGAAGTATACACCTGCAATATCACCTGAATAAACGTATGTCATGCTAGCTGACAACAAAAATCCGTAACTACAGTGGAAAACAAATATGTCATTCATACGGCAGTACGAATAATTAATTACGCTAATGCTCAAAATATTTACGATTAAAGCTCATGTACGGATATCACAATGTTTACCTTTGCAACGAGCATTTACGCAATGATGTGCGGAATTCAGATACTGGATCAAATTTGTAGGTAGCTGTCCTTGATACAAAATCTTTTTTCCTTTAATCACACGCCCGGCAATTTCTTGCAGGGTTGGTGGTTGAAATATTAAGAAGCGCACGAAATGCCGTACAAGTGGGCTACAAAATAAGAGCCATGTAAATCCGATAGCCAAGTTTTAAAAACAGTGGACGGCAAAAATAACGAATCAGTAACTTGAATTATTATTACTCACAAAGCATTATTTTCTTTCTAATATCCACCAAATACTCGTACTTTTATATTTAAATACCAAAAAAAGGCGATGGATAATTTATTATACGCGAGTTTTTAATTAGATTCATTTAATTCATCTTCACCGTTGGGATGAAGATTTCCGGCAGCCGTTATGCAATGACTTTTAACAGAAAGTGCACTCACTTTTCGCGTAAGCTGAGCTCGCGAAGGTTATCTAGTCTGATAATTTCGCTAGGCAGGGCTGAAAGACGGTTCTGATGCAATGAAAGGGATTTCAATTGTGACAAGTTGGCGATCGAGGGTGGCAGCGCTTCCAGTTCGTTGCCATTAAGATGCAGTGCTTGCAAATTATCCAAGTAGCCGATTTCCTCTGGCACCGATGAAAGACGATTTCCACCCAGGTACAACACCTCCAGCCTATCATTAGCGGAATATTTTAGCAAAGTGGCCAACTCCAGATAACCTACATGAATAACTACAACTATCTGTAGATGCCCAAAAACTATTTAGGCACCATAATTTTGATTTCAACAATACTTCAAAAACAAAATCTACAGAATTTCGCATTTGATTACGCCGAAATTATTTCATCAACTACGCATCTTTTCAACAAACTCATAAAGGTCTGACAATGAATTACAACGGTAACGATTTCATTACCCAAAACAAATGGCCAAACAATACGCGAATTCATAAAGATTAATCATGTTACTCTGTAGTAGTTAAAAAAACTATATATAGATATTTTACTGCGAAACTTACTTGGTGTATTTGTTAATATTTCGGGAATTTCTTCTAGCTCACAGCTGCCAAGCTGGAGGAACACTAAATTCTTCATAACGGACAACACTTCCGGCACATGTCCGAGGGGATTCCCACTGAGATTCACGTGCTGCAGTTCCGTTAACTGGTACAATTCCTTGGGAATGCCCTCCGCCGTCAGGCGATTATTCTTGGCAATCAGTGTCCGTAGCTGCGTTAGTTTCAGGATCTCTGGCGAGAGGCTGTCGATCATATTACCGGAAAGGTCAAGGAAGTTCAGATTGGTGAAGATGCTGATTTTGCGCGGGACGACACGCAGACGATTGTGCGCCAGGGAAATCCGACCGATCTTGTTGCCGTCACGGCGGGAGAAATTGGAGAAAGTGATCTCGAAGGATTCCATCTCCGAATGTGAGTAGTCCAGTTCATGACTGGAGGAATCCTCATCCGATGAACTGGATCCGCTGCGATCGGCCGCAGCCGATGTGGATGGACGAGGGTGTGCCATTTAAAGAATTCCTCAAATAAGAAAATCCAGAATAAATTTACTGTCTCATTACAGCAAGAGAAAAATGTAAAAGACACTACTTATCTTTAAGAAGCAGAGAACTGCACAAAACACAAAGTGTCAAATATGGAAACAATGCAATGCACTGAGTTGTATCAACTATTCTACAACACTGAATGACAGCAAGCGTATTTATACAAAGTTAGCTCATGCGCTTCAATTGGATTAAAGACAAAATGACGAAATTGTGGTCTGTTGACAAACAAATCCAATCGTTATATACGTAACTATTAACCATACCTTGCGTTATGTCGAGGTTCCTTGTTTTCCGGGGATGGAACAACCAGGGAGCTCACGTACAATGAGAACTACTCGGCTGCACAAGAGAGTCAGTAAACAGTTCCCGTAACAATCTACAGACAGCGACGGAGCACCCTGTTGGTTCGTGATCGTTTGAATCAGCAGATAGGTTAATATGACAGTCAGACAGAGAAATCACAGCAGACTTTGTACTGCCCGTCCCCTAGCCAATCAGTAGGCCGGGGTGGGATCAGTCGACCGGTTTTCGGTAGACTGACTGGTCATGGTACTTGACGAGAACGTACAAACCTCGGTTGCATTTTGTAAGCGTACGAGTGAAAATTCATAACGTTTACATTGCGATAAAACGATACTTTCACCGTAAAAGAATGTGTTAGATTTACTAATTTCTACCCTTTTCTAGCCGGAAGGATAATGCGCGTGATAAGGAAGAACGATCGTAAATCATGCACCATGCAGTGGCCGCATGGACGTGGTATGGAACGTGTACGCCGTGTACAATGTGACAGTGCACAATGTGCACTGCACAGTGATGAGGTCAAAGCTTGAGTTTGTTGCGTTAAACAATGGTGCGCTTCTCGTAAAGTGAGTTTTTACTCGAAAAAATAACAATGCGCATATTTCTCGTCGAGCCAATTTCGCGATCCGTGCGGCGTATTCGGCCAAATGCTATCCACATTGACGCGTCATGTGCACCGCGCTTCCCAGTACTGCGGAAGCGAGGCCCAGCGAAATGTGAACAAATGCGTCACAACATATTTTTGGGTCCATATGTGCCTACGCAAACAATGGGTCGTACCTCATGGAAATTCGTAAACTGACCGCGCTCTGCAATTTATTTTGTACGAAGCTGCAGTATTTATAGCGTGCCTTTCCCAGATGTGGTTTTCTTCTACTCTAGTTACATTTTCATGCAGTTCAGAAGGATTACTATAGCAAGTTTGTAAATAAGCAAATAACTTAAAAATTTTGTTGTAAGTTTGCAAAACGGATAATGTTTTTAATAAAATTTTGCGGTAATGTAGTTAGTAATATTATTTGCATAACAGCAATGCTGCGTGCTTTTCGGGATAAAATTGCTGCTTGCAAGACATTTTATTCTGGTCTTTCTTTGGACAAACCATTTTAGTTTTTGACCTTTTAAGTGAAACACATCGCACTGCATTTTTTGTACGCGAATAATGCGCGCGATCTTTCGATACATTTGATTGTATTCTCTTAGTATTACGTATATTTTGACAAGTAATGGAGTTTGCTGAGGTCGAGCTTATCTTACTAAACAGAAGTCGCGAGTAGCTATCGAAAATTACTTTTTTTTTATTTCAAGTAGTGGATTGACGCCGTGTGGTTAAATTCCAATTGGAAAGAGAGACAAAGGCTTTTAGCCTTTCCTTTCTGCTGTTGCATGAAGGCTCGTTCAGTTGTATTACTGACCGTCGGCTCTTACTATTTTCCACTATACTTTCAACTACTAATTAAAGGCGAAACTGATAGCGGCTTTTCTTCCATCAGGAGCGTCAAAATATCGGAAATTAACATTGCCGTAAAGGCTAAGCCTTATCAGACCATCCAAAGACCAAGGTATTAATTGGGCTTCCTAACCTGGTAAATTAGTTGAATCGAGGAATAAATCACCGGGTAAGCTAAAGGATATCGCAACTTATTGTTAATACGGAAGCAGTTCTTGTTTATATGCTTTGTCACCGCACTACTTAATTAAATTCATGTCGTGCAGTACTGTAAATTACGTGAAGATTGGCCTACAGATAGACTTTAACAGCGCCAACACCGCACTGTATTAAAATACAGTAATAGGCTCGTAGCCGAACTGATTACCTTTCGGCCACCGTAAAAGCTGCAGTGTTTTAACTGAATTAAAAAGTTTGTGATTTGCATAGAAGTGTTTCATATCAATAATTATTATTCTACCGAAGCAAAGCACGATCGTTCTTATCGCAAATGACATTGAGTATGCATATGAGCCACAGATATATATGGCATCGTGACGCGGTAATGATTTCGCCCGCAGGCAAGCAAACAAGCATCGTTGGGATGATCCATTGTTTTTCAGAAAATTAGCGATTTAATCACGCGATAAAAACAACAATTCCATGTAACGATAAATTTTTCATAAGATGTAGAAAGAAATCAGCCGACCACTACCACAGTTGCTATCATAATAAGCCGCTAATAAAAATATTTCTGCGTATGAGCTACCCTGATTTTCAGAAGAACCGAGTCGGCCATAATAATGGCGCATTAAGAATCTGACTATCATGTACAATTTTCAGGCTTTCGTGCAGACATCCGATGAGCAATTGTGCGCCTCAGGAAGCTCCAGTGTCCCCTCGTTCGGCGCCGGCAGGGCTTGTTCGCTGCAGCCAGGTCGTGAGTTGCCGTAGTCCAATGACTCACCCGAATTGCTGTGGAACACCACTTTGCAGACGTTGCGATGGCCAGAACGCTCATCAAAGGTCGTGCATTCTTGATAACCGGGAATGTAGACGTGGAGTGTGACTAAGCCTTCCGTGTGGCTTGGGTTTTCCATGCGGTGGAGCCCAATGGTGTCTACAATCAAAACGAATGAGTTTTCGTCGGCAGGCATTCAAAACAGCTGAAATTTTACAGGCGAGACGTTTTTTTCGAAACTGAATCATCGCTTTGTACTACAAACCTTCGGTTAAAAATATTTGGTAAAGGTTAAATTAGCAAAATTTTCAACACATTTAACAAGGGTTTCGGCGAAGACTTGAGAAATATTACGGTGGAGACGGAAATTCGAAATCAAGTTGCGTAATACGTTAGTCGGCTGGCCGAGCGTTGTCGGGCCGGTTACAGATGATTGCAAGTTTCTGTTGCCTAATTACGGCAGTTACTGTACTGCCAAAACTAATTACTGTACCGTTAATGTATGTGACTTCGTTGGTGAACAGACTGCCTTTTTTGAAAACGCGCATCGGCTGCTCGTCATCCTCACTGTCTGGCCACTGGTACATGGTCTCCATAACCTGCCCATCCAGAACCTTGACGAAACAATGGGCGTTGGCGTGAGAGTGAATAGGCGAACCTTGACCTTCTGACCAACATAGGATGATCACATTGTACTTTCCATTGCCAGCATCGATCAGATTGCGCGTGTACCTGTTAGCAAAAGCAACAACTAAGAAGGGTAAAAAAGCCTTTGACTAGCGAAGCAATGGAAGAAAGTTTTGAACAGTAAGACCCAGTGCGCGCTGCTAAGGTAATTCGTGAACGAACCATATGCATGTAGCTTAAAAAAACCGGTGGCAAAATTTTTGTTTATGCAGTTATGGCATACCAACAGTTAGCGTTTAATAAAAGATGAAAAACGGTGATAAACTGAAAGTAATGCTTTCGCAAGCCAGCTATGTTGATGCAAATGCTGAATCCGTTTTATTGCAAAAAGGTTTAACGGATATTAAAGTTCTAAATATAAGGTTACTGTCGAGTGTCGAAGACCTTGCAAAGGCCACATATGCATCGCTTACTTGGCTGAATCCCACGAGCAGAACTGTTTCCAGTCTTTCGGGTTGGATTTGTATGAGTTGAGAAGGCGCTTAACCTCATCCACGTCTACATTATCCGATGCGAAGATCTCCCGTAGACCAACCAGGACATCTTTCAGTGAGTTCCAACGTGCTGGATAACCGCTCATTTTGCCTTATTATTCTTTGGCAGGACACAGAAAACAACTAGTTCGTTTAGAAGAGACTAATGAAATTGAATAACAATGGCTTTATGTAATGTCGACACACGCTCAAGCGATTCGACAAAAGCTGCTTTTCCAGTTAACACACTTAAACCAACGTCGGAGTGGTAAGGTACTGGTCGGAATTTTGGTGGGTTCAGCTAAGCGCCTTGAGGGAGAATTCGGTTGAGATGTTTTTGCCGTTTTATAAGCGGCTGATCATTAGGACAACCTTCGCGGCCAACCAATCCGGCTGTGCCGATTGAGCGCGTCTTAATTGCGAATTAAACGATAAAACAGTTGATTTATGTTCTCTTGTGATGGGTCCTAATCAGACAACCTTAAGACGAGAGGTACCCAACATATGGTTAAATTGGTACACCCCCCGTGCTGCATATTGTTGGAAAGAGCGTTTCGTGATCTACAACCCGACACCAGCATAGTTTATTAAAATTTTAAACTGAAAGAGCTATTTGGACGTTAAACAGCAGTACAACAGAAAGTTGCCAAAAGCGCTCCGTTACAGCAGTGGCCTGTCGGTCAGTTTAGTGGGCAATGGGCAGCGATCGGGCCTGCCGCCTGCTAGCGCTCCTGAACTCGTGCGTCTTCCTGGTTATCTCTCTCTCCCCGCTCACAAAGAATAAGTAGGCCATCAAACTGGCAACGATGCGAGTAGTGATGCAACTGACAACAAATATGCTACACGGCAAGAGTTGAACCAAGGTTGAACTTTAAAATAAGTATTCTAAGTTCATTGGCATTTCAAAACAGGAGTAGAAGTTTTCACAAGAAAGCAATTAAAGGTATGCTTATATTCAAGTGGCTTATTCACATTTTAATAACAAAATACGCGCTTTGTGCCGTAGGTCAAAACCTTGCTTAGTTCATTCGAAACTTAGGAATTACTCCTAAGCTAACAAAAATTATTACATCCGTGCAGTCTTTCCTGTTAAAGCCAGTAGGTAGCGAATTATTTGATACGTTTTGATAGTACTTATTACATTGTTACGTTTTGCTTGGTATTATTGGTAAAAAGTACTAAGGCACGAAAATGAGATGACAACAGGTTTGCACTTAGCAAGCAGTTTGCTTCGGGTCTATTCGCTATCGTAGTTCGGGAAAGACACTGAAAAGAGATGAAAAGGTTCGAGCAGGATACACAGTATGCGGGTTTCTATATGACGCGTCTCATTTGCTTTTCGCCACATGGCCCGGTTTGTATGCAATCGGCCATTGTGGTCAAACAGTCTTCGTGGTCTGACCGGCTGACCGAATGGCTACCGGCAGGCTGGCAGGCAGAATACTCTGTGCGTGGCTTCAGTGGTCACTTGCCTGTTGTACTGAACTTTGACGCGATAGTGGCTTCCAATTTATCAAGTCCAAGAAGATATTCCTGTTACAGTGTACATTGTCGGCATCAAAGTGAACAGGAAGACAACTACTCGCTCTATCCGTTGCACTAATTTTCATCTCGATGTGACGTCGGGTTCGCCCGGAATTTCGGTTTAAAATTTTGTTTTGATATTTCAATGGCGTTTTTTCGAATTTTTCAAAACCCTACCAGCAACGGATAGTCGACATCAAGATCTATCATAAGACGACATATCGTCCTAACCGGATGTATAGTGAATATTTTCACCGGGGTCGAAGCTAAAAATTAATTTCCCCATTATTTTGTTAATGACCCTACAAAACTTCCCAAAAAAATTAGTAGATGATAGCACAACATCTTGGTGGCGTACGGCAGTAGTTAAATTGACCGTACATTTACCACCGCGTGCACACAAAAAATTAGCGCAAGGGGACCATATGCTGGGTACCCCTCGTCTTAAGAAATGGTCAAGAACAACTTGTGATTCACGAAGAAGTTTGTTTATACCGGAATAAACGTTTTGTTAATTACCAAAGGCATGCAAAATATTACTTATTTCGGTACTACCATATCGGACAACTGACCACTACTGGCACTACATAAGCATCATTATCTGTCGGCTAAGATGATGTACATGTACTGTACATGTACTAAGATGATGTACATGTATGCCCGCAGATGTTTGATTCCTGGAAAGGTTTCGGAGCATATCCGGCGTGTTATCCGCCTGCTAAATTAAGATTTAATAATTACAAGATTCGTGCATGCTCTGGCTTGTCAGGCTGTACGTTTTCAAATTTTTGTAACCCTGCTTTTAACATTAACACTTTATGCCTTATGAATATATATATCAGATGCATGAAATTTTCCAAGTTGCGTTTGCGCATCATTGCAAGCGAGCCACAAACACGGCCATTAACTAATAATTATAGTAGAATCCCATTGCCAGTCGCATTACACCATCGTTTTTTTGGGCTGTACCTGCGCAGTTGTAACGGATGATTACCCTTTTCTTGAAAAAATCCCGCATTAATAACTATATAATTATTTCTACCTACGTTGACAGGCCATATTGTAGTGATTACTAATCAGATAAAGGTTCCGTTAGAGGAATACGCGCATGTATCAAGCAACAAAGTTAAAACGTATCAATCGATATCTCTTGAGGTACACTTGGATACTTGTTAATTGTTATTCTAATGCATATCGCAACTTATTCCCGACATCCGCCAAGTTTGATTTACATATTGATCTAGTAAATTAGAAGCTGGTCTGCCGAGGTCACTCTTATCGTGTCGGAAGTCACTCGACCAAAGAAACGGCATGATTTATGGCTTATCAACGTGGTACACTTGGCGACATTCGTTTCAATGCTGAAGTTTATTATCCCAAATTCCTAATTGGCTTTCTTCTTATCATTATCGGGGCATACTGCAAACTGGATAATGGTAATTAACGATTTCCTGCTGTACATGCAACATGCAGACAACAGCATTGGTTACAAGCCTACATGCACACAATGTGAAAGCGCAATACTCACGTTAAACTGCGCGTACAGTATATTTACGGAAGACATAATATAGATATAACGTGCATATATCTATATGCTATAATAAGCACTATACGTCATGAATTACTGTAGCACGCCTTATACACTTTCACGAAAAGGACAGGCCGTATGTAGATTCCGCATCATATTAACTGCATTAAATTACTACACGAAATCTCCTTGCTAAGTATTCGATATTCGTTTTTTAAATCCTATATGGATCCAAATATTTTTATGACTGGCTGTACTCTGTGTCGTAAAATCATTCACCGTAAATCATTTACCGTCCTCGCCATCTGTAATTTTTAAACGTAAAATCATTTACCGTCCTCGCCATCTGTAATTTTATGTAAAGTTTGAAAATGCTGTGTACCGGTAGGCGGTAACTAAACAGCTACCATAAGTTATCGTTAAATACAAAGGTATTACTTGTCTTATCTCGGAAAAAGGCTGTGAATAAATCACTAGTATAACGCGTTTAGCCCTAAGGCCAACCGTTTGGCTCCCGGAAGTGAGTCGGAAATGCTAAAATCAGAGTCTTCAGCTTGCAATGAAACTGAAATTGCAGAAATTTTATTACTTATTTCGTTTCGTTTTTTAAATTTCGTTAACTGTTTACTTTATGCCTTCTGTATTTATTCCACAACGTTTTACAATCAGATGCATGCAGGTACTTGCTTATCATAAATTCACTAATGATTGTTTCCTTGGCCGTGGCATCCGTGGACCAACTTGAAACTTAAATTTTTATTCTTTACCATTAATAAGGAAGCAGACGCACATTATTATTTAGCGTCATACAGTAATAATAATTGTTCCGCAGTAACCTGACATCTTTGCACTTTTCGGTATCCCAAACCCATCGTCCATTTATCCGCTTCCGCACATTATAGCTGTTATCGTACACAATCACGTGGTTGGCGTCATAGATATCGAAGCCCTTCCCATTCACTTCATAGGGAATCCAAGCACCGGTTCGCCAATCCCAGATGAAAATTCGCTGATACTGATCGACGTACAGCTCTGTACCGTCATCTCCGATCCCCACATCGCCCACGTCCATGGCGCTGGTGTCCAGCAGCCATTGGTTGCCGATAAAATGGTACAAGTCGCCGGTATCTGTCAGGGCCAACGCTTCGTTCATACTGCGTGGCGAAACTCGCACAAAACGGACTCTTGGTTGGTTTGGTTCCTGCAAAAAAAACAAAATTAAGGAAAAAATTTTGCAAAAACAATGCACATGTAGTACCAGCTGTGGATACGTTGAAGGATAACGCAGTCGGGAAAATCTACCGTTAGTGTCAATAATCCATACGGCACCGTCTGTGCTTTGTGACGCAGATACAACATTCGACGCCACCGGTGTTTCAACTGTGCGGGACGTTCCCAAAAGGTACTCAACCTGGACCAACTGATTTCGTCCATTCACATAATAATCTGCCTTTCGTTGTTGGGGATTCATCAAATCGCTTGGATTCCTTGTGTTGCTATCAGTTTGCCATGTTCCACCGTTAAAGTTTGCAAAATTCAGGTTGTTTCTGCTGTTGCTACTGAGATCAGAATATTGTGCTTGGTTGGCGGTGTACAAGTTTGATGTTTGTGAAAATGGATAACTGGAGCCCAGTGAATTAGGAAACGGTTGCTGGTAGCTATTAGGTCCAACACCACTGTTTTGTTGCCAGCCTGTCATTGGGTTTGGTGACATATACGGTTGCTGATTGGATAAAGTCGAGAAGAAGGTTTGTGGTAAATTTCCATTCGGTGACCCCGGTACTGCATTAACAGCCGCCAAAAGGTTACCATTTGTGCTGCCTAATCCCGAAAAGCCACTAAGAGCAGCGGGATTATAAACCGATAGGCTCCCACTTGTTGATGGAAATCCTAGAACGCTATTTTGCGTCGGTTGTTGATAGCTGTTCGGACCGATACCGGCACCCACTTGGCTGTTGACAAACGGCTGACTGGGAGTTAGCGGTTGTGATGCTGACGATACGCCAGCACCACCAAAAAGGTTTCCACCGGGATTGTTATTAAGTGGCGGCCTGGCCTGGGTTGATGTAGGCATTCCAAAATTCGAGAATCCTGCGTTTGTAATCGGAAGTGTGTTGCCTGTTTGGGACGTTGTAAAGCCGGCTGTTGGCTGGTTATAATTGTATGGGTACCCGTTTAGTCCCGCATTACCGCCTGCATACATTGCCATTCCTGGATTTGGGTTCGTGTTTCCAGCTCCATAAAACTGGCTGTAATTGTAATTGTTTGCAGTACCAAAAGGCACGTTGGGACTCGGAAATATTCCGTTGCCTGCTTGTTGGTTGTAATTGTTGTATGGATAACCGTTAATACCGGTATTGTAACCAGCTGGATACGTTCCTAAATTTTGACTGTTGGGGTATAAATTTCCCAGTGCACCACTGAACTGGCTGTAATTAGTTAGAGTTCCTACAGGCATATTAGGATTTAGAAAAAACCCGTTGCCGGCTTGCTGATTGTATGGATAACCAGCTGGATTTAATCCCGGGACCGGGTTTTGGTTCCCATTTCCAGCTGCGCCGTTAAACTGACTGTAGCTGTAGTTGGCCACGGTACCAAAGGGCATGTTAGGGTTGGGGAAAAATCCATTGCCGACTTGCTGGTTGTAGGGGTAACTAGCTGGATATATTCCTGGACCCGGGTTATTTGAGTTCATACTCCCAGCACCGTTAAAATACTGCTGACTATAATTATAACCGTTCGCCGTTGTTCCAAAGGGCGCGTTAGAATTCCCGAAAGTTCCCCTATTTGGAGGAAAGCTGTTACTAGCTTGGCCGTTATAATACGTGTAGTTGTATAGTGCGGGCTGTGCTCCGCTTGGATTGAAGTTCGCGTTTGTCTGATAATAATTATAATTAAAATTCCCTCTACCGGCCACCGGGTTGGCACCACCAAAACCCTGTTGGTATTGATAGGGATAATTATACGAAGCGTTCCAAGCTTGTGCTCCGCTCCCAACAGCATTTCCGGCTTGACCATTGTAATAAGTATAGTTGTACGCTGCAGGTTGCGTTCCACGATTTTGATTCATATTTCCATTGTTCTGGTAATTGTAATCATACGTAACTCGGCCATTCGGATCGTAGTTGTACGTGTAATTAAACGGCTGTGTGGCGGCAGCACTAGAATTGACGACCTGATAGTTGTAATCGTAGTAAATATTACCATCGGGTCCGTAATGCCAGGTGTAATTGTAGACAACGGGTTGGTTGGCGGCAGCTGCTGCACTGCTGTTCCCAACTTGGTATTCGTAATCGTATTCAATTTTACCGTCCGGACCGTAATGCCAGGTATAGTTGTATGTTACAGGCTGTGTAGCATTTTGTAACCGCGGGTTTCCGGTGCCGGGTGCGTTATTAAACTGGGATGCCGTTGCCGCCGGCGGGTTTAGTTGACCATTCACCAAGCACATTACTACAACACATATAACTTATTGAACATTGGTAGAGGACGATATAAATTTTTCGAAACTTTTAAATGCAATCGAAATTCGAAATACTGTGACCTTTACATCTAAGTAATATCATTGTTGCAGTCAACCTACAAACTTACTTTTCAGTGACCAAATGAAGGCCGTTGCAATTATAATCCAGAGTCTGTGCAATTTGAAGCGTTTACAAACTTGCATTTTTAAGACTTTTCTATGTTACTATTAATATACATATAAAAACTCAACACATCATGCTACTGCTATAAGGTAGACAACAATCGGATGATCTTTGTATCTCCAGTAGTTTAGCATTGCAGTTGGAGTCCATGTGGTTAAGGTTTTTGTGGTGTGATTTTTGGTATTTGCGAGCTGCATGATAGTCATAAGTCGTATTATTGTAAAAAGAAATGTCGATAAACGGCATCTCTTGGCTACGTTTGCCGGAACAGCAGAATATCTATTGTGGCATACTTTAATATTTATTAAATCATTAACCAGTAAAATATGGAATCAGCTGCATTATACAAAAGTACTCATGTCGACGAAGAATCATCTGCACAATGCGTGTTTGCCGATTAAGCAAGAATCGTTTCACACAAATAATTTCGATTATTCACAATGCATCCAAGGAAAGACGATGCAGTGTATCCGGGTATTTCGTAGTACACATGTGGATGTAGAGTCTTATTGCTTTAGTTCCAAAAGTTTTACTTTCACTGGCATACCTTGGCGTTTTTAGCAACGATTTCGTTAATTTATTTGTTTAACGTTACAAGGCATGGTAGGTTGTAAATACATATTGCAAGGTGTTTTTAGCTAAGCAGTTTTTCATATTGTTGTGCAGAAATTCAATAATATGGCGAGTTTTCTATGGAACGATGGACCAGGTACAGTACATACAAAATTTGCGCATAATGTACAGATTGAACAGAATACTTGTAGTTGTATGTATTACAGATTGAACTGACGATGAATATTTGTAGTTGTATTGCAACAAAGTTCAACAAGAACAGACGCTCAGATCTTCGCTAACAAAAAAGTGCATCAAAATATGTAGCAAAAATACTTACCAGTTAATATCATCCGCATGTTACATTTACAACGTAACATTTCGGCATCAGCAACATCCTTTCAGATGGTGATAACGCTAGTAAAATTCGGTTAATCACAACGTTCGAGAATGCCGTTTACGAAACTGGATGTACTGTACTATTTGACAGTCTCTTCGCTTTGTTCCCGACGAAGATACCTTTGCGACACTGCTCATAGCCTCATGTCAGTCACGTGTACCGCCGCCATAGCTCGTACATCTGAGCACTGCTCATCCCGATGGTCGCGGTAAAATTCAGAGCGTTTTCGATCTCATCCCTCCTCTTAAGCTTACGAGAGCAGACCATCACAAGCTTCGCACACTCATCAAATTCTGCCCTCCGCGATCGCAGTTCTTCCTCAAGATTCCGGCGCACATTTTCCAACTGCATCGACTGGATACGAGCATGAACAAGCAGCTCAAAATACTGGGCTTTCAGTTCTTTGTTCACCGCTTCATCTGCATTCCGCTGTGCCTGGATTCTCTTCCGGTTCTCAGCATCCAGGCTGGCTTGTTCATCCTCCCGGCGAAGCTCCTGTTCAACCTCCCGGCGAATCTCCTGCATGCGCTCTGGCGTAAGGTGCAAGCTAAAGTTAACAGAATTATCCGAGAAACGTTTCACTGGAATAACTCCCGTTGAAGTCGTATTACTGGTTGTGCTGTTCATGCCGGTGATCGTCTTGTCCAGTAACACAGACTGTGCACAACCGCAGATTAGGATTAAGCCATACAATATGTTTTTCATGGTAAGTTGGCTGGACATCTCACCCACATTCAGCTCCAGAACAGTTACTTAATGCAGAAGCAAGCGCTATGGAATATAGTAACGATTAACTGAAAATGGCTAATACTACTACTTCAACTTTTGCAGAAATTTGATTATCGGAGTCCAACAACTCAGTTTAGAACTTCAATAAGGGTAGTGAATACATCGCTCTTATATTCTTTTTTGAAGTCTGCAAAAATTACGTGGTTCTGCGCAGGTTTGCGGCATACGTATTTCTCTTTTATTTTCCGGTATCGCATTGCGAGGTGTCGAAGTATTGTGTCATTTGTGTAATTCACGGGGCGAGTTAAAATTTCCTGATTGCGACGAATCCGTCCGACTACTGAGGATGTGCAGATATAGTATGTTCATAAAGTGAATGAAATGCAAAGGCAAACAGGAGAGCGATATACTCTGTACAAGTACACAAAATTGTAAGAATGCAAAGAAAAATGGCGCGGTACCGAATACCGAGCTGCAATTTGATTCCTTTTCCAAGTGTAAGTATTGAACTGTACAATGAGCAAGTCAATTAGGCGTATTATAAACAGACTTTATATTGATCGTCTGCAAATCCTCTTCCTCCTCTTAAGAGTGCGATCTAGGCCGTACACGACGTAAGGGGCCTAGAGCCTACGACTCTACCGGAAATACGGGAAACGCACTGGGAAGACGTAAATACCAATATTTATGGCTCATAAATATATAAATCACAACATAAACATCATCCTATGACACAGGTGGGAATGCCAAGCATGGAAATCACCGAATGATCTGTGCAGTCGTAAAGACTGTGCTGGCTACCTGCAAAGTACTATGCCTCAAGTGAGAGTGGCTGATGTACGAGTTGTACGTAGTGCACTGCACGAGTAAACTCGTACAAGCACATACGCTGCCGTGCTATGGCTCGCAATGCCGTATAACAGTGAGAATGGCTCTAAACAATAGTACTGGCTGACAATATAGTGCTGGCTCACGCGTACACTCCCGATAGTACGAAGGCGTCCATAGCCTGACTATCCTGACGGAGTCTCCCTCATGCCACTGGGTGGGGTGCCGAGGTCTCGCGAGGCCCGCTGATCTCCCGGCATTGCACTGGTAATACGAGAAACGCAAGAGTACGAGATACCGATGTTGCTTCCCCGTGGTGTCCTGAGTAGGTCTGAAAGTTGATCGTATGCTATTCCGCCATAGCGCTGCTCAGTGCAGTTTGTGCCATAACGAAATCAACACACTGCCTGTAGGACTGGCTGACACCAGAAGTCGCTCACGTTTCCTCGCAACATTCGCCACTCGCAAACCAGTGATACCGAAATCACATTGATTCTCAAACTCAACCACTTCTCGACCGTTCACCAACCACTTGAGTATTGAGCGCGTATCTTGCCTCTGGTTTGCCTGTTTAGGAGTAGTTTTTGGCTCTGAATTTACCATGGCGAAACGGTAAAGACTGGTTAAACGATAGGACTGATTGAAGTACGATTGCCTTACACAAATGATTTTGTATGGTTAGTTTATGAGAATTGAATGCCTTTCCTGTGCCTTACAATAAGAACACAAAAATACAACATGGCCTTAAGGGCGATAAAAATTTGGCTTATTGCCTTATTATTAAAATTACCAAAATAAAAATCCATCGAGATGCAATTTACTGTTATCACAAAAACAGGAATTTGGTCTGTTAGAGAAAAACAAAAGAAAAATACCGGAATTCCGCTGGCGGGTTACAATCCGTCCAATCCAACGGGTTATTCCAACTCCAAACTCACAAGGACCGTATCTGCCCAAGGAGTTATTCCAAACTCTCATGAACCGTATCTGTTCATGGAGTGTAAGAATGATAAGTAGGTGTGGCTGATGTAGATCTGGCTTAGAACATGGCGTACTCCGACGCAAACCCCTCAATTTGCACCAGGAATGTCATCCACATCCTGATTGGCATGTAATTCGATAGTTCTGCCGTCAAGTGCATTATCTGCTGGCTTAGCTGATTCATCAGCTGGTTGTTCTGGCTGTTTCTCCGATTTCCCGGTGTTTTTGTCTGGCATTTCGGTATCCAAATCCTTGTCGTCGTTCAAGGATGCTCCTTTTAATGCGTTCAACGCATCACTGAGGTCTGCCTGCTGTGGAGTTTTCATCTCCTCTGATGGGGCTGATTCATTTTCGCCTGTTGGCTTCTTGAGTGCTGGTTGTGCTGGCGTAGTGGGTGATGCTGCAACGCTGAGTTCATTGGAGTTCTGACTGGAGGTTAGTTCAGCTGCCTTGCGCTTCTTCTCACTACGGGTATTCAGGCGATGGATATGGTCAGTAACCATATCGACGGGATCCTGGACGTAGGTGAGGATTTTTGGCTTTTCTTTAGGAGTAAGTCTGGCTAAGGCTCGTTCGTAAATCTCCTTCTGTTGTTCTGGCAAGTGTGGTCTTCCGATAGCTTTACAGTTGTTCTGAAGGCGTCCTTCCGATTTACGGTCGAACAAGTAGGAATGGCTGTTGTAATGACCAAGTAGGGCTGCCAACATACGTGCGAACAATCTGGAGTTGTACTGGCGTGATTTCGGGATATTCCAACGAACTTCCTCTAGGGTTTTGGCGTACTGGAGAGTCTGATAACAATGGATTGCTGCCTTACATGCGACCAGGAATAACGCTGGGTTGGATTCAGCGCTGACCCACTGGAAGAGGTAATCCTCCCAATGGATTTTTCCGTAATACTGCAGTTGTGAGAGTGCCTCATAATCGACGGTTGAAATTGGCTTATCCAATTCATCCAAGTCGAGGAAGGTTTTCAGGTTGTTCTGCCTACCGTTGGCGTACTGATACTCCAATTCCTCTCCATGAGGACCTTCCACGCTGTAATCGCGTTGTTCCAACTGCCCATATAAATCGATTTCACTGGCGAAGTCGTTAAATTCAGTAACGACTGTTCGAATGGCTCGCTTGTATTGGAATGCCTTAGACTGCCCAAACAAGTTGAAGTGCTTCATGATTTTGTTGACCTGCACTTCTTCTGATTGTGGGCGTGGGATGATTTTTGGCTTTTCAATCTTCGGTTTTCTGCCTTTTCCCTGTGGAAAGTTCAACTGATCGTCAAAATCTGACATTACACTTGTTCTGCCGCTATTACAACCTACCGAAGATGTGGGTGTTGGCTGATCAAAAACAGGGCCACTACGAGGGTTGTAACTGCCTCGTGCGCCACTCTGCTGTCGGTCTGACTGTGGGATTGCTGGCTTTTTGGCTGCATCTGCATAGCGCGGCTGAGGATGTGAGTCCCGTGGTGCGCAATGCATCATTGTTGGGCTGGGGGTTGGCTGGCTACATCCTGCAACTCTTAAAGGAGTGTTGGGATTGATGTCAGGAGTTTTTGGCTCGGTTGGCAACGGTGCGTCTTGCCATCCGCGAGTGAACTTGATGTGCTGGCTAACGGCGCTGTGGACTTTCCGATGAAAGTTGTAACTGGCTTCAACATGGGGCCAATATTTGGACTGGCGTACACGGTCGTAAGCATTGCGGCTGCCATTTACGACCTCCGTGACGAGAGTTTCGACCTGGCTGGGTAGATCTGGCGTATCCATGAAGAGATGATCCAAACATGGACGTGTTTCTGTGTTGTGTTGGCATGCCTTACAATCCCTATTGTAGAGCCTGGCGAATGCCATTCTGAAAGTAGGAATGCCTTAATTTAAGCGTATATCATAGTGGTGATCCCACTACGTAGATTTGGCTTTCAATTAACTAAATTAATAACTAATTTAGTTATTTTATACTGGCTGTAGTAACTGAAATTTTTCTGAAAAGGAATAATATTACAATGCCTACAAACTGAGTTTACATGATATTACTATCATGCGATCTGTATGATCCAGTTTGTTGTTTTTATCTGCCTTAATTACCATACGATCTTTTAAATTACCATTTATCTGCCTTGATTACCATGCGATCTGGTAATTCTGTAATGGTTTAACTAGCTAAAATCGCAAAGTAGATTGTAACAGCTACCATGCGATCTACGTGTAGTTGTGTATGAATTTAAACTGGCTAAAAATCGCATCGTAGATTTGCAGCTACCATGCGATCTAAACTGTGGAATAGGACTGGCTATAATCACAAAGTAGATTTACATCTACCATGCGATCTGTCGTAATTAGAAATGAAAATGGCTATGATTACATAGTAGTTGTGAGACTACCATGCGATCTTATTGTGTTATGCGTTGATCTGATTGTTGTTTTGGCTGGGAAGTAGACTTGGATCTACTTCCGTTTTGCTGGAGGTTGAGATGCCTTTGGTGGTGATGAGAGTGGGTGTGTCAGTCGGAAACACACTCCGCGATGAACGTCGATGTCATAGACGAAATCCTCATCGTCCATGAGCTGCCTTTCGTACATTGTCGTTTGTGGTGCTGGCATAGATGGCATATCTGGCAAAATTGCTCTGATATAGAGTACTGCCTCACTGATTGTCGTACCGCTGGGATCCGCGATCTCATGGATAGCTCGCGTAATGAGCGCTCTCCAGGGATCTGGATTATTCTGCCGTATTTCTGATAAACGTGACTCTGTGTTAGCTGGCGTAATATAGACTGGCTGATTTGTACCGTGAAACTGGCGTATGATATGGCGTGAAATTGTCATCTGCCTTAATACGTATGAGACTGCCACAACAGTGTAATCTGGCCGTTCCTCAAACAAGGACTGCCAAATTGCATCTGGTGTAGGTCGTCGTAGTTGTGCCTGTAACTGACCAATAACACGTAAAATGTCATTGGGATGTGGCATGGGATTCTGATGTGGGACTGCCGGTATGTCTTCAATTGGCTCTCCTGTTAATGCGCTGACTCTCTGTGCATGAGTGCTTGTCAGTGCATAGCGGTGGAATGGCGGTTGAACGGCGCCAGGGTTGGGTAATTCTTCAACTACCCGTCGCTGGACCAATTCACGTAGTGCTGCCTGTATAGTTCTGATAGCTTCAGCTGGAGTC